CGTGTCCGTGTCCGTATCCGTGTCTATGTCTGTGTCGACGAGCTAAATGGAGGGGTGGCAAGGGGCGGTTGTGGGGTTAGTGGGCGTTTACCATTACAGAGTCCGTACACGTTTTTCGTAAATGTGCATTTTTCGCTAAATGTTTTGTAAATGTTTCCGTTTCCAACTTTATAATTAGTTGGCACGAGGGCGGCGTAAAAGAAAACGCAGCGTCACATCGCATCGCATCGCGACGCATTGCAGCGTGGCAGGAAGCGGAAAAACGAGAAAAGCACTGCGGAAATTGTGTAAGTTAAGCGCCTGCCACAGTCCGATGTTGTCGACGGTCCACAGCATGCATCACGTGTCGCCCCAATATAGCACACTGTCAGTTACTTGCCTCCGATTACACACCGAGTGCAGTTCAAGCTCCACTCAAATGTATACTGTTCACACATCCTACACAGAGATAAGACCTTTATGACAGCTCGTGCAACTTACATCTCCATCAGTTCATACTGCTCTGTCCAGAACACTTGGACGATCACACAAATCGGCAACATAATAGACACCAGAACCAATGACCATCAAACTACCAACAATGTTGACCAAAGAATTCAATGAACGACATAGAGAAAAATAGGTTAAAAAAAAAATCTGATCCAGCTATTCAAGAATAACAATAAGCCTGCATCAACTCGGACGTAAAATGTGACGATCCCCTGGATATGGTACTGTAGAACTGTTTAATTTATATAAGGCAACCCTTTGTAAATCAGTTCAGTACTAAATAAGCCAAGTCTTCAAAAGGTGCTCGGAGTATCAACCATAACTAACTGAAGCAGCTTACTTATTGTACAATTGAACTTACAGTTCCCTTTGCGTCTTCACTTCTCTCACAACATGTGGAAGCCGCAAAAGCTATTAGTTCAGAAAATGTATATATGCCTGAGCCAAATCTTAAACTTCTTAAAGTATTAAAGACTTTTATCTCTCAGTTTGGCTGATCTTGCACCCAGCAAGTTGGTGGGCAAATGCCTTCGAGGCTGTTTAATTAGATTTACAGCATTGAGCTGAACGAGACACGGCACGTCGCGTTATCCACCTTCGCTGCGCCATACAGTGGCATCTTTGCCCCAAAAGCATTACAGAAATCAAGTGTGTAAATGCAATTTTTGGAATTCGACAAACTTACTATATGGATAATATCCCGAAAAGAAGGGAAATGTGAAATATAAGCAATCAAACTTTATTTAAAAATATCTGATGCTGAACTTACCTTTATACAATAGCACAATGCTTATATATTTTGATAGTATCTTATCTAGTTGAGAGATGTGTACAGAATGCGCCACTGTGCCGCGCCTGGATTTGAATTGAAGTTTTAATTAAAAGCAACTACATGAATCGCTGCCTCGCATAGGACCAACAAATGCAAGTTGCTCCATTTACGCATTTGCAGCACCTGCCGCAGACTGAGTCGCAAGCAGCGACTTATTAAAAGCTGTCAGCGTTATGCTAATTAGGTAGCGCGACCCACAAAATGTCGCCGCAAATCAATCAGAGTGCGCTCCGCATTACCTAGCTCCATGCCCTTCTGGGGGTGGCTATATCAAAAACAAAACAACAAAAAAAAACAAGTTAAGAAGGGGAAGTGGGTAGGGGATGGGATGTTGGGTGGGCGCTACCAAATTAACGGTACGACAGTTCAACGCATGCTGATTAGCGTAATCAGTGCAAACGGGGACAGTGCGTCCAATTTGAATGTAAATTTTCAGCTGCCGCGCTCAAAAGTATGCAGCAAAAATGTACTAAATTTCTATCAGCGCACAGTTGAGTATCCAGGATCTTAGTCCCTGCCGTCTCTCTCCTCCTCTCTTTCCCTTTTTCCCGTGGGATGGCTTGGAAAGGTTAGTTTACATTTGTGTATCTCCCCTCAAACTCACAATCTTTAAAGTACAATTTCAGTTTGGGCTTATTGAAGAAAACGAGTAAGTTTGAGATTTTCATTAAGATTAGGATCAAAATTTGAAATATGTCTATAAAATATTGATGTTTAATATTGATAAGTATATAGAAACAACAAATGTAGCAATTCTTTTACTGCAAACGCATTTCATTCCATTGATTGCCCAAAGACTTAAGGACTGATTTGATGTTACATTACGCCACAAATCGTGGTGTAGCAAGTGGTTAAAGGCTAGAGTAATAAATACATTTTACCAGTTATCTCAACAACAACAAACTTGTAGAGATCAGTGCGATGGAGAGCGCTGAGCAAACGGAAATGGAACATGATCGTTTCGAACTCGAGTTGCAGCTCAAGCTCAAATGTGTTTATTGAAATATTATCCTCCGCCGCCGAAGATCAAAGCCTTTGTTGTTTGAGCGCATCTCTTAGAATCCATTTAACGACACAAGTTCAAAGAAACCGCAAGGCGCTTCAGTGACTGGCTAACACCCAGTTGGGGAAGGCAAGGATAAAAATCTATGAAGATGTCAGGCTGCAGTCGACAACTATCTAGTCCAGCGTCTGGTGTAATGTTGCACTCCATGGCTGCAAACTGGATGCGCAACGTTATTAGCAATTTCGACGAGAAGGCAAAAGCGCAGACAAGAGCTGCCACTGAAACAGACATGTAAGCGAGTTGCCTCAGGGATGGCTAAGGGATGCTGCTGTTCCTTCCGTTGCTGCACCATAGTTTGCCATTGCTGGCAGCAGCCAGCGATACACAACACGCACAGCAGCCATATTGACAGCGCCGTGTTTATATGTAACATTGACAACTTGGCTTGACGCGAGTGATGCCAAAATACAGCAACCGCAAAATGCAGCAGCACCAACAGCAGCAGCAGTTGCCCGTTACCAGTAGTATTCTCATTACCAATATCGCTGCTGCTGCTGCTGTTCACTAGGAAGTCATCAAAGTTTTCGGGCTTAGAGTGCAGGTGTATTTATTTCTTTTCTTTTTGTTTTTTGTTTTTGTGCGGCATACTTGTAACTTCAGCGAACACGCGTCTTAGTTTAAAATCCAAATGAAATGCAATATGCAAAATACACTGAAATTGAAGCTAAACGATTCCGGTGTCATTTAAACTATGAAATATAATTAAAAGAAAATCATTGGTTGGCCAACACTTGAAGAATTTATTCGATTCTTCAGATATGTAAAATCTGTCTTAATCTGTCAAAGACATCAGCATTAGCAATATTCAGCAATATTCAGCAATATTCGGCAATATTCGTTGCGTGTATTTTTTAAGGAGCAGAACATTTCAGGCAGAACTTATTTTGCATAAAACTTCCGGAGCTGCGGCAGCATATTTCAGCATTTTTCTCAGCTTCACTAGTTAAAAGTGTGTTGTGTGCTTGGGTGTGTGCTTGTGACTATATTACATTTTATGTCAAATGCGCACGCTTCCAATATTGACAGACGCTGGCATTGCAGCAGCACGAGACATGGAAACCTGTTCCGCATCCGGGAAAGGAGCTACTGGGGGGCTGCTGCATCGCCATGACAAGCTAATGTTAAGTTATTTTCGTATTTTGGCATACCTTGCAGCATGCCGGAAGTCTCTCGCACCGATATAGCCACAGTCACAGCCACAGCCACAGTCACAGCCCGCCCACCTTGCCGTCAAACTCATGTATTTTGAAATAAAGAACACAATTTTCATAGACAAGCAGCTTTGGGTTTGTGGCAAGTGGCACGCCCACCACGCTGCCGCACAGTAATGCAATTTTAATACAGCTACTGGCCTAAAAGGGCTCTCCGATGGGCTTAATGGTCAGCTGATGCACCAGCACATGCGGAGGCGTGGCCAGGGCGTACCTAATGCCAGCCGATATGTGCTCCGGCTGCAGCATGGACAGACTGCTGACGGAGTCAGACAAAATCTCCGTTTTGGTCACGGCGGGGCTGATGCTCGGCATGTTCAAGATACACATTTGAAGTTAAATATTCTACGAATCCACTTGCACCACAATTACCTACAGTTACTTTAATCGGGGTATTGAAACCGTTCAGCTCCTGGCGAAATGTCTCCAGCATGGCATGTTCAAGCACTGCAGCGCCTCGCCAGACGAATGAATGACATGGTGACCGCTGAAGCTATTGATGAGCACCACATGACCGGCCACATCGCGCTGCTGCATGGAGTGAAAGGCGCGTTGTGTGCAGTAAGCCACTCCTAACAATTGACCGTTATATAATATGCTGGCATTGTTCACCAGTATATCAATGCCCCCAATCTGCTCTTCGATCCAATCGTAGGCGGCTGCGACAGACGCCTGGGAGCTGCTCTCTGAGCGCCTCAATGCGCTCCACGTGACGTGCCAGGCCAACGACGACGAGACCGGCACGCACCAGATCCTTGGCCACAGTAGCACCAATGCCCGAACTGGCTCTGGTCACAATGGCCACACAATTTGCCTAGCGTTCCATGGCTATCTCTTTCGAATGGGTTAACTTTTAGCTCAGTTTTCTGGGTCTGCGCTCCGCTGAACGGAACAATTGTGCAACTGAGTCCCACTCGCGACGAGGCCTTTCTTATATTGGGCCAGCCATTCCCCTTCTTGTTTTATGGCGCTTTCGCCACTTGGCTTAAGTTCCCAATTGAGTTTTTAGTAATTGTTGCTGCTGCATGCCCATTTGTACGACTGAATAATTAAGCGACAGTTTGCCACTTGACCGCTGCGACAATTAGCCACTTTGCTTAATTCATAAATTTTTCTGCTTTTTTTTTTAACTTGAAGTAAACCCTACAGCCCCTTTCCACGTCGCGAAACAAGGTCAATGGCAATTTCGGCCATTAAACTATAATAGTTTTAAGGTCGTTCGTGCTCTCGTATTTCCACTTGTATTTGTTGAAACAGCGAATATATTTTATATTTTCTATTTTATGAGTCGAAAACCTTAAGATTCACAACTTTTGAGGTGGATGAATGCATTAGGTTTGCGATAGAATATAGACATTTATGCCACGGCTAAGCAATATAATTAATAAATTAATGATTATTCTTTCTTTTTTTTTGGCCATGTTTATTAGTTTGAAAAAGCACAAATTGCTACAAAAAGCTGACAGATATTTTGAAATTTGTTGAAAATATTTGATTTGAGAGAGAGTCGCTTCCACATTTTTAAAATGGTTCCCCCATTGGCTTGATGGTTAGCTCGTGCACCTGTACATGCGGCGGCGTTGACAGAGCATATATGATGGCATTGGCCACATCGTCGGGTTGCAGCATTGGCAGCCGCTTGTAGGCCTGTGGCACCAGATCTGTATCCACCAGGCCCGGACTAATGCTCTATAAAACAGTGAACCGTCAACAATTGAATACATCAGCTTGACATCGCTACTCACTGTAATTTTTACTTTTGTCTTGAGGTCGCGAAACTCCTGACGGAAGAGCTCCGTCATGGCAGTCAGCGCATGCTTTGTGGCCGGATACATGTTCAGCTCTTGCAGGCTGCCGGGCAGCGGATTGAACAAATAGTGGCCCACAATGCTGTTGATAAGCACCACATGGCCGGCTGTGTCACGTTGACGCATCGATTGGAAGGCGCGTTGTGTGCAGTATACGACACCCATGACGTTCGTTTGCAACACCTGCTGCACAACGTCCAGGGCCATTGTAACCAGTTGGCCACCGGATAGCTTGCCGGCACTGTTGATCAAAATGTCGGTGCCGCCGAGGTTCTCTTCGATCCAATCGAAGGCATCGCTTACCGACTCCATGCTAGTCACATCGCACTGCCTGATGTGCAGCTGATCGCGCAGTGGCTCGGTCAAATGCTGCCGTAGCTGCTCCATCCGGTCCAGCCGGCGGGCCAAGGCAACCACGGTGACGCCCGCTTCAATTAATTGCTGGGTAAGCACAGCTCCTATGCCTGAACTGGCCCCAGTTACAACAGCGATGCAATTCTGCCAACGTTCCATGCCAACGGTTCTTAACTAAATGTGAATCCACCTTTACGCTAGTCAAAATTGTAACCTTAGCGTACACAGATCCCAGCAAGCTCTAGCGTATTCTGATCTCGATACACTCGATTGCGTATCCATTTGCATACACCTATTGGATTACTAGCAGTCATAGGCGTAGCGCCTCTTGGAAAGAACAACATTTATTTTAGTGCAAAATAATAAAGCAAACAAAATTTATTTAAATTTGTTCCATTTTCAACCAAGGTTGCTTTTAGCATTTAAAATCAAATAATTTAAAAACACATGTCTTGATTTTTGAAGAAGCACAAGTTTTCTAAGACCTCTTCAATGAATGATTTAGACTTTATTTTATTTTAGTTCATTTTTAATTAGCTACGCCCCTGCCAGCAACTGTATCAATTGCAATTCTTGCACAAGCCATTGCTCGCTGAATCTGAGATCAGCTAGAGTGGGTACAGCGTCTAGAGTCTAGACCACAAGTAATGTGAGCTGCTGCTTACAACTTGTCTACTAATGACATATCTTGACACTCGCAAGCATAGCATCAATGGACGTTGATTTCTCAGAATCATTTGTGCGTTCAAATTGACACAATTATTTTGAACCAAATTCCGAATTCCACATTTAAATGACAAACATCTTTATCTGAATGCTGTAATTAAATAATGATTTCAATTTAAAAATGAACCTGTGAGCGTATAAATACGAGTACAATAGCTAGTATTGTAGAAAGTTCATCGTGCTCGTAAATTGTTAAATATGATCACAATAGAATGTGGAAGTTACAGTAAAGCACATATATTTTTATATGCAAATCGGAAAACATGCATCGACAGCGTAACCCATGCTTTAAGGCATTCAGTTAGAGACACGTGCAGTTCGATTTATATTTAGTAGCTTAATGGAAATTCCATTAGGAGAGGGAATACATGTAATGGCTTGAAGCGAGTTTGTCGCAGCTGCACGCATGACAAAAAAAATAAATAAACAACAACAAAAAAAGATATAATAAAATAAATAAATACAACAAAACAAAGGCTCAACAGCTGGAGACAAATTCTCGTTGGAAATAAAAATAAAAAACAATTTTAGGCGCATTTCACAGCACTGCTGAAACTCAAATAAGAACACCGTATTCCCAATGTGGAACGCTCTCAATCAAATGACGGCAATAGTTAATGTTAAGGACACATTCAGTCAGCCTCCCTCTGCCCAAATAATTCCCCACCAGCCCCCAGCCCCCCCCCCCCCCCAGCCCCCTACAGATGGCAGGGTCTGAGCACACGTGTTATTTGCACACGTGCTTATGGAAATTGAGGAACGTATTTCAAGTTGAGCGTCAGCTCAAAGCGACATTTGTTTGCCGAGAAAAACGAAAGAAAAATGCGCATGAAAATTTCTCTGATTACGTATTTGAAGAGCGCAAAGAGCAATGACTAAAACGCCGCCTAACAAGTGGCCCATCCAAAAACCAAAAGCATCCACGGCTCTGGCAAAACTTGGGGCAAACACGGGTCTATTAGGCGCATTAGACGCACACGGCTAGACGAACCCATGGACCATGCCACATGCCACACACACACACACATCATACCATCCACCCGCACACAAGTATCTCTATCTACATACATTCCATAAAATATGCTTACTTAGCTGCAACTGGTCATAACACAGTTCAACACACAAACATCTACAGTATACATACACATGTGCATTTGCTGTTATACCATTTGCACATGCAAATGGGGAAAGGGGAGAGAAAGGTATACACAACATGCTCATGCTGTTTGTTGTTCAATTCCGCATCACAACTGCAAAGACAAGTTAAACATTTGCTCCAATACAAGTATACATTTATTGAATTTAACTGAAAGTCAAATTATTTCAAGTGTTTCTTAAACAATATAAAATGATGCAAATGAAAAATAAGTTTATTATAATACGCATTACCAAGAGACTATTGTGAGACCGACAGGACTAACTGCACTTAATAAAATATTTAAATCGGCAAAGGTAAAGATTACGTATTATTACAATATCAATTTTGGGTTGTCAACTTTGATAAGTAGTCGTGATCGAATTTGCTTATCGCATTCCTTTTTTTACGTAGCATTCATATTTTCAACATTAACCCGGAATTCTCTATTGCAAAACAACGTTAGCAATGAACACAACTACAACTGTTGAGAAAGTGACTTAAAATATTGTACGTAAGCTTCAAGATATAATTTGTTTTTTTATATGTCTGTCAATTTCTTATTAAATTTTCTCAGCATTTGCATATGCATAGTGTACAAACTAATCGTATTGTCAAGTCTGGATTGATTCGACATTTTATGGTTTTCTGTTTGATTGGCCAACAGATGTATACACAAACTTGTATTTATAACATCAGCGGGGTGGGGAGGAAGGGGAGGGACTGTAGCAGGCAGTTGGAACAGCTGCTGCTGCTGGCCATAATTCAAATTTGCAGTTTTCTATGCAAATTCGTTTGATGTTGCACAGAAGATACCTCGCAGACGACAACGAAGACCCTTTTAGCCGTCCACGAAAGAATGCCGCAAATTATGCAGCCTTGCATATGTGTTTTGCATGCGAGCAAGTGGGTTTGTGTGTGTGTGTGTGTATTGGCCGGAATATGTGCTACAGGCAAGAGCAAGGACAACAACAGGCACGGTAAAGGATACAAGCGAATAGTGCAGGAACACACATCATTTGCATTGGGCATGACCCTTGAAGGCGTCAAACGCAGCTCTCCTTATCGAAGAGGAGGTATTTGTATGTATGGTTGGGGACAGGGCATGTTTTACATCTCATTGTTGTTGGTTTTGTTAGTGTTGATTTGGCATTTTGGAAAATGCGTAGTCCTTTGGTATACTGCATAATTATGCGCGCATCTGGCCAAGTCAAATTGGGTCAACATCGCAGCCGGATGGAATTAGACCTTAAGCCATTTGGCCACTTTATGCGTGCAGTCCGTTCGGCTTTTATTGCCAACCAGGTGGTGCAGAGAGGGGGGGGGTGGGGGTGGCAGCCGGATGGTTAGCCGGAACCACTTGACGTTGTTATGGCCGCCATAAAAATCGGCGAATCGCAACATGGGTGACGCACATGTTGTGCCACATAAGTTGGGGTAGCCGACGGGTAGCCGACCCGACGGACGACTTTGTTGCCAATCATTGGCGTCCCTTCGTACCTTTCCAGCATGAGTTAGATTTGCAAATGTTGACAATTACAATGCGCATAGGAAGTAGCATGATTGATTCAAATTTAATGCGCTTTTCAATTTATTTTTCTGGCTCGCCAGTAATTAGTTTTAGACCGTTGCCAACTGAATTGCAGCTATTTTTATTCGTATTTTTTTTATGTCAGCTTTTGATGGGTGCTTCCGTTAGCAGAAACAAAAGCAATTGGCAATGTTTCAAGGCAAACAAAAAAAAGTCGCGCAATTTAAATGTTGATACGAAGCGAAAACAAAACAATTATATAAATATAAATACAAAATATATATAAATACGAAACTTACTAAATAAAATTGTTAAATTTAACGCAACCACATATTAATTTTGTAATATGCGTAGCTTGTGTAATTTTGTTGATGCATGTTCTGTGTGGCTGGTGGCAATTGTTAGTCAACCTTTGGTAGATGATTGAGTATTGAATATGGAATCGTATGTGGTAGCAGTATGTCAAAATCTCATATGTGTAAACAAACTCATTTTGTTGGCAGCAGCTTGTGTCATTTGCTCAACTCATTTATTGATTCACTCGTGACTCATTTATATGTCAGCACGCCTATTCACTGGATAACACAGAGCTCACGTTCTTGCAGACAGATTGAAATGCCAAATGCCAAATATAGTTCACCCCAGAGTCCACTCTGACAGCAATAAGCCAAGGAAGGTAGTGGAAAGCAACTCCAACTCTAGCCACGGGTTCATCCACAGTTGTCAATTTGTTTTCGAGCCTTAGGCATTGGCTAACTCAGTTATATCAGATGTTGCTGCTTTCATAAAACTGAAATTTGCTCTGCTCCAATTTAGTGGCATGAGATAGGAGCAAATAACTTTGACGGTCTCTGCCACTTGTCTGACAGCTAGTTTTCATCACGTACAGCCAAAGCCCAACCCAGCCAAAATTATATGAGTGGCAACACTTCTAGCAGCTGCGCATTTCAACAGAATACGATTCAGTTAAAGCTGAAACTTCACTTCAAGAATGTGGTATACTATAGACATAGAATATATTATATATTATATCTTACTTATGTATCAGAGAATCAACAACAACTATTTGACTTCACACAAGATATAAAACCGCATGACTTTGCTAAAAATGTATACTTACTAATAAGGCTTACTAAAATATTACTCATACGCCTTGTTGTCCATCAGCTGCTCAGCTGGCAGATTAAAAAATAAGTCAAGTGCCTGCAGCGAATAAACAGTGGTCCTGCATAAATGATTAGCATCACAAAAACAAAGATTGAACAGCGCAGATTGAGAGAGAGAGTGAGAGAGAGAGAGAGAGAGAGAGAGAGAGAGAGAGAGGGAGAGAGACACAAACTGTCCACACAAGCACTTCACAAACTCCACAGGGCCAAGTAAAAGTTTTACTGGAGGCTGTGGAGTCAGCACTTGAGATGTTTAGACCATGGTTGAGCACAATATTTTACAAGGATTTCGTGTGGTAAATCTATTGCGCACATGTGCACTGATTACAACAGTCGTAGATGGTTGGCTAGATGCTGGCTTAAGGCCAGCTGCATGATAAATGGCTCGAGACTGCAGCCAAAAAATGCACCAAAGAAAAGAAAAAAAATATATCCCATTATATAAAAGAAAAAAATGCGTTGCATATAATATTTATACATCGACTCAGAATAGACTTTAAAATAAGAATAAGTTGTTGGTTAAATTTTGAGGTTTTTCAATATTTATTTTCTCATTTGACTAGTTAATTTTCCATCATAATGCGTTTTTTGCGTCGGTTCTGTTCATAATATTCATTATATTGTATTTAGTTCATCAGATAATACCATTTATGTATATGTATATTTAATATATAACATGTGAAAATTGTCTCTCAATGGGGAAGAAGGGGTTTGTCATGTATTAATTTGTTGGACTGATTTTTCTTGCACTTTTATGGTACATACAATAGTTATCAGTGTATATATAATTTTAAACGTAGGTAAGTTAAGTAACATACAATACAATAAATGAGAAACGTATGCTCATAATTCCTAAGGGTTCACAATATACATATAAAGGGTATTTAAGTATTATAATGTATAATATATATATTTCTATATATATACAGGTATATTCATATATATATATATATATATATATACATACATAAATATATATATATATATATATATAGATGTATATTTGTATTGCATGATTAAATATGTCGATTGAGAGTCAATTCAAAATAGTTTTTCTTAGCTGTTTCATCATCTTCTTTTTTGTATATGTATGTGTGCCTTGAAATGTATATATGTATGCGTTGTCCATAAGCAATGAAATTAGGAAAACTTTCTGGTTACACTTTAATTGAGGAATTGAGGAGGGGGAGGAAATTAAGCTGGGCGATTTGAAATACGAGTACAGAGTGCACAAGTAAGTGCTATATTCGTTTAACACTAAATTAACAAATCTATTCTGCATTTTTAGCTATTAAACTCAATTAAATATTAATATGCATGTATGTATATAGCTTTTGTATGTATGTATATATTTATTTATTTTCCTCATATAGGTTTTTTTTTTGAGTTTTTATTTTTTGTTATATGTAGTTTGCTCTATAAACTTTTGCTTGATTTAACAAAGACGATTTTACTATATCCATTTAGGTTATTTTCTTTTGTTTTCTTTATTCCGTTCAATTTATTTGTATTTCCTTTTTTTTTTAAGTTGTTGATTTGAATATATAATATAGTTTAATTCACAACAATAACATTTGAATATGCATTTCCATTTTGCTTGAAGTTAAATTTGAATTAATTTTGTTTATAAATTTAAATAAATTATTTCAAAAAGCTTAGTTTATTTTTGCTTTGATATTAATTATGCTATGGATAGTTTTACAGTTACAGTAAGAGTTTCAGTTTACTTAGTTTTCACTGTTGCGAACCGAGCTGAACGATGATCATGCGCTTGTCAGCGCTTGTTGCCATCCTGCTGATCCGGCGTACATGGATAATTCACCCAGTTTCACCCACTTCATAGGCAAGTGATTAGTTCAACGGTAAATAGCGGCACATTTGGCGGTACATTTGAGAGTGAACGTAGCCTCAAGTGTTGAGTGTAGGTATGTGACTGTATATATATGTATGCATGTGTATATATGTGTGTGTGTGTTGCTGTTGGTATTTAAGTGTGTGTGCGTTAGCCTGTCGCCTCTTTGTTGACACCTCCATTCCATTCGATTTGCCTGCCAGTTGAGCAGCCCAGTCCGTTGCCGATGCGAACAGGTTTAGTTGATGCTGATTTTGATTAATGTTGGATTAATTTCTTCGACGTAATCTTAAATCGTAGTTGCACGAACGATGTCTTGTCACTTGCGCTTAATATATATGTATGTAACATCCGTTAATAGGTTATGGCTATAAACATTCTTTTAAATATATATATATGTATATATATATATATATATATATATATGTATATATGTATGTGTTAATGCATTAATTTTTGTATTTGAATTTATATTTTGCTTTGGTGCATGTACTATAACCATTATTTCTATGCATATGTATGGGTTGACTCTTCGCTCCTTTGGTCGCTTGGTTAACATAGGTAGTTAATATGGATGATTACATATAGGTTAAAGTAATGGTTAGTTTGCGTGCGCTATGTGTAAAACCAAAGACTCAACAGGACTCGAATACAGCTATCAGTGTGTGTGTGTTTTTGTTTTTATTTTTCTTTTAATTTTTGTTTTCTTTTCTTTTTTTTGTGTTTGTGTTTGTGTTTGCTTCTTTTTTTATACCTCTCGTTTGACCATCTATCCAGCCGTATATTATTGATATTTTGCTGGGGCGTTCTTCATGTGTGGCTGTTCCTGTATTTATTGTCAACTAATCATTACCTAATATTCAAACTACACACAGAGCACTCTCAATTGAATCATTCACGTCCACTGAGATGAGAACACGGAAGAGAACAAAAATATGTACCAGATATTTGTGACTGGATGTTCGCTGTGGTCGCTGAAAACTAAACTCAACCATAATATGGGTTCAGTTCGATTGAAGCAAACGCTTAGTTGGAGTCGGAATCCGTATCGCTGGGTGGCACAGGCGATGCAGTCGGCTTGCTACCTGCGGTGGCAGCGGCGGGCTCCTGGCGAATGGGTCGCGTTGCCGCCAGATACGCATTCGTGGATTCGCCGTGCGTGGTCTCGATGCCAACCCTGAAAGCAAGTTGAGATGAGATTCGATTCAGATTCGATTTGATGAATAATGTCTGATGCCTGATTGGTACTCACTTGTACTCGTGCCGTGCCAGATAGCGAACGTACTTCTCGGGTGGCTCATCGGCATCGGAGTCCTGCACGCTCACAGAGCGCACGGTGGTATGCGAGACCTGCGTGGCGGGCATTGTGAATTCCACGAATGCGTATGGCGCCAGTTCGCTCGGTATTTGGTCGTACGATGTGAGCGCCATGCGGCAAACCAGCTGATGTGTGGTATATGCGCCTGAAATGTAAGTGATGCAACTGCTGATCTGAGCATGGGCATTCAAAGGAATTCAACTTGTGGTTAAGACATACCCTGTCCTTCCTTGGGTAGACGCGGACAGCGCCAGACAATGGCGCGATGATGATGCTCATACTTCGCCTGACCGGAGGTAACCTCAATCAGTGATTCCTGCAGCGTGTCCACAGCGCCCAATATGCGCTCAATGCCCTTGATCTTGCCGGTGCGTCGATGGGCCGACTTCACGGATCCATATCTGTCAAAGCCAATGTAAGTTTGACGCTTGCGAGCCGATAACCGATCACCGATGGCTTACCTAAAGTGCTTCTCCACGCGGAACAAATAGATCCAGCACTCGGGTATGGGAAAACGCACGGAGACATCCTCGCATGGTATCTGGCCCAATTTGCGCGACGTGAATCCCGGCACCAGTATGTCGGCCCGCAGTTCCACCTTGTTGCCAGTGACACACCAGGTGGCCTTCAGCTGCAGCGGAAGCTCACGGTTCTTTGGCGGACGTACGCGGAAGCGCAGCAGTTCTATGTAGTTGGCATCTGGTGGCTGAAACCTGCAGGATTGAAGGATATGGTAAGCGTAACAGTCAATACACCGAATTATTATTGAAATTATTTCAAAATTTGTGAACTACCAAGTTTCTAGCAGTTCTTAAAATGTATTTATGGCCAGCTTAGAGAGGTGGCACCTACTTGATGGTGCGTGTGCGCTCATACTCCTGCTGATTGACAACGCTGTGGAACTCGACGGCCTCCAGGCGAATCCACTCCTCTGTGGCCACGGGTATAATGTCATGGCGTCCAACCACCTCCTTGCCCTGTCGCCACATATCGTTGACGCCCAGCTCGATGGTTGGCATGCCCGTGAGGAAGGCCAGAAAGAAGAGGCGCACACGCGCTATTTGCTTAAGTATCTTGCCCTCGAAGTCCTGCTCAACGGTGATCTCATCCACTGCCGTCACTTGCACCTCCTCCATCTTGTAAGTGAGCGCACGTTCACGCAAAGCGGGCAGCTTGAAGAGCGCCTCCTCGATGCAAACGGAGAACTGTTTCATGTCCTCGTAGTTCATCGAGCCAATTTTGAAGAGCTGCGAAGATTGTGGCGCATGCTCCACGGGCAGGCCGAGCTTCTTAAGATCACTGCCAAACTCCTTGACACCCTCGTAGTCGCCAGCGATGGCATACTGTGCGAACTTGGTCAGCTTGTTGGTAATGCGCTCCGCCTTGGTCACCTGGCCGGGTCGTACACCGGGTCGCTCCTTGTAGAATATATACTGCAGTTTCATGGTAAAGATTTTGCCAAATTGATCGTACTGCTGGGCACCGATCTCCGACACCGAGTAGGAGGGCTGCAGCGGCAGCTCCTGGAAAGGCTGCTTGTCACCGGCCTGGTTCAGTAGCTGCACCACCGGCACATCGTTCTGCACAACGAGGCGTACAAAGATCTTCTTCCAGAAGCGCTGGCCGGTAATCTTCTTCTTGTTGGGTTGGCGCAACTGCATCTCCCAGCCGGGGCCGACATAGTTGAGACGGGGGAACTCCTCCAATGGCTGGGACACATCCTCGTCATACAGCGGCGTCTGTGGGGTATCCTGTGAATCTGTGCGCTTCATGCTGCTTTCTGTGGCAGCCGGTGGTGCTGGAAAGCCGCTGACATCATCCTCAAACGGATTCACTGTCGCTGGCGATGTGGTTGTTTGATCGGTTGCCGACTGAACCGCTGTGCGCGCCGGCGGTGGCGGTGGTGCCAGCTGAGGTGCCACCCCAGATGCACCATCCGCCTTTGGTCGGATGACTACGCTGAATTCCTTGTCCACAGACTCCACGGAGTCCGCGCGCACTGGCGCCTGCATGGCATAGAAGTCGTCATCCTCATTGCCGAAACCGTCGTCCACCGAGTTGACCTCGCCAAAAGCATTTGCCGTTGTCGTCGCTGACCCAAAGGCGCTATCGCCCCAAGCTGCAACAGTTCATTTAAATACATTTTATTTCATTCAAATTAATCTTAAGCTAAGTAAACCGATTTATCATACTCCGATACTCTCTGGGATGCTCCATCCAGTAGCAGGCTAGGTAATCGATAAATTCGATAACCGCAAATCGATATAGCCACATGTCTCCAAACCATTTTAAGGCTACAGTCACCAAATTTAACTTGCTGGTAACGTCTTTCAAAGAAAGGCATATACATTTTCAGATCTGCAATCTGCACATATCTTCAACAATTTGTAAGCTGCTAACTCCCCAAAGTGATCGATAAATAAAAAAAACTTTGATGGCCTCCCAAAATCGATTAAGCCATAAATCTCAGATAATTTGACAGCTTGAGTCACCAACTTTGAGAGGTATATTGCTAGTAACACCAATATCTCCAGCAATTTAAGGGCTATAGTTAGTAAACTAGGGAGGAAGATTATTAGAAATCTGCTCAAATATTTATTGAGCTACGCCGAACTTAAGAGCTACAGTTACCAAACTTGGAAGGCATATGACTAGGAAACTCCTCCAACATTATTTTTCGGATACGCCAACTCCCGTCTCCAATTGACAAAAGCCTATATCTACCGCAATTTTAAAGGAGAATAGATTACGAGGATTCTCCTTCAAAAATCGATATATCTTGGTCACACCCAGTTCTGCCTGTTTTCCTGTATTAGGCGGTCGGTGATGCCCGACTGTTGTTGTCATTTGCTTTTATTTGATTTAGCGTACTGGAGAGATTTAAGAAACTCTCTTCAAATATATAGTTTGTTTTTACTAACCATCGCCTCCTGAGGGTGTTATAGCACCAGATCCAGAGCCGAAGCCGTCGAGTATGCTGATGTTGTCCTTCTTAACCGAGTCAAATTTGGCCGAGAATGCGTCGAACTCATCCGGTTCAACTGCAAAGATGTTACTGGCATAACTGGCAGCTGGTTGTGGAATGGGTGGAGCTGCCCGTGGTTGCACCACCGGTGGCACCGTTTCCTCCGTTTCGGGCTCATCCACGGCAAAGATGTTGCTGACAATGGGTGCAGGCGCAAAGCTCGGTTCGTCCTCCTCCTCGGGACTGGCAAACGGATTGGCAGACAGTTGACCGCTGGCTAGCCCCGGAAAATCCAATCCGGTGTCCATCTGCTCGGGCTCATCGTTGACCAGCTCTGTGTGAGACTCGTGCACAGCTTGTATGGTGGCTGCCGATTCCGTGGGTGGGCTCTGATCCGATTCAATGGTAATCTGCTGCTCTGGCTCAGGTTCTAGCTCCGGTTCTGGTGCTGGTGCTGGTGCCGGATCGGGCTGCTGCTGTTGCTGCTGGGGTACCGGCTCTGCTTCCAGCTCAGTTTCCGCATCAATTTCAGTTGGCGACTGCTGCTGCTGCTTCGGCTGCACGACTGGCGCCGGTTCTGGCTCCTCATCCTCATCGTCGGAGCGCGGCAGATCCTCCACTGTGGTAATTTCAATGTCCGGCGTGGGCGCCCGTTGCCTCTGTGCTGTTTCCGGCGGTGCCGCAATGTGCGCCACGGTAGCCGCCTGCGGCTGTGAGGTAATATCATGAGTGCTATCATCCGGTCGTATCAGCATCGAGCTGAAGATGGGCTCATCTCGCGAATTCGACTCTGGCAGATCATCGTTGAGCAAATCCGGTGGGGCAGCTGCCGCTGGCGCCACAACTACAGCTGGCTGCTCGAACAGACTAAGTATGTCCTCCTTGGTTTTGGGTGGCGGCGGCTTTGCCGGCTTGGTACTGCTACCAAACATGTCCAGTAGATCATCCGCATCGGCAGCCGGTTCCGCTGCTGCTGCTGTTGGTGCTGCTGCTGATGGCGGCGGCGGACGCTGTGGCGGCGCCGGAGTCGGCGTCGGATGCTGTTGTCCATGTCCCTGCATCATGTGCGCCGGCGGAGTTGGCCGTGGTGGCGCCGATGGACGCGGCGGCGGTGGTCGCGGTGGTTGCTGCTTGGCTGGCGACGTCAGCGGTGCCGCACCCTGCAAATTGGGCAGTGCCGTGGGCACACCAAATGGATTGTCGAGCGGCGAGGCGGCAACGACGCTGCCGCTCATTAGGTCTACCTCGATGGCTTGGGTGTTCGCGCTGGAGCCACTGTCCGAGACATCCACATCGAGCAGATCGGCCAGCCCTGAGTCGGGCGTGGGGCTGGGCGAGTGTAGATCCCGCATGGAGACGGGACTGGGCGAGCGGGTATCGGGAATGCGGCCCAGCAGCTCCGAGCTCGTCTCGTCCAGCTGGCTGGAGACCGTATTGATTAGCTCCTGTGTGCTTTGTGGCGGCTGTGGTCGCGGCGGTGGCGCTTCCGCCTTTTTGCCCTCATCATCCTCCTCAGCGGCGGACTTAAGACTGAGCGCATCGTCCTCCGCCTCGATGGTGGTGCCAAAGAAACTCATTGCTGCATCAATGTCAACAGCCGCCGCAGGCTCCGCCTCCGTTTCCAGATCATCGCCCCCAAAAGCGAACGGATTGGAGGCTGACTCACCGAATGGGTTATCCGTATCGATTGGCTCCGTTTCGGTTTGCACCAAAAACGGATTCACGGCTGCATCGCCGCCATCCAGATCGTCGTCCATCAAAAACGGATTGGCCATTTTGACTGTCTATGTGTGTGTGTGTGTGTATGTGTGTGTGTTCTGCTGTTTGAATTGTGTGATTATCGCTCAATCAGCTCGCTCTCGAGCAGCTTGATTTCCGTTTCGCCAGGTGCGAGATTCTCCGCAATGGATGTGTCAAATGGATCAATGTCCTCTTGTTGCTGTTCCAGCTGCTGCTGCGTTGTGCGATTTGGCAGCGACGGCGTCAGCACCTTATCGCCCAATCCCAGCTCCTGTGCGTCGCTCTGGGTATCGAGTAGAGCTCCGGGCTTTTCTTGCTTGCTTCCGCTCTCGGGGAGCAGCTCGTTCTCGAGCAGTTTGAGTTCCGTCTGGCCGGGCTGTAGATTGGCTGCTATCGATGTGTCAAATGGGTCAAGCTCCTGATCGCTGCTAGGCAGATGCCTGCGCTCCTGGGCGGGCGTTAGTACCTTTATGTTGATGTTCTCCTCGACGGCCAGCAGCACCTCCGCTGGCACCGGCGTGGGCGGTGCACGTGGATTAAAGTCGGGATCGGATAAGCTCTGTTTCAGTGTCGGCTCGGCAATAAGATCGGCTTCAATGTGCTTCAACTCAATGTCACTGAGCTTCGCCTCAGGCACATACGATGTGTCGAATGGATCGTCCGATTCGCGCTCGGAAATGGACTGCGCAGTAGGTGCGTAGTAGGGTGTCAGTGGCTTCTTGTTGGCACCCACAATACCCTCATTACCAGCGGCAAGCAAGTCCTGTGACGGCACCAAAAAGCCAACGCTCCTCGCCTGTATATTCAAGCTCAGTGACGATTTTCGCCGTGCACTGTCGAGATCCGGCTCCGCAACAGATACCTGAGCTGGTGCGGCAACCGGTTGCTCTTCTGGCTGACCGGCCCGCGGATCAAAGTCGGGATCGCTGAGCGAGTGCTTGAGACTCGAACCGGTTTCGTTGAGCAGCTCACGTTCCAGAAATCGCAGCTCGGTGGCCTTAGGCTGAACAAGAGCACTGATGGCCGATGTATCGAAGGGATCAAAGTCCTGTGGCTCCTCCTGCTGATCGACGCTGAGTGTGGGAGCAAGTGGTGCTGGCACCACCTTACTTAGATCGGTAGCACTGCCAGCCAATAAATCACGACTGGGCGCTTGTAGTGTCGAGCTGCCAGCTAGTTCCTCGTCGGCTCGTGGATCGAAATCGTCGTCCTGCTCGAGTACGGTTGTCTTTTTGATCACCTGCTCCGCGTAGTTGGTATTGAACGGATCGTCGTCTAGATTGTCCTCCTCGTCGTCGTCGCTGACGTAGATAGCACCGGGCACAATGTGCGGCCCTGTCGCTGGACGCACCGGCGGCGGCGGACGCTTTGGTTTACCTGCAACATCATATTGTATGAAAATACATATATTGCTATTACCGCACTCTGGGGCACGTTTTCTTAATATCCGTTTAATCTTGAAATTGTCGGTTAACATAGTGCATGTGTACTGTATGTATGTCTTATTTTAATACCCTTTCCTCAATGCATGGTCAAATTCACTGCACTATTTTATAAAATAGGGGCGAACTCTGACCAGGTCAGCTGCAATTCTTATTGGTTGGCTAATATCATCAATATTTAAACTCTTTGTAAAACCGGGCATTGAGGAAACGAGCTCAAAACTTGGTTGGGGTATTTAAAGTTTGCGGACCTTGATTTTGATGCATCAACGCTTACCTGATGTCTCCTCTTCGGTCTCTGCTTCAAACTCTGCCCAGCTGGCCTCGGCGGCGGCTTCGGCGAGTAGCTCCGCTGGGGGCGCTACGACCTGACTGACTATGGTAATATCCTCCTTTTTGATTAAAGATTCGGCAGCTAGTTCGGCAAATTCGTCGTCCTCCTCGTCCTTAAGTGCATCAAACTCGGCTAAATCGGGATTGAGTGCGCCAAATGCCGCTTCACCTCCCTCCTCGTCTTCGTCGACCTTTTGGGGCTTGATCAAATGCAAATGCAGCGATACACTTAAATCAATGGGCCCTACACATTCGGGTACGTCATCGACGAGATCGTCAAGTAAATTGTGTTGCGGCTCGGCACCTAAGAGATCCGCCTCGGTATCGCCCTGATCGACGCTCTCGCTGAGCAATAGATTCTGAATGCCCTTGCGCAACTTACGCTTTGGATTGGCTAAGGCGAGGGCGTGTTCGCGATCGACGCGGCCAGATAATACCTCGACGGCAGCGCCGAGACTGACTAGTTTCTTGTTGGTCTTGGCCTTGTCGGCGCCAACGATGACCTTCTCCGCGTAGGCGGTATCGAAGGGATCGGGTCCGTCGTCTAGATCGAGAACGGGAGAATCGGGTACGATGCCTAATTGAACCTCACCACTAGTAATTGCCTCAATGTAGTCGGTGGCGAAGATGTCATCAACGTCGTCCTGCTGCTCGTCGTCCGAATCCGATAGCTCGACAACGGCCTCCGCTAGCTTGTCGCGGTTCGCCTCCCGTTCGGCGGCTAGTTGGCGTTCGCGTTCGAGACGCTGCGCTTCGCGGAGAGCGGCCTCCTCGTCTTCCTGCTTCTTCTTTTCGGCTGCCGATGGCAGACGCTGATAGAAGGACTCCTTCTTGATGCGATCGAGCTCGTCCTGTGTCTTGTGTAGTATAGTATCGACGCCCGAGGTTAGCGCCTTAAACTTGGCCCATTCCTCGTCGCCGGCGTCAGCGGTTTGCTGCTGCTGCTGCTGTTGCTGCTGATGCTGATGCGAATGATGCGAATGGTGCTGGTGCTGCTCCTGGGCAGCCGCTGGCTGGCTGGAGGCGGATGTTGCTGCTGCACCCTCGACGTCTGATGCTGCGTCCGATTCGCCAGCTTCTGATTTGTTTGCGGCCGCCTCCTGTTTGGCTTTGAGATCACGTTTGTACTGCTCGAGCTCCTCTTCGGTGAAGAGTTCTTGATCCTTTTTCGACTTCTTCTTTTTCTTTTTTAAACCTTTTGGTAACTTAAGCATTATCTAATTGCGGAGACATCGAGATCGGTCTGCAAACACACACATTCACAAATTAAATATTATATTCATGAGCACCACACACACACATACGAATATATGTATACATATCTGTATGTAGATCTACGGCTCTACGGGACTATAAGGGCGGTAGACGGACGCGAGCATTATGTAAGCAAGGGATACTTATATTAAAAAAGATACTGAAGCGTATCTCAGATTGGGTATGCATCGTACTCAAGGCAAGAGTTGAATGATACTCAGTGTTGAACAAACTACTCATAATTCATATTCATGTCTAAGTGTATACATGTATGTATGGATGTATGTATGTATGTATGTATACACGTGTTTATGGATGAGTAATGGGAATGTCGCTATTTGACAATGGGATAGATACGAACGCACTCACCGCCGCACCGTTGACCACTCGCAATGTCCAGAATATTTGCCGAAATACGAAAACTGTTCGACGCTTTTTTCTGAGTTATTCATACGGTTTTCTTGAATTGGATTGGGATGTTGCATTCAACTGCGAGTGTTGCATGGAAAAGTTTCAATCGCATGCAAAAATATGAACGTGCCACACTCATTCACACACACACGCACACACACACAGAGACAGACACTTAACCACATATAAACTCTCGGATTGACACAATTGTGTACCTACACATGAACTTGCCACTTGGCAAAGCTTTTTTACCACACCACCACACACAACTCACCACAGCAGGTACAACAATCGCAATTACAGCAAAAGCAACAGCAACAGCAACATCGACTATAACTGTAACAGCAACAATGGCAGCTTTGCTTACACTTGCCAAAACGAATGAATGGAAAGCAAAAGCTTTCCAGTTATCGGACTTATTTCGAATAAACCCCCAATCGAATATGTAATATAATCGTATTATTTGTATTGCAATTGTCTTGCTTGTTGTAGAAAACATCTGCTGAAAACAAGCATACCACAATAATTTATAAAACAATTAAAAATTGCCTTGGCTTGCGCTTTAGTTAATCTGTCAATTGTCTGTCTGTTAATTGTTATTAATTATTTTAACCATATAAATGGAAATATTTATATTCTCTTTTTGGGGAGAATATTGCCTGTGCTAAATCTGAATTTAATTTATTGTCAGTGCACAATTTGGAAATATTACAAAAAACGTTCTCCACATATGATATTAAATATAATAAGACTTGCATCATGCGATGCCAAAATATTTTTTTTTTTTTTTTTTTGTAGCACATATTATTGATCTTAAGAATTATAAATCGCGATATCTTGCGCTGAGCCAAAAACCATTTGTTTAAGTGTAACCTTCAAGGGTATTGGGTGATTTTCAACATTCGCTTTTAGGGTTACAAGCAACAACCAAGAAGGCAATGGATTAAAACACATTACGAAATACGGAAAATGTGCTTGAAACCTGATTGTATTTGCTAAAGTGGGCAAAAGATACAAAATAAAAGTACGAAAAAAAAGGACAAACGTCAATGAAAATGGGGGGCAGTAGTACCTTTTTTTACTTGTTGTTGCTGTTGTTGCTGTTGTTGTCGCTGTTTTCGCTTTTGTTATCGCTAGGAAAAATCGATGATTTTGAGACGCACTCAGAGAGGAAGGCTAAAAGATATATGCTTCATTGCTGGAGAAGCGAATAGAGAGCGATGTGTTGCGTGCACCCTACTGCCCCGAGCAGAACGCGCCTACGCACACATCCCCCTACAGACACCCACACACCCACACACACACACGCACACACACACAGTCGCATACACACATGCACGCACATGTACATGGGTTACACGTTTTTTCTATCTTTTTTTTCGATAACTTGTTAAACACGTTATGGAAAGAGTTTTCCTTTTATCAGCTTGCGGCTTGCAAAACAGGTTTTTGCAGCCATTTCATTCACGTTCTTCGACATTCACAACTTGATAAAAGACATCAACAATATATGTGTAACAAATAAAAAAATGAGGAAAATTCTTGTAACTGAAGTAGTCGCACCGTGCATGTATCTTGCTTGGCTTTTCACAATTCGCTTTCCCGTTTTGCTCGCTTCTCGGTGTGTTTTTCATTTCGTTTTGAAAATTATGCAACTTACGTCTCACTCTTTTGCACTTTCAAAGAACAATTCAAAAAAAAAAGCAATTGCGAATGTTGCTGCTCTCAAAGTTAAGGAAAACGTTTATTTTTTTTACATATTTAATTTTAATGTTTTTTTTGTTGTTGTTTTTGGCATTGGTTCGGTTCTTTTTGTGGGATTTTATTTATATTATTATTGAATGCTTTCTTTTCTTCTTTGTTACCTCTGATTTGAACTATCGGGAAATCTAGCACAGAATGACTGAAAATGCCACGAAAAATCATAGGAAGTGCTTTTTGCGAAACACACAGCGGTATCCTTCAAAAGCTTACCGCAAAAAAGCTCCACGAATAGCGCGCACAGTAAAACTTTTTCACATATACATACACGAGAGCACGTGCACACACACAGCTGACGTCGTTAGCTAGCTACTCTGCTCTGCTGCCTCGATGTCCTGTTGGGGGGAGGGGGGCTCCTGCAGGCCGGTGCTGTGCCAGAAAGCTGTAATATGACAAGCCCGATGGCATAAGCTCATTTCTGGAACAACAACATTGTGCCAGAGCGTGATGGGAGAGCGCTTCAAAGAGAGGGTTGCAGCTGAGACAAAAAGAAAAATAAAACAGAAAAAAACAGAAAAAAAAAAAACAAAACAAGTCCTGTCATTGTTGTCGCTTTCATCAGTTCTGACACTTGACATTTGCTTTGGCGCCTGCGCGTGACTCGTGAGTAATATGTTTTTTTCTCAGTGTCCCTGAATACGCGTTGTGCAGCCCTCGTCGAACAGAATGACAGTTGAAATGTAATTGATTGATGAGTGCTATTATTATGCTAAATTCTAATCAAATATTTTGTGGGTATTTTTCGAATCAATGAAATTTATTTGTTTTTCAACAAATGATATGCAGTCCATAATGCGAAAATTAAATTGATTACAGTGCAGTTCGAGAAAAGTTCGACTGTAATTGTAATAATTGAAGAATATTGTACGTTAATGTAGTATATACTGTACTGTGATCTCTGCTGTAAGCTATATTTTTCCGATACATATTGAAACACATATACTTAGTTATATTTCATATAAGTTTAAGATCAGCACTCACTGTTTCATTTATTTTATGGATTGTATATTTTCATTGTGTTAGTGTTTGAAATGTTTTTGATACATGTAAAACGCTCTGCAGCTTAATATGTTCCGAGAGATTAAGGTTCACTTTAGAGAAGACCGACTGTACTGTTCTCCAACCACGTTACTTTAATCTTATCATCATGTATTACTGACCGTCGAAAAAGAACAACATCGATAAAGAATTCAGAGGTGCACAGTTTCATTAGTCACCTGTTTAAATAAATCCAACCAAAAGAACCACATTACTTGCCTGTTCATTCGAGTGCGTTAAGTAAACATGCGTTAAGTGTACATTTGTAGACATGTTTGTTATCTACGCTTAAATATTTACACACTTTGCACATACCAAACAATTTGTTGTGGTTTCATGTGATACGTAAATAAAAACTACATTTATTAAGCTAGCAACTTAATGTACGGGCGTACCAAATCCAGTACATTCCGTCCGTATAATTAAAATCGAATCAGAGTCTTGCAGTATATTGCTATCCTTTCCTGTTGTCGACTCACTTGCACCCGTTGCAGCCGCAGTGGGTGCATCCCTTTCAGTCTCATGCGGCGACTATTGCTGCTCTCCTCAGAAGTGAATGTGAGGAACGAGGCGACAACTGTTGAACCACCAATCCTGGATGTCACCATAGAACTGTGTCTTGTGCGTCAACCTGGTACTGTGGAGCTGCTCACAGAGCTCACAGAACGGCGACCTATCGGCCAGCTTGTAGTGTTGACGCCACCAGAAGTAGCTCATATATTCCTCGACATTGCTGGCAACATAACGCATATGTTCCGCCAGTTTCTCCACGCTTTCAAAGTGTTCCGCATCGATGTAGGAATGGGGGGGCAGAAAGCGAGTATAGTTGGCACCGCCAAACACGACGGGCACAATGTGACGCCGCAGAGCACCATATAGCTTTTCCGTGACATAGTCCACGCATAGGGAGTTCTCAAAGGCCAAATAGAACATGTAATCCGTATCCAACATTTCATCGCAGCGCGGATCGCCACGAGAGCATCTGGAAGCACAACGGGATTAGTCCAACTTTCTGATCAGGCTGAACACTTCGATATACTCACTGGAGTGTGCCGCAGCTGCCATAGATGTCCAGTTCGATGTGATGCTGCAGTGCAGCAGCTAGCTTCTCTCGCTGCGACAGCGTCGGACAGTGCGAAACGAACCAGGCGGCCATACGCTTCTTTGTCTGCCACAAACGCCGCACAGTGCTGTCATTCCAGCTGCCAATAGCTGGCGGCTGACGCCAATATGGATGGGAATTGGGCGCCACAACTGCGCCAGTTTGTGCATCGAGCAGCTGGGCATAGGGCCACACAATGTCCGAGTCCAGGCGATAGCTCATCGTCAGATTGTAAAAATTCTGCTCATCGCTTAGGCGATGCTTCGTCTCCCCTGGTGGCTCCAACAATGCGAATACATACGTCTGGTGGGGGCTACGATGAAGCGGGAACGCCGCTGTCAGCGGGAATGGCTCTGCCATATGAAAAACGATGGCGTCATAGAGCTCAAGGCTGGGCAGGTAGTCATGGCGATTGCTCAGCTCGCACTGATAGACGGGACAATGGAGATCATCGCGAAATTGCTGTGGTCCCAACGTATCAAACGGCAGCTTCCAGCGCTCATCACCAAAAAAGCTGCTCCAGATCAGAATGCTACGCGTCGCTGACTGCTTCGCTGGATTGCTAACTAAATACTGTCGCAATATGCCATACTGATTCAGCAGTGGTGAACTCTTAAGCTTCTGGAAAACGATTAGGATCACACAGAGCAACAGGAGCAGCAACGCTAACGTCCGTCGCGATAGGAGGCGCATTCTACGCTCGACGTCCCAATTTGTTGGCCCAACCAACCAGCTCGAACGGCCATCGACAATTGCCATATGGTTGTTAGATAATAAACCCTGGCCCGATTGATTTATACTGATTACGAGAAACAGTTGCCGTAGCTCGCCTAGCTGCGCTCCGCCTCTTTAGCGTCATGTACTAATTGCGATTGCTTAAACGCCGCAATGGTTATATTCTTTTACGCCTAATGGGCTAGGCAAGGTATGTGTATATTTAGGTGTAAACATGTAAAATGTCACTATATGCGATGACGAAAGCTGATAAGTCCATATTAATCTATGTCAGTCGAGCTGGCGATAGAAAAATATATTGATATATTTGAAACTAAAAAAAAATTATCTGTACTAGAGATAGTAATTTAGTAACGAAATCATTTTCAAGCCCCAATATTTCTAATTAAATTGTGTGATGTATAATTAATAATGAATAAAACTAATGATTGGTGTCATTTTAGTTGACTGATTTCCTGACACACTATGTCCAGACTTTTATCTAGAAATTTGTGTACAATTTTCTACAATTTTCCTCCAATGAAGCTTCAGTTGATCTAACGCGACAGGAGAAATTGTTCGAGTCATTTGCACCTGTCCTTTTTGCATTTAATTTGAAAGCAAAAATGTAATTATAGTTTTCAAGGAAAGCTTCTATAAATAGCACCTTTTCTTTTTTCTTTAATAATAAGTTTATTATTAAACTAATTTTAAAGAAATATCGCTAATTTGAATCTTATAAACATATATATTAATTCAAGAGTTTTTCTTTTCTTTGAAATCAGTTTAGTACTAAACTAAGTTGAAGAAAAAAGAATTAATTTGGATGTTATTTATATACTCATTAGTTTAATGTTCGTATAAGAGAACCCACACTTATAATATTGGTACAATAAGAGGAATAACAAGTTAATATCACTGAAACTAAATTTGCCTACACTGTTTAGACTTTGCGGTGCTTTGTGACAAATCGTCTAAGCATTAACATTTATCATAATTTCATTGTAATTGCGTGCGATAGAGACCTATTCACCTCGCTTATCGTTCCACATAAGTCCCGCCCCGTCCGCATTGATACATGCAGAATTAATGTGCGTGCGGTCTTAAGATAGTCACAAAACTCACAGGTGATTAGACTGACGTATACAAAAACTTTAATTAACGATTGCCAAAAAAGGGTAAACAAACAAGAGTGACTCGAAAAGTTGCACAAGAGTGAACAAAACCAAAATGTGGATACAAATAAAATACTAGAACGCTCTTGTGAGGGGAGGGGGGGGGGGGGGGAATGGGGTTAGCAATGCAAAACGGTTTAACTGGTAACTGAATCGCATACGCATGCCTGCAGATTAGTACGACATGGTATGGGGGATACATAAATTTACGTATTATATACAAATACACATCGATTATAGATCTACTAGTACATATGTATTATCACAATAGACGACTGCCTAGCAGCCTAGATGCCACAGCAGGAGCGATTTGGTGAGGAAGCAGAGCCACTCTCCTGATCCGCATCAGTGTCGTCCGAGATGCTGATGGCGCCGGCATTTGGCGCTAGTCCGGTGTTCTGCAGGCGCAGTGCATTGGTATCGTTCTGCTGTTTGCTTCCATGGTGCTCCACCATTAGTTGGGTAAGCAGCTCGAAGAGGTCATGGACTCCCTCATTTTCCTTGGCGGATGTCTCCACGTACTGTGCGCCCACTGTCTGCGCATAGAGCAGTGCCGTCTCATAGCTAATGGCACGCTGCTCCTCAAGATCAGTCTTGTTGCCCACGATGACCAGCGCAATTTCGCTGCCACGCATCTGCTTAAGTTCGCGCACCCACGACTTGACCTTTTGAAATGAGTCCTGATCGGTGATGTCGTAGACCAGCAGTGCCCCATCCGATCCCCGATAGTAGATGGGGCCCAGTGCATGAAAGCGCTCCTGCCCGGCCGTATCCCAAATGTTGAGCAGTGCACGTCGCTCATCAGGCAGCGTCACCTTTTTGGTCACGAAAGACGCCTGCAACGTACTTAAGTGATGTGTGTTGAACTTATCTTCTATGTAGCGCAGCACCAGCGAAGTTTTGCCCACACAACCTGCAAGTGCGCAGCGCATTGCATATCAAAAACAAAGACACCAAACGACAAAAGCCATCTCAATTGCGATTGGAGCTTTACTCACCTTCGCCCAGCAGCACTGCTTTAAAATTGAGCGTGGGTCCGGCGCTCGTTCCGCGCGAGCTCATTGTGCTTCCACTCGATTGCAATTTAAGTAGCGACACCCAAACATCGATTCAATTTGATACACTTAAAAATTTGTAATTGATTTAATTTTCATCTAATTTTCTGGAGTTTTGTCAATCCAGAAGTGTAGCAATCTTATCGACGATAGTGGTGGCACATCTCATATCGATATTAATGATACCAAATCCTTAGTAACGATATTTAGTATATATATATATATATATATCATGCTCGAGCCACTGTGATATGGCTACTTAATAAATGTACTGAATTAATATGAAAAAAAAATCGCTTATCTACACGATATATGCTCAAAAATGAAGTCATCGATTAAGCACAAGCGTTGCAATATATCGCCTGTTAGGCGTTAGGAAAAAATGTAACCGAACACTGAAAAATATCGTTAAGACATATCGATAGGCAACATTTTTAGTTTGCCGCGCATTTTGATTTATATGCTTAAACAGTCAACGTGAACTAATGATATATGAATATTTCAGAATATTTTAGAATATTTATGTGTGGTTTTACTGCCAACAATCAAATGCAATATATGAGCTGCAGGGGTTCTGAACCTTACGTTTTGTTTTACGATTAACTCTCCGCTACCACCCAAAAAATTTTGCGAAATTCCAGCACATTTTGCACGGATATAAAGGCGTGCGCACATCCGCAATCAGCAAGCTGCAATTGTTTTCGCTGAGCTGCTCACTTCTCTTGCAACGTATACTCTCAATTGAGGCGTCACTACGCAGCGCCCGCTTTCCACATGCTCCCTCAAGAAAGGTAAAGAGACACAGTCGGTCGCACAGTGGGCCGCTCATATGGATGCTCGTATTTTGTGTATACATAACAATAATATTCATTCATCACTCCACTCGTATGGCCAACATCCATTGTATACAGCTGCTTGCATTTTCTCTTTCTCTCGCTTCCTTTCTCTCAATTGCTCTCTGCTCTCAATTGTCACGCTCTCTCTCTCTCTCTCTCTCTCTCTCTGCCTGCGGGTTCGGCGGTGGATCTGACTCTGCTGCTGCTGTGGCTGACTGAGAGTCGGAAAGTTGGAGAGGCTGAGAGGCTGCTCTGATGACAACGGCAATGGCGCAGCTTTGTCTCGCACTGACGACGATTCATTCTAGTATTAAGTGCCGCCGCAGCAGGAATCCAAAAAATCCCAGCGTCAGGCGCGCACTCCGTGTGCCCCCAAAAAGTCCGGACCGAACCGAAACCGAAACGTAGCGAAACGAACCGAACCGAAACGTAAATGTGTAACACTAATTGCAATACAACATAAAGTACCAAAAAATAAAAATAAATAAATAAAAAACGCCCACACAGAAAGAAAATAAACCAAAAAACAATGAAAACTTAAGGAAATACACTTTGTTGATATCGAATAACGGTACTATCACGTTTCCTTATGAGTGGGGCGTGTGCTTAAGCTATGCCTTGAGCACTTTTCCTGTGCAAAACTAACATATACAAACAGCCCAATTCCTGCCCTACAAAAACACACACACACACAGAAAATATATACACATATTGGTTTCCTTGTAGGGACAACATCGTCTTCGGCATTTTTATGTACATAAAGTTGTTGTTGAGTTCGTTAGCATTTCAAAGCCGCAGTTGCCGCCTAACGGTAAACGGCCTCTGTGGTTGTCTCTCCTTGTGTGTGTATGTGTGTGTGTGTATTTGGTCAGTAAGTCAACAACAACTGCGCAACAAACCAGCGAAAACCAACAAACAAACAACAAGGAAATTTTGCTGTTTGAACTGTTTGTTTTTTCGTTCGGTGGTTGCTCTTGTTGCGTATTTCATATTACGCACTTTCTCACACACACACACACACATGCACGCACAAAGGATTCGTTGCGTAAAAAGCGAAATTCGCAGTAAATGCAATTGCCACGCCCCACACCACCCCGCCCCGTCCCGAAACTCACACACACACACACACACCAAGAAGTTGTAGATGACTTTTCCGGCATGCGTATGCGAATGCGTGTGCGTGTGTGTGTGAGTGCGTGTGTGTGTGCTTAGCTGTGACTTGTGCATTTCTAGGGATACACAGGATACACAAAATGTGCGTAGACGCAATAAAGTGAAAAGCGCTCAACTGCAGAAACAATAACAAAAGACAACAAAATAAATCAAAAATAAATAAAAACAGCAATTCGAGTAAAGGAATTTTAGTCAATCCAGAAAGGAAGACACAGATACCGAGAGAGACAGAGAGCGAGAGAGAGAGAGAGAAAGAGAGCGAGTGAGAGTGAGAGAAACCGAGACGTAGTAAAAGGGATAGAGGACAGAGCACAGCATGGATAGTTCACCGGATCTATCGCTGTCGCTGAAACTGCGACGCGGCTCCAGCGATTCGCGCGACAATTTCTACATGGACTTTGCCCAGGGCATCGATTCGGACATCGAGGATGTGGACAATAGCAATACAAATCTGGATGCTGCACTCGCATCGGGATCGGGCGTTCAAGTGCTGCCACCACCGTTGCCACTGCCGCCGCCGCTGCCTACAGTATCGCTGAGCGAGGAGATGCTGCTGCTGGTGGCACCACCACCGCCACCACCCGGTCTGCTTGGCCAGCCGCTGCCGACGCTGACAGAGACGGAGGATATGCCACCAACACCAACGCCACCGCCGCAGCAGCAACTCAGCATGGAGGGCAGCTCGCCACCCGGTTCGCCCAGTTCCAGTTCGGTGCTCGAGTTGGAGCTGATACCACCTCCACCATTGTCGCCCCGCGATGATGCTGGACTACGCACCGACGACGACGATGGTGAGGAAACAGACGATGCCGAGGAGGCGGTCGTTCAACCACCGCCGCTACCTGTGCACCAGGAGGAGGATGGCGCTGAAGCCGATGTTGATAATGATGATGACGATGATGAGGACGAGGATGAGGATAAGTCATCACCACCACCACCGCTGCCTCCATTGCCCTCGAATCTGTCATATGTGCAGGGAACTGTAACGCCTCCGCTGACCAAATCGCCATCGACATCGCCATCGCCTCCGCCGTCGCCGCCGCCAAAGCCTGTAATGAAAATCAGCCACATGATGTCACCGCCGGCGCAGCATGCTAGCAAGGCACCACCCAAGACTCCTTCATCTGAAAGCGAAGATGAGTCACAGCCAATTTCAGCGCAAGCCATTCCCAAGCAGCAACCGGAATCAGAACTAGAGCCTGAGCAGAAAGAGCCCGAGCTAGAGCCAGAGCCAGAGCCAGAGCTAGAGTTGGATCCGCTGCCCATGAGTGGTGGTCAGCAGATGGCCGCAGAGGAGTACAGCAGATCACTGGACAATGAGGATGAGTCGACTACGATTACCACACCGCCTAGTAATGGTTACTCGGCATCCTCAATTATTGCACCACCGCCGGAGCACTTTGCAGAGCTAGATGATGACAGTCTGGGACGCGGCTTCATACCACCGCCACCGGCCGGACTTGAGGATGAACCGGCAGATGTCGAGTATCCCGAGCAATCGCGTTCCTTGGACGTTGATGAGGAGGAGCTAACCAAGGTGGAAACCGATGAGCTGTCTTTGAATGTGGCTGACGACGAAGCCGACGACGATGAACCAGCCGATAGCATCAGCTCGCCGAGAGCAGCCAGCATTGCCAGCGGTGGCATCATCTCCACCAGCGGCGCCATTGCAGCCATGGCATCTGGCAACGTGGTGGCCTCCGACGCCGCCTCACCCAAGACGGATAGCCGCAGTCGCAGCGGTAGTCAGCGATCCCGCACTAGCTCCCAACACGCCCCACTCACCGGCTCCCATGCAGGATCACGGACCGGTTCCCAGGCAGGATCAAGGGCCGGCTCCCGGGCCGGTTCACGCACAGGCTCGATTGTCTCTGCCACCGCTGCCGCTGGTGCTGGTGCAGCCGTTCTATCGCCTCAATCTTCGCTCAAGTCACAGACATCTCTCAAATCACAAGTCTCCATCTCGATGAGGAGCCCGGCGCCATCATTGAAGTCATCATCCCAACGCAGTGCCGAGCGCGTGCAGAGTCCGCCCGTTGGCGAGGGTGCTCCGGCGATGCCATCGCCTCCAATGATGCGCAGCTCACCGCCCGAGCTTGCCAAGAGCCCACCGCGGCATATGCACAGTCCGCCGAGGGTAACAACACCGCCGCGCGTCTGCAGCCCCCCACTGGTGAGCAGTCCGCCCAAGCTAGCGGAGGCAGCAGCAGCGGCCATTGCCTCAGTCCCAGTTGCGATCAAGAAACCAGTCAGGTAAGCAGGACTTCACTCTACGCAACCACAATTCGAATGCCCTGTCCGAGTCCAAAAATATACCGATAAATATAAAGCTATAAGGTTAAATCAAGTATAATCCTCTGAGAAGCAGTTCTAAAAGCTGATAAATAATATAACAAATATAAGTATTAGCAATAACAATAGTAATAATAAGACTTCTGTGATCTTTGTTGTTTTCATTTATTAAAATTTACAAATTGAATTTAATTTATTTTTATTTATATTCTTTATTGCACGTAGAACGTATGTTTTTATACAATAGAAATGATGGTTTCCCAGGCACGAGGCCTTCTTCTGGAAGCCAAACAACTGAAAAGGACTCCTAGCAGGAGCCTGGTTGCATATATGACAATATGCTTCAGAGAGAGAGTTACTAATCAAAGGCAGACCAACAAAGTGTGGCAAGTGAGTTGGATACAAGGTGCACTTGGGTCTTCTAATCAGCTTTAAAAGCCTTCAGTTTTTTTAAAAGCATCAATTAAAATTGTAATTGGGCTTGGCCAAGTCCCACGGCTTAAAGTATTTAATCTGATGCAATTTGAAGCAAAGCTAAGCTTAGTTGCAATTTACTCCCACTCTTTGAAATTTATAAATGAAATTCACTTGATTCTCAACCAGTAATCAATATTAAAACTAAACAATAACTTTGGCCGGGTATTAAATTGAAATTCATTGCAGCGCATTGTGTGCAGTTGGCAATTAGTCAATGTGCCGGATTAATTAGGGATTTTCGTTGAAATTGAATTAAAATAGGATATTTAAAGTTTTGCTCTGCTTAAATACAATGTTATCTCGATGTGCATCTGGAGTGGTTGCTGAACAGTATATGAAAGCCATGTTTTAGCTGCTGGTTATTGTTTTCTGCCGCTCGTTGGTCTCCTCCGATTGCATTATGATGAGGCAAGCACTCTAACCGGCTTGGTGGTAACAGACAAACGCACACTTTTGTTAATTACATAAGCGTTGCCATGGCTCTCAGTCTCACGGGCTATCTAGTTCTCGGGTGCTGTCTGCTTCCATTAGATGCTCTTAATAGTAGAGCAAAACAGTTTAGCTCGTACACTCGACGCTTGCTGCATGTTGCATGTTGCAAGCTGTATGCTGTATGCTGTATGTTGCCCACGGCTTTCATCGGATGCCTACTAAAATGCGCACATTGCACCCTCCCCACACCCTATCACGCTGGCATGCAGCATGGATGCGTCTCGCTTTAGAGTAGAGTCAGCAGCGTTGGCTGCGTTGCTTTTACACTTTGCATTAATTAAACATCACGTTTCCAGTGCAACACCCTGACAAGTTGCGCAGCCATTCAGGCCCACATGGCGTATGCGACATTTGTGTCCTCCATTTTGCCCGTGGGCGCCAGTTAGTGCTGTGTCAGTGGCAGCAACTGCAACAGCTGTCAACATTATTGGCTTGCCACGAACGAATTGTGGAACAAAGAGGCGCTGCGGCTGCTGCTGCTGCTGCTTCAGGTTGTTGTCCTCCGCTGATGTCACCTGACGCCGCTTACAGACGCAGTTGCGCCGTCCAGTCACAGCCAATACAAAATAGGTCAATTGAAAGTATGTTGTGCTAAGGCTATTATGTCCAAACAGAAGGTGATGGGATGAGCGACAGCTGCGCTGCTACTCCTGGAGATGACAGCTCGTTTATTCAATGCCTTCAATGCATTCGCATAATGGACATTTCCAAGCCACCGCGTGCCTTGTCTGATAATCAGATCCGATGCTGGAGACCGGTGCGAATGCGTCCGCTGTGAATGCAAACATGTCCATAGAAATAAGCAACAAAGGCCAACTAAGTACTTTGAATTAGTTGTTGGCAAATGTTTTTGTTTTTGTTCACAGTATTTATGTAGCATATGCATCCTTATCGAAAACAATGGCTTTGGCGCCGAATAACTGTGGTGTGCAATCCATCCATTTATAAACAAATGTTTATGTGACTAATAAGCTCATGTCAACATGAGCAAAAATATATGATTTTATTTCATATAAATCAAATAAGTAATCATACAGAACCAGCAAGAAAATATCACAACTATCAATTTATAGCTTCCAAATGTCGTCTGTTGTGGTTATCTGAACTTTGTCTCGATAAGTTTGGGGTGCTATTCTTAAATGTGTATATTTTTGCTATGTAAATTCATCTGCTGACAGCCCCTTGTTGTGAGTCTATTCTGCACGTCAGTCCCACACCTCATGCCACGCCCGGCCATTAATGCAACAGTCGAGTCGAGTCGAGTCGAGTTGGGTCGGGATGAGTTGGGTTGAGTTGGGTTGAGATGGGTTGAATTGGGTTGAGTTGGGTTGAGGGCAGGTTAACAACCCCGAGCGACACGCCATAAAGTATGCAGCACGCTTTTAGAAATGCGATTACAAGAGCGCTTGAGTGCATGATGCACAGCATTCACAGTATTCACACTAACCACAACAAGCATCAGTCAGTGAGGTCGACTCCCTAAAAATTGACGACTTGCAGTACGTTATAGGCTTGCAACCACATTCGAGTCAGAGTCGCCCTATGTCAAGGTTATTTATAAGCTCTGGCACACTTGTTGCAATTTCCAAGTCTCATACTCTCAATCCGAGTACCTGAACTGCTCCATAAGGATGAGCACCCATTGGAGTGCCGCAGCGCTCTTCACACAATACTGTCGAGTGGCAAGTCAGCCTATACTCAAGCTCAAACTGAATCTAGCATCTGGAATCCAGACTCCAATTTAAATCAAAATACGATAGTAAATGCATTTCATTGCATTCACAAGTGATCTGTGAGTTCGAATGCCGAATGCATGTGAATGCAAATATGAATGCAGCACGGACAAAAGATTCGTGTGAATGCAAAAAAAATATATATATATTTGAGGTTGATGAATCATATATTTGTATCTTTTGTAGTAAGCATTTGCTTCACTGAAGAAGCAAGGCAAAAGCAAACATAATTATGAGTTGGAGGTGTGCATTTTTATTTGTCGAGTTTGTATATTTAAGCATTTTGTAAATATTTTAAATTAATCAATATTTTTACGATATTTTAAGGCTTGTGTTTTTTTTTTTTTTTTTTGAATTTGGAGTCCAATTGCCATTTATAAGTTGATCATTTGCAACTAAAAGCTACAATTAATAGTATTAGTATAAATGATAGTATAAATGATAACGTCACTTTTAAGTCTATCCCAAACACTGAATCGCTACCCCAGGCCCCAGGTCTCCACATGAATGTATATATGCTAATTTTTTTAGATTGGACTTGTGCTAGAGAGCGATTAGTTTCAATTGCCGCTGTGGGCAGCCCCAGCTGTTTATGGAGGGGGTTTTTCATTAGATGTTATTTTTTCACTTTTTTTGTTTGATTTTTTGTTCTTTTTTCGTGTTTTTGCTATTATTAGGCACAATTTGGGAGCACCCGTTGAAAGCAGCTGCTCTGCATCGAATGACAATGACAATGACATAGATCAGATGAATTAGATGGGGCCACCAAAATGATTTATGGGCTCATATTTTGGAGACATATTCAAGAGTGGGAACATGATCTGTACAGCATTTAAACATGAGATTGAAAATAGTTAATTGTGATCTGTACATATGAATATGTTTGAGTGATGTATCACATACATTTCAAATATGCACATTGAGCATTGAGTCTTGCAATTCCGTCACTTTTGAGTATCTTTTGTATTATTGAAAGTCGGACAATGTCGATGTCGATGTCGATGTGGATGTGGATGCCGCCTCGGCGGAAGCGTCTGGCAATGTTTGCAGTCAGCATGAATACATCATATAGTGGCATTTAGTTACGCTCGCACACATATTTAAGTGTGTATTAACACGACGATGCACATACTACATACATATATACAATGTATTTATGCATGTATGCGGCCTCATGGCAACAGTGGGCCCATTATTTAATTAAGCCACTGTTGTGCCTATCTGTGAGAGTCTGCAAAATCTGCGCAAGCTGCGCCCAAAAAGAAAAAAAAAAACAAAACGGGGGGGCTCATGCAAATCTGGTGACTAGCGGCACAATCAGTGAATCGACGTCGCTCATCGTTGCGACTGCATGGCAAATGTTATCCAATCCAACTAATCCAGCCACGCACTCCATGTCTTCTGTATCCACCAACTCGAATTCCAGCAGCAGCAGCAGCAGCATTGTCGCCCCGGAGCCACAGCTGGCCACGCTCAGCTACCAGGATGAGCAGAAGTCACCACAGTTGTCTGGCGCCGAGCAAGTTTCCGTTTCTGTTGCCGTTGCCGTTGCCGTTACCACAGCACCACCCAGTGTGGTGACCACTCAGCCGCGTACCCACTTCACGACCAGTCACCATCACTACCACTTGCCGCATCAGTTCCAGCATCCGCATCATCAGAATCACCATACACACAGTGTGCGCGTGCCGACGCCCACAGTGCCGAGCAGCTATTCGCCATCGGCAACGGCTCTGGATGTAGATGGACGCTCGCCCGGCTATGGGCGACGTGCCGTGCCGCTGGCTGCTCCCGTGCTGAGCAGCTCGCTGCTGGCCACGTCCGGCGAGGCTGGACACGTGACGGCCGCCGTTTCGCCGGGTCGCATGTCGGCACGTTCCGGTTCGCAGCATCATGTGACCATCGATGAGTCCAGTTTGCCGACAAAGGATGGCGTCGAGAGCGCTGGACCCAGTGGTCTAATACTAGGCGGCGGTGACGGCGATGGCGATGACGATAATGGTCGCCATGGCAACGATAGCTCAGAGACGCCCTCATCGCCGGGCAGCAGCAGCTCCCAGCACCAGCTTGGACATGCCGATGGCCAGATGGCGCTCATGTATCACTCGCATCAGTTGACCAACTATCCGGTAATTCCGGCCATCAAGCGCACCCATCGCCCCTCTTTTGTCTATCCGCCAATGCCGCGCATCAAAGCGTAAGTAGCGACTACTTCTTATACGGATTCCGCATTCTAATCCTCTAATGATTTCGAAATTCGCTTTGCAGCGGCGATGCTCTGGCCACTCTCTTTTCGGCCCTATACGGCAAACTGCTTGTAGTTATGGGCATTGCATTTCCCATGGCTGAGGTCATATCAACCTATATACCGCCATCCTTCTATGAGGTTAGTTCGAGTTCCCCCATTTGTTTTATATATTTGTTATATATTTAATGATTATTTTATTTATTTAACAGCTTTATTTGACTTTCTAAAATATTTGATAAATTCCGAGTTTCATTTAGTCTGATAAACTTTTTTTATCAGCCTGAATTTTGATAAATATTCAGTCTGATCCAATATCTTTCCATTGAAGGGCACATCTTTAATTCCAGAAAATATATCTAAATACTGTGCCATATTATGTTGTCCGATTGTTTCACGGCGAAGTAATCTCTGAATTTAGAAGCAAATGATTTTGCTTTAAAAAAGAGATAAATATTACAGCTGTGTCAATAATAGGAACAATCCGTGTTTTTTTTCTATCCTTCACTGATTTTTAATTTCCATAATATATTTCATTTATGCTACTTTCATATTACAAGTGTATGCATTACTTTAAAGTTATCCAGGCTTAACTAAAAGATGATTTTGTCTTCTCAATGAATCCTATCTTTCGGAGACATTATACCATTTGTTCATTGTATCTTGAACTCTAGTTTGACAATATCCACGGGCAAACAGAGTAATTTTGTAATCAACTTTAAGAGTTGTTATAAATATCAACGACAAGCAATGTGATTTATTTCTTAAGCTGCAATTTTAATCACTGCTGAACTAGATTTAATCGCAAATCTCACTTTGATAGAGAAATTTATGTTTAATTTGTGATCCCTTATTAATAATCTTTACTATTATTATATTATTTGTTTTCTTCATATTTTAGGTGTACTATTTGTACTTGTACATTGGTAGCATGATCTTCCTCCTCTTTATGTACGCCACACTGCTCTGGGGTCGTCCGAAGCTGCCAGTGCCCATGGGTAAGTGAATTATTGGATCTGAGAGCGAATGGGGCGAATTGATGACTGACTCCATTCGCATTTCGCATTTGCAGCTACGTCGCCAAATAAGTCAACGACCAAGGTGAGCGCCACGGATAGCATGGAGGAATCGGATACTGATAGCACGTCAACCAATCGACGCATTCCGCCGCCCATCCAGGTGCGTCGTCCGTCGCTGCTGTCGCCACTGGGTAGGCAGCATCACTACGGCAGCTTCTATTTGCGCATGGGAGCTGTAGGTGAGTAATTAGCAAGGATATTTTTTTGTCTATCACCCGTCATTTGTCATTTATTTATCACTCATCCGTTATCGGTTGCAATTGTCGTTGTTGCAGCATTTGGCATTGGCAGCATGATCTACTCTGGCTTGGAATTTGGTCAGTACTTTGAGCTGAATCCGGACACCAAGTGCCACAATGTGCTGCTGGCGCTGACGCCAGCGACGCGCATGGCCTTCATCTTTATCCAGATGTACTTCATCTTTTTGAACAACGAACAGATCAAAGTGTATCGCTACAAGATCATCGCTCGCTTTGGCCTGATGCACATGATCGGCACGAACCTGGCTGTCTGGCTGAACGTGTTGATCCAGGAGACGAAACATGAGATTCTAACATTTTACAATCCGGAGAATCGCACACTACGCATCTCTCATCGCATACCAGGACATTCGCGTGGACACGCTGTCATTCAGCACGATCCGACAGCACATTTGCGTGTGCCACGCGGCTTGAAGGGTCCGTATCAGATCTTCGAGTGCCGGCGCACCAATATCATTGGCACTTTGGTGCAGGATGCCTCGCCCTTTCTGTTCCCGTGCACCATTGAGTACTCGCTGATCTGTGCCGCTATCCTCTATGTGATGTGGCGCAGCATTTCACGTCCACAAAGCACAACGCAACAGCGACCGGACATGATTAGCTCCCCAATGAAACGATCGCCTCATCACTACTCCGTGGACTGTGCCCGCGCCCACAAGGGTCTGTTTGTGGGTATACTGATCCTGGTGCTGACCATCATCTCGCTAATCATATTCTTTGTGCTCATCTCGCGACCGGAATTTGTTGCACTGGCCGTAACCGAGGTGACCATCTGTGAGCTGCTTATCTATGGCACAGCGACCATAGCCACACTGCTGGGCATGATACAGATCCGGCACCTGCAGTACGATGCGTATCGCAGCTTCTCCCTGGACGACATCCTATTGGTGGGGGCGCAGACCGGTTCATTTTTGTACAACATCTTTACGGTTATTGCCGGACATTTTACACTGCGCAGCGATGATATGTTGGTGCCGATAAATGCACTGGCCTCCATCGTGCAGACCGCCTGCCAGACCATGTTCATACTAGATGCCAGTCGGCGACAGGCGGTCAGTCCGGAACACTTGCGCAAGAAGCCCGGACGAGAGATAGTCACGTTCATGCTGGTGGTAAATCTGGCCATGTGGGCAATAAGTACGCTGGAGAAATCACGTGCCGAATCGCATCCCATACAGCTCAACTTCTATGGTCTGTGGGCCTGGACCATAATCACCCATGTATCGATGCCGTTGGCCATATTCTATCGATTCCACTCAACGGTCTGCCTGTGCGAGATCTGGAAACGCGCCTACAAGCTCAAGCCGACGTATATGTGAGAATTCGCCCGCTCGCGCATTCAGAGCATTGCGCAGCAGCAACAATTCTGTGAGGATCTCAAGACAAATCTATCCTACTGCTACTGTTCCACAACTCTGGCCGGTGGCGAGCTCGAGACGGTTGATGAGGCAGACAGCGGCGGCAGCGGTGTAAATGCCACTGACACTGAAGCCGGAGGAGTCACTAACGGAAATGGCAACGGCAATGGCAATGGCAATGGCAACGGCAACGGAAATGGATCGGGCACAGCTGGAGCTGCATCTGTCCAGCTGGACGAGGACGAACAGGGCGGCGGCAGCGCAGCCAGCCGATTAGAACGGGCCCCCGGCCGGGCCCTGTCGCCGCATAGCCTCAACACTGACAAGGCCTTCTGTCCGGTGTACGTCATAAATGGTGAATGAGTTTACGCGCACTTTGAGTTCATCGATGCGTTAAGCGGACATGAGCTCAGCTTGTTTAGCACAACATCAACTCTCACACACCACCACCCACCAAACATAGACAAAACATGCAAAACCTAAAACAAACAAACAAACCAAAAACCAAAAACAAAAAGTAGACACCGACACCACCACCCAGCAACCACTCAAGAACCACCTTCATGACAAATTTAACTCTGGACGGGTGCAAACAATTTTTAGAGCCAAAACGAAAAGAAAAATAAACCACAAAAAAAAAAAAAACAAAAAAAAAAACGAGAGCAAAAACATATCCGTAAGTTGGAAATGGCAATGAAAATGAAAATGAAAATGAAAACCAATTAACTTTGAATCAAATACTAAGCTAAGTTACAAATGCATACACATTTAAGCCCATATACATGCATATATATATATTTATATATATATGAATATGATTGCAAGTAAACCATAAAAAGACTTTATATAACGAAAACTCCAAACAAATTTTGAGAAAAACCCACAAGCAATGTCAAGTCCTACTAAAAGTCTCCTTATCGAATCGAATGTATCTAAGTAACTTGTATGGTCGTGTGTGTGAGTGTGTGTGTTTGTGTGAGTGTGTGTGTGAGTGTGTGTGTGTGAGTGTGTGTGTGTGTGTGTGTGAGAGAGTGTTTGTCACAAGACAATGTTTAGGTTTGCTGACGATTGTAGGGGTGAATCAGTATATCCATACTCGTATACCCAGATGTTTGATTCATGTTGATTCACAATCGAATAAGTAATATATTTAAAACGATTTATAGATCGATGCCTCCTAATATAGTGTATACATATATCTATATCAAAGTTCCATGACAGTTCTTCAGAGTTGCAAACAGCGAGTGTTTTGCACATTTTTCATACTAGGGACTCAATGTTTGTCCAATTATAGCAGAACACTTTACGGAGAAGCAGAAGTTGTGAATCGTAGTATGCATATAACCTGATAACTAATGATACTATTCCATATATAGTTGGCATTCCTTCGTAAACGTTTTATATGCATACAGTAAAACAGTAAATATATATATATATATATATACATATATATATATATTCATACATATATAGTCATACATACATATATATTAAAGTATTTACTTAGATGTTGCTGCATAATCGAAATTAAGTACACGAAATCAAAATACATCTACTTGCATATTAAATATATGGCGAGAAAAACATAAACCCCACCAAATGCGAGCGATAAAGTCAAACAACCATGAAAAGTATTAATTATATTGTACTACATAGTAGCATATGATATAGAAAGGTTATTCAGTATGGTATCGTATATCTGAGAATGTTCGACATCAACAACTAACAACATCTAAAAATGAGTTGATATCAATCTATATGCAGACATACAGACATCCATAAAAAATATATAATATATACATTCATATACATAAATAACTACCAAATGAAAGCTAATGTATTTGCAACGCTCTTAAATAACACGATATATATATATATTTATATATATATACGATCAGTCCTTTATTGTTGAAATTCCTCGTTTATTAATCGTATGTCGTTGAATAACTGAATTTGGGTTTGTTAAATTTCAATGATTAAATTGAATATTCGCTGTTCTCTTAGACACTATTTATTTATTTATAAGCATTCAAATACGAGTACTTACTTGTTAGGAGTTTCGTTTTTCTTTATCCATAAGTTCTTGTGATAATTTGTTTATGCTTGTTCAGATTGAAAACAACAGACATACAGATGTTTGCACATGTGTACCATACATTATGTATGTTGCATCCATTATTTATGAACCAACCAGAGAATACTTGGCTAAGACTTACGTGTTTGTAATAAATATTCAGTATTTGGTAAGCTCAAACGGTAGAAAGACAAATCAAAATGAGAAACGCAACAAAAACGCACAAGCAAAAAAAAAAAGAAAAAGAAAAAGAAAAGACAAACTATGTATTTTATAATACTTAAGAGTAAAACACACCTTTAAAAACCCTAAAAAAAAAAAAACAACTTTTTTTTTGTCTACCATAAAGGTATAGTATATAGACAGAATAAATGTATGTATGTGTATGTAGAATATATATACATGTGCAACTAAATATTATACATAAGTTTTTATTAGAACTATATACTCGTATGTGTAAATTCTTGATTCATATACCTACGAATAACATTCACTTGTATATTTTTCAACGCCAAAGAGTTTTTACTTAGCCTAAGTTCGAATTGCTTTATGTAGACATATGCACATTGTGTAATACATATGTATGTACTCGTATGTACATATGTATGTGCAATCAACGATTTGTGTTCATCTTTGAGAGCAAGTCAACAGGTATTGTATATTCAAGTTTTCAGCATAAGAAAACATATATTGAATAATAATTGTATATGTATGTATAACTTAGTTATCTCAATTTTATATTCAAACTAAATTTTTAATTAGTCTAACTGTAACTTTGTATGCATTTTCTTACATGTATTTAATCTACACCGACTTAAACACTGCTCAAAAACCAAAGCATAATAATAATAATAATAATAATAATAATAATAATAATAACAAGCAAATGAACTTGAAATAAATTGAATACCGAAATGGAAATCATATAATCGAAAATGTCTAATCAAAATTGATATATATTTACAAAACGTAATATTAGAATTTATTAAACTAGTTACTAATTACGAGATGAATTCGAACTCCACTAAAATGTGTATTGAAAACTCCTATTCCAGTAGCCAAAGAAAAACTAAAAAAAAAAGAAAGGAAAACAACGTAAAACATACTAAGTACATAAATTAAAGTCAACATTAATGTCATACCAAAATAATTATTTTACAGCGTTAACTAGAAACTTTTTTTAAATCACAATAAGTCAAATGGTTCAATCAAAAAAAATTGAAATTAGAAATAATAAACAAATACAACACAATTTCGGTACAATTTATTGATTTAAAACAAATACAATTGATTTCCATATAGAGAAACTCCAGTCGTGTGTGTATCCCATATTGCAGTAAAATGAATAAAAACCATTTCGATTACTATGAAAAGTACATTTGTTTTATTTGGATTAAGTCGGCGATAGTTAACAATTTCCCTCTCTTTCTCTCTCTATCTCTCTCTCTCTCTCTGTCTCTCTCTGTGTCTCTAAGCAACTAGCCAAATAAATATGCTGCTACATATTGGGAGCAGCTAGTCGGTGAATGAGTAAAGAATGAGCTCCGAAACTTAACAGGCGAAAAAAAAAGTGTTGTGCTCGCATTTGTATCTTCAAATGGGCATGTATCTGTGGTAAGTGCGAGTGCCACACAACACCGGCTAAGGGTTGAAAAAAGCTGCAGAGAGTGTACAACAAAGAAAGAAAAAAAAACTCTTGCGTATCTTGTGGACCACGAGGCAGCTTAAAAGCCCGGGGCTGTTCACCAAAAGGTAGCTGCAGCATTTGAATTTGGCATCCTAATACTTTATCCAGCTCTTAAGGGCTTTCGCTCCAACGCTCTCTCTCTCTCTCTCTCCCTCTCTATCTAGCTGTTTATACATGTCTCTGTCTTTCGCCCAATCTCTTTCTCTGTCTCTGTCTCTCACTCGCTCTCTCTGTCTATTATTCGGTTTCGGTTGTGGATGCTGTGTGCTGCCCCTGATTTATGCTGCACTTTTGTGGATGCTGTTCAGCCAGGGGCTCGGCCCTATGTACCTATACAAGGCATATGTATACCATATATACCAACTCGTTACCCGGGATTTGAACCACGCCCTGGCCAACTGAACTGGTCGAAAACTAGGTTAGCATTTCTGGTTGATGCTTTATTCTTCTGTGCTCAAGTATAGTCGCTTATTTTTCTTTATTTATTTTATTTTGTTTTTTTGTTGAGTTCAAAATACAAATACAAGAAAAGTGGGCGAGTTGATATGTCCTACTGTTTATCCAGGAGCCTGCTAAGAGCCCTGTTTGCCTGTGTAATCCAAATTAGTATTTTATTTGGAGCCCGGCGAGCAGCGGCTTTCTCGCACAACGAACACTGTAGCTTGACCATTGCATATATACCCTCCGCACAGCTATGTATAGATGTATGAATATATGCGTAGGCCTGCACCCACTCACCACGCACCGCCCACACCTAGATAGACCTCCACCCACCATCTACCACCTACCACCTACCAACTGCAACGTACTGGCAATAATAGCTGTGGGTGCGCCACATTGCAATTAGGTAGAAAAGCAGGTTTACGCCAAATGCACCCTGTTTGGCGGCAAACTAAAACCAAAAGGTGAATGTCCTTTGCCCATTTCTCACGCATGCGCCACAACTCAAACCCAGCCAGAGTCGAAGCCAGAGCCAGAGTCACAGGCCGAGCTACAGTCAGAAGGAGCAGCAGCCTCAGACGCAGCAGAAACGCCCGCTCTTACTCACTTGACTCCTGATGTCCCGACGACATCCTTGGGCCATGTTGCACCTCTTGCACACTTATATGTCCTTATGAGTAAACTCTTTCATATACATAAATGCATACATATAAATCACACAAAACACGCATACTCGTAAGTACGCTCAATAACAAGTTATTCTCCTTCGTATCTTAGACTAATCTACAATCCATTGTACTCATGGGTAATAAAGGGAACTAACTAAAATCATTATTTTTTAAGGATTAAGGATTGGACAAACTGAAATTTCGTAGTGCACATTATCCGAGCTAGAATAAAAAATATATATTTACATTGCTATCATGAATATCATTTTTGTATTCAAATAATAATTGGAAAATTTTGCAATAGCAAGAAACAGCTTAAGTAAATCCTAAAGAAAGGCTTTACTAAATAAAGGACATAAATGTTTTACAGCGATTAAAACAGAAAATATTTCCATTAGTCCTTACTTATGGACACGATTAACTCCTAGCTCAATAAAAGTAACATTAAAACTGTCCTCACTTTCCTACGAATGTGATATAATAATCAAAACTTGAGTATCTGAGTATAATAAAAATATGTCTATTTCCGGAAGCAAAGTTAGCCCAACAGATTGCTTTACTTTAGAAATGTTCTTGCTATCTCCAGATATTCGATATTCTCATATATTCCCGCCAGAATTCGTCTTCAGGAAGAGATTCAGTGCGTTCGTTCAGTGAGCTGTGGAGTTTGAAACATAAAAACGAGTAAATTTAGAACATTTTTGTATTTGTAAGGTATTCGTAGGTATATCAAAAATACCCTGCAATAAAAAAAGGCCAAAAGTTGTTGAATTATGCAATCTGTCGCATTTAGTGGCGGTCATCAGAATTCACGTCTTTCAATTCCAGACATTCATCATCATCGTTATTCAGTTGATCATCGTGTTTTTTTTCCGATTCATCATTACATTTTGTCTGGCAACTCGCACAACGAACGTCGTGTGCAGCAGACTGCGAAACTGGCAACGGTAGTAGCAGAAGCAGCAGAAGCAGCAAGCAATTGTGTATATCGTAAATATTTACGATACACAGAAAACGTACGACGCCGACTGCGCTACGTTTGCCATTGCTGCTGCTGCTGCTGCTTCTGCTGCTGGCCGATTTTGTCGCCGACGACTGTTGCTGCGGTCGCTGCCGCTGCTACTGCTGCTGCTGCTGCTGTGCGACGTTGCCGTTGGCAGAGCTTTGTATGCGTTCTACGTTTTGAGTTGTTAGTTGCGTTCGAGCTCAGTCATACACGAACTGTTACGAGTGATGGAAGAGTCAATACGGTGCTTGCAAGCGGAAGCGCCAACACAAGAAAACAGCCAAAACCAACATCAACATCAACAACAACAACAGCATCAGCACAGCACAGCACATTAGAAACTGCAGAAATAAAATTAATTTAATGAAATCGCGATCGGAATCAGAATCGGAATCTGATTTAGCATCAAGCCAAGTTTTTATACAGCCTATTGTCAATTTCGATTGAATAGTCATTCAAATAAAATACTTGTAGCTATTATTATTATTGTAGACATTGTTGGCAGTGTCGATGCTGTTGCCATTGCCGTTGCTGTTGCGTTTTGTTGTTGCGATGACGCTCGCTATAATTGCCAGCATTAATTTTTGTTCTCTTTTTTTTCCAAACATCTAAAGTGTTGAGCTTAACTAATTTTTGTGAAACTTGTTAGCTCATGACATCAACAGCATCAATACAAATAGAGAAAAACGAGAAAAACGAAAACAAATCGAAAGCAAGTGAACGATTGTAATTGTGTGTGTGTGTGCGCGTCGTCGTCCATTTTGTCTGTGTGTGCGAGTGTGTGTGCTCCCCTTCCGTTTCCGGCAAACGCAACACATTTTTGGCAAAGGCAGTCAAACCGAGGACAACAACAAAAGCCAACGCAAAAAACGTAAAGCGCGCGCAACAATCAACCGCCCACTCACACGTTCGCATCGTCCACCCTGCCACCCTCCCCCCCAGACAAACCCCATATTGCAAACAGGACGAAGTCGTGACAACGACATGCGAAACGGGAAAGAAAAAAATCACAAGAACAACAATAAATAACACAAATACGCCACTTTAGCTTAACTGCCATTCCATTTGTTGAAAGTTGAAACAGACGAATACGAATAATGAGAAGCATGTGAAGAAGAAGAAACCCAATCAAGTAAGTAATTATAACTAATTATATTGTACTTAATTATTGAATAGAAAATTACAAAAAAACATGCGCATACAAATTAGCTAATAGTCGCATCAAAGCTCTACAGAAATCATAAATCAATTTACCAAACAATCCAAACTTTGGGCGCCCTTCTCAAGTTGTAGACGCGTTTGGCATGTCGCATGTCGCATGTCGCATGTTACCACAGTTATCCACATAGACACATGTGTGTGTGTGTGTGTGTGAGTGGTCGTACTTGTTGTCACATTTCTTGGTCTTCCATTAGAAAGACATTGGAATGTCCGCAATATGCGTTTGCGTTTCTTTTGCTTTGCGCTACCTTCGCTCGCTGGCTGGCTGGCTGGCTGGCTGACTGGCTGGCAGTGTAAACCCATAGAAGTGCCACCAAAACAATAGCGACAAAAGTTATTTCGTAGTGGCAAATGTTACGAGTAATTGCAAGAAAACTGAAAATGAAATCGGAAACCGCAAGGCTGACAACGGGTCGCAATGCTTTACCCCACATCCATTCACACATACAAACAAACTACGCTTAAGTACATGGGCCACAGAACTGGGTCATTCTGATGGAGGGAAGCCAGCGGGAAACTTGATCTTCATGTATTTGCAATAGATCAGTCTCCATAACATTAGACGATTTTCCCCACAGCTGTATTTCATATCAATTTATCAATATTTTCGTATGGATTCTTTACTTCAAATCGATCTACAAAGTATTACAAAATATTGTAAGCGGATTCCAATTACTTCACTCCTACGATCTTTAAATAAACTGTCTCATTACAGACATTCATTGATTTCGTTCGCCTTGAACTTTGCTTTGGCACAGGACAGAGGCCAGAGGCAAGCCAACAATATTTCAGTTTGTTGTTTGGATCGCTTCAACAATCCCCGACTTATGTCGCTCATAAGACTTGTATTTTTGTATATTTTTTTTTTCGCTATAAACAGTAGCCCAAGCGTTCTGTCAATGCATTCTGAACATGCGAGGGTTGAAAGTGTTTCTAACGGTGGTGTGTTTTCCGCTGACCCTTTGGGTGGGTGGTTGGTTAGCATGTGGCATAGTACTACAACTGAAAAAGAAACACAGCCCAGACAAAAAAAAAAAAAAAAAATACTAATATCTGCATATCCAGCTAATGAGGCGGCGACCTCGCCCACAGTGCACATTTCCACGAGCACAATGCCATCAAATTGCAGCCCAAAATGGGGTGGCTGAGACCGATTTGCCGCCCTTCTTCACCCACCGCAGCGTGACGGCTCTTCAGCACTCGAAGCTGACCAAAGGAACGCATCAGAGAAATGAAAAAAAAAAAAAATAATAAAAAAAACAACGTAAATAAAACATAAATAATACAAAAGCAAAGCAAAACACCCATCCACCCACAACGTCAAACCCAAATGTCAGCAGCAGCGCCAGCTGTGGATCATTGACAGCAATGCATTGGGAATTCTGTTTCTGTTTTTGTTTTTGATTCGACTTATAAGGTCACCCTATTTTCCCATGTTTTGGTTTCTATACTAGTATACTCGATACACGTAAATATATTCAAAGTGTCTTTCAAATGAATTTGTATCTGGAGATCTGTAATGGAATTATATATATTTTGTTATTAGATTGAATGGCAGATAAGAACTTTATACATTTGTGTAGCAATTTTCTTTTTTTCAGATTATTTAGCTTGTTAGATTTCACTTTTCAATAATGGCACTGGGTATCTTTTAGTCGTGCAGTCTTTGCTATTGGCTTTATGTTAACTTTAGCACTTTTTCTCCAGGGTGCTGTCGTGTCAGACGTGTTTGTTATGCTTTTTATTATACTTATGTTGGATCTGACAGAAAGCAATATGTGTCCATCTGCCAGATAGTTCTACTCATTCCCATGCATATTTCCATTTCCATTTCCATTTCAATTCTCAATCCCAATTTGGTATTCGTTTGCAGCTATACAATTGCATTTCCGGTTCTCAATGTGGGCTCCGTCTCTTTAATGCTCACAGATCTGCAGCTACACTCACACACACACACACACACACACATAAAAAAGACAAAAAACAAAAAGCAAAAAGAAAAATGTTTGTTTTTTGTTTCTTTGTATTTTAAAATGCCCCGCCAGTGGCGCCGATCCGCAAGTTTGCGATGGGTGTGGGTGCGGTTTGTGTCTGGGTCTGTTTGTCTGTCTGTCTGTTGTTCGCTTCTAATCTGTCATCGGACACTTTTGTGTAACTATCATAAAAAAGTTTAGCAATAGCAACAATAACAACAACAACAATAATAACATTAATGAGCAATGCAACCAACGATCTGCCACTGAAGACATGCAATGAATCCGCCACCGATTCGGTGAGGCTAATATAAAAATATAAACATTGCATTGCTGCTGCTGAATGTGGCATCATCTTGTGGCACTTTCACAGTCTGCTTGCCAGCTTGTTACCCAATCAACCATTTCAGTTTCTCAAACATTGCAATTAACGGGTTTGCGTTAGTTTTGCACTAGTTCAAAGCTCAACTCGATTCTCTGTTAAGACCATAAATGTCCGCTTGGACGGCTTTGGCTGTGGCTGTGGCCGACTGCAGTTGTTAGCCATCGAATGTTAATGGCCTTAAGCAAGCTTTCAATTTGAGACTCTGTGTTGGTGTTAATGTCGCTACTGCCACCTCAGTTGACGAAATACTGGAATATATAGTCTAGAACACCCAAACTGCATATCCATGAAACAGTTGAGAGCATGCTGCTTGAATAAAAGCTGTATTAATGTAAAATGGAACAGATTTAGTTAGAATTAAATAGATATTTACTATATTTAATTCTATATATTTGAAATTTGTAATTGCAACAGTTAAACAGTCTTAAGCATATGACCAAAAACCACTATTTATTCACACTTTATTCACACTTTTTTTCGGATTTACTTTCACTATCTGGTCTTTTTGTATTATTTCATATATGAATCTTTTGACATGTTATTACATTTGCAATGAGTACAAACACTGTATATCTAGTCATCCCCTGACATGAACAAAATCTTTAGAAATATGCACACATTTATATTTCTTGATATGAATATGAAGTTCACATTTGGCAATCAAATGAATGATTTATCAATACCGATGCATCGACTGCCGATTCTTCGTTTCTCGATCCTCGTTTGCTTCGATCGTTTGTATTTAATTGTAATTGTTTGTTTTGGTACACAAGCCCCACGCACTTCGCACCCGATTTTATGCTGCGTGCTTTTAATGTGTCTATAGCTGGCTGGGCACGCTGAAATGGCACACGACCTCGCCTCAAAACCCAAAACAAACACTGGTCAAAATGTGCAGCAAGCGATCACTGGATGCACTTGCTCTCCGGATATGCCAGCATGCCACATGCGCCTCTGATGCATGAACGGGGCGTGCTGGATGCTCAGCTCTTGGCCAGCAGCCAGCAATATGTGGGGCAGCTCATTATAACAAATTGCGCCTTATTGAGTGAATATCTTTACATATGTTGTGCATATATATATATATATCTCTATATATGCATATCAATTACAGTTGGTCCTGACCGATTGACGGACTGACTGTTCATGGGAACTGCTGAGCCTATGAACTATTCAATAGGCTCTTAGTACAAATATTATATAATATGGAATATAACTGGCAAAGTTACGGACTTGACATGTTTTTTTATATATTCATTATACTCTCAATTGAAATTATAAGAAATATCAAAGGAATATTTATCTTAGATGAATAACACCAGTCCCAACATAATCACCCTCTGCAAGAGTATGAGAACATGTGCCTGTGACTAGATCCAGTATTTAATTCCAACAGCACTAAAAATTTGGCATTTCAAAGGTCACGCGTCTATTGGGTGTGTGACCCTCGTCAATCTGTCAAGATCGCTGAAAATCCATTGGTATTTTGTTGGAATTGAGTCGTCTTCGCTGCAAACATTATCCAGCAATTCAAGATTAGACAGACTGCTGGCCAGATGTCCATCAAGCGATGTTGCCAATTCCAAAAATAAAATCATAAAACTACTTTTGGAATTTCCACTTGTTGAGCGCTCTGCTATTTCAAGGCCAATCATTTTGAAATAGTATTAAGCAATATTTCGAATTGTGCTATAGATTATGAGAAAAAGATCTGCTTTTGTTTTTACAGCATTCTAACGCATTTTATATTACTTCTCATTACAGAACGACCAATTTGCTAACTAAAAGTCTTAACATTAAACTGCTGCTGCAAACTGAATGACTGATTTATATGAACAAATAGAAATTACCTCCTAAAGAACTTTATACTTCTCGAAACAAAAGAAAACTTTAAACATACCTACATACATATGTATATGCCAAGAATGGAAAATCATTTACTAAAATATTAGGTATTGTCTTTAGTAATACAACTTAACACAGCCCAAATACAGTAGATAGCTATTAAATATTTGACAAACCTATTCAGCATTAAAGAGCCATATCTCCCAAAAACTAACACAAAAACAAAAAGAAAACAAAAAACAATAATAAAAAAACAGCATATCAGTTGTAAGTCGCTGGCGAGGAGATTAAGGAATGCAGCGGTGTCCCTATCTACATGAAATGCGTGAACGTCTTCTGGATCAGCCAAGGGAAACACTACAGCTGGAAAATATGGAGCGTGCCAATTTGCTGGATAACCGTCAGTCAGCATCCGAGTCGAATCAGGTCGGCACTGTGGTCAAGGTAGGGGCTGTTGGATGTACTCGTACCAAGGATTCAAAAGTCATATGCAATATAATGCTCTCACAAACGGTTCACACTTTCACAGTCACAGTCACAATCACAATCACAGTCACAGTCACACTCACAACATATACATACCTACACACATCAATGAATGTCCAAAAGAAAATTCATCACATATATGTACAAATGTTCAGGCGATTCCAGTGAACATTCACATGCATCGCTCAACATTAAAAATGCTTGTAAATATTGCATATGAGCTCAAACATAACTACACACATTTAAAAATATATATATATTCGATAATAATATATATATTTTATATCGATGATATTGCCTTTTAGTTGTGTAATATTTTTAGCAAATGTTTACATTAATCCATTATTGTTTGAGCTTTCCAATTATAGAAAAGTTCAGTTTACCATGTGAAATTAAAAGCCTCTTGATTGATTAAATGACTGATTGATTGATTTATAATCTGATCGCTCGACAGCCCGATATGAACCACAACAAACTCCAAAATGTGACACACTAAATAAAAAGCAAAAAAAAAAAAAAATAAGAAAAAAATAATGCAAATTAAAACCACTTACAATGACCAGCAAAAAAAAATCCTTGCACGAGTAACGGAACGATTCGCCCTTTACTTTAAGTTATAATATCAAAAGTGTATATTGATCAGTACAATTTTTATATAATTTCTGGCAATAAATTGGAATTGACTTTTAATTGTTATCCTTTGAGTTTAACATGACAATGCATGCACTCTATCTAATTATCTAATTAACTATATTTTTAATGACACTGATATCATAATTGTGCTTTCTTTTCGTGTATTGCTGTACATACGAATTCCAATTTATTGTTATGGCATTGCCATTTAACAACAGGCCAGAGAACTAATCAAAATCCATTTTGTAACTTCAATCCACAATTCCACAACTGAATACAGCTACAAGGCGATGGATATCACACGAGTCCCGCTCACCAGCGCACTCCGTTGGTGCCCCACGATCTGGGCGAGGATTTCAATTTGGATTTCGATGATGACTTTCCGATCGATGCACGACGACCAAAAAATGCCAAGTAAGTGTGTTCCATTCGGATACTTCTATATATATATATATTATGCATTAGCAATAACCAAAAAACACCCTAAAGCCGTCCACCCACGTTCTAAATGTGTGTTTCGTTTTCTATGTTGTCCAAATATATAAACAAATATTTATAACCAATAACCTTAAAAAATAAACACGTTTTATTTTGATTAAGAATCTTACCAAATCTTTCAAATGCGTATGAGAACTTGTTGCCCCCGCCTTCCAAATTCTACTAGGAAGTGCCAAACAACCCATTGTTTCACAGCTACTGTTCCTTACCATTCGTTGTGTGATTTTAATTTCTCATATGTGTATGTGTAGTATGGACTCGTCTTCCAGAGAGAGTTGCTCCCACCTAATCAAACCTGCTCAAAGCAAATACTTAGCGTATTCTAGGGTAACCATCCATCCATCCCTCTGTGGATTATTTTTGGTCCAAATGTTGTTTATCTTTTATGTAGTCATATACCCAACATGTTACGTAAACCTTGTACAAATTTCATTCAACTAATAAGCAAGACACCTTTGCAGCGGTAATCATCCACTGGTTCTGACGCATCCACAGAAAAGGTCAGATTTGGTATATTCATTTCGAAAATCCATCAATTTTCGATATATTTTTAAATTAATATTAACTACCTCAATATACTCATTAGTTTCCTCTCTCGGTCTATACACTAAAATTGTACAATATTTTGTTTTGCATTTGCCCACACTTAGTTGTCAATAGAACTAAATGTTGATTTCAATGCATTGTGTTAGCGTAGAACTTATACAAAAGCACATCAACTAACACTGGCAACCAGCTAATCACTAGATACTCCTAATATATAACATTATTTGTATGGAATTTTCTGGTATACTTCTCGCTGATCTAAGATCATACATATATGTGTATTATAAGCCAGCTTAAGCGACTCAGCTCGCTGCTGGCCAACTTCCCAAATGTTGTTTCTCTCTTATTATTGTTGTAAAATTGTCGGATTGTCATCTGGCTGTTGTTTGGCAAACCAACAGATTATAATGTCAATGAACTAATGCCACACAACAGGCACAGGCACAGGCACAGGCACATTGCCTTACATTTCCGATTATGTCGTCATTGTTAAGCATACAGCATGCAATTCCATCTGCCACTCCCAAAATTCCCCTTGCTCCCACCATAAAACAAATAGCCCGCGTTTCGGCAGCAATAAACACAAAAAAAAAGCATATAAAATGGGTTACACAATGGCAGAAAGCGTGTAAGCTGAAGAAGTTGCTAACAAAGTTCGCAACTTGACAACTTTCAGTAGGCAACCAGCCAGAGCACCCAAACAACCTGGACCTAGGCATGGGCCTTTGTCCGGGTCTGAGCTGCCAGCCAAGCACGCCATAATCTTTGGCCCAGTACTGGCTGTCAACTGCAACTATCTGGCTGCTCTCCCTGTGGGTGACTTCCTCCGTCTGCGTCTCCGTCTGCCTCTGTATCTGTTTCAGTCTCTGTCTCTGTCTGCGGCTGTCTTAGGTGTCATTGTTCGAATGACTTACATTCGCATACGACACACAATACGAAAACATCGAAACATGCAATCGCTGTTTGAAAGGGTAGCACATGTCAAAATTAGACACTTTGAAGTTTTACATAACTCGTTGGCCAACTGTTGTAAATGGCGAGTTTTGTCATTTGTCTTGCCACATTATCGATTAAATCAAATCGATGACTTACCTACCCGCATCACGCCAATAATATTGGCATCTAAATATCGATTCTGATTGCCCTAACCTTGCACTAACTCCGTATGAGTTGCCAGCCTATTTCTGGATGATCAACTCTCGGAAAATTGCGACGCATGATTGGATGAGTGCACACAAGGTTAATGATTGCCACCTTCAATTAAGCAAGGCTCTTGCCATAGCACAACTCATTCTTTTTTTTTATAAATAGCACTAAAACACCTGATGGGCAATAACAGAAGCTATAAATAACAGCGCCAAAGGCACAGGCCAAGCAGCCCTCAGAATCTGGCCTAGTTCTTGCCTCCTGCTTATGGCCTAACACATTTTCAGTATCATCAGCAGCGGTTTCTAGTGATGAGCCTAAAAAGGAACCCTATATAATTATAGCTTTATATATATATATATATATATATATTCCCCGCCAATATACATGCCGTCGATTTCATCACAATCAGTTGCGAAAGTCTGGCTCTAATGCCTATTCAGTGTAAATTATAAATTGCAATAACTCCCATTGATGATTGTTTGAGAATAGATGAATTTAATCGTAGATCCCACATATGAATTCCATTTGTTCGAACTGTATTTATATATATACTGACTTATATATCTTGACCAGACACATCTAATATATTCAAATGTAATCCATGCAAATCCATCCACTCCAAACGATCCAGCTAAAACTAGGATGTGTGAGGAGTGCTTCTGTTGTTGCTCATTAAGTCTATTGAAATATTTATCCTCTGTTTGCCCAGGGGTTTCTTTTTTAAGTTAGTGCTTGCCAACTGCTCCCCATTTTTATCGGCTTATACTTATAGTTGCCTATGGGTGCGGCTTTTGGACCGAATGTGGCTTTGTCCCCTTTCCCTTTCCCTTTTGGTAACTCCGTTCGCAAAACATCAGCGTGTCACTCAGTGCACTGCGACGCAGTTGTTGGCAGCTCGCGACGCGACGCAAATCCCATTCAGCCCTTGGCCATTGCAACCCTTTCCTTTCCTTTCCTTTCCCTTGCTTTCCTGGGCGGCGCACCCTGCAGTCGACTGACACGGCTTATTGATACGTGAAATGAATGGGTGTAAGGACTGGCAGCACTGGCAGCGCCCAGGCTGGGTCTGTAGGGCTTTGACGGCTTCGAATCGACGAATGGGCAAGCAAAACAGAATGCGATGTTGGTTGTTGTGAAACGTGCACAAAACAAAACTACGCAAAAAACACACATGAAAAACTTACGATATAAAATGGGTCGTCGCCAGACTGTGAAAGGAAATGAACTGCGCGCCGATGCCGGCGTCGCTGCATTTTTTATCGTAAATGCTTGGTGGCAGCGCACAGTGGAGCAAAGCATAAAAATAAAATGTGCGTGAAAACGTCTCGCATGAAAGCCATTCGAGAATGTTTGATCAAAATGCCTAACTAAGATTCGATTGGTAATCTCTGCGCTCTTAGGATTTAAATGAAATAATCGATCTTGAAGCACGCACAAAAAGTCACCCTCTCCCTTGGATGGGAAGAAAAAAACGGGGAACAACATATCATTGGCAGTCGGCCTAATGCTCGTGGGATTATCTTAAAACCCAAGCCCTTAAAAAAAACATTGGGCCAGTGTAAAGCCAAATTCGTAGATTCTAGTCTAGCCTTATTTTGCATGCACCGGACGAACTTTTAATTACGTTGTGAACAATCGCACCCACTGTGCCTTTCATGTTTTATAGGGTTTAGATTGCCCATTCTCGGCACGCACACACACAAGCACACACGCACACACATTCACACATTCACACAGCCGTAACAAACGTGGGTAATGAAGTTTGAGGCTGTTGCTTTCAGTTAACTGACAGCTCGCCCTTTTTTCTTTTGATTTTCTGATTCGACTGATGCGGCCTGCGCCGCCTTCAATGTGTTGTGGGCTGCACTATTAAATTGCACAATCACCCTGCCGGATAGAACTCACCCTGCCTGTTGGCTGCTGGCTGTTGGCTGTTGGCTGCTGGCTGCTGGCTGCTGGCTGTTGGCTGCTGGCTGCTGGCTGTTGTTGGTTGCTTACATACGTCGACGTGGGAATCGAAAAAATGTTTTGCATTCCCAGCTCAAGTGACCCATTTTCTTAATGCATTGTTGAAAGACTGAATGTTTCGTCTTTTGTTCGAGGCACAGAACAGAACGCTAACTCTATTTATTATTGGAAGGCAAAAAGGGAAAATACACTTTTTTAATCAAATGAAGCCAGTTGGAGTGCCCGAGTTTAAGTCACCATTTCTGCAGGAATTAAATTAGTTCGAATAGAATTTTAAACGGAAAATAACCCTGTTGAATGAAATGCACGGGAAATTTAGTTAAGAAACAAGCTGACAAATGACAAAAAGAGTGCGACGAAGCCAGAGTGATAAGCCACTGAGCCACTGAACCACTGAACCACTCCCTCATGGGCCAGCACCCGTAAGCCAAGAGCTATATACGGCTGTTGCCACCGTCGTCTCGTAGTAAAAGTCACAAATCCGAAATGTAAACGACACTTAAACGATTTTGCGCTTTGTCAACAAGCTAGGCAAGTGGAATTCACAGCTCGATTGGTGGAGGTGGGAAGAAGGCAGGTCGAATCCTCGCAGCAATCACTGCAGCCAAACAAGTCATTAACATTCCAATCGAAAAAAAAACCTTGTATATACATATATGTGTGTATTTAGAAAAGAGATAGAAAAAATCAGATAAAGAAAGGGACACCAAACAAATGCAAAGCCTTATGCAAATAATGTGCAGCATAGAAAATGGGAAAGGGACAGAGATGCAGAGATGCAGAGAACATGTGAAATCACAGAACTCACATACTACAATGTGTCCTACTTTCTGGCATACGACGCGTCGTTTTCCCCTACAGCCAGTTCGTCCTGCAACGCAGTAGCAGCAGCAGCAGCAGCAGCAGCAGCAGCAGCAGCAGCATCCTCCAAAAGAGAGCAAGCGAACACTGTGCATCCTATGCGAGGGTGAGATGAAGAGAGACAGAGGGAGAGAGAGAGAGAGAGTGAGAGATGGTGAGTGAGAACCAAAGATGCAGAGTGCGACTGGGATGGAGATAGAGAGCACAAGGAGGAGAGGACATTCGCAGATTCGGCGCAGATTGGTCGGCTGCTGCAGAGGCACACACAGAACGACGGGACTTGGTACCGAGACGAGCCTTTTCAGTTGTAGTTGGATAGTACAGGCCATTGGACGTGTTGTATACAGCGTTCGCAAGTCAGTGTGAAAGCCACACAATTCAGTTTTAAGTCTGGACCATCATATGTATACATCCCTATATATATATATATATATATACTTCATTTTTTTTGTGCATTTATTTTTGGAGCTGTGCAAAAGCTGTGCGAATTGTGAAAAAAGTGACAAATTAACGATTAAAAGTGATGATAAAAACAAAAATTAAAGAATAGAGCCTAAATACCAGCCAATTAGCCAAGCAGACAGCTGAGCATCATAGAATATGCGATAATATTGAAAACCAGTGCAATTAAACAAATACGTTTTTTGTGGTATTCGCTTTTGCAAAATTCTTGCAGTTCTGAAACAATTTGCTGCCTTGAGCATTGCAAAAAGATACGTTGGGCGCGCTACTGAATGTCTATCCTGGTTTTGTTAGCACCGGGCAGCTACATGCATACACACAAGCACACACCCACCCATACACCCATACACCCATACACCCATACACCGATACACTCCCCAACACGTACATATGTATGCCAATTTAGTCTACTACATTTGACAGCACCAACAGCGCCTAGCTGTGAGAGCGAGTGCGCAAATTTACTCTCAAGTTCTCGAGCCTAAGCTCCAGCTTCAGTGCTAGCTACGCTTTCAGCTCTATGGGGAGCAATGTGTACATGTGTAGATGGTTCATAAGCATATAGCTCTGCTACGCATACACACACACACACACAGAGAGAGAGAGAGAGAGAGCAACTCCTGCTGGTGCTGGGCTCAATGCTGAGTGTTAGTTAATCTGACGCAGTAATTTCCCCTGCCGCAGCGGAATGCGTGAGAGAGGGTTGAATTTGCTGCTGAGGCTGAATTGTTGTTTACTTGCTGTTGCTGCGTAGAAGAGAGGTCACTAGGTCGCTCCGGGACGCATTCCAAAGCAGCAGCAACAACAAGAACAACGATAGCAAGCAGTAGCAGCATCGCCTCAAGTGCGGCTTAAGCTTTTTTTTTTTTTGGCCACGCCTCATTTGTCAAATGCATTTCAAATGCGTTCCACAGAAAATATCTGAGAGCACAAACGCACACAAAAAGAGCGAGAGCAACGAACAACAAAAAGTATTTATTGCATACTTCGATGCGTTGCATGCAACACCAGATTGCAAATTGTTTCATTAATATTTGACGCGACATCCAAATCAGATCGAACCAAGTATTGTGAACCAAGTATTGTGATAAAGAAAAACTAATCAAAAAAAAAAAAAAAAAAAGAAGAAAGTAAAAATTAAAAACAAAAAACAAAAAAAACAATTGAAAATTCTTAACGTGATCGAAATCGCGAAGTGATCAAGTGAAAGCGGCATAAAAGGACCATCAGCCAGCACAACGGAGACCGACACGGAAACGGAAACAATGGGCGGCGGTGAAGTGAAGGTCGCCACCGTCGATGTTGAGAGCGGCGACAATATGGCAACGCTGCCGGTGTCCCGTTCCCACACCGCTGGCAGCACCGACAGCGCCGAGAAGAACAACGCAGCCAACAAGGAAATGGAACTGAAGAATGTTATGCCCCAGCCGTTGCAAAGGTGCGCTTGCCTGGGGAATAGGCACAGAAAGAGATAGATAGCGAGGGGTCGAGTGAGAGTGAGAGAGCGCGAGAGAGACAGAGAGACAGAGATACAGAGAGATGGAAATATAGCAGGAGAGATTGGTTAATGGGTGGCCAGTGTATGCTTCTCAAGGCCGCCAAAAATTGCCAGAGCCGCAGTTACTCAGTAATACTCAGCACACACACACACACACACTTATAGATACACACACACACGCACACCTATCCCCAAAAACTTCACTGTATATACTCGCCTGTATGTATATGTATATATGTATATATGTATGTATGTAGTAAGCTACACTGTAATACGTACAATTAGCAATTGTAATCACTAACACATTTGCAATGGAAACGCCAAGGTCCCCGTATCCAAGAAGCACCTGAAATTCCTCCGATTATCGTAATAATTCACTCTATTTTTTTTTGTATACCGAATGATTTCTTAACAAAAAAAAAAAATTGTCAATTGTCGATTGTCAACTTATAGGGTTTGCTACACGTTCAAGCCAAATCCAAATAAGCACAGTTTTATGCCAGCGAAAATAACGGTGCAGGGCACATATCAAACAAATGCAATAACGGGACCAATCGAACTATGGTAATATACATCATCAAAATGCAACTATAAAATATTCCTCAATTGCCCAATTGCTCAATTGTTCAATTGCAATCCTTCGCTCTGACTTCTCTCACCTTCTCCCGTTCCAATGTAAAACCAAAAACTCCAAATCTTCACAAAACGAATATATATTCTATATATATTTCGAAAACAGATCTGAATCTTATATGATCGAACAGCAGCAGATTCAGTTGCTTTCAGACTTCATCATTGTATGTTTCTAATCAAGCAGTTTCAGGGATGATTTACACACACACACACAGCTTACAGCTTACAGTTTACACAGCACACCATCCACATACATATGCAAATGAGTGTAAATGTGCTCCGATGAGGATGAGTGAGTGGCACGCTTAGTCTGCGCTTATTTGAGAAGCGATGTTTGCCGTTGCCGTTGATGATGATGATGATGTCGCTAACTGGGTCAAAAAGTGCATAGGAGTTGATTGAAACACAAATCGCACAACGCGCACAGTTGGACGAATTGCGCTGCTCTGTAAATGTGCAGGATATGAAATCAAGAATCAGAAGCAATAAATTTAATCAATGCTGGATTTCTTATATCACACTTAAATACGAATATGATGTGCATCCATTCTCAATCAAGTCAAGTCAATTGAATCTCCTTTTGTTTTGCGATCTTCGAAATAGCTGAATAGTCTTTATCATATTCATGTGAATAGCTGATTAGCTGATGTGAGGTGTGAAAAGAGCTTGTGAACTGCATTGCGCCCCACTGTGCTAAATTTGATGCCTTGCCAATGGAGCTGGTAATAGGCGTTGATTGGCATCGAATATCGAACAGCCAACCAAACAGTGGCCAAGTTGTCTCTGACGATAGCTAATTATGCATGTGGATGAGGCTGTGCACTCGGCCAGTCGAGCGATGCTCTTAAGATGCATGAAACACACACACACACACACATACACACACTTATAATCTGAGGCAGAGAATACACAAACACACATACACACACCCGCACACACACATACAAGCGCACAGCGAATGCAATTTTCAAGTACACCAATTAAAGAACTACTTACTGTAAACTAGGTAATTGACACTAACAAACACACACACACACTCACAGGCACACACACACACAGACACACACACACACAGACACACACACAGACACACACACAGACACACACAGACACACTTGTGTTGTCAACAATGTTTCGATTTAGGACTGGGTCATGTAAATTGTGCAACAGACACAAAGCTGCACTCGCACAAATATAAACTTACACTTACACTTCCACTTGCAGACAAAAGCATTCATGTAGAATTTGATCATTTTGACAAATTGGCAACAACTAAAAAATAAGAAATGTTTTTCCATTTTAATTTTGACACTCGATTTCGCAGGACATCGTTGTTTATCGTGACCAGTCTGGTATATGCGATTCTATTAATTGTCGTGTGCATTGCATACGTGATCAGCGATGTGACAACACACCGACTGCCGGTGCTCTACTATGAGACATTCTTCACCTATCTATATGGCACCAGCATACTCTTCCTGTTGTACGTCTTCTGTTTCCTGCTGCAGGGTAAGCTTCACCGCCCAAATCAATCATCAATCAAAACGCCAATGTTTCTAATCATTGCGCATTCGCATTCGCAGAGAGCTCTTGCTGCAATGGCGGCAAAGGGGGCAGCAAGCCGAAACCACAACCCAAAGAGAAGAAATCGAAAAAAACAAAGAATGCAGATCCAGCCGATTCGAAGGATGCGAAGGGCTCTAAGGACTCTGGAAAAGCTGCAAAGGGCGCCGCATATCAGGTGGGTCAATTATTTTCATTAATGCATTACGACTTACAAATAAATATACCGCCCGAATATATTGTGAATAAGCAACTTGATTAGTTAGAATAAAATGGAGTTTAAATTGAAGAGCCAATATTAAACCATTATCTTTCAGTCAACCCTTGACCTGCATTTGCTTTGCCTATCAAAGTGTCAAGTCAGTTAAAGCTTTATCCCACAACAACGGTTGCAATCGGTGTCAGGGCTTACAATTGGGAGGCAACAGTGGGGCAGCCACAAAACAATATGTAGTACATACGATGCACCCGAATGGGGTGGTCGATTAACAGGTCGTTGTTAATTATGTGACGTTGTTTGCCAAGTGATAAGGCCACATCAATTAAGGCGATCATATGAATTTGTTCAATGTGACGATCTCATTATTCGCATCTCCATCAATTCTTCTATTGTATATATAAATATATATATAAATATATATGTATCTGTTTTGCTCTATTCTCGTTTTCATTTCCATGGACAGGAAGCACCCGTCGATGTCGAGGTGGCCGTCACCCCAAAGAACGTACGCAAGCGGAAGACAACACACAGCGATCTCACCCACGGAAGTTTCTTTCTGCGCGTTGGTGCCATCGGTAAAGCATCAGAATTCTTCTTTGACTATATGACATACATATGCGTGCTTTACTGTACTGATTGGCTAATTTTGTTTTCTTTTTTGTTGTTTTTTTCTCTACTTTTTGATTTCGTGTGTGGTTTTTGTTTTGGCTTTCTCAATTTGTGGTGTGTGTTTTTGTTTTGTTGTTTTGGTTCTCTTAGCATTTGGACTTGGTGCAATGATCTATATTGGCCTTGAATTTGGTTCGTTCTTTGAGATCCCATTCGATTCGCCCTGCCATCATATTTTGATTGGCGTTAACCCGCTGCTGCAGATGATCTTCACCTTTATGCAGATGTACTTTATATTCATGAATGCACGGGTAAGTCTATTTAGTCCGCATTTGGGGCGCAGTTTATGTCGAGTGTACTTAGTACGACATCATTACTTCGACTATCTGTCTTAATCTAAAAAATAATAACACTGTAAGCCTATAACTACTTACTACTAAATACAATATACATACTACCCACTACTATTATCTACAACTACTACAACTATTGTATGTTAAAAATCATGAGTACACACAGAAAATAAATAAAGACACCTAACAAAACGAAAGCCAACAAAGTCCCAGTCCTCCACCGGTCTAATTGAGGTTAGTTTTAAGTTTAAGCTTACGATATTGTCGTTGGTCAGGGCTGGAGGGGAGTGCGGGATTGTAAAGCTGGAAATCATTAGAGGCTCACTCGTCAATCTAAATCGAAATTCCGTCACAAATGCTGAGTATCTAAAGATATTCCTGCCGACAATCGCGAACCATATTTTGGACTCAAGTCAAGATCACAACCCAACCCAACAGTTCAGGCTCGGTTCGGTAACTCTGTCTCTTTCTCTGTGACTCTTGGTCTCTGTCTCTCTCTCTCTCTCTCTCGCTCTGTCTCGCTCTCTCTCTCTCTCTTTCTCTCTCCTCAGTTTATCCCTCTCTCTCTCTCTCTGTCTCTCGATATTTATCTATCTCTTGCTAACTCTCACTATCCTTTCGTCTTTATCGCTCGTTCAAATTGGCGCGTTAATTGGCAGTTAGTAGTTCAGTTTGATTCATTCGCATTCATTCGCATTTATCTTAAGTACATCAACATTATTATCATCTGTCATTTCACCTGCTTTTCTTTCGCTTTGCTTCATTCAACAAATGCAACATTAATCGTTAAAAAGAAAGTGATTAAAATATGAATGGATAACAACACAAATATATTGAGTGCATTCACAAGTCATTGTTTTATTGTCACATTGTCACATTTCGGCACACAGTCGAACTGCTCATTCTGACCAAAGTCAAAGCCAGTGATTAGCAAAATCAGTTAAACATTAACAATTAACAGTTAACAGTTAACAGTTAGCAGCATAGCTTAGTGTCACATTATTCACATAATAACAACACGTACACGCATTCATCAAGCATTTATCATTCCATTTTCACGTAATCATCATCATCATCATATTCATTTTTTTTAAACAAATTTCGAAATTGTGCAAAGTACTTAGTTTTTTTAATGAACCATTTTTGTGTACATAATCCCCACAACTCCGCCCCATTCGCGATCGCAGACTAGGCCACCATTTCAGGTACGATATACAACTCATTTTCTACTCTACTATACTCTACTACTACTCTACTCTACTACTCTACCACTCTACTACTACTCTGCTACTCTGCTCTACTCTCTACCCTCACTACGCTCATTACACTCACACGATAAAAACATATATGTGTGTGTGATATATTTATAACCTCAATATTTATAAACTAATTGCATATAAACTATTTAAGGGCTTTTGGGAGTGGGCATTACAATTATATAACTTTGCTTGTACTCTTGCAGGGTATTCCAAGTTGAACGTAATTTTGTTCAAATTCCATTTTGGCATTGCAAGAGTATTGAGACTTCGGTCAAAGAGCCGAAGATATGTTTTTTTTTTTCATATGTTTAATACACTTACTTGCATATCTTTGTATTGTACATATACTGTATATTGTAAATATACACATACATACACATATATAGACATACATACATAGTTCTGTAAGTGCGATTCCAAAACGTACTCAAAATTGCGCTTGCGCCGTGCCTTTTCTCCCTCTCTCTCTCTCTCTCTCTCTCTCTCTGTGTCTCTCTCTCTCTCTTTTAGTTGAACATACACCGCTTCAAGGTGATTGCCCGCTTTGGCTTGATGCATGTGGTGGCCACCAACATCTGTGTGTGGATACGCACCCTGGTTAAGGAGTCGCTGCTGGAGATAACGATCTATCATCAGAAGCGTGAAGCAGATCCGGATGCATCGTCCATTAGCCATTCGATACGTCAGCATGCGTTGCGTCATGCTGGCACCGTGCTCCGTACCCAGGCTGGACCCAACACCGAGTTCGAGGTACTGGACGGTGAGGATGTGCTCCCAAAGAACGTTTACAAGAGCGACAATGTGCTGTCGAAGCTGGTGCGCAATACTGTCGATGGCATTTCGAAGAGCCTGGGCATGGGCGGTATTAGCAGCACCACTAGCAGCACCACCAGCAGCACCACTACGACCACGACAAGGGCACCGTACACAACGCCCAGCTATCAATGGCACAGCACTACTATGGCCCGCAAGCTGAAGAAGTTTATCACTAGCACCACCGCTGCGACTAGCACTGCAGGTAGCAGCAGCACCGGCACCAGCACAACCACCACCACATCCACCACGAGCATTCCATTCAATAGAGCTGCCACCGTCGCGGACTTCAGCAGCGGCAGCAGCAGCACGACCAGCGAAACAACCAATCCCTTCAATGGACTGCAGCGCATCTTCTCAAGCGCTGCACCGAGCCAGACGCCCGTCGATGTGGCCGCTCCAACGTTGCCCGCTGCTGCCGAGGGCAATTCAGCCATTGACAGCGCAACATCCGGCATCTCCTCATTCTTCAACAATCTGGTCTCATCCACGCCAAGCACCAGTGTTAGCGCCAGCACACCCGTGAGCAGCACGGAGAGCGCCGTGAATATTATGAACAATCTGTTTGGTCCCGGCATGGAGAACAGTTTCCAAACGTATTCGGATATCTCGCATGATGAGTCGAACGGGCTGGTTGCCTTTGAGAATCTGGAGAGCCTGGACAACATTTATCCGGCAGCACTGTCTTCCAACATTGGCACACTCAACTCCACCGCCTGTGGACGCATTGACATTATGGGCAGCATCGTTTATGATTCGGCGCCGTATCTGTATCCGTTTATCATTGAGTACTCGTTGATTGGCGCGGTGGTTTTGTATGTCATGTGGAAGCACATCGGTCGCTATCCGGGCCGGCTAAACGATGAGGATCTGGAGCATAGGCTCGAGGTGATGCTCTCCCGTCGAGCCGTTGCCATGGCGCAGCAGGCACGTTCCGGTCGCGTCGACTGCGTTGGCTCCTCGAAGGGATTGTTCTTTGGTCTGTTGCTGTTGGTCGGCGCGCTGATTTGCTTGATACTCTTCTTCGTCTTGGTGCGTCATCAGCAGTTCTCGCTGTTGGCCATTTACCTCGCCGATGCCAGTCACTGTATTCTAATGGCCTTTGCCATACTAGCCATCATTATTGGCTTCATCAGGTGCGTTAATTTTCTCTTTTTTTAAAATTACACGTGAGATTAGCTCCAGCTTACCTCACACTCAAAAAATATTATTGAATTGAAACAGGGTGAAGAACTTGAAATTCCGCTGCGAGGAACAATCGAATCTGAACGACATTTTGCTGCGCATCTCGGCCTTCGGATTGTTCACCTACTCCGTGTTTAGCATCATTGCCGGCAGCCTCAAGGTGCTGGAGAGTGAGCCCAGCCTGCTGGTGACGACCACCGGTGGCGTTGCTGTATTCCAGGTCATTTTGCAGCTGCTCTTCATTGCCGATGTGTCGCGCCGTCGCGTCCACTTGCCGGAGCACGATCGCAGCAAGCCCGGTCGCCAGATTGTGACCTTCCTACTCATCTGCAACGTGGCCATGTTTGCAATCTACACATTCGAAGCTCAAAAAGTATTCGCCAATCCTGTAAGTAGATATGTACGTAAGCGAGACTGAGTTAAGTAAGACGATTAACGCTCTCGTTCGTTCTATTCGTTATATTCGTTATACTCGTTATTCATTCATTCTATTCATTCTATTCATTATCTTCGTTATTTGTTATGCGATATCGTATTTTAATCATTATTTCATATTTACGCTCGCCTTCACATATTTCTGTGTATTCAATTGTGTTTCACAATGTTGAATTCGACGAGAAATTAGCATTCGGCATGTTTAACTTTATCTTAAAAATCTCATAAAGACGTCGCCAACATATTCAATAGATCCTCATTCTATATATGTATTTATTTAATTTTTTATTCGAATATCTACATTTGTTGGATGCTTTCGGGCTGCGGCTCTACTGTAGTTGGGTTAGATATCATTTTAAGCACAAAGTGAATTTTATTATCTCTAACAGAAACATGAGAAACAGAATCTGACGTGTTATATATAAACATTAGAGCTGCAACAATTACTTTAAGTCACGAAATACCTTTAAATAATATCAATTAGAATCATTGAAACATTTCTAAATTTATTTCTCACCTGGAGTAATGATAGCTAAAGATTCAAACGTATCAAGTATTCAAAAATAAAGTATATAATTACAATTAATATTTCATAGCTGTTATTAACTTAAAATAGGTTACAGCTCTCATGTTAACTATATGGTTTATGTCAGTGTATTTTCGAAGGCCGTAAATGCATGCTGTTGTTGTGGATACTCCTACTGTGTCTGTGTCTAATGATTGGCCAACTTGTTGATGTGTTTTGCATTCTTTTTGAATAAAACAGGTGCAGCTGGAGTTCTATGGCTTTGTACCCTGGTCGATCATTCAGCGTATTACACTGCCCCTGTGCATTTTCCATCGCTTCCACAGCGCTGTGACACTTGCCGAGATCTGGAAGACCACCTACAAGGCACGCTTGGAGTAAGGTGTTTCCCACAATGCATCTGTATGCAAAACGAAGAGTTTATAAAATGCACCAAAACCAAAATTAAAAACAAAAAATTATAGCGAACCGAAACGCAAAGAAAAAGTTTAAAGTTAGTTTCTAATTGCATATTATATATAATACATACATATATATATATATATATATGAATATAACTTTTTGTTTTTAGTTACGAGTGCGTATAGGTTAACTAAGTTCAAAAACCGCAAAAACCAAACAGAATAAAAACAAACCAAGAAGCGGAAACCAGCAACAAAATACGAAGTGTATTAAAGGAAGCGAGTTCCCAAAAAGAACCATTTGACCATTGCATGGCATGGTTTCTGAAAGCCATAAGCCAAACTTTAGAGAGTGTATTGATTGTATGATTGAACATTTATTGATGCTAAATACCAAAACGATAAAAACCAACTACGACAAAAACAAAACAAAAAAAAAAACGAAACAAAAAAAAATAACTAAAATCAATATGAAATTAAACAAAAAAAAAAAGAAAAGTTGAGTAAAAAAAGTCAGAGTAAGTTTTGAGAATCGCTTGTTGCTTTTCGTTTTCGTTTTCGATTTTTTTTTCTTTTTTTTTTATATAGAACTTCGATTTGTGACATGTGAGCTGCGATCGCTCACACTTTACAACTTAAGAACTAAGTCATAGCGTTTAGTCATTGATCATTGAATTCTGAATGCAAATGCAATTGCAAATCAGATGCAACATATTTTTGTTTGTTTATTATTTTAAGAAATTAAGTGAAAAATAATACTATTTTTACAATTTCAGCACATAGTACGTTAATTAATTTATGTGAATCTATATTTAATTGTCTTCATATATATATATATATATTCATATATATATATTTGAATTGAGACATAATTTTCTTTTCTTTGTTTATGCAATGTGTTTGTAACTAAAAGTTTTACTTTTATATTTTATATTTACATAACTATTCTTTTGTTTATTGTTGCTTTGTTTTTCATTTCTGCTGCAATCCAATTAAAAATTAAAAATCATGTAACAATTAAGTCAACAAAACATATACAAAAAGGTTGTTTACTTTTCGCGTTGCAGTTGAGAGGCACGAGTACTCCGAAAAATCCTTTACCACAGCTGGACGCATAACTCGGAACACAAATATGCTGCACAACAACAACAACACACACACACAACAATTGCATATTCTTATTAATTTTTGTGTGTGTAAAAAGGTTGCTTATTTGTGTGTGCGTGGATATTCATATATAAAGTCAAACTCGCCAAATGCATATGGAACGCCATGAATTGTGTTGGAGTCAAGCACGAAGTTTACACGGATCATGAATTCATTAAGCACTTTTTCTGTGGGTTTTCGATTTTCCCCCAGCCGGAGACAAACAACAACAACAACAAAAAAACTGTGATGAATTATATATTGTTTATTGACTTTGGATGCCTTTTGATTTACTTATTTTATTTTTTTTGTCTTTCGAATGTTTTGCATATTTTGCTTTTATCGTTATTAACGCCAAAATCAAAATAATGAAAATTGCATTACAAAATAAATAAAAAATAAAAAAATTAACGACTCAACGCGTTCAACCAATTTCATGGCCCATTGTTAAACAGACTCAAATGCAAGAGAAATGTGCGAGAAGAACACAAGACATTAAAAAATCATATTGCGGCTAAGTGCCGCCAAGAGCCAAACATTTTTAATACTTATATATGTTTATATATACGTATGTTTATGTATATATATATATATATATATAAATATATATATATATATAAATATACATATATACAGATATATACAAATATATAGATAATCGTTTATAAATGTCCATTTTTTGATTATTAGTAGTGATGTTAAATGAGAAACAGAAACTTAATAGTAATTATAATAATTTAACTATGTATGTAATAGCTGCAATATAAAACAAAACAAAAAAGAGATGGTCGTATGTGGTTCGCCAGAACACTTCTTAAATCCCTGAACAATGAAACGCATTTAGGAGATGACACAACACGAAAAACGTTTACAATTACAAGTTAAGAACCATTTTTAAAGATATGCTACGTATATCTATAAATATATGTATACTAACCCACCAAATTCAAAGTATTTCAAACTTTTATATGGAACACACGCGGATAAAAGGCGGCAAACTCCACTCATCGCTGCCACCACGAAACACAAAAAAAAAAAATAAAAAAATATATAACAAAAGAAAAAAACAAAAAACTATAACTACAACTACTTATAACACCAATGAACAAGTAATGAAAAACAACTGGCTCAAAATAGGCAACCAATAAGATTAATATTACATGTTGCCAAAGACAAAAACAAAAAAAAAAAAAAGAATGCTAAACGAAAAAAAAGAGAGAACTTTCTACTCAAAGGGAATATCAGTTTTTGGAGCATATTTGTACATACACTGCAAGTACAGAAAAAAACGAGTGCAAAGCCAGTGTGTGTGCGTCATGTGTGTTCTGTTGGCAATTAATATACACTGCCGTCTCTTGTACTGCTTATACCAATACATAATTATATGTATATATATATATATACATATATACATATATACATATATATATATATAAATATATACATACTTATATATAATATGCATGTAAATCGGTGTACATCAGTTCCGAATAGGGCATTGCGCGATACGTGATCAAAGCAATCCAAATCGAAATTCAAATTCTAAGTGTAATTTAAAGCCAATGCGGTTCGCGCATACATTTACACATTTCGTACTTACATATTATATAATCGAACAAATCTCGTATTAAATTCATATGTAATGTGTAGTTAAGATTGGCCCGCAAGCCGTAAGTAGTCAATACACAATCTCATTTGCAATGGCGCCAACTCTTTGCCCCCTCCGCCCCCCCTCTGACGAGCGGAGAGGCATGCATGAATGTGCAACTGAGTTACTCTCATTGGTAGTACGTATGTATGCTAGTTAAATACATATATGCATACATACATGCATACATACATACATACTATATTTAAGCACTCAAGTGGCGAATCAAATTCAGTTAAGCATGTAATTGTGTAGCTTTTAGTAATCGATAAATATTATTATTATGTGTACATCATATACATCATATGCATACATACATACATATATATATATATACATATATATATATATATATATATATATACAGATATTTGATAAAGCATAAATGGAGATAGGCAGCAGATCGAAAGAAATGATGAGCGAATTATGATAAACACAAATATATGCGTATATCTAATTGTTTTTTCTTAACAAATTTAGTTTAACATAAGATCATATTTTATGTATTTTTAATAACTACAACATAAATTATTGAATGTTTCAACTAAGTTGTATAATTATAAGTGAAATTTACAAAGAACGCGTCTACACATAATGGAATTATGTATCTGTATCTAAAACGCATGAGAAGGTCACTTCTTGAGATATCCGCACAACAACCAGCAACTATATATAGTTAATGGCCAACTTAACGCACAAGCAACAAAAACAACAACAAAAACAACAACAAAATAAAACACGAACGATCAACAACAAGACAAAATGATTAAGTATTCAGAAATATACACCTACAAATATATAGTGTATGTATATATGCACATATATACTTGCATATACATACATGTATGCAAGTACATATAGGCAATTTCAGTAAATAAAAACTAAAACCAAATAAAAATCAATACATACATATATATATATGTATAAATAAAACAACAAAAAAAAACCAAAAAAAAAAAAAATACGAAATACAAAATACAAAAAAACGTGGAAGCATTAAGCGAAATTTATAAACATTTAATATACATTTTCCCATAACCATTAAACCATTATTAAATAAATAAATACATAATTACAAATAATACAATAAAAAACAAAAAACAATATTAATAATAATAACAAAATTGAAAACCAATGAGAATGATATGCGGAGTTACGACCCAAAACAAGTTGTAAGCAAATTTTTAAATCATTGTCGCATTTTAGATACCAAAATAATTTCCAACGCGAATACACTCACCCAACCAAGGCTCAACACGCTCAACGCAACTTGTGGCTCGTCTTGAGTGCAACATACACCTACACACACACACACACATCCACACACATCCACACACATCCACACACATCCACACACGTTCCCACACACATTTACACATCCATGCATGCATATGAAAAATTACGTAACAAACGCTAAATTTGATGGTAAACGAAACAAAATGAAAAAAAAATAAATAAAACAAAAAAAATCATGAAAATAAAAACAACAAATGGCATACAAGTAATTTTAAATTGAATAAAATTAGTATTAAATATGTACAACAATTTCAAAAGCATTTTCAATCGTATGCGGGGAAAAACTCAAAGATCTTTATATTTTTGAGTGTTAATTTTTAAACTCCATTCAACTCCATCGTTTGGCATTAACGATTATACACGGGATCAGATAAGAAAGAAAAATAGTGAACAACTTCCTTGTCAGCTTGTAATCGATTGAGATGTCCTTTGACCAGCGTCTGGTCGTAATTAGTACGAGTCCCTTTTTTTGGGGATGGTTGAATGTCCTTCGTCTCTTGGATGTATATTCCGATTTGGCAGAAGAATGACCATTTAAAAGCTGAAGAACAAGAAATCAAGAAATCGAAATTGGAAAGGAATTTCGATATTTTTTATTGCCATGTTTTGTAAACATATATTGAGGTTGGATTGAAATTGAACCATCTGCATCTAAATTATGGGGCATAAGAAGTAAGAAGTGGATATCATTCGAAGTCACTGATAGCTCGCAAGTAGTCTGGATGATTGGCCAAATGAGAGACGCGACGCTGGACACCCGTCGGCACATACAGGAATTCAAACATCAACCATCTGTCAACTTATTAAATTGCTTTTGAAGACACAGATCAATTTCGTTTTGTTCAACTCATCATTTTTATTATATATTATATACTTATAATAGTTTTTATTGTTACTCTTATGTACATAAATAGGTATATATATTAATGGATTTAATTTTATCCAGCTAAACTCCAGCTGTCACGTTGGCATTGATTTGGAAGCGTGCGAATCGATAGGCACGACTGTCTACATCGCGCACCAGGCAGAGCGGTGGCTGTCCTTTGGAGTCAGACGCGTTTTGCGTTCCGGCTTCTAGCAAATGACGCAGTCCACCAGGCGTTATGTAGCCGACAGCACAAACGGTTGCCTCAACGAAACTGAAACCGGCACTGCTCACATATCCAAAGACCTCGCGACTGCATTGGCGGCGCACGCTGTCGCACGTCTCGACCGGATCCGTGGGCAGCCAAAGGCGGCACATTTTGGTCAACTGATCGCGCACCATTTGCGCCGTATTCGCGGGTCGTATTTTCACACGGCGGGTGCTCGTTTCCTGCAGTCGTCGCTTTTCGCGCACTCGCCGACCCCTCAAACGCTTCAGCAGGCATTTGTGGCTGTTGCGCAGCTCCTTGCGCAGTCGCTCATTCAGATCCGGCTGCGGTGGCTCGCTGTGCACGGGCGCGTGGTCGTCGCGCTTCAGCTGCTGCCAGCGACGCTTCCAGTCGCTGCGCGTTGGCAGGCAAATCAATGCGTTGTCCCCCAGCTGACCGCGCGACTGCAGACGCAACTGAATCTGGATGAGACAGTGACCGGGCAGTGGCTCCGGCAGCGCCTGTCGACGTCGCACACACTCATCCAGGCGCTGTAATACTGCACGATCACGCAGCACATAAAAGCCAGCTGGAGTCGCAGGCGACCAATCGCGCACCAGCTGCTGCCAGGGCGCCAGAAACGGACTGACCACCGCCAGCTTCCGATAGTTGCAGCGCTTGTTCGGCGGCAGACGAAAGTAGCGTGTGCGACGCTCCGCGGCAGCCCGCGACGCCTGATCCCGTCCTGCAAAAAAAAAAACAGAATGAAACAGTTGTTAGAAGCAAGCTGTTGCAAAGCTGTGAGTGCGAGGTGGACTCACCCGCTACTGTGTCCGGTAAATGGTGTTCGACACCCATCTCCCTGGCAACCGTGTCGAATTCGCGTAGTCCACCTGGCCGGGCGCCCCACATGATGAGCGTCAGCCAGAGTGACATGCCGTAGCGAGCGGGCGCTATCACATCCCAGCCAGAGCCGTAGCCCAGACGTTTGTAGTGTGGCTGCTGTGATCCTGGGCGCTGGATAAGCAACAGCGGCACTGGCTGCAGCTGCTCTTCAAAGGCGCACGGCTCGCCAGGCACAACAGCGTGCTGCTGGCGCAACTGATTGTATTGGTGTGTCGTTAGCATCTGCTGACCGAGACGCTCGCGCACCTCCGGCTCCCATAAATCACTATACGGCAGGCTGTCTGGCCGCGACACGAGCAACTCATTGGCTTCACGGGCTGAGGCTGTGCGGTCGGTTGGCTCTGCTGCCTTGGTGCGCTGTCTGGGTCGTTGCAGGCGCGGATCGACCACATTGACGCCAACAATTAGATTCGATAGCAGTTCACTGGGCGAGCTCAACTGCAGCGCCGCTTCGAGATAGTCGTGTGGCCGCTGGGCACGCAGACTGGCGGACAGTATGCGCTGGGCACGCGGTCCGGTCAGACGAAAGCGATTGAATTCCTGCTTAAGCACCAACAGCTTCACATTGTCATCCACATTGACGTAGCTTCTGTGACGCTCAAACGCTACGGTGTGCGTCCAGAAGCGCAGATCCTTAGCGTTGGCTACTTCTGCTTCTGGTGGCAGAACATGTTTTTGCTGTTTAGTCGATTTCAGTTGGAACACATTGATTAGCTGTAAAATGGTTGCCTCAGCAGCTGCTGGATGCAACCACAACCATAGCGTGCAGACATCATCAGGCTCGTCTTGCGCTACTTGGGGGCGCCACATGAAACTAGCAGTTTGCAGAGCACCCAACGGATACTGGCCGTCGGCAAAGAGCTGGACACTGCCCTCGCGACGTCCGCTCAGAAATGCCTTGGCCGTCATAGTGAGACCACAGTGCGGACTGGTGAGACGGGCCAGCCCAGGACACAGCAGTTCGAGGCTGCCGTTCAGCTGCACGCAGCTGTAGTAGGATATGTCCTGCAGCAGACAGTGCTCGGCACTGGCACGATAGCAGGCCCGGTAGGTCTTATCGCAACTGGCATAGGGCAGCCGATAGCCCCAGCGGTCGATCATAAAGAAGCGCTTCGCATGCCATATGTGCGTCTCTAGCCAGATGTGCTTGCGCTGACGGCGCACATACTCGCGCATCAGATTCTTTGGGCGGCGACGATATTTACGCGATGGTCGCTTGCTGTTCACCGGCTGATTGCCGGCCTTACCCATCTGGGATTTGTGGGCGGCGCGATGTTTGCGAGGCAGCCGCTTGGGATGATGCGACATGGCACGTCGGCGCATGTGCTTGGGCAGCGTTTGAAAGATGAGCTTGCTGCTGGCCGGCAACTGGGCATCCGCAATTAGTGACTTGATTTCCTGGAGTGCACCAGCAGCATAGTGATAGGTGGACACATGGGTTGGCAGCGTTATGCGCCCACCCAGATTGGCATCGTATTCTAGCTTTTGTGTGCTCATTATGTCAATCAATTTGTTCGTTTGTCATAAATAGCGCTCATTCAATAAATGTAACAAACAAAACAATTTCAAAACACGGGCACGTGCGCCGTTTACCGTTGAGTGATCACAATTACTTAGTAGCAATAGTATCGATGACTACTTACCGTTCAATCGACGAACCACCACAATTTCGCGATGCTATCGTATTTATATATATATAACTATCGCCGTCGATAAGAGATCAACAATTCGAGTTTCTGTTTTCCAATCGAGCCAGCGCCTATTTTTGTGTGGTGCTAAACGGCTAATAATGCAAAGATGGTGGCCAGTGCAGTGGCTGCTGCTGCTGCTGCTCTTGGTCGCCGTTACACAGGCAGCAACAGCAACAGCCTCTGGCATCCAAGCAACGCACCACAACACAACAGTCGAGAAAAGCACCAGCCACAAAAACAACAGCATCTGCCAGCGACGTCTCTTTTGGCGGCTGCCCGCTAGGAACACCTGCCCAGCCGATATATTGCCGCTGCGCGGCACCGTCTACATTCTGTACGACGTCAACATCTCCGAGGGCTTCAATCTGCGGCGCGACGTCTACATTCGCATGGCGGTGTTTGTGCGTCGCCTAAGACGACGGAAGCGTTTCCGCAATGTGCGGCTGGTGTTGCCGCCCTGGCCACGGCTCTATCACTGGCACTCGCACGGCCTGGGGCAGAGCGACCTGATGTGGCGCAGCTTCTTCGATCTGGCCAGTCTGCGACGCTATGCGCCCGTCCTCGACTACGACGAGTTTGTCGCCGAGTACAGGAAATTCGGCATGCCGTCGCCGCCCTACGTCCATGTGTCGCAAGCCTTCCGACTGACACACTACGAGATCATGCTGGAGCAGGGCGTCTTCCGCGACAAGTACGAGCGCATTACGCCCGACGCCCACGACTCGACGACTGGGCAGCGTCACGAGGCTTGCAACGAGAACTCCATCAGCGGTGGTCCGCTGTTGCAGCAGCGTCTGCTGAGCTATGGTCAGTATCACTGTGTGCGCTTCCAGGGCAGCGCCGGTCTGCTGGAGCGGATGCTGCGCGAGGCAATTGACGAGGATACGGCGGGCGTGGAGGATGTGGACGATATGCGCGTCTATGCGGTGCTCAGCGCCGAAACCGTTCTCCACGACAATTGGGGCGACGAGCATTTTTGGCTGGCACGTCGTTCGATGCGCTTTGCCCAATCTCTCAGCCAGGTAGCCGCCGACTTTCGACTCGCGATGCTGGCCACCACAGACTCGACGGCGGGCGTACAGCGACCAGCCATGTGGGAACTGGAGCGACCCAAGCGCGATGCACGCGGTGGCGACTATTTGTGCGCCCATCTGCGACGCGGCGACTTTGTCAGATCGCGCGAGTCGACGACGCCCACCCTCAAGGCGGCAGCACAGCAAATAAAGCAACTGCTGCGGGCATTCAATTTGAGCAGCGTGTTCGTGGCCAGCGATGCGACACCATATGAGCTGCTCGAGCTGAAGGAGCTCTTCTATCGGTTTCGCTTTGTGCACTTTACGCCCGAGTCGAATGCGCAGCGGCATCAACTGAAGGATGGGGGCGTGGCTATTGTCGATCAGCTGATATGCGCGTATGCCCGCCACTTTGTGGGCACCTACGAGAGCACGTTCACGTATCGCATCTACGAGGAGCGCGAGATTCTCGGCTTCAGCAAGTCGAGCACCTTCAACACATTCTGCAAGGCATTGGGCGGCAATTGTGCCCGCAATGCCGTCTGGCCAATTGTCTGGCATGACGACGACGATAAGCTCTACTAAATGAATGGATGAATCTTATTTGTCAATCTTTTGTGTGTAATTCCTAGTTTAAGTGTATTTGTATGTAGGATTACTATTTTTTATTTCAAATACTGTGCAACTTCAAACAAACTGCGATGCCATACCAAAAATTAAAAATCGTTTTAACACACACCTTTCCATTTGCAACTACGTTAGTTATTAACATTGCCAGAAATGATCAATTATTTGTTAATATTTGAATAAACGTCATATAAATATTTGCATTCACGAGATATCGATAATCTATCGATTACAATTTGGTATTAAATATTATGTGTTGGTATTTCACGAATTCACGACAAGAAATACCGATGGTAACATAAAGTCAAAATTCCAAGTTTCGATAAATCGTCTCAGTTGAGTTTTGCAGGTCTTGCACGTGTTCTGTTTGTAATTCAGTAAATATATATATCAAAATCGAATTTCTTTTGCCAAAATGGGCAAAAAGAATAAAAGCGGCACCAATTTGGGACGCCAACTAATCAAAGATCGCTTTGGGCACACACCACGCCGCAAGGTGGACAACGATACAATGGTGCGTAGTATTCGTGCGTAGTAAACTATTTACAATTATTTTAACACACACACATTCGTATTGTGCGCACTCGCATTTAAATATCCAGCTGCACACAACGGAGCTGCAGGATGGCTATGACTGGGGCCGGTTAAATCTCTCGTCGGTAACGGAGGAGTCATCGTTCAACGCCTTCCTGCGCACAGCGGAGTTGGCGGGCACCGAGTTCCAAGCGGAGAAGCTAAACATAACATTCGTGAATCCGAGGCAGCGCGTGGGTCTGCTCAGCAAGACCCAGGAGCAAACTATGCACCAGAAGCATGTCGAGCATCTAGATCAGCTGAAAATACCGCGTCGTCCCAAATGGAACAAGGAAACAAGTGCCGAGGATTTGGAGCGTGCCGAAAACGAGGCCTTTCTCAATTGGCGTCGAGACCTGGCGATGCTACAAGAGAACGAGGAGATTCTCATGACGCCATACGAAAAGAATCTCGAGTTCTGGCGCCAACTGTGGCGCGTCGTCGAACGCTCCGATGTCGTTGTCCAGATAGTAGACGGACGTAATCCGTTGCTATTTCGCAGCGTGGATCTGGAGCGTTACGTCAAAGAGGTGGACAGCAACAAAATGAACATGATTTTGGTGAATAAGTCAGATTTATTGACACTGGAGCAGCGACAGCACTGGGCACAGTATTTTGACTGTGAGGGGATACGCACAGCCTTCTACTCAGCCACACTGGTCGAGGAGGAGCTCAAGCGTGAGGCGGAGGCAGCCAGGCAGATGGCTGAGTCACCATCGTCGGCGCTGGAGCTTAAGCAGCTGCGCGACGCTGTCGAAGATATGCAACACTCGCTGGATGCCGTTGAGCACACACTGGACGCCATCGAGAGCAAGATACAATCAAATCCAGCGGAGACGGCAGACCTCAGGCTACCCCGGCTGCCTGGTGATAAGAACAGTGCGCATCTATTGTCGCGAACCGAACTGATTGATTTCTTGAGACACATCTTCGTGGGACCCAGGCACACTGCCCAGCATGTGACCATCGGCATGGTCGGCTATCCAAATGTGGGCAAGAGCAGTACAATCAACTCGCTGATGACGGTTAAGAAGGTTTCTGTGTCGGCCACGCCCGGCAAGACAAAGCGCTTTCAGACGCTGTTCCTGGATGATGACATACTGCTGTGTGACTGTCCGGGCTTGGTGATGCCCAGCTTTGTGCTCACCAAGGCGGACATGTTGCTCAATGGTATTTTGCCAATTGATCAGATGCGCGATCATGTGCCCGCCGTGAATTTGCTCTGCGAACGCATACCGCGCCACATCCTTGAGGATAAATATGGTATTGTGATAGCTAAGCCCATGGAGGGCGAGGATCAAGAACGTCCACCTTTCGCTGAGGAGCTGCTCCTCGCCTATGGCTGTAAGTGCACACGCCTTAACACAATCCAATATCTGTTTAATAGACTTTTTTCCCAGATAATCGCGGCTTCATGACCTCAAATGGTCAACCGGATCAGGCGAGATCTGCGCGCTATGTGCTCAAGGATTACGTCAATGGCAAGCTGTTATTTGCCCTGGGTCCACCGTCGGTCATTCAGTCGGAGTATCACATATTTCCAGAGCGCCAGCGCAAACCTCTTGAGGAGTCCCAGCTGCCCGGACAACAGCAACGTGCGATGCGCGTAAGTTGTCAACCTAGCCAAAGACTTGGTTTTATTTTAAAGTATGCGATTATTCACAGATCAATAAGAGCACGTCCAAGGAGCTAGATCAGCAGTTTTTCACCGACAAGCCCAGCGTGGCGCATGTAAAAGGCCGCACCAATTTCCCGCATGTGCGTCTGGCAAACGATGGCAGCCTGGTGGCTGGGGATGCTGCAGCCAAGCCCTGGCGCAGTGTGAAGAAAGAGCGACGCGAGAAGCTACGCAAAAAGTTCTCCCACCTCGATGAGCACTAAGTATGGCCATGGGAATTCGTACCCACATACACAAACACAAAGAATAGTTGCTGCAGTGCAGCCAAGACAGCACTTGGCATCTCCAGTCATGCAGTAAATTGCGGCGCACGAGCCTAAAAGCTGGCTGAGAAAACACCCTGTTTTAAATTTAATCTATGACTCTTAAGTTGTCTGCCAGCTCTTAAGCAAATGTATGAATATATGTACATATATATAAAAAGAGATGAAATGTGATCCGTAATCTTATCAGCTTTAGTTGAAGATCATAGTAGCCATGCTATAACCACCTCCCCATAAGCTAGATTTTTCAGTTTATCACTGCATCTTTGCTGTATTTAATAATAATAATAATCTTATCTGCAGCAAAGCCCGATTAATGTTGTCTTTTTTGCATAACTTTGATTAGAGCTTGAATATCAACAATAACTATTAAATTAGTTATTTCGCTTTGTGTGTGCATTCCTACTTGGCTCAGCTGTGCGTCGAATACAAAGCAGCAATCTATCTCGTTTCTCGTGCAACCAGTTGACTCAGACTCTTGTCTCTCTCCGTGGCTCTATCTCTATCTCTCTCAACATGTAAGAGTTGTGTATGTACATGTGGCATGTGCCTGCTACTCTTTCAAGAAATGCCTTGCTCGGGTAAACACGATGTGGTTGTTGGCCACTCAGCAAACTAACAGAGATGAAAGACGCAAGGGGGCCATTGACAGCTCTTTGCTGTTGTACTTTGATCAAGCAGCAGCGATTGCTGAGCGACCTCCTCTGCGTTCACTTTTTGATAAGCAGCAACTCAATGTGTGTACAAATATGTTCGTATGTACGTATGTATGTATCTATGCATACATTTTCCAAAGCCTGTTGTCTCTTGGCACACACACACACACACACTGCAATTAAGTAAACTGGAACTTTGGTCCGACCAGTCTGTTCACCAGCGTTGCAATGAGTGGATCTGCTGCTGCGAGCAATTTTAAGACGTTCAAGGAGCTCTTGATTACACGCCGCGGCCAACTCTTAGTTGTTCAGATCAATCGGCCAGCGGTACAGAATGCTCTGCGTCGTCGCACCATCAATGAGCTGTTACGCGCTCTGGACATAGCCAATGCGGATGAGGGCATCAGTGTTATTTGTCTGACGGGCAATGCGACCGCCTTCACATCGGGCAATGACCTGACCGAACTGCACAACTTGCAGCGCAAGAGCGGAGATGACGTACTAGCTGCTCACCTCAACTCCTCGAACTTTGTGTTAAAGGCACTGGTGAAGAAGATGTTGTTGAATCGTAAGGTGGTCATCGCTTTGGTCCAGGGCAATTGTGTCGGAATGGGCGTTGTCATAGCCGCGCTATGCGACATTATCTATGCCACAGAAACCGCCCAATTCTGGCTGCCCTTCTCCCAACTGGGCCTTTGTGCTGAGGGTGGCGCCAGTTGGACGCTGCCACATCTACTTGGTCGCACAAAGGCGACCGAGCTGTTGCTCTTTGGTGAACGTCTAGATGCCCAATCGGCGCTGCGCCATGGCATGGTTGCCAGCCTGGTGCTTGATGAGCAGGAGTTCTGGACGCGCATGGAGCAGCATTCGCAGCTGCCGATCGTCTCGTTAATGGCCACCAAACGCCTTCTGCAGCAGCCCTGGCGACAGCAAGTGCTCGATGCTCTGGACGCGGAATGCAGCCAGCTGAACGCATTGCGTCGTGGTCCGATTTATCGCGCACAGTTCTTGGCCTTTGCCAGACGCAGCAAGCTGAGCAAACTTTGAGCAGCAGATGCAGAATTCAATAAATTTATTGTGTTTTTTTTTTCGTTTGATATGAGCTATGCTCTTAAGAAGTTCAATCAAATAGAATAACAACGTTACACGCAAAATAATAATTATTTTTTTTAATAAGCTCAAAAATATATAATGTTGTTTTATCTAATTTAATTCATTTTGGTTTTGTGCTTTAAATATTGCATGGCGATGTATCGTGTACTTAAAAAACTAATTCAATTTTTTATTTTATTTTTTAAATTTATGAGCGCAGAGAATATTGGAGTATGTGTATGTGTATTTAAGTGTGTTAATCATTTTTAGTTATTTTCTTTGCACAAAACGGAATAGTTCAAAATGTTCAAAGAAAATCATATATAACAGATGGAAATAAAATATTTAAATAATTAGAGTGAAAGAAATTGAAATTGCTTTCTATTGTGGCTAAGCTGCGGATAATTTGAGTCCAATTGAATGTTAGTTTTATAAAGATTGCTTTAAGTCGGATATCAATTACGGATTTTAAGGATTATGGGTTCATCTAATATCTCAAACGCTTGTAAGAATTCCATGCTCGGGGCGAAGTGGAATGAGTCGAAATCCGAAATCCTTGTTTTTGGTTTTTTGAAACTACAGGAACAGTTTGCATGTAATTTGATCAGTTGTATACCTGGTAAACAGTACAATTTTGGACACAAAAGGATATGACTAAGATCTGAGCAATTTTTTAAAAATGTTCTTCGAAGCACTTTCTTTCTTTTAAGTGGCCAAGGACTCTCTTTTAACGGATATACAAGTAGTCATTAAAATGTCACAATTATAAGCGAATTACTTATTTTTCTCATTTTTTTTCAGTTTCGTGCAATTTTTCACCAATCCAGGAAATCCTTCAATGTTCGTTGATGTGACTACACCTCCAGCAATCGGATAACGGTGACAAAAACTACAAGACGCCCGAGGTTTAATTAGTATTAGCCAGGCGGGAACCTGGCGTCTTGACGATATAAAAAATAAATACGTTTAAGTCGCGATTGCTCAGCAACTGAAAAAAGAGCGCAAAATATATCTAAGTGAGAACGTTGAGAACACGAGGTAGACTACAATCCTGTACGGTCCGTCCACAGGATAAGTCTTGGTAAAGTGATAGTCTCAGGATCTTCAGTATAGAAATAGAAACGGGCAGCCAGAAGAGGTAGCCACATACATTTTACGAAAAAATGTTCTTACTGATAAAGGCTCCATCTGTAAAGTAAAGACAATACTTACCAATATACGTGAAATGAAATTATAACATAATACTACAGATATAAACTATAACAATTTCCAGTTCTGAGAATCGCAATCCTTCCAGGATAAAAACTAACTAACCAATATTAAATAAATAAATCTGTTTGCACAATTTACGGACATACAACATATTTTCGCTATAAAAACATATTTTAAAAATAATTTAGAGCAAATACAATATTGCAAATCAGAACAATATAATAAGATCTCCGCGCGAAGAACAACCAACTCAATTCGGTGAGCCTCGGTTAGCTGGGATTATCACCAAACTAAGAGCATGGAAAGATTATAGAAGAAGAGAATTCTCTGGAGATTCTTTCGCAACTATGTGTCGGATATTTGATACTGAATGGTCAGCTATATCCGATATTCCTTGCAGCTAATAGCAGCTAGCGACACCAAAGATGCTGACTCGGGACTCTGCGATCCACAAGAAGTACGGAGCTGCGAGAGATAGTTCTACATATTTCAAGTATATTGGCAAGATCTTGAATTGTACAAAGTAGAAATATATCAAAATACTCTCAGCAATTGCAAGTCCGACATCGTCCTTCTATATGTATGCTGTTAGTAGCCCTTAGCCATCTGCAATGGGCCCATTTGGATTAAGAAACAGATAGAATAAAATCGTGACACTTTAGATTGAAAGATAAGAGTTTGTATTTTCATATAAGTTCTCAGAATTTGAGCTGTGTTATTGCCTTTTCATGTTATAACCCTTTTGCATTTTCGAAATATTAATATTAAATGTATTTTCATAGTGAAGTGTAAACGATTTTCTCATTGCGTATTCGTTTTCATCGCCGTTATTAGTAGAAAGCAAATATATATTTCTTAGCCGTCACTCTCTTCTCTTACAAAGTAACTCAACAGAATGCTGTGATTATATCGGTTTATATACTCTGATATATGTACAAGGTAGAAAATTATATTGGCTTTATGCAATGTTCGTCACGCTGACCCTCAGTCTGTGAATCTGTCCATATAAAGTCAACTGTTTTCCCCGCCCAACTGGACTGGAATGAAAACAAACTTATTATGTAGATTATTGGTAAACTCCGAACACGTCTATAATTTTAGTGAGTCAGCAAATAATATATATATTTTGACCTCTGACAAGCTTTTCAATTGTCGAGCACCCTCCCCATGTGAAGGGTATTTTTCTGTCTTTTCTACCTGTTTTCAGCTGGTATCAGAGTATTTTGCAGTCGGTTATGGCCGACTGCTATGAACTGAGTGTGTTTTTTTTTTCTTCATTATTATTATTTTTCTGTTTTTTGCGTGTGATTTCATAATAAATAGTGTGTGTTGTTATTTTTTGATAAACTTTTGCATTTTGTTTGTTTGGTTTGACCTCTGTTTGGAAATTGTTCTTGTCTTTCTGTTAGTCAAAGTCGTACATTTTTCTGAATAGACTTAGTTTAAAGTTGACTATCCCATTCGCTTATGCGGGATGAAGAATTTTTAATTTTAATCATTTTTTTCTTTCGTTTTTTTTTTTTTTTTGGGTTTCTGGTTTTGTGTTTATTATTATTGAAATGACTGTAAATTTGTGTTTTGTTTTGTTTTTTTTTTATTGAGAATTTTTGTTGTGTGGAAATATTATTATTCGTATGCAAATATATGCCTTGCTACAATTATTATTGCCAGGTTCGATAAGAAAATAACTTTGTTAGATTTATTTTAATTGCCGTTATTTGTTTGTTTGTTTGTTTGTTTAATAATTGATGTACTTATTATTTGTGCCCAAACACCATCTTCTTTGGCTGAGCTTTTTTATATATTCTTCATTATTGTTATGCTTGAATATTTAAACACTTTTCTTGTGTAAAGTAAAATTTGTTGTCTAGATTATTCACTAGCTGTCTTTTTAAATAGTTCTTATAATTTGTTTGTATTTACTTTGTTGCATGCCGCATATGTTTAATACTTTTTGTTTCTGTTTGCTTTCTTTCGTAATATGCTACAGTTGGCATTTTATAAACTGTTCAAGTTGTTTAATTTATTTGTAATTTATAATTTACTATCTACGGGTTAATAACAATAGACGTAAAATAAATGTTGATTTGATTTTTATGTTTTATTAAATATGTATTTTGTTGTTGTTGTTGTTGTATTGCTTTATTAATTTACTAGTTGAACATTTCACCGACGCTTTCTATCGCTTCTTATTGCTTTCCATTGGCATCATGCATACACACACATATATATATATATATATATATGTATATCTTAGGCCCTGTACCCATAGACTAAACGAATATACATACGTATATAATATATATAACTAACATTGTCCGTCTATTGCATTTAATTATAAAATTTAACTACAAGCGTCTCGTAACCCACCTGGGATTATCAGTTGTCGAAGGGTATATTTGTGGGCAGATGAACCAAGTGGATACGTGCAGGGTATTAGGGGTATTAGGGTATGCTCGACTGTTGCAAGCTTGCACATAGCTTTGGCTGAGCCCACGACTTCTCATGCATACCCCGTAATTATCAAATAGTGAACAAGTAGGTGTGTCGTCTTTATACGGCTTATAGAAATAGACGTGTCAGGCTCCTTGGATTCGTTTGTTGTAGTCATCAACGCACTTAAACATATGTACATGTACATATACATATACATATACATATACATATACATATACATATACATATACATATACATATACATATACATATACATATACATATACATATGCATATACATATACATATACATATACATATACATATACATATACATATACATATACATATACATATACATATACATATACATATACATATACATATACATATACATATACATATACATATACATATACATATACATATACATATACATATACATATACATATACATATACATATACATATACATATACATATACATATACATACACATATACATATACATATACATATACATATACATATACATATACATATACATATACATATACATATACATATACATATACATATACATATACATATACATATACATATACATATACATATACATATACATATACATATACATATACATATACATATACATATACATATACATATACATATACATATCCATATACATATACATATATACTTATGCAAATCTTATAATTTTCATATCGTTTCAAGATTTGTTTATTTAATGTTCAGTTTTTTAATATTTATTGTGTAGTTATATATATTTTTCATACCCTTGCAGAGAGTATTACAAAATCACTAATGACAAGTGTTAATATTTGACGAGATGTTTATCGACATCGGAGCTATATATATATATAGAAACTAATTGAAAATGGGTCAACAAAATCAAATTGATTACACAGAAACAGTCGAATGGATTTTCGTAATTTATTATTTAGATTTGATGTGAGCTGATTGGCTCTGATTTGCAAGGGTATTTAATCTTCGGCGTGCCAAAGATAGCTGCTTTCTCTTGTGTTTTTTTTTTATTTATTTTTATTATTATTGGGCAAAACTACAAATTGTTGAAGCTGCTGAGTTTTTGATTGATCTGACATTGGGTACAGGGTATTTAATAGTCGAGAAATCTCGACTATGCTTGATCGCACTTCTTGTCTGTTGGCCGTTACTGAGGACGGATTTACTACAAAAAAATGCAAATGTTTTTTTTTTTGTTTTGTTTTTTGTCTTAAGTTAATAGAAAAGTACGTTATCCGCTGAACTAATTAACTAATTACATTTCATAATGTTTTTGGGCCTACGGCCTGATGTTGCATATTATGAATAGGCACGATTTCTCAAGCACCAGTTAGCATTAAGGATAGAGAATCAGGCAGCTCAACCGTAATTCAACTGAAGATTGAGGAAACCGGCCTGATTTTTGCTTTGCTTTACTTGTTGCTTATTGACTTAATGATTTACATACATATTGTTTATGTTTACATATGTTTCTGTATGTAACTGTCATGAGTATTAATTATTAATTAATTAATTTATTTAATGCTTTCTTTTCTCTCTTCTCTCTTGTCATATTGTTTATTAAGGCAAACGCAAACGCATTTTAATTGTGAATACATAGTGTCAATTGTTATGTAATTGTTCTTTTTTTGTTTTTTCTTTTCGTTTTTTTTTCTTTTTCTACAGGTTTAAATTCTAAAGTTTAGAATATGCCACTCGATTTGTTGTTTGGTATTCAAATTTGTTAACTAATCTAAAAGTGTAAGAGCTCAGTTAAGCTTCAGCTTTAATTAGCATTGTTGTCTATACCAATAAGTACATCAGATACTACATACTGATGTACGTTTATATAGTATTTATAAATGAACTGTTGCCTACTCGTTCAGTGTTTTTTTTCGCATTTGTTTTTTGTTTTTTGTTTTTTGCATTGATTAAACTAAATGTTTTACATTACTGTATTACATCATTTGTTTTAATTATTATAATTATTTTTAAATATATATAGTTATATATATGTATATTTTACTTTACGTGAAATCACAGTCCGTATGTGAAAAGACTTTATGTATGTACTCGAACGATAAAATAAATATATATATATGTTTATACATATATCTATATAATGCATGGATTTGTATATGTATTTGTAAATATGAATTATGTAAACGCTGTATATGCGCATATACCGCTAATTATTTCATACATCTCTAGCAATTGTTTTTGTATATATATATACCTATGTACTCACTTTATATATATATTTTATATTATACGCATAAGTACTATTTTCAAGGCTGTGACTGAAAATTTCTTTAACAAAATGTGTATTGAGCGAAATGTGTATGTGTGTGGTGTGTGTGTGTGTCGCTGTGTGGGTATGTGTGTGTGTGCGTGTGTGTGTATTTTTAATAAAAGGCATTCGTTAAATCTTGTTCATTGTTAGAAAAAAACTTCTTGAGTTTAGATTCAAATTGATTTTTAGCTACATAATATGTATGTCTATAAGATTTGATTTAAATTGTTCTTTGCTTAAATTGCTAAAATTGATTTATAATTTATATTTTTTTGATGAATTTTTGTGGTTGCTGTTCAACATTTTTTTAAGATTATTTTTTAATTAATTAGCTAATTTAATAAAAAAGCCTTTTTAATGAGTTTTTTTTTTTTTTTTTGGTTTTGTTTTGATTTTTATTTTTATTTATTTTTTTTGTTGTTTTGTTTTTTTGCATTTTAGTTTTCAAGTTGATATGAGCATTCACATAAGTTTTATGATCTACAAATTTGTGTAATTGGTGCATGTACATGTGTGTGTGTGTGTGTGTGTGTGTGTGTGTACGTGTGTATGTGTGTGTGTGTGTGTGTGTAAGTTTGGGCACTAATCACCTTAAAGCAAATACTTAGCAAAAGCGCACCCTTGACAAAGTGAACCAAACGTTGAGAGAGAATGGTTAACAGCAGTTAGGATCTAATATTGTCATCAAAAATGGAGCATGTGTTTAATGATGGGGAAGCGATAGATAGGGGGATGTTTGGAGGATTAATGCATTCATGAAGTGTATTTTTGGTGTGTAATGTTTTGTTTTGTTTTTTTTTTTTGTTAGAGTATTCATTCGCATTTCATATTATGTATAAGTATTTAGTAGTAAATATATGCATTTAAGTACTTGAAGTGTGTCACTTGATTTTCTTTTTGGATTTTGCATTGCTTTGGTTTGGTTTAAAAAACTTCTTACTCACCGGAGTTGTTCTTGGTTTCTATGTGTGTAAAAATTCATAAGCGCCATTTGTCAGCTGATTTGATCAATATAATATAATAATAATAATAATAGTAATAATATTAAGTATAATAATCATAATATTGACTTGTGTAGCGATCGAGGTTGCACCTAAAACGCAATGCTTGTACGCCTGGCCCCCATGCAGCCACCACCGCCGCCGCCCATGCCACGCATCGTTCCATGCGACACACTGCGTCCCATGCGTGCCTCGCTGCCGCGACGCTCGCGTGCTCGCCGCAACAGATCCGAGGTGCTGGGCCGACGATTGTTGCTGGCCGTGGAGCCGCGACGTCGACACGAGACTATGTCCGACGTCGAGGAGCGGCGTATGTTGCCCGATCCGCAATCATTGGCACCAGCTGCAGGCGATGCACTGCCTGAACCACCGCCAGCTGCCATAAACGGCGACAGGAAGTACGGCGACAATGATGATGGATGCGCCATTGAGTCGCGACGCGGCATGCTTAGCAACTGCGAGTGGTCCAACAGCAGATTCATCGACTCCTGCTCCTGCTCCAGCTCCGGATCAACCACCTCGATACGCAGATCCGGCGGCAGGGGTAGAGCTGTCACGGTCAGACTTGTGCCGCCGCACAACGAGGATGAGCGCGACTCCGACTGGGTGGACAGTTCCGATTTGTGGCCAGCTCCCACACGGAGGCCACTGTACAGTGTCTTGATGTGAAAATCGAATGACTTGAAGTCAAGCAGTGAGCGTCGCTTCTGGGCCTTCGTCTGCAGTGGGGCACCGCTCGACTCTGGCTCATCTGCAGCCATGTCATTGTTGTTGTTGTTGTTGTTGTTGAGCGTATCAAACTGGATCTGTTTGGCATGCGAGCCAATTGGGCAACTGGTTGTTGCTGTTGTTGGTGTGGCACGATGCTGATAAGGTTGTTGTAGTTGTAGATGCTGTTGCTGTTCTTGTTGCTGTTGTTGCTGTTGTTGCTGTTGTTGCTGTTGCTGTTGTTGCTGTTGTTGTTGCTGCTGCACCTCGTGTTTGCTTATTGTTGTTGTCATAGTATTGCTACTTAGGCTAGTTTTACTGCTAATCACTTTCAATAATTTATTATCGTTATCTAAGGACTCCTTTCGTCACTGAATAACACAGAAACCCTGCTTGGCAGCCTCCTTGGCATCCGCCTCCTCAATGAAAGCCTCCTCCTCATGCTTGGGCGAATCGGCACCGCAGGGTCCACCGCCGCTCAGACTGAGTGGGCCCTGCGGGCAGGCTGATTGTCACCGAAGCGCCAGTGTCGATATCATTGGCGGTCGCACTGGCTTATTCTCTAATATGCGCTCCAATTCCAGCATTACGCTGGACGACAGCCTCGGCAAGAGCTGTGAGTGTTATGTTATATACACACACATATATATAAATATATATATATATTCATTCGTTAGATGTGATGGCGGCTTGAAACTCACCTGCAGCGATTGCAGACTTTGATGCAGCTGCTCCGCCGATGTGGCACCCAGCAGAAGGCACTGAACGGGCTCGTGCTTCAGTGACCAGGCAATCGACAGCTGCGTCGGACTGCAACCAAGCTTCTCGGCCAGCGCGGCCAAATCACGCAACCGATCGCAATGACGCCGACCCTCCTCAATGCGATCCTTGCCCCAGCTACCCTGCGGCGATAGTGCAGCCTGCCAGCAGCAATACAACAATACACATTGATATTAATTAATAATAGAAAGAAACTAAAAAAAATAGCAATTAATAATAATGGGGAGACGCACATTCCGATTGATCTCATCTTCGGTCCACGAGAAGCTCTTGGTCTTGAACGAGCCCTTGGGCAGGAAGAGCTTGTCCCCGTTCTGCGTATCGCTCAATGCCATGGACAGTGGTCCCCAGGCCATCAGACCCACTCCTATTTTGTTGTACATCTCGGGCAAATACAGTTCGCACTTCTCGCGACAGAACATATGGTACTCGGACTGCTCAACGATCGGAGTGATGCAGTTGAATTGTCGGCAGTTGGTGTACGCCTCCATTATCTCCACCTGAGACCATCTCGCGGTGCCCCAATACATGGCCCAGCCTTGCTGGATGACATAGCTCATCGCTCGCACCACTTCTGCAAGTAATGGTCAGAAATCGGTATAAATAACAATGGACAAATAGACATATAATAGATATATGTATCTATAAGTAAATATATACACTCTAAATAGATAAAGCTTTAATCAAACTAGAAGACTTGATGATACCCACCTTCCATGGGGCACATTGGATCTGCCTTGTGAATGATGACGATATCGATGTAGTTCAACTGCAGACGCTGCAAACTTGCCCGCACGCATTCAATAATGTGCTTCCGGGATAGACCCCGCTCCTCGGATCTACACAATCGAGAGGCATATATATATACATATATATAAGTATATACTTTGCCTGATTTGATTACTCACTTTGTGCTCCAATACACCTTCGTTGTGATCACATAGGTGGTGCGCTTCCAGCCGGTGCGCTGCAATATTTTGCCAATTTCCGTCTCGGAGTGCGCCTCGGAAATGTCAAATAGATTGATGCCACTGTCGATGGCCAGTTTTAGAATGGCCTCGGCCTGCTCATCACTGACGCCCGGCGAGAACACTGGCCATGTGCCAAGGCCCACGTTCGAAATACGCAGTCCGCTCTTGCCCAGGTTTTTGTACCGCAATCCCGGTGTGGGCGTCGAGCCATGCCGCAGCGGCAGCGCCGGATTAGAGCCAAGGCTTATCGAACGGCCTAAGGCGTTGACAATGGCAACATTCCACAGATGGAATGGATCAGTATCGGGGTCGGGGTCGGGGTCGGATTGTGTTCAGTAAGCATGCGGCGGTAAAAGTTTGTTTATTCATTTGTTAGTGAATCCCATTAACAGACTGTTTTCTAGCAATAAAAACAAAACAAAACAAAAAACCGTGCAATAACCAGCAACATCAAAATAAAACATAAACTTTGACAGCCTAATCCAAAAGTATTTGGCCTAAATGCAGGTGCAAGTTGGTAAGGGAGACAGATGCGTGGAGAATGAATATAAATTAGTATCTAAAGTTCTCTGTTTTTACTCTGTTCTAAGGTTATTTCAATTCTAATCACAGTTCATGTTGCATGTACTGTAAGTGTTTTGGAATGGCTAAGGATCCGTAACCCTTCGACTTAGCAAGCCAATAATTATTGTATATAGACTCTCACAGAGTGGAATGCAGCTGCTCGAAAAGTTTGTAGATATTGGTTAGTCAGACCGATCGATGCGTTACTGGGTTGCAGGGGTATAAACTAATTAATTATGGCCCCAACTGTTGTGGCTTGAATGTCTTTTAGCTTAATTGGAATCCAAGCTGTGCATGCAGCTGTCAATATTAAATGTTGCCACGTTAATTCAAAATACATATATGCAAATAACAATTTTCCGAACGGAGTTTCGTGCCAGTTGTGGGAAAATAGAATCAAAAAGCAACTCGTACCACTTGCGGTGCGAAACAGGGCAAAACGTGAGTTGTTTCGTGATCGGGAAACTCAATACGCGTGACGATGTTCGAGATGGATGTATGTGCGGATGTACGGCTACTTATACGTCAGTGATAAGTTTTACACAAAAAAAAAAAAAACAAAAAAAAAAAACAAAAAAAAGAATAAGAAAAAGAATAGAAAATACAACAAGCCAAGCAATTGAAGAGTATCAAACTAAAAGACCAAAAAATTATAAGTTTATATAATAGTGAGAAATTCGATACCGAAATCAAGATGACCGCCCGTACCACTGAACTCCTCCATACAGTCGAGTGACGCTATAGGAGCCCGGCACCTGCAAATAGACCGGCATAACAATGTTTCGATCAAGTTGTATTCTCTTCTTGTTGTTGTTGTTCTTGAAAATTGTACATTAATAGTGCCTAACCCAAACAGTGCCTTAAATATGTACAAATATATTTATAGTTTTATTAATGGCAAACAAAAAAATACTCGGATTATTGCCAAGTATCGAAACTAACTGTTAGTAAATCTAGTTTGCCACTTCTTTCTAGTTAGTTGGTTCAACAACCTCAGCCCCCCCAGCAGGCATTACCTGTAAATAGTGACCGGGTTTGAGTCATCGCTTGCATTGTCCATATTGTTGTTGTTGTCGTTGTTGCTTGTCGCTTGTGCGGCGGACGTGGCGCCCATTACGAAATTTAATGTGCCTGGCAACGCCATACCAGATACATTCAAAATGCCGCCGTTATTCACGTTCAGTACGGTGTCTGTTGCAGTCGCAGTCGACGTTGCCGTTGCCGTCGCTGGCGCTGGCGCTGATGCTGTCGTTGATACTGTTACAGACACTGTAGATGGCTCCACTCTATTCGCTGTACCGGTCGGTTGCAGTACCGTTATGGCTGCCAAGCTGCCGTTATTGGCTAAATCGACGCCGGCATCAGTGCCGCCAACACCGCCATGACTCTCATGGTCAAGCAGCAGCGGGGTGCTGGCATTGGGCACCACCACACCACCGATGTTCGCTTGCTGCGCGTAATCGTACGCTGTGTGCGCTGCAGCTGCGCTGCCCTGCGTCGCAGTTGTGTTTGTATTTGTGTTCGCATTCGCATTCGCATTCGCATTTACAGTTGCATTTGCAGTTGTATTTGTATTTGTATTTGTATTTGTATTGGTGTTGATGTTGGCCGGGCTGCCATCACTATTCAGACTGCATACCATGGACATCTTGAGCGGGGTTTTTGGTTGCCAGCTGCTCGACTTGTTTGCTACTTGCTGCTAGTCCATCGACTGGAGTCCGATGCCATGATTGTAACGCTTTTGTTTTAACTTGGCCGTTGCATGCGTTGTGTCGTTCGACTTAATTTTAGTTAGCTTTATGTTTTATGTTTTATTTTCATTTGTTGATTATCCGATTTGAACACTACTTTACTTAAATTTGACTAATAATCACAATTTGAATGTTTCACAGCAGCTTTTAGCTATAGCTGCTACTTTAAGGCAAGTCCAGTCAATAATTTGTTGCTTTGGATTCTATAAAATCGATAAACTGCAGTTGAATTTATGTACATACGTATGTACCATATACCTATGCATACATACATACATAATGCATACATAATGCATACATAATGCATACAAATGCAACTAGTTTGCTTCATTTTATTCACTTGATGTGCACACATATTCTAGCCCAGATCCTTCCACAAATTCTGCTTCAAAATGCGACTGGCAGGACAATTCCCCATTATGCAATAAACTCAGAACCAGAACCACAACCAGAATATATTTTGCAACAGTTAAACTACGATAAAAATATTGTATACGGGTTAGTCCTGTCACCAGAAATGCTGAATATTTAAACAAGTTCAATTTGCAGGGTATACAGTAGTCGGTACACAATAATTTGCCAGGCTTGCAGTCATTAGCCGCTCTATGGCAATATTGTAATTGTGGCTTTGCAATATGAAACAATGGATGGCATGTTAACACTCGCGACCACATCCACTTCCACATCCACATCCAGGAGAGCAGAGCTGTCGAAAAAGCTGTTAAAGTAATGGGGTCAAAGCTGTTGGTGTCATGAACGCAAGCGCAAACTGTGTGCACCAAAACAAAGTGGCACAGAACAACAACAAAAATTTGATTTACACACTGCAACACAAATGAGACACATGGAGACACATTGAATAAACAACTAACAACGATTATATAGTTGGCAAACTTACTAAGCACTTTAAATATATAATTTTTCTTTCTTTCTTTTTGGTATATGCATTTGAGTAAAAAGCTTTAACAATTTTGGCTGATTTATTAATTTATTTAATTTTGTTGTTGTTTTTTTTTGTTTGCCTATAAAATTTCAACAAAGGAACAAAACCATGGAAAACGTGACTTGAAACCAAATGTTGGCGGGTTTGGGCTGGGGACCCAGGGCCGCCAGCATATGCCACTTCACGTGGCTGGTCACGCAACACCACACAACACAACACAGCAACTGAGCGGACCAAAATGCAAATTTGTGTGCCCGGTAAGCGAAACCATTATGACCGAGGCGCAGCATTGACTTTGGCTGAGACCCAATGCCTAATTTCTATTACCAACACGGCAGGCGGCTCGTGACTTCTGCCATGACCTTCGGACAGGAAAGGGTAGGCCCGAAAAGCTGCCGACATCAGCACAAGTCCTAAGTACAACAAACAGCACACAGTATGTATGATATTACTCACTTTATTTGTTATTTATTGATTTTACAGGACTATGGCCCCCAGCGCATTAAGTTGTTCAACAGGGCATTTTGATCAGTGATTACTGACTTAACTATAGCCTTTGCCTAGCCCCAAACTTGACAGCACTAATTGAAATTTCAACACTTTCCTCAAATATCTACAGGATCTCTTATTTCTTGTTCACTTTAATTGAGGACGAACTTGATTTCAATTCGAATTCTTGCACAGCATAGATATTTAACACACTTGTCGAGATTTGACAGATTCTCTGCGAATTAGCAGCGACCAATCAGCAATTAGATTAATGAAACTGGCACCAAGTCCAAGTCTTAGTAATCTTTGATTAGATTACGATGCCAGACTCATTGGATCAACATTTAAAAATTCGACAAAAAAAAGGAGCTGCAAAAATTTGAAAATGCATTTAGACTGGCAACTGGCAGCTGGCAGCTGGCAACTGGCAACTGGCACTTGCCACAAGCAGTTAATTAACAAATACGCTGAAAGCATCTACGATTCGATTCGATTTGATTTTGAAAACAATGTGAGCTATCCAGAAATCACTGATTCGAATAATAAAGGCAATTATATATGCATTGTCGAGCTGTTTGATAATATCTATAATAGCTGCTCAGCACTTAACGCTTATTTGTGTGTGTGCGTGTGTGTGTGTGTGTGTGTGTGTGTGTTTGGGGGGCATAGCCAAGTTTTCGATTCAGTTTGCCGTATAATTTGTCATTAGACACAATTATTTCTAGATTAGCGGCTGTTCAAATTGTGCGCCGCTTACAGTGCCTCCCAAATGTATGCTATAGTAAATAGCCGCTGGGCAAATGGACTTGGATTGCGATGATTTGCTTACAGATGACTGTGTATGTGTGTGTGTAGAAAAGTACATTTATTGATTTTGTTTAGTGCTTAAACTGTCTCATTGCCGATTATCTGTTCAGCAATATATATATATATATATATATATATATATATATATATATATATATATATATGTATGTGTCCCATATAGATATATATGTGTGTGCCTTTGTTTGCATATACAAGTCCAGCTCAGCGTTGCTTTGACACATTTGGTACATAAATCAAGAGTCTAGGCCATATTCTGGTTGGCTGACTACTGCTTGTGGGATTATGGCAACTGGCTCGCACAGCCAGCCTGCAAATTACATAAAAGCTACTGGGGCGGGCCCTTGATCTTAATAAGAACAACTCTCGGCTCTGCGCAGATTTCATAGTCGGCCCGAAAATAAATGCATATAAGGAAAAGTGGAAAGAGCTATAACAAAAAATACAATTTTATGCACTTGGTTGCAGCTGCCATGGACACGCTGGCACCGACTGAGACGCCCAACCCATCCTTGACTTGTCTTGATGCTGAAAATAGTATTCGCACACACACACAGACACACACATACACACATAGAAGCCTGTATATATATACATGTTTTATTGCGTCACTTCTCAAGCCTCGTTGTTTCGAGCATTTATTTTTTATGTGCATTTACCCGACCAGTGCTGTGAAATGGATTATGAGTGCAGCAAAAAAAAAAAAAAGAAAGCCAACAACATGGAACATGGAACATGGAACATGGCAAACGAATTGTTAACTAAATTGAAATACCTTTGCCAGTTTGCTCGACTCTGTCGCCAATTTGTTATGGCCAAATGGAGGAGTGTGCAAAATGCGTACACAAATATAAATGTTTGATAAATGTATGCGCATATCTTTAAATGTTTTATGTGTTTATGTTTATGTTTATGTTTCTTTTATTATCTTCTTCTTTATTTCTTTTCTTTTTTTTTGCACAACTCCCCTAAAGTTGGCATTTGAATGGCATCGCATCAAGCTGAGGTACTCGTATTTATATTTGGATTGCTGCTATTTGTATACGTATTCCAATTCTCCGGTCCACAGATGCCGAGATTATGTACGGTGTCACGAATATATATATATATTTCCAGAGGTGGGCGATTGTCGCAAGGCGACGCTTTAAGGAGAGTGTCGTCGCTTAGGCGCAGCACGTATTCGACATTATAAATAATAAAATAAATACCCAAATATATACATATATATATGTATGTGTGTGTACATATATATGCATTCACTAGCTATAAATATGTAAGAATAGAGCCACATTCGTTCTCGTTTCACGTTTCTGGTTACGCGTTACTGGTAACTGGTAACTGGTAAGTGGCAACTGGCAACTGGCAACTGGTCGATATGCCGCATTTTCTCTGTTTATTTACTGCAGATTTCCATGACCCACAGAATGACATTTTTACAGGCATATAAATGCGGATTTGGGCAGTTCAAATTAAGTGACAATATTGGAAGTGGCAAATCGGATAGAAATACGGATACTTATTGTAGCTGAGAATTAAATCAAGTTTAGTTCGAGTAACAATAAAAGAAATGAAAACGAATCAAAGTCAAAGATTCAGCGTGAATACATCGTATTTTTCCAAGCATGGTGATCGAATTTTAGAAAATCACATAACTTACGTTAGAAAAGGAAATTGTAATGGACACTTTAATATATTTTGATTCCATGTCAGGTGTTATATGGCAAGGCAATCGATACTAACTGAAGGCAACTGAAGGCCTCCGAATTATATAAATTGTTTTATGATTGGTTCTGTTGATCGCGACACGCATATTTGTGTGTGTGTTGTTGGGTGTGTGTGTGTGTGTGTGTGTGTCTGGGTCCAATGTGTCGTGTGACATGCAACACAATAAACATTCAAACGCTTGTCATGTTTATATGACCAAAAAGATCATTTGACACGCGCATGAAAACAAAGCCAGCCAAGAGGCACGACAAATAACTTGATACAAACTCAATATATATAATTATAGATATATATATATATATATATATATATATCTGAGACAGACAATAACAGTAAGCAAATAGCACAGTATTGATAATTTGATTGACAATCAATTTGAATTTGAAATGATATATGATTGAGTTATTATGATGATTTCGCTTTAAGGCCCAGTTGGCACTGGATGCTTAATATGCATGAAATCTGTGTTTTATTTAGTAGTCTAGTATCCAAAGAGTTGGATCTTTGAGATAGAGACTCGAGCGAGATTATGCATTATTTGTTTGTTTGTTTCTTATTTTTATTTCTGGCGCAAAAATGGGAGAACAAATAAATAACAGAATGCTGCAAAGTGTAATGAGGATGTTGCGACGTGCAACGCGCCACATGCGGCACAGGCGCAATGGGCCACGAGTGTTAGTCTCTGTGTGTGTGTGTGTGTGTGTGTGTGTGTGTGTGTGTGTGAGTGTGTCAGTTCAGTTAAGAAACCCACTAAAACATACGTAATTCTTTCCATTTCTTGTTTTTGTTGTTGGCAGTAAAACATCAAAAGTAAAACATATTTTTTATTTGCATCGATTTTTTTGTTGTTGAGAATAACACGAATTTCAAGCAGCACAGATTGAGAGAGATCAGTAAGGGAATCGACACACTTATGTTAAAATCTCATAATTGGCATTGGCAGCACCATCAAAACAAACACTTTTCGATTTCACTAGCAAAAAACAATGAAATGAAATGAAAGCATAGTAAATATTATTAAATATGGTATGTGTATGGGCCACATTGCTGCCGGCGCGTGTTGCAAGGTTAAACCTCGAACAAGACGAATACAAGACGCAACACTAAATGATGCTCTTCAATCGGTGTGTCATAACAACAATGGAACAAGTCACAAGCACTGTAACAAAAAAAGCAAAGAGCAACTAGATGGCCAACAAAGTTGGCTTGCAATTGGATTGGATATTCACACATGAAGACAAATATAGAAATTGTAAGATGAACCAACGGAAAATGTTGCACGCAACTTGTGCCCTAACACGATGATCAATTATTTTGGCTTAATGTCTGCCATATATATATATATACACACACATATATATATATATATATATATTTGCACGTCTTTTATGTGAATAGATAAACAACGATTTGGCGATTGGGCACACAATGTCACATCATAAATGGCACTTAAATGGCGTTTAAGAACGCAAATCGGAATTTTATTCGATTTGTGGATCTGTTACATGTCTCATCTCTTGTCCACGTGTGTGTTACATATATACATATATATATATATATACATGCTTTTGTACATAATCGTGTGCGTTTGGCTGTTATACATAATTAATCACTGCATTTAATATTTTCATAAATGATACATACATATGACTTTGTACATGTATGTGTACAATTCTATGTTCTACACTATTTCTACGCTACGATTTATGAATGTTTTAAAACAAATATTTTATTGTTGTTGATTGCTCGTTCTATGGCTTGTTATATTATTTATGTATATTTATTTATATGTATATATATATATATATATATATATGTTTTTCTGTTGTTTTCTTTTGCCGCTTCTGCCGCGCGCCGTGGCCGTCCGTTGCGTCTGACACGCGAAACACGTAACACCGCAATGAAGTCGACAGGCGAAAGACAAAATATTTTGGCCCGCCAGCCGAAAAACAGCAAAGCGAAAATGGCGAATACGCTGGCAGTGGCAGAAGCAGAGGCAGTGGCAGTGCCAGAAAGCAGAGACCAGAAAGCAGAAAGCATAAAACAGAAGGCACAAAGCAGACTTGGCCGACCTGGCGCACAACGGCCACAACAACACACACGACTACAAAATTTGCTGGCCTGGCAGCCGGCGGACGAGCGGGGAAAACATTTGTGCGAAGGCAGTAAAATATAAAAAAAACAAAAAAAAAAAAACAGCAACAGCAATAACAACAAAAAAGCGAATAAAAAAAAACAGAAGAAATGAAACGGCGGCGGCATCTCAACATCGGCATTGGCATCGAAACGACGACAAAGCCAAATGCACGTGTTACTTGTACGAGAAAAACAATAAAATACAGGAAAATGTCGTACAAGCGGCGAACTGAGAGAGAGAGAGAGAGAGAAAAGGAAAAGAAAGAGAGCGAGAGAGAGAGAGAGAGAGAAATGTGGAATAAAAGAGCATGCTAATAGCACGCGCAATTGCAATTGAGAGTTTTACAAACAGAAACAAGCTTTTTGGCTCTCTGTTTTTGTGGTGAATTTTGAGTGGCACACACGTGTTCCACTTTTCAAGCACACCGTCACAAAACCGCAGTGCAACCCATACCACCAACAAAAAAAAACAAAAAAAACCCACCCAAAACCAACAACATCCCAGTCCAACCCCAGGCGGGGTTCTTCTATGTTCTGTCCAAAATGCGCCTCGCCAAGGGAAATGGAAATGGAAATGAAAATGGACACGTTTATTCGTGTGCATATGTATGTAGTATGCAAATACATACACACACACTCACACACATATGTATGTCTTGTTCATATGGAATTTGTGTCGAGCTCAAGTGTTTTGCACTTTTCTTTTTTTTGTTGTAGTTTTGACTAATACAAAGCGTAAGCTGAGTTAAGTTCTCTTTATTCTTTGTTTTGTTGACGGGTGGTGTGCTTTTGAAACCACACAAAAGTCCACCATGACACAGATGCGACAGATTCCATCAGAAAGAGTAAGTATAACTATACTGATTCCCATGCCCACGATCACTGTATGCAGTAGAGTTTGATCTTGAATGGTATAAAAGTACAGCAAATTTGGGATTGGGATTTCAGCTAAAGAATATCCATTTGTATGAGTATATATAAATATCGAAAAGATATGTTAATAAACAATTATTATTTATTTTATAAAATGCAGTTGTTTTCACGTCGTATGCGCAATATCGAACGCAAAAGACCGACTCATAAAAACTCAAGTTAAGCAATTATTTCTTTAATTAATTATTCTTCTGCGAGTGACAGTTCCACTTAATGTTTGACAACCTTTTATTGTACACATATTCGCAGGTAAATAAAATATAGACGTGGGAAACGAACAGATTGTTGGGCAGTAATTATTCATACAAAATACTTTTTTTTGCGATTTTCCCATTAAAAAGAGAGAGTAAAACTTGTTAAGTGCGGCAGATAATTGGACAATAATCAAATCAAAAAAGATTTACATTTATAAGACAATTATTTAGCAACAAATGCTTTGGTCAACATTTTTATTTGAAGATATTTGCAATATTTGCAAAACTGTTTAGCTGCAGCATAATTTGCAGCATTTGGCCGGAGGTGCATGTCTTGGCTAACTGAGCATCGAAACCGTTTAAACAGTCATCAATGTGTTGCAGAAGCTGAACAGCCAAAAGCTTTCACATGACGCATTCAAAAGCTCTCGGAGAGAGTTTTTTTTTTAGCGTTTGCGCGCCTTTTAATGCTGGGAGAACCACGAGAATATGCTGCCAGAGAATTGGGTTGATATGTTCTCAATTAACTTGTGACCAATTGAAAACTAAATGTAACTTTCTCAAAATCGTCTATAAATATTTCTTTTTTATTTATTATTTTTGTATATATATATATGGAAATATCTTTTAGTTATTAAAAATAAACAAAAAGAAGAGGAGAGAAAAAAAACGACACTCAAATTGAAGGCAAGGTAAAAGCACTTGAAAGCTTCTGCGCTTCAAATGGCTTTGATTGAGCAATGACTTTCAGCTCGTGTCATCGGAGCATATCGTATCAGGATAAAGAGAATGTAATTGGATAATATGCTAAATAGTGTCGATTGACATACTCACATGCGATGGTAGGCATCCGGCTGGTTCTGGGCACATGTCACGGACTGCTCGGACTCCGTAGAATCATCGCGCAGCGTCGCAACGCCGAGCGGTAGTATGGGTATTATAGCAGCTGTGGCAGCTGCAGCTGTTGCTGGCGGTCCCGCCAATGCCGCCGTGTATACTGTCGGCGGCGTTTCCGTAAAGTTTTGCGTTTGCGGAGATGGTGTCGTACTTACGGCCTCCTACATGAAAGCCAGCACAAAAAAAAAAACAAATTGGAAAAGAGGGAAAACACAAAGAATTTAGTGAATGCCTTCAATGGCCACAAACAGCACACAGAGATTAAGAACACACAAAAACCTTGAATTCAGCTACGCTCGGCACCGAGAAGCGCTTGCGTTCGTAAAGAGCTTCACGCTCGATGGAACGGCTGCGGAAGGCTGGCGGCAGTGAGCGATCTGGTGGTGTTTGCAGCTTGGGCGTCTCCGGTGTATGAACCCGTCCACCAGCGTTCGCTTGTGTTGCAACAGTTTGTTGCAGCTGCAATTGCTGACGTTGGTGTTGCTGTTGTTGCTGCTGTTGCTGTTGCGGCTGATGTTGCTGTTGCTGTTGCTGTTGTTGCAGGTGTTGTTGCTGTGAATGCGACGATGTTGTGGGTGGACTTTTTTCGTTTTGAGATTGCTGCTGCTGCTGCTGCTGCTGTTGTTGTTGCTGTTGTTGTTGCTGTTGTTGTTGTTGTTGGTGTTGTTGGTGTTGCTGTAACTGGTGCTGCTGCTGTCGCTGCTGGTTCTGCTCCTCACGCTTTTGCTGGCGTCGTATTTCAAAATCCAGCAAACGTGCCTCTCGGTTCTCCTTGTCGCGCTGTTTACATGCAATTGTTGCAAAGTGCATTTTAACTATAAATTCATCAGCCTTAGGCTCATTATTTTGCTTAATTACGAGAAGTGCGTATGTAGTATCTCATCTTTGGGCTCACTTCATATTCGCTCAAGCGATTCTTTGATTTGATTGATGAAGAAACGCGTGCATAAATTTAATTTAATTTTGTTTTGGCTTTTGTTTATGATTTAGTTGGTTTTTTTTTTTTGGTTTTTTTTTTTTTTGGTTAGAGATGCGTCTGCTTGCACACACACACACACACGCACGCACACACACGCAGGCACACACACACGCACACACACACAGGAAACACTCACACACACACGAATAGACGTGAACGAACACGAGACACTCACACACAAAAACAAACACACACAGACAGAGAAATAGAGAGAGAGAGAGAGAGAGAGAGAGGGAGAGAGAGAGAGAGAGAGAGGGAGAGAGAGAAGAAGAGGCAGAGGAGCACTGACACACCCACTCACCTTGTAGTTAATAGCGTCCTGCTCCTCCTTTTTGGCTTCACGCTCGTTGCGCTGCCGATCGCGCTGCTTCTCCTCGTCGGTTTGCGCTGTTTTGCTGTCTGTGTTGGTAAACGAATGAAAGAGAAACAGAAACGAAATGCGGATAATTGTTAACTAATTGATAAGCTTAATTGAACTGCCATCGAGTCTCGAGTCTGCATCTTCCATGCGCATTTCGAAAGTAAGAGAACCTTTTTCAAATAATATCGAATCATCAGCATTCAAAACATCCAAAACCAAAACAAAAATGCATACATAGAAAACTACATTCGTACAGAGATAGACACATTGTTGAGGATCAGTATGGCAGTATCAGTTATCAGAATATGCATGCAGTCTTTAATATGTACATAAATAGCAAAAGATTCACATTCGCATTCACAGAAGACACTCAAAATGTTGCATTCATTCGTGCACAAGTAATACATACATATACTATATTTATACATTGATCTAACTACTACTAATACTACTAATATTAACTACTAATAAGCGAAACTATAAATTTCACACTGGTAAGTAGTTGTTGTTGTTGTTGTTGTACTTATGTATGTATGTACATTTCATAGATGGATCAGTTTAAATATATATTTGAAGATTTCAATATTTACATTTATGTATATGCATATCGAGTTGGCCTGAAAGCTAATTGCATAGCTAAAACAAATGAGCCTGAATGTAGACTATGGCATAACTCATTCACATTTGACTTATCCAATCAAAACGAATGAGTTAGATGCAACATAGAAATCAAGCAAAAACTGGCTCAAAACTCAGAAGTTTTCGACAATAGAATTGTAATATGAATATTGAAAATATTTTAAAGATGCGTTTTTCTTTTTGTTTTTACTGGGTGTATTTCATATGTTTATCTTTGATACTTGCTGAACTTTCAAGAATTTTCAGTTTTCTTAAAATAAGCTGAATTGATTTAAGCTAACGGCTTTATTGTGCAACTACATAAGGCTTCTAGTCATACGCTAATCTCTGCAAGTACCATATTCAGTGGGGGAAAGTGTAAAAAAAGCTAGTGTTATTGGGGGATGTTGGCAGTTGGCAGTTGGCAGTTGGCAAATGCTGGTTACCTGGTGACCTTCGATATGTATTAATGTAGTGACATACATATATATATACATATATATATAAGTAGTGTATACAAACAAGTGTACATACCAGATTTGATTTGTTTTAGTTGGGCTTCTGCTTATTTCATAAACATCACACTTAGTACAATAATTGTATTAAGTGCAGGTACATACATACATACATATGTGTGTATGTATGTGCATATGTGTGTGCCATAACCTTTGAAAGGGAATCACTCGAAGCGAGAAATATGACAGAGAGCGAGAGAGGGAGAGAGAGAGAGAGAGAGACGCGGTATTCTACTTATGCACTTATCTATGTGCTTACAGTTATTGTACATACCTACTTATGTACTGCATTGTACAAGCTATGTGTGTGTTAGTGTTGAACAAGAGCAAACTATACGAGAAACGAAACGAAATGGAAGAAAAAAAAACTAAAAATAAATATACATATGTACTTGTACTATATACTATGTACTATGTACTATGTACTCTTTGCAAACAGAACTGGGAATTGAATGATTTCTGCAACCACAACAAAACAATCTATTATAATATAATATAAATGATGATAATCATAATAATCAAATAGAAACCATAAACTATGCGATAAATTTTAAATTTCAATTTAGGCAACACTACGAGACCAGAGTGAGAGACAGAGACAGACAGAGAGAGAGAGAGAGAGAGAGACAGATAGAGAGCGAGAGAGACAGAGCGAGAGCGAGAGCGAATTTGAGTGAGACAGGCGTACTCCTTACCTCTAGATGTGTCAGTTGGTTTTGTTGTTCTTTGTTGATGTTGATGTTGATGTTGTTGATGATGTTGTTGTTGTAGTTTTTGGTATTGTTATTGTTATTGTTATTGTTATTGTTGTTCTTGTCGGAGATGTGTCGATTGTATGATATTTTAGCATTTAATTTAACAACCGTTCGAGTGTTGCGTGTGCAAAGCAGACGAAATTTCTTGTTGTTTTTTGTTTTTTGTTTTTTTTTCTTTTGCTTTTTGTTTTAGTTTTAATTATTTTGTTTTTTTGCATCTGTTGTTATATTTTTTTTCAATTTTGTTTTTATTTTGAGCAGTGGCGATTGCGTTTAACGGCGAATTTAGCAGCGTGCGTGTGCGTGTGTGTGTGCGTGTGCGTGAAGAGGACTGTTTACCGTTACCAGGCACAACATATGCCCCTGCTGCATATGCAATGGCAATAGGTGTGTGTGTATGTGTTGGTGTGTGTGTGTGTGTGTGTGTGTCGGTGAGTGTGTGTGTGTGTGTGTGTGTGTGTGTGTGTTGGACAATACTTGAGGTCGAAACACTGAGTATTTTCGAAATTCAGTTTGCTTGCTGCTATGCACATACATACGCGGCTGTGTGTGTGCGTATGTGTGTCTGTCTACGATTCATGTTCAATGCTGATGTACCGTTAGATATTGTTGTTGTTGTTCTTATTGTTCTTGTTGTTGTTGTTGTTGTTGTAATGTATGGCAAGTATTACGAATACGATCTTGCTAGAATATTAGTAGCTGAGCGGTGGCGTTACGTGGTCGTGGAAGTGGGCGGTGGGCGGTGGGCGTGTCAAGGTGGATTAACGACACAATATCAAAGAAAAGAAGAAGAAAGAAACAACAAAATGTGAATGATTAATAATTTAGTCGTAACGATTTGCTTTGCATTGCTTTGCTCATTTTATGAAATTGACATTAACCAGTATTTGATGTATGTATGTACGTTCATCTTAAGCAAAATCAATTGTAACATTTTGTTGTTGTTGCAGCAGCAGCAGCAGCAGCAGCCGCAGCAGCCGCAGCAGCAGCAGACAGATAAAATATACGTATAAATATACGAGTGAAACGAGTGAAAATCCAAAAATAAACAAAAACAATAAATTCATTTCCTCATCTTTCCCTACACTCGTCACAATTGTCTATTGTTTAAATTTTCTATTCGCTTGCTAAGCACAATTCTAGCACATTTCTAATTATTCAAATTGTTTTCTTTTTATGTTTTTTTTTTTTTGCTTATATCGATGTTGTTGTTGTTGTTATTCGTGGCTTGCAGATTGTCATCTTGTTGTACTGGAAATTTGTTGGCTACATACATACATACGTAGGTCGGATATACATACATATGTATGCCTAGTGGATCGATTTTCAAAGTGAAATCAAAATAGGTAACTGAAAAATTGAAATAGTGACTGAATATTATATTATAAAGTGTTGTACTATATAGTGTATATACTGATATAGCATTTAAAACACGGTACTTGGCACTCGTACTACACGATTAAAGTCTCATGTTAATAAAGGTATCCAAGAGTTTGGAGATACATAATCAATATTTAATATACATACACATAATTTTTGTACTGATATATATATATATATAGAGCATAGTATATAGTTTTACATCTATGAATATATACGATTCAGGTTCACTTAGTTACATACGTACGTATACAAACGCAAGAATATTTAATCGAACTGTAAACAGAGCAAGAGACTGGGTACATTTAGAGACTTGCCGTTATATAGGAAACAACTAAAGATCCAAAAACAAAATTATAAAAAAGACGTACAAGAAATCAAAAAAATGCTGCAACTCCCACACCATAAATGCAACTCACTTGAGGAACCGCCGCCAGCGCCAGGTGGCGGATAGGAAAACCAAAATTGATGTGCCAGTTTGAAGTGGCCCAATTATGGGCTTGCTGCAAAACAAAAACAAAAAAAAAACAAAGAAAAAAATCATTTATATATTGCATTATATACACACATACATCATTCGATCAATTTAGATATCATCGAAAATATGTACAAAATCCAGTGGAGTCCAGTGGAGTCTTCAGTCATTTGCTTATTCCTTTCAACGCACAGCATTTGCTGCCACAAGACGAAGTGGCACTCGCCGGTTACAGCAAAGGATCGATCTTAGTTTAGTTAGTAATGCTTAGCTCATCAAGTATTTTTATTTTATGCTTGAATGAAGTAACATTAAATTAACTTTTCTCTACTACAGATTTTCTCCGCGTGTGCGAGTATTCCCCAATATTTGTATATTTCTTAAAGTTTGCCTTTATTGCCTCTCTTTTGGACCCATAACTCAAAAAAAAAAAGAAGATTGATTGGCTGGAAAAAATGAATAAAATAAATATGATGGCAGTAAATTCAGACTTGAATAATTCTTTTGCTCCTCTGCCAATTTCTAATTTAGCACAAATTTAGGACAAAAAATATGAATTTCATTAACCCATCTGCTTGGACCCCCCCGTGATCTTGTCGCTCCACCCAGTTTCAGGAAATCGGAGTAGAATCCCAATAGGATAGCACAACGAAAAATTGTTGGGCTAAGTGAGTCGGATTTATTGGCCAGCAACTGTCTAAGCCAAACAGTTGGCCAGGTTTGGTCGATCCTTTCAATTGCGTAGTGGATACAATAATCAGTTTTTTAAAGTGGTTTTTTGAAAGTATTGCATATGTTAATTTTCTAACGGATTTGCTTTTAGCCTTATTGTACTAATGGGAATAGAATTAGATAATTAGATAAATACTCACCAATTAACTAGTATCGTGTTCTTGTTTAAGTTTGCAAGATGAACAGCTCCGTTTCCAATCGTTTCTTTTATTATTTCATTTAAATTTGAATTTCTATGCTAAAACCATAGTAATTTTCACATGTTTTTCTGCCCATATTGGGAAATGAATAAGTTTGAGTAAAAAACTTCATCCGACCAAGTCTCGGATATGCAAGCAAATCAAATAAAAACACTCACACACACACACACACACACACATTCAGCCGATGCAACAACAACGACGTACAACGTACAACATATTCAATGATAAGGCAACATTCACAAATGAAAATAATCGTCGATTTCGATTGATTGGCAATAACGGTGTGAAGATTAACACAACTGAGCTGGCCCACAAGCGTGATAGTGTTCAACATTCAACAGAATGCACGGAATCCGTCACATTTGCAACATTTTCAACTGTAATTTAATTGAAGAGGACCTGCGATGTTGAATATCAGCAAACACTGCGCTGCCGTTTATCGCGAGTCGCGAGTCGAGGAGGGTTCTGCAAGTACGAACAAGTATCAAAACGCCAGCAGCATCAAATGTTTGTCGTCGGCCTTCGCAAATGCACAGCGCTGACGCTGACGCTGTCGCTGTCGTTGTCGTTGTCGCTGTCTTTGTCGCTGTTGCTGTCGCTGTCGCCGTCGACAGTGCCGCGTCACTTCGCTAGCGCCATCGCTGTCGGCAGTCGGCTGTCGCAGTCGGCAGTCGGGTGTCGCAGTCGGCAGTCGGCTGTTTGCTGTCGGCTGTCGGCAATAGGAGGCCGTTCGGCATTGCTTGGCATTTCGCTTCGTATTCAGTTACTGCAGTTGCACCATACGGCCGAGTGGGGCTCAGTTCGACAACGCGGCACACTCGCTCATTCTCTTTTCCCTCTTTTTTGTCTTTTTTTTTTCATTCTCCGAGTGAACTCTCTGGCACTCGGCGTTATTAACGTTGCTTTTCTTTTATTTGGCATTGACGATTTGAAGCCAAAAACAAGGTGCACCAGCAATAAAACAACAAAAAAAAAAAAGAAAAACGTTCACAACACTGACACTAACAAAAAAGATGTACTTGGCATGTACAAGTAAATTATTTAAACTGTTGTTCATGTGCATAAGTATTTACTTGCGTGTGATTAAAGTCCTCACACACACTCACACACTCGCACACACACACACACACACACTTACACACATGTGGGGCAAATAATGCTGGCAAATATCCCATGTGCGAATGTGATGCGCCTTTTGCTGACATCATCATCATGATACGCCTAAAATTGCTTTCAAAGCCCACTTAAAAGTTGGGCAACTCTTTTACTTATTTCAGACGGCATTGATCATATAAAGCCCACCACTATTGCGGAATCATCGGCAGTTTCATCACTTCATGTTTTATCAATGAGCTATACTAAATAGTTTGTTTAATCGACCAAATATTACACAATTACTACCACCAAACATTCTTGTTTTAAAGTCACTGAAAACTACGATTTTTCGCCATAACGAATAAAAACTAGTCTAGGAGTCGTTTCCGAGAAAATTGAAGGCCGAATAGACAAACACTCTCACAACCAGAACGGACAGGAAATAATGACACAATATATATATTAGCACATGTTCCTTACACATATGTAAGGATAGATAGGCTGGACAGCAAGTCGACAACGGGCTGATAATTCTTATTGGTTAATTTGCTTGTTCAATTATATGTGGTGAGCGCCCGATAATTGGTTACGCTATATAATAAATTAGCAGCACGCTAAGGCCAAATCGAGCACTCCCACACCCAAACTCACAAAAGTACACACAGATATGTAGTAAGACATTACATATGAACAATACGTGACACAGTCCACTTAGTGGCAGCATAGGCAAGGTTAGCAATGCAATGCAACAACTAAGAATATACGAATTCTTGCACTTATGTAAAAAATAAAAATATATTAAACAGAAAACAAAAACCAAAAAAAAAAAAAAAACAATAAACAGAAAACAGAAAACACAGAGATAGTTTAAGGAAAATTAGACACTTATCCGTACCATTGGCTACACACGAGTAGCCAAAACCGGAACAAGCTAAATCAGGGCACGTTTGATGCGTGAAGTGAGACTTGTCGGGGACTTGCAATGTGTGTGACTGTGGCTGCTGGACTTGATTGTGCGACTGGTGCGCCCACATTGCCTCGTTGCTGCCCAAACTATGCACATTGTCTCATAACGGATGCCTGATTACAGCCGAGAACGAGGGCCAACAAATGGTTAAACTTTAACGAGCCACGAAGGAGCGAAATGGCGAAAACATCATCGACACTCTCTATTTTGCTGGCTTCGAGAGCGCATGGCTCTCAGCACGAAGCACGACTGCGTGGGAAAGTGGGAATTCGCCGAATGGGGCCCAGCACACAATTTGCATGAATCCTGTTCCCTATTCTTATTCACGATTTGGAGGCTCTCCTCAGTTATTTTGCACGGATTCGTCATATTTCCAACTAGCCCTAATCGTCCGATTATCTGCAAGGGGCATCATTTTTCAATTTACATTGGCTCCTTTATATATATATACATATATATTATATAGGTAGAAATATATAATATATATATTTATAAATATATATATAATTCGTTTGTATTGCGTTTTCATTGAAATTGCAGACATTCGACAGAAGTTAGAAAACACACTTGTAAATTTCGGCATTATTTTCAAAAGATTTGACACTTCGATTTAAAATATTGAAAAAAATCGCAAACATCGATTTGCACAACGTAAAAACTCATCGCATATCGATGGAACGCCAAAATATCGATACTTATCTGTACAAATTAATTGACAATCTGGTTCAACAGACAAGCAAATGGTATCGATACTAGCATTCGGAGTGGCTTTTAAAGTACTCAAAGTATCGTAAAGTAAAAACAGGCGCAAAATTACGTAAACGTCTCCTGTTTCTAAGACAGGCTGAAAAGTATTGCGCAGGTCTGACCCAAAACAACTTGCTTCAATTCGGCATCACTTAAAGATCGGATTAAAAAAAAATACATTTCCATAAAATTCCAGCTTAAAATTGCAGGTATATTATTTCCAGGACATCAGTATTAAGTTCCCCTAAGCAGACGAGAGCCTTACGAGCTGAGAATAAGAGTGTAGATGCTGTCCCAGAGATAAGAAATGTATAAATGACAGAAACGGTTTTAATAAATCAATATATTTAATAATATCAACTCCATTTTATGCTTTATTTTTATTGAGCACTCGACCTGTCCCAAATGTGCGATAAGGTTTGGTTAAATTATTTTACAAATTGACACATTCGTCGATTTACATACATCATATGTTCTTTTTTTTTCTACATTTATGAATTTTGCATATCATTCAATAAAATATAAACGCAAAACAGTTGTGACAGATCTCGTTGCGATGACAATTCATTCGTTTTTGTAATAAGTACATACAATACATACATATTTAGTTTTCAGTGCAGCTTCAACGCAACGGTTTTAATAATGTCATCAACACAAAGAAACATTTTTAATTTTCTTCATTTTTTTTTTTTTGTTTGTTTGTTTTCTTTTTATATATATGTACATATATTTACGCATACGTAAGATTTAAACGAGTAATTACTATGACTAACAATCAAAGCTGTGCAAATCGAAAAATTTGTTTTTTTTTAGCTTTAGTTTTCTCTTTTCTTTTATTTTTTGATTTCCGAAACACCAATCAATTCCACTTTCGCTAAATTTGATTAAAATCGCGATTGCTAGTATTGAAAAATTCCATATGCATGAAATATGGGAGATTAAGACCAGTTCTTATAGTTTTTTTTTAAATTTTTCTTCTTTTTTTTTTTGCTCATAGTTTTAGTGTCGCCAATTTCATATTTTTTGTATTCAGATTACTAAAAATATAATTGCCAGCAGAATCAACAAAATGTTATCAGCGAAATATAAACATCCGAAAGTTATATTAAAATCAGTTAAAGTTTTTGATTTCTTGTAGTTATTGTAAAGGCAATCTTGTTTTTTAATATTCGATTTAGTTGACTTTTCATTTGAGTTGGCAACACCGACCATTATAAGTATATGTACATACATTTGTACTAGTTACTGTCTGTCAATTTTAGTGGTTTACCTATGGGCGAAGTTTATTATTGCACGGTGAATCGATCGGCCAAAACTCACAAAGAATTAAAGAAAAATTTAAATGAAAATGTACAACAAAAAAAAAAACAAAAACGAAGTTTTAATTACATTAAATGAATGGTGAATGTAAGGCCTTAAACTAAAATAATTCCTTTGTAGATAGATATATTAATGTAATTCCATAAGAAATAAGAATTGTGAATTATATTACAATTTTTCGCCCCGACGATATTTTTTTAAAGAGATAAGCCACATTTATAACGTGATAATACTTGCTTATGTACTATTAACATTTACAATTCATCTCATTGCAACTTTGTTGCAATCTCCGATTTTATACACACTTAAATCAGCTGCTCACATTTACGATTTGATGCATGATTTCACGTTTACCCCTCCTAACTTCGGTACCAGAGTATAAAAATACACAAAACTCAAACATAAAATGGAAAGCTGCTATCCTTGACAGTTAGTTCACAATAATGTTAATGTAAAACGATTATTATTTTCCTAGTTTGTTGTAAGTTTTTGATTTTAGTATAGACTATAAAATACATGAACACCATGGGCCTGAGCGAGATAGCGTCCTGCAGGCCTACAAACCATTGAAGTTTGCTGATTTATTTATATATTTTGTTTCGCAACTTAACAAAACTATATCCTAATGGAACTTGTTCGTTAACAATAAGCTCCCAGAACACAAACAAAAAAAACATATGTATAGTGAAGCAAATTTTGTTCTGTAGCTCTGATTCCTTAGCACATTACATGTTATTTGTTTTCTGTTTTCTGTTTTTTTTTTTTTTTGGTATTTTGTTAAATGTATTCCTTCTCACAACGATGAGCATTTGACTTTATATTCATTTTGTTAACAGACGAACGAGCAAAGGTATTTCGATTTCGATATCGATATCTTTTCCCCGTTCACTACACAATGTAGTCGTTTTGAGTAACTTAAATTACAATATTTATCATGGCCCACTACATACTCCTTGCTTTTAGGCAAGTATAATCACGGCATAAATAACTGGCTGTCAAAATATAAATGAAAAATTATACAAATTCACGTCATTTACAGGCCTAATTTGTTTTGTTTTGTTTTGTTTTTTTTTTTTTTGACTTAACATCAACAAAATTACACAGCCAGTTAGGCAGATAGTTAATATATATGCTTTTGCCTAAAGAATCTGAGGAGTCCAGCTTCTTAGCCCTACACTTACAACATCATTATCATCAGCATCATCATCATCATCTTCATCATTCGCTTCTCATCCTCATCGTAACAAAATTGTATTATTAATTATGTAATAGGGAATGTTTCTGGTTGATGACTTATGTAACATCATTTGAGTTTATGTGATAGTCGAGAGCGTTGTCAATTGCATAGTCTTTGTTGACGGCGATGCCATCGGTGACGGCGTCGGTACAAATAGGCTGGACGAAGCAGTTTCCGTTGTTAGACTGCGTTCCTCGTACACCCCACCGCGTTCCTAATTGTTAAATATGTTTAAGTAACAATATGACAATAACAATAATAGCGACTTACTTGCGATTTATCGTATTTGAACCGTTTCCAGATGTTTGTCTTCGGCTCCATAGGTGTGCCGTCAACGTTGTAGTTAGGATTGGAGAAAGTCAGTACTGAGCGGCTAGAGCCGCGGGAGTTACGCTTTGATTTTTTGCGATTTGTATTAAAAGCGAGCACTGCAAAACCAAACCCAAGATTAATATCAAGTTCATCTCTCATCTAGAGGATAGGTATGGATGTTGCTTACTAAATATCACTAGCATTATAATGACCACCATGACAATGACAACGCCGAGCGCAATGAGCACAAAGAACTCACGCTCGTTGTCTTCCTTTTTCTTGAGGTCATCATCCTGCTGGTTATTGTTTTCGTGATTTTCAGTCGATGCGTTGTCATCATTCAGTTCATCGGAGTAATCGGGATCCCCCTCAAAGCGTGCTGGGACCAACTCCCTGGGCGCATTCGAACATGGTCGACCATCGCTTTCCGGTCGATCCGGACAGGCGCACACATAATCGACGGCACGATAGAAGCACAGATGCGAGCACCCGCCATTGTCCTGTGCGCACTGATTCCAGCTCTTCGCCTGGCGCTGCTGCGATACGGCCCGTATGTCCAGTGCACCGCTCAGCGCATCACGCACCTCGAACGGATAGCTGTAGCCCATGCGGGGCACTCGCTGGGAGCGGTAAACAGACTTGTTATACCAATCGGTCCAGTATATGTTGCTCTCAAACTGAAAGCGATTGTATGTTAATGAATGTCTATATCATAAAAAGTGTCACAGTATCGGGCTTACCATTGTAAGACCAAATGGGTGTGGTGCATATGGCACAATGGTCTGTCGGCGTTTACCATTAAAATCCACCTGGCCAATATTGTCCTCAAGCGCATCCGCCCAAAGCAAGCGTCGATTGCTGTCAAAGAGGTCAAAAGTTACGAAATATATTATATATTATAAAACAGCAATACTATTTTACAAAATATAATTACAAATTTGTTTTGATTAACTTCCACTGCATACATAGTAGTATATTAACAACAACAAATATCTGCTTTTAGCCAAATGCCTTAAACAAACTCTCCCCAAGTCAATTTGATTTTGCACTTACCAAACTTTCTTACCAGGTGCGAAAGAGAAACAAGTTTTGTTTTGTCATGGCGGAAAAGGTAGAGACAGCACTATTTATATATGATAGTGTCAAGCGAGAAACCAAGAAGCAATTAAAATTATGTGAGTGTAAAGAGATGGCAAATAAAGCAACGTTGGCCATCTTCTGTCCTGCTCCATAACATAAAAGTAGCTTTGGGCGAGCTCAAAGCATGACAAAACCAAACTTGACTCGGTAATTTGGTATGATGATGTCTCATCCGACAATCCTATTAATCTTGAGCTAGGCCAGAGCTTGAGAAGACATTTGGAAATCATAAAGATCTGCTAATAGTTTGGTCTGCCTTCTTTTTCAAATGTATATTAAAATTTGTTTTGGCAAGGGTATGTTATCGTCGTTGTGCCCAATTTCTAGTTATATAAGGAACTCACGCAAAATCAATGGTTAGACCCGTTGGAAAACCCACGCCCGATGTCACAATTGCGGTGCGATTGGAGCCATCTAAGAAACTGCGTTCGATTTTCGACGGCGAATTCCAGTCCGACCAGAAAAGATAACTGCAGCAAACGAAAACATGATAATTAGCTACAAAAAAAAAGATTATAGTTTTTTAAATGGCCAGAACATACGCCTTGGAGGGATGTATGATAAGAGAGCGAGGATCGCCCAAATCCTCGGTGATGAGCTTCTTGCGGCAGCTGCCATCAATGCGAGCCACTTCAATGAGTTTGCGATCAGTGTCCGACCAATAGAGATTATCGGCAACCCAGTCAACAGCAATGCCATTTGGTGTCAGCAGCTCGGTGCTGACGACCACTTTGCTCTCAGTGAAATTCAGTAGATTAACACGCCGAATAATGTCCAAATTGACGTCAGCAAAGAATAGCAGGCTCTTGCGGAAATGAAAGTCGAGCACAACAGCACCGTGGACGCCATTGATGGGGAGAACCACGTCCATGTAGTCACCGCTGTTTAGTGAAATCATGCCAATGCCCGAGCGCAGTGCAATCAAGAGGTAGTCCTAAATAGAAGATAAATAAGATTTGTAATTAAAGCAGAGCATATATATTTATATTATGTTGTAGCATAATAAACATATCGAAGCAATTGCGAAAACAAAGGGTTTCTCAATAATATATTGAATTTGCCAATTTCAGCAGAAATTTATATATTTTCCGATACTTCTGCTGCACCACTAAAGTGACTTGTGGCCCAATTAGTATATTGATCTATCATAACAAGAAAAGTAACTGCTGAGGTAATAGTCACCAAGGTAATTATTATGGGGCATTGGTCAACGTAATCATAATAATAGCAAACAATTATAATAATCGAGTTCGAGGTTGGCAATAGAGGCAACAATAACAATCCAAATAGAAAGATGCAAGAATAATAATAATTCATGACACGATACCCAAATAATAAGTATTTAGTTCGGGAGTTATTGGCTTTATATATACTCTATATATAGTAATATACTCGACTTACATTTGGCAAATTTTCACAAATGGTTGTGCTGTTCTCACGTAGTTTGAGTCCAGTTGGACACTGGCAAGTAAATCCCGATGGGTTTCGCAGGCAAAGGTGCGAGCAGCCACCGTTGTTGAGGTCGCAGGCGTTCTCCGTGAGTAACTGGTGCTTGACAATCACCTTAATGTCCATCAGGCCATCAATGTTGGTCATGACGTCTCGCTTGGCACTTGTGTTCCGACGATCAGCCATGTGCAGTGCCTTCGACTTCCAGTCGGTCCAATAGATATAGTCACTGGTCAGCGCCAGGGCATATGGATGGTGTAGGGCAGACATGATGAGCTTGCGCTGATTGCCCGTATAATCGCAGGAGTCAATGGTCTTTAGACGCGCATCCACCCAGTAGATGCGTTTACTCTTGAGATCCAGCGAGAGGCCGTTGGGCCAGCCGAGATTTGCGGTCACAATGCGGGAACGCTCATTGCCGTCCAAATGCGAACGCTCGATCTTGCGATAGTGCCCCCAGTCGGTCCAAAAGAGTAGACCCGCCTCGTAATCGAGGGCTAGACCGCGAGGCGACTCCAAGTCCTTGTAGGCAATAACATGACGATGTCTGCCATCAAGGGTGGCCACCTCAATTGTGTGCCTGCCGGCATCGGCCCAATAAATTGTTCGCCCAATCGAGTCAACGACCAGTCCGTCCGGATTCTCTAGACTCTCGCCGATCACTTTGTGCACATGCAGGCCATCGGGACTGGAGCTCATGATGACATTCTCTATAGTGTCCGACCAGAAAATGTAGCCCGTCTTCTGATCAACGTCCAGCGCAACTGCATTGGAGATTGGTGGCAGCGGCAGCACAACATCGATTAGATGATCAAAGTCCAATGAGATTTGACGGATATCAATGCGATGGGCAAACAGAATGTACTTTGTGGGTCCCTCGGAGCACGTGCGACGGTCCTCCTTAAGCTGCACCCCAACGGCGCAGGCACACGTGAAACTTGTTGGATTGAGGAGGCACAGGTGAGAGCAGCCGCCATTCCGCTTGTCGCACGCATTGTAGACACGCCTGCGCGATCGATGGAACACCCTAATGTCCATTAGGTCACTGCTATTGGCGATGACAGTGGCGACATTCTTGCCCGTCATTTTATCGGCACTCATTGCAGACTTGGTATCCCAATCGGTCCAATACACACGACCACCGCTCACATCCAGTCCAAAGGGATGGCCCAGTCCATCTGCAGGGCAACGCCAGCTGATTACATCCGATTGAGACAAGAGCAAAGTTATTTAATACTTACTGATTATAACTTTGCGACTGCTGCCATCGAAGTTCATGTTCTCCAAAGTTTTTGTGCCTCCGTCGACAAAATACAATTTGTGTTGGTCATAATCGATGGCGAGTCCATTGGGCCATATTAGTTTCTTGGACGCTATAATAACACGACTGGCGCCATCCATGTTGGCACGCTCGATCATTGCCTCCTCACCCCAATCCGACCAGAACATGAGACCATCTATTGGTTTTGAAAAAGCAAAAAAAAAAAATATTAAAAGAAAAATCAATTAACAAGTAACAATAGCTTTGGCAGGGGAAATCTCTCTATTCCCATTAAGAAACAAGTAAGAACTGCCAAATACTCTGATATCAATATGTAACACACTCTGACACCAGGTGCCAACAAGGTGGGTCCAGCCAAGAAATACCCATCCGATGAAGGAGGTTCCTTGTAATCTACCTCCAAGTTTGGCTTTAAAATCGCAATTTCCGAAAAGAAATGTTGGGCGACGTTCCTAGTAATATATCTTGCAGGTTTGCTAACTATTGCTCTTAAATTGTGGGAGAAATAGGCTTTTACCGTTTTTGGGGGCGTGAGTGGGCGTGATCTTTGAAGGACAACAAGCTAACTTCCAAGATTTGGGACTTTTTCTTTAAAATATGAGGAAATATACGGTTTCATCGATTTAGACTTTCAGATATATCGTTTTTGACGTTTATTGCGGCAGCTGTGGGCGTGGCCAATATACCTTCCAAATTCGATGGTTCTTACTCGAAAACTGTTGAGGCTATAGTCTGGGGAGATGAGCGTGTCGAATGCCATTAGTTGAAGGACAACGCCAACAACAAACCAGCTTTCAAACTGTGGGATATATATGGCTTTATCGATTTGCGACTATCGACTTTATCGATTTCCTAGTATCCTAGTAGAGGCTATGATTTAACTGTGTCTTTGAGAATTCTGCATTATAAGTTAAATAACTTGGAGTATGTTAATTCAAAACGAATAAAGTGTAAAATTAAAAAAAAAAAACTAAAGAACTTTCCACTAGATGAAAAATCGATTATTTTCCAAATATTGTGAATTTAAAACTGGTAAAAATTACAGGAACACCTTACTAAATTCTTAACATATATTAAAAAATGAATAAGTAAAATTTCGTTGTGTTGTGTTCTAAATTGCCTGTAATTATTTATTGGTCTCCCACTATTGTCAAAGACACATATATATATATAATATATCTGTGTATGTGGTAAGCATAGTTTCATAGTTCTTACCTATTGGATTCACGACAATATCGCGCGGTTTGTCCAACTTTTCCCAGACGAGCAGTGTGCGCATTTTTCCATTTGTGGTGGCCACTTCGATGCGATTTGTCGATGGATCCGTCCAATACAGTTTGTCGGTGATCCAGTCGAGGGCCAGGCCAACGGGCGATACCAAATTTGAATGCACAACACGCTGCTGATAGCTGCCATTGAGATGAGCCTTATTTATGGAACTACGCTCCACGTCTGTCCAGTAAATGAAGTCTGTTTCGCTACACCAGTCGAGGGCGACGGCATGCTTTAAATTGTCCAGTGGCACAATCATATCGACCTCATTTGGTCCAAATGACTTGGTGTTTAGCTGACGCAAACGAATATCCTTGCGGCGAGCGACCAGGACGAGCTTATCGGGTGCACTCTTGCAGGTTTTGCCATCGTCCTTCAGCGACAATCCGATGGGACAGCCACAGCGGCGAGAGAGTCTATTGGGTAGGCACAAATGTGAGCAACCGCCGCGCAAGCCACGCCTATCCTTCTGGCATCGATCCTGATAGTCCGGCTGACGTGCTGGATGGTAAGCGTGTATATCCATGGGAAAGTGAAAGTTCTCGTGAACAGATCGAAAACCTTTGCCCGTTATCTTGTTGGCTGCTGAGACGGTCTTTGTGTTCCAGTCCGTCCAGTACATGGTATCTTCGAAGATAGTCAAAGCGAACGGATGCGGCAGATGGCTGCTAAGCACCTTGATCCGCTCGCTGCCATCCAGATTGGAGCACTCAATGGCATGCTGTTTGGCATCGGCCCAGTATATCTTGCTGTTGGGATAATCAATGGCCAGACCATTTGGCCAGGTAACACCCTTCGATATAATCACCTGTCGCTGCGACCCATCCATGTGAGCACGCTCTATTTTCGGATTCGGTCCCCAGTCGCTCCAGAACACCAGTGCTTCACCCGGATGTATGACGATGGCACGTGGCTTATCCAAATCACTTGAAACGATCACCGTACGCAAATTACCCTGGAAATTGGCAACCTCAACGCGTCGTGTGCCAGAGTCCGTCCAAAACAATAGATCATGCACCCAATCCACAGCAATGCCACCCGGTGATTCCAAGCCCCACTTGATGACGTCACGTACACGCGTTCCATTAACGTAAACCATTTTGATGACATCCGTGGAGACATCGGACCAAAACATCATACCCTTACGATAATGGAAGTCCAATGCAATCGCATTGTGCAATCCCTTGACTATGGCCATATAACGATTATTGCTGAGCGTCACACGCCGTATATCCCAACGATTCGCCACCAGTAGGGTCATGGCACCTCCGAGTGCCTTGCAGGTGCGCAGATCCGGCCTCAATATGTAGCCCATTTCGCAGGAACAAACAAATGAGCCCATCGTATTATGGCACTTTTGTGAGCAGACAGGACTTGTCAGATACTGGCACTCGTCGATGTCCGTGCAGCTGTTAAGAAATGGACAAACACGAGAATTAATTTGGGAAACTGACGAAGATTATAGTTGGAAATTGATTCGCACTTTCGCTTATTCGTATTCATAAGGTATCCCAAGCGACAAGCGCATTCATCCCGTCCTCGAGCCGTCCTGATGCACAGCTGCTCGCATTGCTTGGGCTCGGGGCACTTTTGTTCGACGGGACAGTTGACCTCATCCTCGCCAAGCGGACAATCGTTTTGGCCATCACAGACATGTTTTTGATGAACACATATTCTGAAATGCATTTAAGCACTCATTAAAGCAATGGTTCTGGGTGGGGAGCGTTAATGCCATGAACTCACTTTAGGTTGGTGATATTCTTCTTGGCGGGGCACAGGAATTGGCCGGCGTCACACAGCAGGTGACAGTCGACCTCATCTTCTGCAGAAGAGCAATCCGGATAGCCATCGCAAAGCCAGGTACGCTGTAACGGATGCAATTCAAAATATTACTTAAGAATATTATATAATATAATATTTCTCAATAAATATGGAAACATGGAATGAACCTTGTCTAACCCTATTTATATCGGTCTGTCTGTTTATATCCCATTTAGTGTCTCTGCCTTAAGCTCATATTGATCCGGATCGGACCACTGTGCAAAGTGTTATTAATATATCCAGATACGTAACTCTATCGACTCAGATCTTTGCAAGGTTTGACTTACCAAAATGCAACGTCCATTGTGGCAGGTGAACTCGTCGGGGCCGCAGGTCAATGGGTGCTCTGGGTTCATATTGCCGCAGTCGTTCTCATCCTCGCCGCCATCACAGTCCTGCTCCTTGTCGCATTTCCAGCGCTTCGGAATGCAAGTGCCATCCGCACATTTGTATTCGCCGGACGTGCATTGCGATGGCTTCTGCTGGCAGTTCTCCTCGTCGCTCCAGTCACCGCAGTCGTTGTCACCGTCGCAGCGGAATCGATTGAGTATACACTGGCCGCTGGGCCCGCCAGCACCACCCAGTCCGCCACGGCACTTGAACTCACCCTCCGGGCAGCTGTTGATAACGGCCGGACACTTGTGCTCATCGGAGTTGTCATCGCAGTCGCGTTCGCCATCACAGCGAAAGGCTTGGGAAATGCAGTAGCCGTCATTGCAGGTGAAATGCTCATCGGTGCAGCTGCTGCGATTGCAGTGCACCTCATCCGAGTAATCTTTGCAATCGTTCTCGCCATCGCATAGCCACGGTCGTGGAATACAGAAGCCGTTCTGGCACTCAAACTGATCCTCCGTGCAATTGGTGCGCGCTCCACAATGCGTTTCATCCGAGTAGTCGCCGCAGTCATCGTCGCCGTCGCATAGCCAGTCCTTGTTGATGCAGCGAAAGGTCTTTGGGCACATAACATGCAGGCCGCTCTGCTCGCACTCCTTCTCCAGCTTGGACTTCATGTCGTCGGTATTGTCGCAATCGAACTCGTCGGAGCCATCGGTGCACTGCACCTCGCGATTGCAGCGTCCATGGGACTCGATGCACTGGCAATTGCTGCACTGCCACTGCAACTCCTCGCAGCTATTGTGGCAACCAGTGGACGGTGGTGCGCTGTAGCCATCGCCGGGCTGACTCAGCTGCCGGGGATCGTCATGGACAACAACCCTATTCGCAAATGGGCGGAATCCCTTCTGCTTGTTGTTCGCTCCGGCCACAAAACCATCACGGCCACGTGTGCTCGACTGTCGATCGGATTCGCGTACAACATACATATCGCCACGTCCACCCTGGGCACCAACATTCCGGAACTTTGGGGTGTCGCCGGTGCTTGTGGTGCCCGCGCCAGTCGCAATGCTTGGCTTATGAGGTATCATTGGTTCCTTGGTAAAGACGTGCCCATACATCTTGTCAACTTCATCGATGCCCTCGATATGATCATCGATGTGATCGTGGTCGTGGTTGTGGTCGTGATCGTGATCATGGTCATGATCGGGATCGTGATCTGGATGGTGAGCGTGACCGTGGTCATGCACAAGATCATAATTATGGTCATGGTCACGGTCATGGTCATGGTTATGGTCATGGTCATGATCATGCTCGAGATGTGGTGGATACTCGGAAACGTTTATATAGTCGTGATCATGTTCCTTGTGCAGTAGCTCATCGGCCAAATCGTCATCGTTCACATTGCCATGGGATGATTGGGACTGCTGGTACCAGTGCTCTGGAAATTCAAGCTTACTCTTTGCATCATCATCATTTTGGTGGTTTACGTCGCCCTTGTTAAACTGCTTGCCAAGCCCGTACGTGAAATCGCCAATTCCCACACCTGCAAGCAATGAAGAAGAACAAATTAATTAATATTGAATTAAAGTGGAAAATAAGAAAAAAAAAATAAATAAAAATGTTATTAACTTTATTTCAAATATGCTGTGTAAATTAAAATTGAAACTAAAAATGAAAAGTTCATCTGAAAATCTGATGAACATAAATACACATTCCACACCACACAGTTGGGATAATGGCAACATTAATTTTACTTAAGTTAGTTCTGATAAAAAAAAGTTTGCTGCCAGATCCATAATTCTATTTCAATTTGTCAACATAAAATATATTTGATGCGATGCCACAAGTGGTTGAAATATTAGTTTTGATCTGATGTGAAGTGAATATCTATATTCTTAGCAATGCAATCCATTAATTCTCATTAGGGAAAAACTATGAATGTATGTAAATATGTATGTGTGCATCTATGTACATAAAGTGCGTGGGCTAATCAACTAACAGGTGGTATACACATAACTATGTATGTAATCTGCGATTATGCATTTGCCATGGATGGAGTGGGTGAATAGCCTGACAGCAAAAAATAAAAAATTAAAAGAATTAATAATAATTAAATAGATTTCCTATTTGCTTTTAATGTAGATATCATATAGATATAATAATTTGTGTACAATAAGTTGAGCATACAGCTGCTGATGGCATTTTAAGAAATTCATGATTGGTTTGCGATTGTCTTTTTTTTTTAATTTAATTATTGTATTTATGTGGAAAAAACTTTTGTAATGCTTTCGTAAATGCAAATACAAATTTTCATTGATAAGTACGCAGATGCGTACATATATACAAATCATGTAGGTGTATGCACAGATGTCTCTGTGTGTGGGTGAGTGACTATGTATGTATGTATGTATGTATGTATGTATGTATGTATGTACGTGACAGAGATATGATACTTACCAAAGCATATCAGGCACACCAAAGGGCAAAACGGCACGACTAACACATACATTGCCAACGCGCGGACTGCAAACACACACACGCACACGCACACACACACTGAGACACGGACACAGACACGCACGCACGCACGCACGCACGCAAGCACGCAAGCACGCACGCACGCACGCAACACTGGCGCTGCGTGAATGTGCGGCTGATGCTGTTCCCTCGTCGGCTGTGGCTGTGGCTGCTGCTGCTGCTGCTGCTGCTGTGGCTGCTGCTGCTGCTGCTTCTGTTGTCTCTTTTTGTTTTATTGGATTTTGGCGCGTGCGTGTGACGCGCTTCTAGCTGAAGTTTTTTTGGGCTGCTGTTTTGGCTACTGTGTTCGCACTTTAATGCGCTTCGCGTTGCGTAGGTGTCACATTCACAAGACCGTATGTACATACATATGTACTGGCACATACATACATATGTACATCGGCTGTATACGTCGGCAAGAAAATTCGTTCACTGCACATATGTATGTACAACACTTCAGTTGTTGTTGTTGTTATTCTTCTTCTTATTATTATTAACTATGCTAATTTTATAGTTTTCGCTCTTGCTAAATGCAAATTGCATTAAAAGTTTGTCAGCGAAATGCTCAGTTTGATTTTCTGTATTTTGATGCTTCACTTGTTACACATTTGAAATAGTTAAAGCAATTTTGATTTTGATTTGAATTCGTTTGATTGTACATTTATTTATGAAGATTATCGCTTGCAGAGCCGGTCCAGATCCAATGAACGTCTTTCAACTGCCAATAGATAATGGTGATTAACTTTCTTTTATTATATCCGCCTACATAAATACATACATATGTATGCATACATGCATATTTTTACACACTTTGTCAGTTTTATATATAGCACTTTTTTATGTGTATCACTTGCAAAAAATTGGTTAACAAGTTAAGCAATTTCTTTGCGTTTTTTTTTTAATTCACTGATGTTTGGTTTAATGCTTTGAAAGTGTATAATATAAATATATATATATATGTATATGTAGATATATTTATATATTAGAATGCACCCTGCTGCTGTTGACCCTTGCTTCACAGACCAATGTATATGTTGTGCGTATCAGATACTGGGAAACAACCACAACAACAACAGCAACAACAAATTTCGAATCTTTCATATTCAATCTAATTACGGTTGTTTGTCTCGCTCTTTTGTTTCAACGGACGACGGACTGTTGGCCTTTGAAATGGCCTGTTGCGACTGCTCCATAGCATACATTTGGGGCGCCACCAAAATTGCTTGCAACAACTATTGAATCAAACTATTTTAATTGTGTATTCGTTTCAAATAAATATTTACGTTGATTAAACATTTAGCTTGAACTTGGTATTAATAATTGTTTTGCCCATTAACTGATGCTGTGCACAGTTGTTAAGCAGTAGATACAATTATATTCAGTGTATGTGTGGACACGTATTGTATGTGTGTGTGTGTGTGTGTGTGTGTGTGGGTGTGTGTGGGTGTGTGTGTGTGTGTATGTGTGTGTATGTGTGTGTATGTGTGTTCGTCAAGGGAAACACCCACTGTGAACGTCGACAGCGGCTGCGGATTTGCCTGCGGCCCACGGATTTGCGGATATACGAGAGAAAAACTAGAAACTCTTTCAATATCATTGATGAAAAGATGGTTTTTTTCGATTAGATTAGCTTATTTGGTTTTTGTTAAACGTTGTTTTCTTTTCTTGTTTTTTTTTTGACACAATTTAATGATTGTTTTTTTGCTTGCTTTTTTGCACCGACCGCATGAAGGAAAATAATATTAAGAGCATGCGCATTCACTCACATCTACGAACTGCAGAATGTATGTAGATACATACATATTATGTTTTTTTATATTTAAGCCGTTTAGCAAACAAATTTGCATGCGTATTTTGCAATTATCCGCTTGCTAAAGCCCGCCCACGTCTTGTCGATCACACCACAATAGTTGTCGTTGTCGTTATCGTTGTTGTTGTCGTTGGCGTTGTAGTTGTCCTTGTTGTTGTTGTTGTTCTTGCTGCTGCTGCTGATGGTAGTGGTGGTGGTGGTGGTGCTGCTGCGGCTGCTGCTGCTGGTATAGTTGTTCGCGTAGCACAATTTCCTAGCACTTTAGCTGTGGCCAATTCTGTTGATTCTTCATTGCTTAAAATTGTATATATTTGTACGGCTGGCCAAGTCCTTCCCCAACTTCCATGTAGCTTTTATTATTTTTATTTTATTTCATTATTATTTCTTGTATTCTTTTGCTCAAGCGTGATGCTTGTGCGTCAGTTAGATGCTTGGAACGTCTGCTTGCGTGCTGCTTACTACGAAAAATGTGGACTAACCAGAGATTCACAGCAGTGGTCGGCATTCGCAGCTGAGCCGATTGTCCCACATGCATGGGAATCTGTGTCTGTGTGTGTGTGTGTATTTGTGTGTGTGTGTATGTATGTGTGTATGTGTGTGTGTGTGTGTGTGTGTGTGTGTGTGTGTGTGTGTGTGTGTTCTTCTTTGTATGTAAAGAAAAGCTTGCGCTCAGATTTCAGAAAAGCAACACACAATCGTTTCTCAATGGGCTTACTGAAAAGGAGCACGCAACTCACTCACACACAGACAGACTCTTTTGCTCAATTGGTACCCACACAAAGATAGACGCGGATTGCGTAAAACTGAGATGCTGTTGGTTGTCCTTGTTGTGCGTGTGCTTTGAAGCTTTTATGGCAACCATTGCAAAAGCTCGCTCTGAACCAACACAAGTTGTTGTCTCCAGCATACAAGCATTGGTTGGCATCCATAGGCCAATGTGTTTGTTATTCTATACGCTGCCGCAGAGCTTTTGTCATTGAGAACAAGCCACACAGAGATGCATTTCGACAACTAAACGTAGCTTGTTAGATATGTTTGCGTGTCGAGCACGTATTGCAAGAATCCCATTTGAATCGCTGATAAACAATAAATCGAATTACAATCGATTATGAAGGAGAGATTGCTTCTTTCCCCCCCTCCCCCCTGCACACATGGTAGTGTGATGTGGTTAGTGATAGATGCATACACTGACAAGTTAACCAATTTTCCCGAAAATCATTTACTTTCATACACAGTGACGTCACAAGCTATGAGGCGGACAATTGGCGCCGTGACCCGTCTCAGCAACAAGAGCACGACTGTTTTAATGAAGTCTGACATTCCAGAATAATATGATCCATCTGGGGTTGGGTTGATGGTGCCTCCACTTGTTAAAAAGAAAAGGCATACCTGGCTGACAACAGCGACTGCTCTCAAATAGTCGGTGCAAAGAGTAACTTATCGCTTTGCTTTCACTTTCATTGTATGTATGCTACTTAAATTAAGATGAGTCTGTGTCTGTGTGTGTGTGTGTGTGTGTGTGTGTGTGTGTGTGGGTGTCTGTGTTCGGGTGTGTGATGGCGCTAGGCTAGCAGCAAACAACGACGACAACCCTAAATGAGCATTAGCATCTCGTGATTCTGAATGAAATTGTTCCGTGTTGCAGCAGTGTTCAGTGGAATATGCCGACTGAGGCATGCGCAGGCCCAGGACTCGTTGTCGACATCGAGAGCCGAGAGGCGAGAGGCGCGAGGCCCCTCAACATCATCATCAATTAGAGCAATAGTCGCAGCAGCCGAAGCCGAACAACGGTAACTGACAGTAATCATTCGTTAGCTAGACACGGTAGGCGTTCCACATACACACGCAGCTGCTCACGACTCGCTCGTTGCGATGAGATACAGATACATATATTTGGATGCAGGGCGAGCGGGAAAAAGTGAATGGCAAACCGAATTTTAGGGCGTCCGTGTCACATTCGTTATTCGCTCGACGTATTACAGTGTCATCCGTTGGTGTGATTCTATTTCTATTTTTTTTCTTTGTTGTTGTTTTTCTTGTTTCTTGTTTCTTGTTTCGAATGCTCCACATTTCTTTTAAACAATTTTACGCAATTTGTTTAAATGAATGTGTGCAAATAAAAGTGTGTGTGTGTGTGTGTGATCTATTATTGACACTTTTGTGAGGGTTGTGTTCCCCAAAAAACACCATAATTAATGCAAATAAAGGCAACGCAAGTGCATGAATACAATGTCACCCAAAATGCACAATTACACACTCACACACACACACATTTAAATAGCAATGCATGTTTGCTTATAAATATGTCCTTACAAATATGAAATCAAGTTGTCATTTTTTCACAATTTGTATTTTTTATTTTTTTTTTTTGTGCAGTAGCTGCAGTTGCAAAAATGGGTCAGACACACAAAAGGCAAACACATGAAAGTATCTTTATATATATATATATGTGTGTGTGTGTGTGTGTGTGTGTGTGTGTAAGGCAACAATGATGAGGGCCCACATTAACGAGAAGAAAATTGCGTGAAGCAAAAAACCATGAGGCGCCTTCACAATGCGCTATTAGGAAGCACACAGTTATGTACTCAAACCTGGCACTTACGATTATATTCACATTTATATACATATATGGCAAGCATGAGAAGTTGATGTGAATATTTTTGAGTGTAATTTGCACATTCAGCTAAACATTTAACGATGTGTGCAACTTGTGTTTTACATGATAATTATGTGCTGCAATTTTTATTGAGCATAGGAATGCATTCAAATCACAGCTTTCATAACTAAAATGTAAACAACAACAACAACAAAAACAACGGAGGGCTTACGAAGTTTGTTCTTAAAAAGTATTTGCATTTATTCTAATGAATACAATTATATGTGAGCGAAAAAGAATCCTTGCAATCATGGAATCCTTGCAACCACACAAATACAAAACTCACAGATTACACAGTTTACAAAATGTACATCCAAAACTATAACTATAAAAATATTCGTATGCCAACAGTAATAATACGGCAGTTTGAGTATTTTCTAGAAAAAAACATAATATCTGCCGTTTTGTAATTTTTAAATATAGTATTTAAACTCTTTGGTTGTACAAATATATAGTGATATGTGCATCATAGTCATGAAGTAAATAATAAATAACAAAACAAAAACAAAAAAAAAAAACAACAAAAAAACGTATCCGCATCGAACGGAAACCAATGCCAGAGTATCAGTATCCGGAATGAAACTGGAAACGACAGCACAGACAATGCCAACGAGTTGAGAACCACAAAACGATAGCAATCGCAACTGTTAACGCTGCCAATATGACTAGCTATTGGTACCTGGGCGTCTGTTATAGCCTGCTGCTGTTGCTGCTGAGTGCCCAGCTGTCATTGGTTCGGTAAGTATTATGGATCAAATATAGCACAAGCATCTCAAATCTATCTTATGTATATGCTATGCTTGCAAATAGCTGGAGTCAAACTAAACATGCATTTATTGATTGGCTTCTGCAAGAATATGTCTCGGATTTGATCGATCTCAGAGACGATAAAAGCTACAGTATCCATTGTAATACACATATTTTCAACAGTAATCAAATCCACTCAGCTTCCAATTCTTATTTTATAATATGTCTAGATATGTCAGATATATTTTTGTTATTAATTTGAAATAATGTTCTCCATCCATCCAGATGCAAGCGAAAAGAAATGCTCGCGGGTCGCTTAGAGAATGTAACACAGACGATCTCAAAAATACTGCAAGGATATGATATACGCCTGCGGCCCAATTTTGGCGGTGAGCCTTTGCACGTGGGTATGGATTTGACTATAGCAAGCTTTGATGCGATCTCAGAAGTTAATATGGTAAATAATATAAGCCGCTCTTCGTGTACAACAATGCAGATCGAATTGTACTAATTTTTGTTGATTATTATTTAGGACTATACTATAACAATGTATTTGAATCAGTATTGGCGCGACGAGCGCCTGGCTTTTAATATATATGGACCATACTACGATACCGATGCAGAGGACGATGGAGTCAACGATGTGCTGACGCTGTCTGGCGACTTTGCCGAGAAGATTTGGGTGCCAGATACATTCTTTGCCAACGACAAGAATAGGTACGTAAGCTGTTCTACTCGCTGACTGTATAACAAATGTATATCTTTTCTCTTTTATGATAACACAGCTTCCTACATGATGTCACTGAGCGAAATAAGTTGGTACGTCTTGGCGGCGATGGAGCCGTTACCTACGGCATGCGATTTACCACGACACTGGCCTGCATGATGGATTTGCACTATTACCCACTGGACTCTCAGAACTGCACCGTGGAAATCGAGAGCTGTAAGTTAAGAATGCCAAACAATTCATTTATGCTAGTTCAGTCTAAATTGGTGTTTTTTGATATGGTTTGGACAGAGCCAAAGCAGTGCACTACGTACAGCAAGTTGTCGGAGCAATTTATCCATTTTTATTTGTCTTCTGTGGATATTTGTTCAATATCGCACATGTTTTGCATTTATCTCATTTCTAATACGCTTCAGTTAACTTACCGAATATCCGTTTAGTTTTAGTTTCAGTATTTCTTATGCTTTCATATTTGTATTCAAGTAGTGCAGTCAGTTTTTAGGCGGTTTGAGACGTTTATGTATTGAATGCTTAGTGCCTATACTTATTTTTGTGATTAGTCTGACTAACTTAATTAAATATAGAAGTCGTCGATGAATTTGCTCTCCGGCATTCAACGGAAATCGTGTTCAAGGAGTCATCATTTTTGTCAGTTGTGGCGCTTATATCTTATACATACTTGGATATGAATATGATTATGTGATAAGTGTTTTGAATGTCTGTTTCCATTTAAATAGACGCACAGCATCCACACCCTAAACCAACTAGGTACAAAGTAAAATTTCGATTATGATTCTCTTTTTCTTTTGGTAACCACATATATCTTTATTTAATTTCAACTAGCATTAATGTAATGAAAAGTAATTTGTCACCTTATTGTACCATCTGCTCTGATTCATGCTCAATAGATGGTTACACGGTCAGCGACGTAGTCATGTACTGGAAGCCAACACCGGTACGCGGCGTAGAGGACGCCGAACTGCCACAATTCACGATCATTGGTTATGAGACGAACGACAGGAAGGAGCGGCTGGCCACTGGTGTCTACCAGAGGCTGTCGCTCTCCTTCAAATTACAGCGCAACATTGGATACTTTGTGTTCCAGACGTACTTGCCCAGCATACTGATCGTAATGCTGTCCTGGGTATCATTTTGGATTAACCACGAGGCAACGAGCGCTCGAGTAGCGCTTGGTATAACAACGGTCCTCACCATGACAACGATCAGTACGGGAGTACGCAGCTCCTTGCCCCGCATCTCCTACGTAAAAGCCATTGATATCTATTTGGTGATGTGCTTTGTGTTCGTATTTGCGGCGCTCCTTGAATACGCTGCGGTCAATTATACATACTGGGGCAAGCGAGCCAAGAAGAAGATCAAAAAGCTGAAGGATTGTGATCAACATAAAATAGGTATGCACCGTATTAATATTGAAGTTTAAATACAGATTATTGCACAGAAGTAATCGTAAATCAATTGCACTAAAATCTTAAATTACGGAGACGCATTTGGTTTTTGTTCTAAAAGGTTAAAAGTTCTTTATTTCAATTCTCGTTATAAAACAGGTAAATTGGAAAAATCCGAAACGTGTTCAACAACAGAAGACATTATTGAGCTGCAGGACGTGCGCATGAGTCCTATACCTTCTTTGCGCAAGGGTAACTATAATGTGACCCTCGGCTCCATCGGCACAGAGACCATGGACTTGGCCAAGTTCCCGCCAAGCTTTCGCATTACTCGTAACTATGGTGCTGGTCGTAGTCAGCTGCGACATCGTGGTCAAAGAGGTAAATGAGACTTACCAGACCAAGAATCATATCATTATTTATATATGCTGTCTCTCTCTCTCTCTCTCTCTCTCTCTCTCTTTCTCGTTCTTTTGACAGGAATCTCAGCACGTCCCCGCATGATGCATGCCATTAAAAAGAGCGCCTCAGCCATTAGGGCGACATTACCAAAAATCAAGGATGTTAACATTATTGACAAGTATTCACGCATGATATTCCCCATTAGCTTTTGTGCGTTCAACCTGGGATACTGGATCTTCTACATATTAGAATAAGTAGTTGCTGCTGAAAATCTTAGTCATATTTACCAAAGTGTCATAGCCCCTGGCCTCCACCTGCTGCCCTCCCACTGATGAGAAATGATATATATTGATGACATTGACCAATTTATATATATATATAAATGAATGATAAACCTGCTACATACTCACATACATACATACAAATACTTAAACATGATATATATATATACATACAAGGAAACATACATACATATGAGTACATATATATATATATATATATATATATATAGTTAAGTATTGATATTCGCATAAGTAAATCACAGTAAATGTGTTCCCAGTAATTTGAATATTTACTTATAGCTAAATTAAGTACGAGTTTAGCCAAGTTATACAAGGAATTGGTATGCATTTGGCAAAATATTGATTTGAGCAGCTCAGCATAATGAACCATTTAGGATTAAGCAAAATCAATTAATGATCCACTGAGCTAGCTGTAAGTCTCAAAAATATTTTCACTCTCGTTCTTTCAAGTGCTTTTCATTGTTAATCACAATATTCACATTATCATACAAATCATTTACTGTATATTTCTTAGAAATGTTATTTAAATGGTTTACATATTTTAAACAAAATGCGTTTTAATTTCAATTCCCTTGGGTTAAACAAATGGGGAACTTTTATTTTTCAGAATAACCAGCGAATAAAAATATGTTAGGGTTATCCAAGTGCATACAGATCTTAGGATACTCGCTGTTTTACTATCCAAATCATTACTTAGCTGGAGAACTGTTTGCTTTTTATCAAAGAGACCAATACGATCATAAAAGAGATTACGTATACGTAACCATCGATATGGAGGCTAATAAATTGGCCAACCCAACAATATCTGTAGAATATATCCCACAATTTCGACTTGGGATATATTCTACAACATTGAACTTGAAGTCGGAATTTCGTCAGATCGTTCTGAATACTTTCCATTTGGGATAAAAAGTATACCCTGCTTTTTGATGTCCTTAGAATTAATTAGGAAAATCCTGTTACGCTTACACGTCTTATAGAATATGGAAATTTAAAAAAAACTACACTCGGCAGTCTTAAGTCCGGCTACCATCAGAATTCCGTGGTGGAACAGGAAGGCGCAAAAAACAACATATTTTCAGCAAGCCAGCAAGACAATAAATGACAACAATTTCTTATCCAAAAGCAACAATTTATTTATTAACAATAAAAATAAAAATAATTATGTGATATATGGCAGATTATGGCAGGCAAGATGTTTGCAGAAATGGAGAATGCAGAGAAAGATGTAAGGATTATGGCTATGTGTGACTTAGCGTAGGAAACGCAAATTATAAATAAGTATACAAGTCTAACGAAACATATAGAAATATAGCTTAAGCCTTAATCATGGACCAGGAGAACTCCTTCTTATACATGCCATAAGCCAACCAGTACAGCAAATTGAACAGGGCGAAGGTCATTGGAAATGCAACTCGAGCGACCCGATCAATCAGTGATATGCTATTCACATAGCTCGCCCCACGTCCTTGGACACTCTTCTCCGCGGCAGCATCACGTTCGCGCTGTCTGCGAAACTTGACGTCACCCTTGAGGCAGAGCCACATCTGACGCATCCGGGAAACGGCGGGCGGCTCCGTTTGTGTGGTACGCTCCATGGTCGAGGTATGCGACGAGAGCTTTGGGAAAATGTGTGCGGGATTCTCTTGCTGATTCTGTTTCAAGCACAGACAGCTTAATTATATATTATCAATTATAATATTATTGTGAAACTCACATTATATATGGGACAGCTGAAGGCATTGCGCTTTGGATAGGCGCCACCATTCAGATCAGCCGGTAATGGCAGCTCACAGTGCAGTGTGTCGTGGTCGGCAAAGACGAATACATCGCTATCAGAGTTGGCTGGTTCGCTGTCATCACTGGCCTCGGCCGCATCGGCAATTTCACCTGACGTGAAGCCCAACGCACCAATATCCTCCCACTCTTCCTCCATTCGTGGTATCTCGCCGCTACCCAATTTGGTGAAATAATGCACGCCGGCGAACTCGAGCAGTGTGGCAATGCAGTACAGAAAACTCATGAGCAGAAACCAGTCCAGGGCCGTGGCATACTTCACCTTGGGCAGATCGGTTCGTGAATCCAGGCTGATGGTCGATAGCGTTAGCACAGCTGTCACACAGAGACCGACACGATCGCTGGTTGCCTCACGATGTATCCAAAACGAGACCCATGACAAAACCACTATCAGAATGCAGGGCACATACACCTGCACATAGGCATTTATATGTACCATTAGCCATTAGCCATAAGGATAACATTGCCTACCTGTATCAGAAAATATCCGGTGTGTCGCTTCAGATTAAATGCCACATGCAGTACGGAAAAGTCACCCTCACGTCGTGTGGATGTGAAATTGCGATGCATCATGCTAATCAGATCAAACTGATTGAGTGTCATGCCGGGCACAAAGGAGACAGCATCGTCGTGATTTTGCCACTCATACACCAGCTGCTGATTGGTATAACCATCTGTAAGGCATTCATCTTCATTAGCGATGGCTTCAAGTCAAAAATGCAATAACCAAATAATACGCACAGCTACCTATGATGAGCGGACAGGATTGCCGATCCATTGGAAAATTCTTGAGCTCCATCGGACAGGTGGCCTTAATCGTCAAGCTGTAAAATAGAGTTTCATATTAGATATTGTCTGCAGTTGCAGCCGCTGTATGCACCGCATTGAGTAGAGTATGCCGCCATCCTGATCCAGTCGCAACAGCTTATTGGGCACGGTTATGGTGTGTATGTGTGAATGCTTGCCATTATAAAAGTAGGTGTCCGGTCGCCAGATCTTGTCCAGCATTTTGATACTCAGCGAGAGACTCTTGATGGGCCCCTGAAAGCTCAGTCGCTTGTCACGCCAATATTGGCGAAAGTAGCAGTCCATCGAGTAATCCATGTCCAGCTCCGAAACGGGTCCCATGCTGCGTATAAGTATGTTTGTCCGCACCACCGTTGGCATGCCTTGGCCATGTGTGGGCAGCTGCGATTGCTCGTAACGTTTCAGTAGATTCTCCAATATGCTGGATATATTCCGGCTCAGCATATCCGCTGATGGGGTGCGCAACCGTGTCTTTCGCACCGCTCGGCCAGACTCGAAGTGGCTTGTCTCATTCACGTGACGTCGACTGAGGCGAGTTTGGACCGGGACGGTGGACAGTGCGCGAAATGACTCGTATATGCGACTGGCCTTAAACTCGCTAGTTATCACTGGCATTTTGGTAGCTTCCATTGAAGTGCCTTGACTCCAATGCCCTTCAAGAAGGTTGAAGTAAATTAAGAAACTGCCAAAGAACCTATTATTAATATACTTTTCGCATAACACAATAAACATCAAATGGATAACATAAAATGGAGTACAGATTCTTCCCAATTATTATTTAATAAGCATTCATTTGGACAACACTGTCCAAATCTCAATATAAGAAACCCAGATAGGTAAATGGAATACCTTTTAGAGTGCAACTGAGCATTCGTAAGCAAAATTAAGTGCTCTAACAGTCAGGCAGTCCGATAGAAGCAATTTATGATTCATAACTCTGTTGGCTTTCATTTTTTCATTGTTCAACACTTGAAGTGGCTTTAGTAATTAAACACTTGAGCTGGCAATTGTAAGGCAAAAATGTAAACTTAGCAGTCAATGCGATTGCAAGATACTCCTCAAATTAGACGAATTGTCAATGTTTATAAGTATCGTCAAACACTTTAGCACATTGGTAACGTGTACTCAATTGTTACCAACTTCTATGTTCGTTAAACACTGGCAAATATTATTCATACAGTTGCCAAAATGAATCTCTTTTGCCAGCATTTGACTTTTGCGTTATGCCCAAATATGCTGACAATGGCACAGTTACAGGGTATACCAAGTGTGACATCTGCGAACAAAGCGAAAGTGTCGACGTTGACGTCAGTGGCAAAGCGAAAATAACACGAAAGTACAAATAAACGCCGTTTACAGTCAAACAATAGAATGCTCGGATAATTTGTACCGTATGCCCATGACAATGTGCATGTATGTATGTATGTATGTATCTAGGTGTGAGCTGGTTGTGTATTAGTGTGCGTATTTTGCATAAGGACAACGATTTTTTCAAATATTTTTGAAACTTAAGGTATGCCAGATTGTTGCTTAACAGATTGTCAATTGATAACAAAAAAAAAAGGAATAGCTGTCTGACCCAGAATATCCTGCAAGTTGACAAAACGAAGAAGATTCAAAGTATTCTTTAAATAAACTGAAAATACTTAAAGCTATGAAAAACTGATGGCGGTTGAATTACATCTGCTGTAAAAATGAGCAGCCGTGCTTCAAAATGCGAAAAGCAGCTCTTCACTCTTCACTTGCAGTTGAAATGATTTATCTAGTGGTTAGCCAAGTTCTGGTTAAAGAGCATGGTGCAGGTGAGCTGAGTGCTGGGATGCATCAAGTCATTTTGCGTACCACTGTGCAACGTGTGCTGTTTACTGGCCGCGGGTGGTTTGCCTTATTTCAGCTTTTGAGCCGCTTAATAATAAAAAAAAACCCGTGTAATTCAGTTCACGACCTTGCGACCGCTTCCAATGCTGTGTTGGGGTAATCTTGGCGTTTATGCGTGGGTGTCTGCAGATTTGTGACATGTTTCGATGGTGCCGTCGACGTTTACGTGTCGATGTTATGGCCCTGGGCAAGTGTTATGCAACTTTGGGTTGTCCCAACAAATGTGGCCATATGTATGAATGCTGCTGTTGATTACTTCCTTTTGAAATGCACTGTTATATTTCTTAAAATGTCTACTTAATGATATAGTGTGCATTGCCATTTCTAATAGTGTAGCTCTCTCTCTCACTTAGCATTTTGCCTCTTGTCAATCTCCGCACACTTGGCTGGAAAATGCTTGATTTGCAAAATAATTTTTGTACGTAGCATATTGTGTATGCCTATGCACACACTTGTGCCCCCTCTAATAAACACCCAAGTCCTCAAACCCACACATACACACTCACTTGAAATGTGCCACAATGCACAATAGCTTTGTTGTAAAGTTAGTATGAACTTTGAAATCAGTTTTCGGTTTTTGTACTTCACTTGTGCATATACGAATTAAGCTTAGACTGTGCCGAGAACAATGTCTTAATTGAAATTGAATAAACTATAAATAAAAAACGATAAATTGAAATATTCATGCCACATCGTGGTAAGGAAGGCAATCAACTTAAGCACACTGTCTGTGGGAGACAATATCTAAGCCGATTCCCTCGGCCCGTCCACTTGACCGCGTCTGACAGTTTTGCAGCTATTTTCAGGGCTCTAAGTGCCTATGAGCATGGGATATTGAGTGATTGAACGCATGACAAGCACTGCCCTGCATTAGGTCATTAACTTACCTAGTTAAAAATGTCAACGGTTGCCGTAACATGTTCATTGCAAAATCGAACTTCAAAATATTCAACACCCGCGACTGTTAGCTAATGATGGAATCGAGCACAGTTAGAAGTATTATTGAGAGCTTAAGTAAGTATCCATCTCAATTAGTACGGCGTGTAAGTGTAATTTCTGATTATGCGCTGACCACAACTTGCGCTCGTTGTTGCACGCTTGCCGTCTAAATCCAGACAAGGTGGCTGAGACAAGCCTAAGTCGGTTTTTGGCTATGGCTATGGCTCTGGCGGCCACTGAGCATCCATCTGGCATGCGCATAGCATCCATCAAACTATCAGTGTGCTTGCAACATGCAGTGGGATGTGGATGTGCATTACCTGCCTCGCTACTATTCCATCCATCAACCCGACATGTGACCGACATAGATCTCGCACACATTTCGGTATTTTACTTAAATATTTAGACCTACACGCACCCCAAGACTTCTCGGTTATTGTTTGTGCAACGCCCACTGCGAATTAATTATTTTTAAGAGCATTACGCTAATCGATTATACTTTTTTTATAATGTTGAACGCATATACTCATTCCTATTATGGAGTCAGACATGGAATGTTTGACTCAATAAACACTAAATTAAATTCTGTAAAAATACTTATTATTAAATTTGTAATCATCAACATATGCAGAATTTTAAATCCGAAATTCGTAATTGAAATCTTTTTACTTTTTTCATGCAATAAATAAAGATTGAATACGTTTATTAAAAATGATTAATATAATGTATATTATTTTTCTCTGCCAAGAATATTAAATAGTTATTTTACTGTCCATTTATTTTATGCAGTTTATCTGCCGAAAATTCAAAAAGAACCGCCATCTTGTGTTGATTTAGCGAGAACATTTCGTGCCCTATCGATATGCACATCCCAAAATTATCGATTTACGATAATGACGATTTAATATTAATACATGCATATATGCATATCGAAAGTAGCGATCAGGGGAGAAATGGCTTATAAGCAACAATAACAGCTTTGTTAGCTTTATAGGAATGTAGGTTTATGCATTATAAATATCATTGCTAAGAGAATAGCCAAAATAGCTCTCCAAACCGCAAACTTTTCCTTATTTAGAATAAAAAGCGTTGCTAAACATTGGTTAGCAAAACGAATCTTTATTAAATAACACATCTCTCCACCGATAGATGTAGTAGTCTAAAATCAGTTGAAATCTGGTGGAAAATATCCTTCTGTTGACAAGTAACGAGCTTCAAGGGCTTTTATAATAAAATCGGCATAGGCGGACCTTTGCCATTTCAATAAAGTCAATGGTCATACAAAATGTAAGACAAAATGTTGCTTATTAGAGGCGATTGCAGACACTATTGGATCAAATTGCATATTCATTAGCCACCCATTTAAAACATCCATATTCTTTTTTGTGTTAAGCATATAAATGGTGTTCAGTTTATTAAAAAAAAAATCTTCATGGAATCTACTGAAGGCTTATCTTTTTATCAATGGCATTCATCAGTTACTTATGAATTATGGCAGGGAGGCGTCCGTAGAGGCATCCCGTTAAAAAGTAGTCTTAAGGGTCCAAATATATCAAATATATCAATAAATTTCACAAAATTAGGATTTGTTAAAGATATAATCGTAATTTTGTAAAAATAACTAAATTTTATACTATATATATTATATATTTATGTGTATACCAGAGAGAAGTACAATTGATAAGCAACTTAAGACAAATCTTCAGACAGATCATCTTATTTATGCTCTATATTATAAATATTAAATGTCATACTTTCACTTTTCTCTCTCTCTCGATCTCTCTGTCTCTCTTGTTTTCATTGATATTGCTTCGGTTGGCAATCGAGTCATGACGGAGTCTTTTGCCGTGTTAAAATTCTAAGGGGAGAAATTAATATTGATCACCAGCTGTTCCGCTGTTTTTTTAAATATTTATTTATACATTTAATTTTCTGTTTCGTTTATATATATATATATATATATTTCTTCAGACTTTGTGTCTGTGTGAAACTCCAAAGTGCTGCAAGCCCCTGGCGGTTATTCCACATATTTTGGCACTCAACAGAAATTCGCAAATACACCCAAAATGTAAATATATATGTACAACTGTCCAAAATGTAGCTCCAAATAGATCATCGAGTACAATTAAAAACTAATTGAGAAAGTTTTAGCAAATATAGCGTTCTATTGTTATCATTCTTATCACATCAAAGCCAAAATGCTCAACCAATTATTTGACGAATTACATTTTTTGCGGTAGTGCCGCCCAAGCTCGTAGTTATTAGTGTAAGCCCAGCGTCAACTGCATTTGAAATATCTCACTGAGATACTTAGCGATAGTATCTGAAAGTAAAACAAAATGTGATATTAGCGAGGCCAGTTTCAAAAATTCATTTCATTCAATTTATTTATAGCCCTGTGTCTGAGATGCGTCCTCGCGTTAACCCTAAACTCAAGCCAAAACAAGCCTTGGTTGTCTGGTGCGTCAAATCGAACTTATATCATTTTCATCTGAGTATATATATATATATATATATTTTTTCTCCTGGCTATTTCCAATTTGATATCCAATGTTAAGTATAGTTTTGCTTTTGCTTCATGTCATCTAAATCCCAGCTGGGGTTTTCATAAGATTCTTAGCTTATTTTTATCTTGTATTACGATAAAAAAAAGGATAAGAAATTTGTTTTTTCTGGTTTAAATAAAATTTCTATATATACAAATATTTAATATTTTGCCAGGAAAATTATATTTTCAAAATAAAGTTTGTCGCACCAGACAGTGAAATTATAATTAATGTATTAGAGTAACTATATCAAGCATATATATATATATATATATAAAGTTATATGTTATATATATATATATATATAACATATAACTTTATATATATATATATATATATATATAACTTTATATTGTGTGATGTGTGTGTGTATTATTATTGGGTGTTTCAATGTGTGTGTACTTGCACACGCATGCATATTACAAAAAAAAAATGTATATATGTACATGAATGTGTACAATCACCATAAAAATGCTTGTTCTCTCCACAGACGTATGTCATGGTATCTTGCAGACAAGCATGAATATGACTATTGAGGTTGAATGGAAATATGTATGCACTTAATGTTTGTATATATAGAAGTATATCGCTACGTGAATGTGTTTAGCACATAGTTTGTACTTTTCATGTACTCCCGAGACTCTTGGAAATATCGATGTGGGTACTCAAGTATATTTGTCAGATCTTTTTGAATCCGACTCCCTCACCCAATTCTTTGTCAATAACATACTTACTTACTCGTATGTTTGCATGTACAATGGTAAAAGAAATTAATTGAAATCTTTTTAAAATAGAATACTATAAGACGGAGAAGTGATAAAGAAGTGAATTGAAAATATATATAAATCAGATAAATTAGTGTGTGAAGGGTAGAGTCGACTAAAACTTATGATTTAAAACAAAAACCAGATAGAAATTAATATAAAAAAAACGGAGTCTTACATTAGAATGCATGTTCTTGTACATATGCACGTTTTGTTTAGTACAGTGAGCTATCGTTATCATATATTTGTATGTGTAAATGTGTATTGATACACACATACATACAATGTACGTATGTACGTGTCTATAGCAAAATATTGTTATTTGCTAGATTGGTAGTAAAAACATAAAAACATATACATTTATTTAATTTTGATCTTTTTTTGCTTTCATATTTTATTTTGTAATAAATTTTAATTGGTTTTTGAATGTTGTGGCTGTTTTTTGTTTTTTCTTTTTTTTTGTTGGTTTTTGGTTTTTGGTTTTTTTTTTTATTCTTTGTTGTATTGCGCTTACTATTTATTTTATATGTTTACTTAAATTATTTTAGACCACATTATGGACCATTTTATCCAATTGGCGTCTTACAGCTAAGTTGTTATTTTATTCTCCTCAGCCTCATACATATGCACGTATGTGTGTATCTATGTACATATTTTATTAATGACTTCATGGGGTGAAGCTCCATTCAATTCAGTTGTTTTGCTTTTATTTTTTATTTAATTTTATTAACAGTTAACAGTTCTTTAGAAATTGTCTCAAAAAGTTTATTATAATGAACATTTTCCTTCTCTCCGATATTGTTGCTTTTCTAATTTTCCTTGACAAACATACGGTGTGAGTGTGTAATGTGTGTGGTGAGTGTGTGTTTTTATTCATACCAAACTTCAAATGGATCACTTAGCGATAATTTTATATATATATATATATATGTATATGTGTACATACATATGTTCGTAAGTGCCAGTATGAACATACATACATACATACATATTCATATATAAATTGCAATATTCATCCAAATGCCGATGATTTCGAAATGCTCAATTCCATTTAAACAATATACATATGTATGTATATATTTATTTAAGTACATATATTGATTTTGTACTGCCATTCAAATTATTAAATACTTTCGATCTTGCTAGTGGTTATTTCATTGATACTATTTGAGAGTTTTGAATATTTGCATTACATTTTCTCGAGTAACGCACAAAAGTGCAGCGTCGAATGGAAACAATTGAAAACTTTGAAAAATTGAATGAGCTTGTTTAATATTTAAGGAATCAGTACTTTCACAATGGTTTTTGGTTCTATATTACGATACGTGTTATGTGTTAGAGCTTTGATCTTTTTCAAAATTGCCATTTAACATTTACGAGTTTTGGCTACAGTTTTTAAATATTTCCCCTACGTTTGCTGCACTGTATAGCGTTGACTAGTTAAACATAGAAATTAACTTCTGATCTGGTTCGAGATCTAAGACATACAGAAAGATAAGATGATTAAATTCATAATGAAATGAATATATGAAGACAGTTTAAATTCGTTATTCTTTTGAGCGACAAGCATTTGGAATCCGAATCAGAAGCTCGTTCAGATTATCGACAAGACAAAATCTAAAGGCCATCAGAAGCAGTTTGAGTTAAGCACATACTGTTGATATGCGATATGTGAATTTGAGTGTTTATTATTTTTTGTTATTGTTTTCTATCTTTCTCTTTTGGTTTTTTGTTTGATTTGTTTTTTTGTTTTTTTTAGTTTTTGTTGCTTTTATTTTGGACTAAGTATGTGTAAGTTATACGTACATAAGTATTATTGCATAGAGGTTGTAGTGCAAGAGTTAGTATGCTGTTCTGTATGTTCTCATCTATGTATTGCGTGATTCTGTATGTGTGTTTGGTGTTAAGTGTTAAGTGTTAAGCATCCATTGGCATATAAATTCATGTTAGACTCTGGTTGTTGTTAATTATGTTACTTTTGCTCGTCAACATTTTGGCAAACTGCGATTTAAGCTTGATCTCTAAATAACATTCAATGATTTCATTTTTATTCATTTTTTGTTTTTAATGTCCTGTGTACCGTTTCTTACTTGTAAATGTCAAATTCATTTATTTAAATAGTATTTAACCTATTTACTGCTTGTGTGTGTATGTGTGTGTGTGTGTTTGTGTGTGGGTGTGTGTGTGTGTATGTGTGTGTGTATATAACAATAGCTTTAATCAATCTATCTTAGATAATATCATATTTAGCAGTTCCGACTGCACTTGTCACAATAAAAACCAATCAATATCATTTTGAAATTTACTTACATGGCTAAGAACTTATCTATTACAATATGTTAGTACGTATGTACATACATGCATAAGCAGGTGTAAAATAACACCCACAAATAGGCATGCATGTAGGCATGTACACCTGTACACACACCTTGAATCAATGTGAGTCACATGCTACCTTATGTCTAAACACTTACGATTAAAATACAAATTTTGTATTTTTTGTTCAAGTTTGCATGTTATGAAATAGATTCCGCAATGTATTGATTTCATGTATTTGTTCATTTACATTGCACACACTTAAAAATGTATTTTTTTATATGCAATTGTATTTAACACATAAACATCTTTAGTATACGAGTATGTGAGTGTTTATCTGTGTGAGTGTGGGTGTGGTATGTGGGAGTAGGTGTGTGCATGTGTGTGAGTGTCTGAGTGTCCGAGTATGTATTCGTGTTGCTCGTAAGAGTACTTAGTGTAGGTATGCTTGCATGAACATTGTATTACTTTTCACATTATATATGCACTTATAGAAGCATACTATGTAGGTGCATATTTCTTTGTTTGCCTAACCACAATCTATTGACAACATACATATTTGATTTTTATTAGTGCACCAACTTTTGGTATTTCTGGTTATTTGTTTCAAATTCTTAACGATGTGGCTGGCTATGCCAATGCCTTTTTCCAATTTTCGTGCACACAGTACAGACAACTACATGTACGTACATACATACATACATGTACTATATGAAATACGTATCTATATACATTTTAAACTGGATAATTCGACATTCATTCACTGTTGTAAATCAAATGGAAACAAAGTGTGGCACATTACACAAACAATTGTTTTGATTTCTATATCTCCGTTCGATTTTGCCCGTGGTATGGTTAGTTAATTCTATGCAGAATACAACTTCAATCTCTTGAAATCATCGAAAACAAATTTCAAAGGAATAAAGCAATTTTGTGTGATTATGTTGCTTTGTGCAAGACTTGGGCGAACTCGCCTGGCATCAATTTAGAAAGGAGTTAATATGGGTCATCCAAGACAACTCAGCTATAGTCAGAGTGAACGATGGCTATGAGAAGGCCATCGAAGGCACTTTCTTTATCACCTTTAAGAAAGTCGATATTATCAATGGCATCTGATTTGTAAATCACCATATTATCCAGATAGACGCCTGGCTCAGCCACTTATCCTTGAGCAAAATCCGAAAATATTTCAAAAAGGTCATATTAATTTTGGATAAAACAAAAATATAGTGACTTCGCCATTGGCTTTGTTATTAGGACGAGATAACTCCGGAAAGGTTTAACCTGTCAATATCTAAACAAAATTCCTCTTTGCCAAGACAGCAATAAAGTCCAATGAAGCTCGTTGTAGATAAGGAAGTAAGTCGTTATTTCAGGTGACTTACATTTTGGGACTTATAATTATCTACTTATAATTGACATTAAGAAACAATTACGCGAATGTGAAAGAGGCTTCTTAGCTGAAAACACGTATAAAATATATGTATGCATCTGTATATAATGCATACATATATAAATACATATGTAAATGCACATACTTATAACATAACACAAAATATTTATATATATATACATATATATATATATATATGTAAATATTTATTTCATCAGTATTTTTATAAAGGAATGTGTTTTTGTTGCATTTCATTGGATTCTTTGATCTACCACTAACTATTAATTTACATATGCAAACATGTATTTTCTTCTTTTCGTCCTTTTTTTTTAAACTTTGACATGCCTTTTAATTTGAGCACTAACAACATTTACTAGCTAAAAAAAACTTTGTCCCATCTTTAACCAACATTCGAGTAAGCACTTGCCATGGTATCTACAAGTTTGCATATAGATGTCCCTAAATGCTTATGAATGTATGAATTTTTATGATCGTTATATATTTTGTTTAACTAATTATTCCACTAGTAATCAGCTAGTGTACAAAACCAAGTATTATTCAACGCCTTGCCAGTAGAGATCATTACAGAAAACATTGAAATCAATCTTTGCATAAGAAAACCAGCTGGCAATCCATGCGTGCAATATGAAATTTGTAAATTTGAGTGACAATCGATTTTTTGACGATTTTGCTTTGCTGGAGGAATGAAGAGCAAATCATGAACAATGGTTATGGTTTAGTCAACCGGCAAATGCTCTACCAACAGTTTATCGCATGATCAATTGATGAATGTTAACGATAAGTGGCGAATTTTTGGTATGTATGTTGTATGTCTATAATTGTTCTTGTTACAAATGTTGCTTATCTTTAGTCGTTTAAACTGTTCTTATCATATTAAAATTTATTAATCTTATGATTAGGGTTATCCACTGGGTTATTCAATGTGAACTGGCGGCACTTTGCCACAAAATCTATCAGTCGTTATAAAAATTTGCTCGATCAAGGGTAATTTTAGCAGCACATGACCCAAGTGCAATAGCATCTCTAACGGCATATTCAGAGGTCATCATAAAAAATGACATGCTTATTATGTACACGGTCTAGCGATTTGAGCTACAGAGATCAAACTAAGTAAAAACGCTTTAATTCCAATCGACTTTGAGAGAGATAGAAAAGGTAAATACTGAATTGTCTTTTCAAGATACACATAATACTCGTTCACCTTTTAGGTTTTGAATGGAATCTGAAGACCATCGAATGTGGTTTCAAAATAAACCATTTAATTATCGATTAATTCCCAGCTCTGGTTTGAATACACAAATACATGCACAAATGTATGTATTAATGCATAAATGTATGCATATACATATATGTGTAGGCATACAATTATTTACAATTATTACATTTACTAGAAGTATATTGAAATGATCAGGCGTCGCCGGGGCACGCCTGAGGTACTACGTATGTAATTAAGTATAAAAATTCTTATGCATAATTCACATGTAAATCCAATACGTGCATGTATGTATGTCTGTATGTATGTACATATGCATGAAATATTCATATGTATATTCATATGAATGTATTCATATTGTATATATATATATATATGTCTGTATGTATGTACATGTGTGTGTTTGTGTGTGTGTTTTCGTGTGTGTGTGAGCGGCGTAAAACCATATCTTTAATTTCACATTTATCTCATCGTACATATCTAATTATGTATGTATGCATGCATAGTAAGTATACTTACTGGAATGTATGTATGTATGTATGTATGTATGTATGCATGAATGTATGTATGTATGTAAGTATATACGAGTATGTAGGCTTTTTTCCATATTATGTTTCCGTTTGTCTTTTTAATATTTATTTTGTTTTTTTGTTTTTGTTTTTGTGTTTTTTTTTTTTTTGGTTTCTTTTGGTTATTTTTTGTTTTTTAAACTATGTAAGCATATGCTAAAGTACAGCGAGTACTAATAGTCTGACAGAATCGTATGATTTGAATGCTTGCCTGCCTCTGCCAGCGCCTGCCAATCGGGATTGGCTAGAAAATGGTGCAGCTTTGTGGTAGAATGCTGGCGGATTGGGGATGCGGGTGAAGCTAAAGCTGTTTGAACTGTCAATGCTTATATTCCGGGTAGCAGCCATTCTCGATTATTTGACCGGATTGACTGTTGTTGCTGCTGCTGGTATCGACTGATTGTTGCTGAAGCTGCTGCTGCTGCGGCTGCTGATGATGAAGCTGATATTGCTGATGCTGATGCAATTGCAACTGGTGAAGTTGCAATTGCTGTTGACTTATGGCTGCCGTGTCTGCCGATTGTGACTGCAACGTGCGGCGTGTAGGTGGCTGGATAACACTTCCACTGCTTTCCGTCTCCGTTGAGGGTGGCGAGGGGTAGTAGTCCCTCTGACTTACATTTATACCATTTGGGACGACTGCCATACCCATTATAGAGTTGCTGTTGGCTGCCGCTGCCGCCGCCGCCGCTGCTGCCGCTGCGGAGGATTGATGATCGCCGTGGTGCTGGTGCGGATGCTGATGGTGCATAACGTTGTTCGTTGTAGCTCCCGATATGGGCGCGACGCCGCTGGATGGTTGGGAATCCGACATTGTGCCGGATTGCGGCTGGTCCAATACCACGACGGATACCACATCCTCACTCGCCCACCGGGCTAACTGTTGTTGAGCTTGAATAAAGTCATCACTAGAAAATAATAATCGTAACAGGAACAACGGTACATGGTAAGAACACAAGGGGGGCTCATCAGGACTCAGGACCTTAGGCTGGGACTGGACTGCAGGTAGGTACATTGACCTCTCTTACGCTGGGCAGCAGATCAAAGCACAGTCGAAACTGAACGGATGATGGCAACCATTTATTTGGACCTAACTCAAACAAATCAAACCGCACGAGCCAAGGGAAACATATCAAATTGCACCACCTACTATATAAATACATATATGCATTTCGTAACGTGCCTAATAACGTGCTAAGAATCCACAGATCGGTTCAGAGGTATATTGTACAAAAGACCATACGATTCTAAGTAATTCAATAGTCTTTGATTGTACAGACATAGGTGTACCTATATTTATTAATGAGAAAAGAACAGAATTGCGATGGTGCGGATCGTCTAGGAATAGGCCAAAGCGGGTCGAACTGTTAAATATCTTTGTATGCACTTTGTGAATGGATTGATTGAAATGATAGAGAATATTGAAAAAAAAAATCGTTTTCTACGGAATAAAATATATATGGTACAAATGTACCAAAACGGCTAGATTCTTTAGCCGGCTAGTTAAACGCAAAACCCTTTCGTATTTCCTCTCAAAAATAACACAGAAATGAATGCAAGCCAATGCATTAGCCACGATGCATGGCTAAGAAACCATTGGCTGCATAATGGAGAGCCAGTAAAGAGTTGCGATGGGCGGATGGTTACGTAACATGGTTGCTTTGGTTGCTAGGAGGCGACTGAGGCGACAGTGGCATATATGTATATATATATATGTACATATGTATGTATGTAGGTTGTGATTGGCGGAGACTTACCTCTCACTCTCGGGCGTCTCCTGTGGATCGAGTCGTGTGTCGAGCGCGCCGCGCTCATGGTGATCAGCGCTTTCGTATATGCCCTCATCATCCTGGTGCAGATGCGTGTGCGACGAGTGGTGCGATGAGTGTGGGCCGTGTGTGGCATGGCCATGGGCATGCGAATGGTGCGTGTGGTGTCCGAATGCGTGCGGAGAGTGCGACGGATGCGTTGTGTGTCGGCCAGTGGGCGCCGGCTGGCGGTAACGTCCGCCATAGGCAAAGCGCGGGTCCTCGTCAGAGCGGGGCCGACAACGGCTGCTGTAAGACGGGTGGATTGTAGCGGTTTTCTGAGTTTGAGCTGCTTGCTGATTCGAGCTGGCGGTATCGAAAAGCAAAGAGCATTCACAAATTTCTATAAATTTAGCTTAAGCGCAATAAATGTATAAGGCATAATGGGATGGGAATTGGGAGAACGAACGAGAACCGATACCGAGACCGAGACCTAGCTTAAGACTATAGACTATAGTCAGACAGTTAACGACAACGTTTTCACAGAACCAATAAAAAAAAAAGATGTGAAAAAAAATATACTAATCAAAATCGAAAATAAGTTTTGTATGACTTTCTCGAATGGACATTCGTCGAGAGGCAAGCTGTGAAACAGCGAGTCCTATTTTGTATTCTGTGTAGCTGACATTATGTACATAGATGGAGGGTCCATGGGTCCATGTGCGAACCCTGGGCTTGTTTCTTATTTGAGGGGTTTTTGGGTTATTTTTGATTAATTGTGGGCGTGCCAACGTATGTGAAACCAACCTTTATCACACAAGATATTCCAGTCTGAAGCCTGCAAGAAATGCGAATAGAAAGTTGCGTTGGCTAATGTTCGGTTTAAATAACTGCAGTCCAAACGGACAACAGCAGCTTAGTACATGCTCATCTGGCTTTGTTGATGTGTGAGTGTGAGTGTGGTGTGTCTCTGTGTTGTGTGTATGCTTATGCGATTGTTCCAGTTGTTCTATGTTGCAATGTCTGCAAATGTTGAATGTTGAATGTTAAAGCCATATACAATTTACGCTAAACCATTAACAGTGTGAAGCAATTGAGCTACAGTTATCAGGTTATAGAGTTTCTTACTTTTAAATAGTAGTAGTATAAGTTGAACTGGGTGACAGATAATACGAGTACAAATAATAGTTATAAGACAAGCATATTTTTGTTTTTTTTTTTTGTTTTTTTTTTTTGTTTTTTGGTACTGGCTATTTAAGTATTTAAGTACTTTATTGCATACTTTTCGAATCGCAATCAATGCACACAGATGTTGAGAGCATTCAACAAATTACGAGTACGAGAACGAGTACGAGTACGAGTACCAGCAAATCCTACTAATAGTCAAACAAGGTAAGAGTATGTGTTGGTCGGTTTGCGTATAAGTGTGTGTGTGTGTGTGTGTATCTGTGAGTATATTAGGTATGCATGTATGCAAAATAAATGAAAGAGCTATGCATGATAAGCTTGTATCGGGTTTATCGGACTCGGCGGTAATTTTGTATCTTTTTGGGCTGAGGAACTTGGGTTTCTTGGGATGACGTCGAAATAATATCGATATATCAAATTCGAATTCGAATACGAATGCGAAACTAACCCTTGCGAGGACTCACTACAAGCGGCGGAACTATCTAATCTATAGTGACGATCGCCCTCCGTTTCCGACATGCGTATGTCTTCGGAGCCACTGGGGCTCATGTGACGCGACGAGTGATGCTCCAGCTGCCGGATGAGGTCCTCCAGATTGCGTATACGCAGCGGCCCAGTTGATGGGGCATCATCCTCATCAGTTGGCTGCTGTTGCAGTGCCATTCCAGTTGGCTGATGCAATTGATGTTGCGATCGATGATGATGCATCAGTGCACCGCCATGGCCAATGGCATTGGTTACGCCAACAGAGCCACCAACACCACCACCAATACCGCCACCCACACCCCGTACGCCGCTCAAATCAGCGCCCAGGGACAAGCCGCCTAGGGCGGAGCCACTACCATCTAGCAAAATGGCGTGGGCGGCGGCACTGTCGCAAATGTTCTCGCGCGAGCTCGACTTGGAGCCGCTCGCCCGTTTGTACGGCTCCACAGAGTAGGCCAGCTGGGCGCTGCCGCATTCCTGCAGTGTTTTGCGTAACATTTCCTCACTCAGGCTGCCGCTGCCAACTGGTGTGTTGCCAGTGCCGGTGCCACGATGCGACGCCGCATTACGCAATGCCTCCAAAATGTCTTCGTGATAACCGTTGAGCGATTTAAGCGTGCGCTCCACTTCTGAAGCGGCAGCACCACCAATTGTGGATGTCTGTGTGCCATCCTGTGTAATCAGCTCAAGATTGTCCGACTGGCTGTCATCGCACCACTTGTCTTTTAGCTGCTCGCCATGCACAAGTCCATAGCCATGCTTCTTCAGTATGCCCTTCTCTGCGGTGTCCAATCATAACCAAATCGATGGACGAGCCGTTCCAATGTACATGCAAAAGAACATACAAATGTTGTAGAGTCAGACAGCAGAGAGAGCTGAGTAGTTGTAGTTGTAACAGTAGTAGTAGTAGTAGTAGTAGTAGTAGTAGTAGTAGTAGTAGTAGTAGTAGTAGTGGCAGTTATAATAGTAGTAGTCGTAGTATTAGTTGTAGTAATAGTAGTTAAAATAGTAGTCATAGTATTAGTAGCAGTAGTAGTAGTAGTAGAAGTAGAAGTTATAATAGTAGTAGTAATAGTAGTAGTAGTAGTTGCAGAAGCTGTTATAATAGTAGTAATATTACTACTAGTAGAAGTTATAATAGTAGTAGTGGCAGTAGTGCTACTAGTATTAGTAGTAGTAGTAGTAGTAGTAGTAGTAGTAGTAAAGAGATAGTAGGGATAGTGCCGCAAAGATTAATCACTCAATTCCAATAAATTGATTAGTTTAAAACTTAAGTCATGGCTTTACTCCATCTTATTCTTAGTTGATTATTAATATCTTCAATCGGTAACATTAACATATTTTTATACGTATAAATCTGTTTTCTTAAATATTTAGTTAAAAAAATAATAATTTTCAAATACAGATTAGCCTCAATATATACATAAATATTTGACGTTGAGATTATCCATTATAATTATCGTTTCTAGTATCAAGTCTGGCTCTTCTTTCCTTGATATATAGATATACTCTAGAGCTGTTGATTTTAAAAATAAATCTACTAAAAGGTAAGTATTTTCCTGTGTATTATCGATTATCGTCGACCTACCTCTAATATATTCTTGAATATCAAAACAAAGATTTCAAAAATGACTAGCTATATACTACTTATACTGGCAGAGAATACTCGAGTATTATAATTATAAGAATACATATACTTATTTTGCAATCTTACAAGTTCTTTTAACTATTTCGAAATGCAAGAACCATTTAAAAAGGACACATTAATTACGAAAACTTTGGGACGTTGTAAAAATTGCAGTTAGCTAAGGCATACAAGCTCTTAAAGATAATAACAAAAACAAAATAATTTTCTAAAGTTTTTCAATGCAGCATAATGCAATTGACAATAAAAATATGTCTTATGACAAAGACAAAAGAAATGTTTATGTGTACGGTGTGTGACTAGCTTCATATTAAATTACGACCAACTGGTTCTAAAAATCCTTAAAATCGGCTTCCGAGTGGAACCAATGCAAAACTTGTATTGTAAGTATTATAGTATTAGTATTGTGTGTGGGGCAACTATCTTAAGACTACAAATAAATTGAAGAACGTATATAAGTTGATAGTATTTAAGTATATATATATATATAGTATAGCAATATTATTTGTATATAGCTGCAACGTTAACGGGAACGGCAAAGGCACTGCATTATGTATAGTAAGTTTATATACATACTAGTTAAGAACGTCAATTACTTGGTATACCTATGCATAGCAATATGTTATGTTTACGATATTTGAAGATTGTGTGATTGTTAAATAGTATGTACTGGTATTGGTATTGATATTGATATTGGTATTGGTATTGGTATTGGTATTAGTATTGGTATGATGACCTCTAGCGCATGAAAATGTTTAGGGAATGTTGTATTAACCTGCATGAGATTGGTCGTCCTCACCACCCGTCGTATAGCGACGTCCGTGTAAGTTCTTATCCCTGCATGAAATCGAAAACAAACACAAAGCAATTTCGATTGAACATTTTATAAAATATATATGCTTAAATGCTACATGGCATGTACTATGTTGGCAAACAAATAAATAATTGGGGTGTCGGGCATAGTGCAGAAATGCGGAAATGCTCACCTGAATCCGGCCTGATTGGCGTACACCAATTTGCTGGAGCCATCTAAGGATACCTCCTCGACGGAATGATGGTTCGGCGCGGTTGCCGCACCGCCATAACCCTTGGGGATGGGTTTCTTTGAGAACGGCGGATCGTACTTAAGGGTGGTTGTCTTGCGTCTATGTTCATGTTGATATCGACGTCAGAGTTTTTTTGGTTGTTGTTGTTATTGTTGTTTATTTTATATGCGTTATATGTATTTAATTCATAGGTTTGTATACACACAGGGCACATACATGTATATATACACATATGTATACATACATATATATATATATATATGTATATATATATGAATATATATGCATATATAGAGGTATACATAATTGTTTAAAGCGTTGAATGGTGCGTATGATTTGGATTTATAATTCGTTATGAAATTATTTGTATTCGATTATATACAAAGTTATTTCGATACGTTTGGCATGGTCGATGGATTGAATTTGGTCGTAGGTTGGTTGATTGATTTGTAAGTTGGTTGATTGATTGATTGATTGGTTGGTTAATTGTTTGATTGGTTGGTTGGTTGGTTGGTTGGTTGATTGAGATACGAAAATACACATATTGCATATTGCATATGTATATTCGTGGTGTATGGGGGCGGAGGAATGCCAACATACACACACCCATACAGACAGACAGGCACACACACACACACATACACACAGGCACACAGGCACACATACATGGGCAGGCAGATAGATCAATCACGCAGACATTCACACAATCAGATACGTTCGCGCCGTATTTAAGGATATGGGTGTGTGTACAGAAGACACGGTGTTTGCACACGTAAATTTGTTTGTTTGATTTGAATTTGGATTTTGTATTTTGATTTTGTATTTTGATTTTGATTTGATTTTGGTTGATTTTGTTTTTGTTGTTGGTTCGGTTTTGTTGATGTTGTTGTTGTTATTGTTGTAGTTGTTGTTGTTGTTGGGAAACGAAAGGTTATGATGAGATTCTTGATTAATAAAATGCTCGTAAAATTGTTGTTGTTCTTGTTGTAATTTTTTTTTTTTTTTTTTGTTTGTCGTGAAAAATAAAATTAAGTGCCACATAAAGAATTTTGTTACACAAATTTAAATACAAATGAAAACAAATACATACCCACATACATAAGTGTACACATACATATGTACAGTATGCTTACATTAACATTGATTTTGTTTCATTTGATGATTATGTACAAATTTGTATTGTACTGCAAGCATGTATGTACTATATACATAGGTATGTAATTGCAAGACAAGTTGAATACATTGAATGTGCCGTTAAAAGACAAACATAATAAACACAAAACGAAAGCAAAAGGTATGTACATATGTAAATGCATTAACAATGAAGTCAATCTTAAATCAAAATTGATGACACATTGATGACAGAATTTTGCATAGGACAAAGAAGATGATTAGAAATTTGTTTTGGGCTAACACATCGTTAATGAAAGGCTTGTCAAAAACGTCAACGACATAACTCAAAATCATTAATAGACGCATTTAATTAGTAATTTTCACAGTATTCAATGGGATGGATTGATCTTTATGTATGCAGGTATGTAGAATATTAGCAATATGTAGGCGCGGACAGGGGCGGTTTTTGTTTGTTCGGAAGACATTCCATTGGCCTGACGCATACATACATACATACAAACATATCTACATACGAACACACAATGGTGCATGCCTGCATTCATACAGCATACATACAGACAGGTTGGATTTACATAGATGTACCCATATAATATGAACTGGATGGGATAAATAACATTTTCAATACTCATTAATAACAAGCATGAAATTAATTCCTCAGGCAGATAGCCCGAGACACATGAAGAGAAAGAGACACACACACAGAGAGAGAGAGAGAGAGAGAGAAACATAGAGAAAGACAGAGATAGAGACACAGACAGATAGAGAAAGGAAGAGCGACAAGCATGGATGAGACATAAATACAAACAGTAAGTAACAAAAAGAAAGTTGAAGGTCGAATGAAAGACGGGGGCGACGTGTATATTAGTAAGTATATTTACATGTACGTATATGTGTAAGTATATACATATATTGGCTGTTAAATATGCATGTTTGCATGTTGATATTGGTATCATCCCACTTTTGATTCAAGCAAATATAATAATACAGGTCTGATTAATTTTGCGATCAATGATCTTGAATTTAAAATTTAATTGCTACTTTTCGTTTAAGTTTCAATAAATCTCCAAATCAACAAATACTGAACAAATTGGAATACAGTTCCGATACTGTTAAATTTTAAAGCGAATTATACATTTAAATATATATATATATATATATATATATATATATATGTGCATATACATATACATATACATATACATATACATATACATATACATATACATATACATATACATATACATATACATATACATATACATATACATATACATATACATATACATATACATATACATATACATATACATATACATATACATATACATATACATATACATATACATATACATATACATATACATATACATATACATATACATATACATATACATATACATATACATATACATATACATATACATATACATATACATATACATATACATATACATATACATATACATATACATATACATATACATATACATATACATATACATATACATATACATATACATATACATATACATATACATATACATATACATATACATATACATATACATATACATATACATATACATATACATATACATATACATATACATATACATATACATATACATATACATATACATATACATATACATATACATATACATATACATATACATATACATATACATATACATATACATATACATATACATATATACATATTATGTATATTGGATGTACCTTTCTTGTATGCATGCATGCATTAAAAGACAGCGATGTTAGCGTTGAGCTTGCTGGAATGAGTGTGGCAAATGATTAAGTCAACAGCTTTTTGGTTTTAATTCCTGCCAGCAAAGGAACTGGAGTTGGGAAGTGTAAATTTGGGCATTTGGGACTGTGGCATGTGGCATGAGGCATGTGGTGTCCATGCCCATGCACATATATGTAAGTGCATGACATACTTACATACCTACAAAAACATACACTTGCATTGGGGTATCGAATCTCGATGCATATACAAAGATACACAAAGAAAGCATCGCTTTGCAAGTGCTGAATTGTTTCTATGTGTAAATTGTATACTAAAATACTGGTACATTTGCAAATAGCTCATGATGGCTGCTCATCGAAACATCGCTGGCTCTCTCAGCAGAAAGCACCACCATAACTCAAAGTCAGTTTCGTCTATGTTGGGCCCTAAGCGCAAAAAGAGATCTTCATTTGCCATTGGAGGCACACCAGATGCATGTGGCAATTGCTTCCCAACCTACATACAATATGATCTTCAGAGTATGCATTTAAATGCGTACTCCTTACTTTATTTATTTGGCTTTGGGCTGCAAGTAAGCGGGTGCCTTGTTACTTAGTTGTGCGTTTTGTAGATGTGTGTGTGGTGTTTGTGAGTGTTACTAAGTATCAATGATGTGGCATTGCTAATATGTAAGTACTTTGGCATATGCATTAGTTATATAGTATTTCGATCATGTAAGGTATTGTTTTTCATTTCTTCATTTTTTAATACTTTAGGAAGACTAAACTGAACAAAAGTAGTAATGAAAATAGTCAACAAGATCAGCGATCAGCGATCAGCGATCAGCGGTGCTCTGACCACAATTTCCATTTCTTGGCGCGGCCTTGTTCAAATCGTATGATTTTTACTCATTAACAATAATCAAAAATAATTGATACTAACACATTGAAATAAAAGACTATGTATTAAGTTGAACTTAAGTTGGAAATAAAATATAAATATGCATATGTTATTATTATGTACTTTAATATGTACTACAATAGCTCCCATTTAATTCTTTTGATAGTGTGTGATTATAATCCTTTGCCTAATTTAGAGGGGAATTTAAGTACTATGTGCGTACGTACACAAGTACATTCATGCAAATCTCTTTTTTGGGAATTTATCAAATTTGTATATATGTATGTGTGTCTTTAAACTACGATTGCAATACGAGAGAGGGAGAAGGAGCGCTAGAAGCGAATCAGTCATTGCAGGTGATAAAGCAAATATTTTGTATTCCTAAGCATAATACTTAAACCTGCTAAATCTAATAATAGATTCTGATATTTTAGTGTGTTCTTTTAAGCTTAAGTTGCTACTATAAATACATACTGATATTTTTGTTATACCCTTGTTGGTTTATATCCTTCTTATTTAAGTATCTTATGGTTATTTGTCTAGTCTTTAATTTGTTGTACTTTTATCAAAATTTAAAAAGATGCAAAGGCCTCCCTTTTAGAATATTAGTTATCACTTTTCAGTCAATTATTAACTATAGTTATAATTATGAAAAAAATATGTTGGCCAACTATTTAGCAGGTTAGCAGCAAAAGGGTTTATTGTAATACTTTTTTCTTGAATATCTCTCAGCTTCAGTTACTAATAATTACTTATCGATTATCCTTTAGTTTGACTTATGCCAGCTTGCTTGTGCTACTACTCAGGGCTAAGAATTTTGTAACTAATTATTCGTGTGTCATTATAGTTGGTTTTATTGCATTCAAAATAATCAAATATATCAATTTTAAAATAAAATGAAAAAGGAACCAATCAAAGGTCTGACTATTGTGTGGTGCTTATCCCCATCAGAAACGAACCGTGGATTTCTAGATGCAACATCTGAATGTAATGATGATGTGTGCCGCTGTACAGATAAAGTAATGTTGTGTTTGTATATGTCTGTACGTATGTATGCCCCATGCCCCATACCCCATGCATACATACGCACCTATATACATACATACATATGTACATGCATATGTAATTAGATACTACGATTACAATTGGTATACATACATATGTGTCATTCAACTAAAATTGAATAAATGTACATATACTCGTAAGTGTATCATTATGTAAAGAAGTATAGACTGACGTTAATATTCATGCAGGACTCTATGATAGGCATACATGCATATGTACATACACATCTGTTTTGTCATCATACAACTAGTATATACCCTTTTCTACGGGTTCATCGGAAATTTCTCAGTGGGCATTAGGCCCCTTGGTATGTACATCAGCATTTACATGTGTAGGGAATTGATAATTAATTGATGAATGGAATCCAACAAGCCATAAACCGGAATATATACTTGCTATGTATATATGTACATATGTATTTATGAATTATTTTTTACATATGCTCAACTATGTACATATGTATGTATGTATGATGTTTGGTTTTTAATTTAGTTAGTTTGGTTGACTAGTTTCAAATATTTTCAAATATGTACAAAAATATGAGCAAACGGTTATATGTAGAGCATGTGCAAGTCGGTGCAATGGCAATTACGCGTTCCTTAAATGGATTCAAACGAACCAAAAACAAAAATAACATGGGACAACGGTTATATCGATGTACATATGCATGTTTTTGCAATGGTCAATACATATGTACAAGCTTACACACACACACAAACATATATATGTATGCATGTAGCAGATACATACGTGCATATATACATTTGTATGCGTATTTTTTTTATGCACTAAATACTACGACTCATAAAGAGGGCAACATTTGGATAAAGAAAATGAATAAAATTCGAAACAGAACATATAAACAAAATATTGAGTTTTTTTTTTCGATTTTTGTTAGTGTTCTTTTGTAATTTTTGCATTGATTTTTCAGTTTTTTGTTTTCTTATTGTCGTTTTTTTTTTTTTTTTTTTTTTTGTAGTAGTAATTTGTATTTGTATTTAGAGCTGGCTTTTTCATTACTTCTTTTCAACTAACCTCAGACACAGGGAGAAGTTTCTATGTACTACAACTGACCTGTAGCACAATGCCATCAAGGTGAATGTTATAAAAACGAACCCTACAACTGACATTAGAACACCGACTAGGAACACTGTATTTGAGCCGTGGTAGTTCTCTATACGAGATATTTTAGCCATTTGATTTCACATGCGTGTGTGAGTGTGTGTGTGTGTGTCAGTGTGTGTGTGAGTGTGTGTGTGAGTGTGTGTTAATGTTTTTTGATGGGTAAGATTGTTAATGTGTGTATTTGTATTGATTGGATATAGATTTTATGCGATGCAAATATACACATATATATAGATATATATATATGTACATATGAACAATATTATGCATACGTCAAGGTGTACAGACAATATTTGTTTTCATTGTATTATAGAACATTTTTTATATTGGATTTGCATACGTTACGTTGTGATAAACCAGATGTTTGTTTTTGTAGTAGTTTTTGTTATTTTTTTATTTTTTTTTTTTATTTACACATATAAAGTTTTTTTTTAGTTGAAGTTGTTGGTTTCGTCGATATCAGTATTGCAGTTGGGTGGGTAGATCAGCCGAAAAAAAACAAGCAAACAAAAAACATTTGTACGTTTTCTTCTTTTTTTGAGAGAGATATCACAAAAATATTAGACCTCAGCACACAAGAAAAAGCAACTCGACATTTATGTGCATGAATTTGACAACTCTTACATGCATACATACATACATGCATATCTTTCATATATATGCATATACATATATGTATGTATGTGTGTATGGATATATATGTGTATATATATAGAATAAGTAAATATGCATATATATTCGAATATATATGAAAATACACATATATATGCATGTGCGCATTAGCCATATTGTGTGCAGTTGCTGGATTACCAACAAAAAAAGTATTCTGACCACAAAACGCATCGAATGAAGTCGAAATCAAACGATTCTCACAGTTGCGCCTCGAGTTAACACTTTGGTCACAGTTCAACTACTATATTTTTTAAGATTTTAATTTTATTTGGTTTCTTTGAATTTTTTAAATTTATTTATTTTTTTTTTTTTTGGCATTAGTTTTGTTTCTATTCTTTTAATTCGGCAGCACCCAGGCTATGACAATGGTAATCAAAACTACGGAACACTCTATAACAAGGGCAACACCTTCGAGCCACGCCCTCTTTTCGATGCCTAGCAAATATGTATGCCTCTTAAATGTAGTTTTAGTATAGGCATATGTACATATAAATATTTCTAGACAGGTTTTCATGTATAGTTGGATTGTTTACGTATGGACAAGAATCTTGGAAAATCGTTAAGATAATTTCTTCGAAATCTATGCATAAATATCAGATATTTTGTGTGGAGTAACTTTTTGGATCTTTGGAATGGAAAAATTCCAATTACGATTCGTAAGCTTTTAAAAACATTATTGGTATGCATATGTCTTTGTGTGTATGCTTGTCTTTCTGAGTGTGTATGTGTGTGTGTGTGTGTGTTGTGTGTGTTGTGTGTGTTGTGTGTGTTGTGTGAGTGTGTGTGTGTGTGTGTGTGTGTGTGTATGTTTCAGTGTGAGGAAGAAGAATTGGGCGGGTGTATCTACCTATATCGTATTGTCTGTGAATGTTATTGTGAATATGTGAATATACATACATATATGTGTACATGTATGTATGTATATATGTACAAGGTAATGCGAGTGTTTGTACATGTTTTGTATGTAGAACTGCCCAAAATATGCATATATAGTTTACAGAAACATACATATATACATACACGGCATTTGATATACGATATGTTTTAAATAAACACCGATTACTCATAGCATGATCCAGCGCGCAGAAATATAAGTACATCAAGTATTTAACAACACTAATTCAAACAGACATATACATACAGACATATACATACATACGCATATATATGTATGCAGCTATTAACACACATACATACATACATACATACATACTTACATACAAAGAAACTTGATGTCATTATGTATGTGGAGTCAAATCATAGACGTACACGCACAGCAACAAGAACAATTACACACACAATTATAAAATGTAACTTCAGTATTCAAACTATAAGTTAATGAAAAGCATAGGTACACATTTATATAAGTATATGAATATATGTACATACATACATATGTACGAACATATTATGCATATGCATAATAAACATAATATTCATATTTCACGCATACATTTAACCTGCCACATTCATTCAACTATAATTTGTAAGGCATACAAATAAAACTGGCAAAACATGAAATGAATGTAAAAATAATCATTTTCAACGAAATTCGCACACATAATGGCAGTGGCAGGTATGTAAGTATGTAAATACAAACATATGTACATATGTCTGTAAAATACTATATACAAACAAGCACATGCATACAGTCATACAGTACATACACGCACATACGGACACATACACAGGTATATGTTTGAAGAAGCGTGGCATATTTTAAAGCAGTTGGTCAGACATTTATCGAATCCTTAACAATAATATTTGCTGTACAACAAATGCAAGCTGAGGGAACTTCCATTCCATAAATGTAAAAGAGAGAGAGAGAGAGAGAGAGAGAGAGCGCGATAACATGAGTGGTGGAGAGGGACAGAGACAGAAATAGAGAGATGTGAGTGAGTGAGTCAAGAAGAGAGAGAGAGAGAGAGAGAGAGAGAGAGAGCGATAGAAAGAGTAAGCGAGAGAGTGTTAAATGAATTGCTCTGTCTGACCGATAGCTTTAAGCATGCAGCATACACATTAGATTAACATAAGCCACAAGTCAGTCGGTGACTCTTTGGTGAATGCGTGAGTCCGACTTTTGAAACTACAGCTATTATGGTGGATACTATTGTAATTGTACTACTTAAGCCTGTATTCATTGCGTATGCGTGTACACGTATACATATGTATGCATTTGTGTGCGTGTATGTGTATAGGTGAGCGCATGATCGGTGTGACCGATTGTTGACTTGCTTAGTACTCTACCTGTAGCAAACGGCCAGTGTTGCAAAACTAATGAAGACACATTTGACGATAACTGTTAAAATGATGACCATGGTTAATGTGCTGATCCTATTTTGGTCAGAGGTGCCTGGAAATGGTGGTTTCATTTTATTTCATTTTAATTTTCTTTCGTTTTGATTGTTGTTTTTCCAAATTATTGTTTTGTATGTAACAAATTGTTCTGAAATCTGAATACTACTTAAAAAAAAAAAAAAAGGAAACACTTAAATTGAATATGCATGAATTGCCTACTTAATGTTTAACTAAAATATATTGTATAATTAAGACAAACAATAATTAATATGCCTAACTTATTAGTAACAAATTGAACACAAGATTAAACTAACGAGTCAAATTGATTTCAAAAACAATATCAGACTAAATTTAAAGAAATCATTTCTTGAAGTTACAAATATACTTTCTTTTATCTTCACGAATCAAGGAATTTTTGTGTTATTTTTCTTTTTCGTAAATTAAGTGAATAGAGAAACAAAACTGCAACAAAAATTATATATATTTAGTTTCAGTTGTAGCTTTCAGATCCAGAACATTTGCGATTAATTGATTGATCAAACAGGAATCAGCATGCACGCAATGTGAGTCTGATTCTGGAAATATTGAATGGTATGATCTGATCGTGGAACTCGTGTTGGTTTAACAAATCGAATATTGAATCCTTGATGAATTGAGTTTGTGATTTGATGTTTTATGACCCGCTATGGCTATATAACTATAGTTGTTGAACTATTATATTTTCTGTATCTAAATAGCTGAATCTAAGATCATTGCATAATGCGTAATGCGATTCAATTCGTATTTACGAGCGTTCCGCCTAACAAGACTAGCAATCGATGTAATTACCATTGTCATACGAGTAATCGAAACAGTTATGTATACCGATGGTATCGAATTGCAATCAAATCAATTATCAATCTGTTCGAGAGACCGTGTGAGTTCGCTATTTGGGTTCGGTTGTGGCAGTTGTTAGTACCGTTAGTACCGGTGCGTAACTGATGCCCCTCCATAACGCCGGATTGGCTAAGTTAATTAATATTAAATTAAGTTAATTCTAATGTGGTTAGATTCGATTAGCATGTGTTCCAATATCAATATCATCAAAATGAAGCCACGTTGAGTAGCCGCTGACCTCGGCCCACACCCATTTCTTACCATATGGAGTTTCTTTCTTCTCCATTTTGATTGTATTCTCCGGCGTTGGCAATGCTTCCGTTGGCAGTGGCGTCGTCAGCAGCACAACCGTACTGCAATCCGTTCCGCCCCAGCCCATATCGCAAAAGCAACGATTTGCGTTGGTACAGAACTGCCAAAGAATGGGATATTCATGAGAGGATGGATATATGTATAAAAAAAAAAAAAATACAAAAAAAAATATATAAGTGGATATTCAGGTGGTTGAATAGCTGTTGTTATTGTTTTTGAGTTGTTTTGTATGAATGTGCTCCACTTTTTTGTACTTACACCGCGCTCTGAGCATTCTTGACCCTGCTTATTTGTTGGGCACTTGGTTTGATCCACATGCGGAAAGAGACTGACGCATGTTTGGTTAAGGCAAATCAAATTATCGCCGCATGGCGTTCCATCCTTGACCAGTCCATGCTCCGGATAGCTATTTGAGCCCACTTGTCCGCTGGTTGCTCTGCAATATTCATATCCATTATATACGTTAATGTGCATCAATTCTGAAAAGCATCAAAAGCAAATCCCTGCCCACACCCCCTCCTCCTCCTCCTCTTTCGCCCCCCATAGCACAGACACACACACACACACACAACGAGAGGTGCAGTAGTAGTAGTCGTTACGCACTTGCATTCGTATTCCTGCCCCTTGATAGAGATAATTGTACGCGAGTAAAGCTGGTCAATCCCATCGTTAACTGGCTGCCGTTCGCCCTCCTTGCACTGCAGCGTGCCGCATTGTACATTCCTGTGTGTTAAGAGAAAAAATGCAAATGCAGGAATGAATATGAATAGCCATTAAATGAGAGATGAATTTCCAAATGTAATTTATGTTGTGCATGGGTATTCAGTATGAACAATTTCAAAAAGATAAAATGAAAAAATCACATTTTTGAATTATGCAAATACTTGATGAGGAAGCAAACTTGTTTCGATTGCCAATTAAAAAGTACATAAAACTGAAACTATTCACTGCTGCATACGCATATCATAACAAGCAAACAATATCTGGCATATCGGCGCCATTTGTAATAATGTGTAGTACCGGCGAGGGACTCTTACTTACTCTGGCTCACATTTGATGTAGTGCTCGTTGGCGTCGCGACCACAGTGACCGTTAATGGAACCCTTTGAGTTGAACTGTTCGTAGCATTGACGATCAGCTGCAAAGCCGCCGTAGCCCCAAATAGCCTCACATTGTAGGGTAAGAGTTGGGCAATAGCCCTGGAAACAATAGCCTATCGAAGATGTACAGTCATAAGTCATAAGTCATAAGTCATCAGCATTGGTTTCTGACAGTCATCCATCACTCACCTGATATACCCGACTTGCTCAGGCCGCAGGGAGAGCCGTTCTTCTTGTAGATGTCACTGGGGCATTGGCCCACCTCCCCATCGCAATACTCGGGCAAATCGCATTCATTGTGAGAGTCGCGGCATACGTAATCCTTGGGTCGCAGCTGGCGTAAACACAATTGTGTTAAAGTCAAAAGCAATCACATTTTCCACTTTTCACATTCCACTTACTCGGCATTGGTCGCAGCAGGCGCCACTGGCGCACTGTGCTTCCGACTTCAGCTTACATGTGATGCCATCGCAGCAGGGATCTAATGCGCATTCCTCGAACGTGCCACAATCGCATTCCTCATCCTCCTCGATGACTTTGTTGCCACAGTTCCGACGCAGCTCAATCTGTAAGTGACATAAATAATTTGTTGCTAGTTACACTTTCTTATCTTTAACAATTATTTCTTGTTTCGAAAAGTACTGAAAATCATTTATTTTTCATTCGTAATTCTTCCCCTGCCAAAGTAGATGGGGAATTCCACTTGACGCAGCAGGTGGGCTATTTTTATTTATAATAAAATAATTTGATTCAAAGTTTTAGCACAATTCCTTCGTGATTACTTTTGAATTATCAATTACATCAAATTCATTTATTTTACTTTGAACTTGAAGCTAGGTAAATGTTGTTTTATGTTAGGAGTTCTTTAATAAAGCATTGCTATTTGGTGTGCTATCTGTCGGTGCTGATGCAGTTACTTGCCACTGGGTTCACAGTACAAGCAACCGCAATGACAGCAGGAATTCTATTGTGTATTGATTGGGCGGAGAAGTGGCGAGGGGAGGAGGAGGGGGGCATGTATCTCACCTCGTTGGGCTTGTTGAGCAAACAAAGCCCATGGCCTGTGCGCAATGCGTCAATGTAATCCTTTTTGCTGCATTCGGAGAACTTGTATGGCTGCACATTTTCCTGGCCGACTATTGACTGCGCCATAATGCAACCATGCCAGTCCCTGCAGAAACATTCCTCACCTGCGTTAAATTGCAAGAGAAAAAAAAATCAATTTAATGCACTGCACATAAATGATACGGCTTGATATGAAAAGCTGAGGCAAATAGTTCAGCATACAAATTACATGTTTTTTTAATAATACGAGTATTTCATAACTCGTTCAATGTTATTATGTATGATTAAATCATCAAAATCATCAAATAATTTAAAACTGATCAAATTATTGTGATTGTATTTATAATTGGTCAATTTGCAGATACAAAATACATGGGTATTTATTATAATCTAAATAATATATCAATTAGAATGTACTTACGGCCATCATCGTGGCCCATCCCAATATTGTGCCCAATCATATGCGCCATTGTGCCAGCCAAAAGGTGCGGCTCATACACATTGACATCGACACTGATGCCAACGGCACGGGGTGTGCAGACTGTCTCGGGTACGGCCATGCCGGCCTCGCCACCGGCAAATGTTTCTCCGCTGTGAAATCAAATTAAAAGTACGTGAGTGGGCATATGTGGGCACATATATATATATATATATATATATATATATATGTGTGTGTGTGTGTGTGTGTACGTACGTTAGTAGCTGTGTCGTATCCCGTTCGATTTGAAATAGATTTCTTGAGGTGTAGTCATTAAAGTTGGAAATGGCCTTGCTAATGTCCTTGCTGCCATCAATGGCCGCCTGGTTCTTGCCCCACGTCTCAATGTACACCACCGAAACGCGTGTATTCAGCGTACGAAAGTACTAAACAGATTGGCATTGGCCAAGTTAAAACACAATATATATATATATACAAGTACCTGTAGCTATCGATATACTCACCAAATCCGCTATATTGGCCACCTGTATGGCATCGTGGATGACTTCGGCGCGCGTGCTACCATTACGTTTCTCGAACATGGCCTTGTCGACTATGATGGCCGTTTCAATGTATTTGGTCGCCTCGCGCACATCCCGCTTATAACGGCCAGCACCATTGGGATGTATCTCGTCAACAACGCCCGCCGACAAGTGTTTAGTGCGTCGCGATAAACGCCACGAGTCCAAATTTCCAGAGTTTGCACAACCCTTGTTCGCCTTGGTGCGTGCTTCGAAAATCACATGCGGATGTTTCTGCATATATTAAAAGCGCTGATGAATATAACCGGCAGAGCTTATGATATTGGAGCGGTCAGCTTACCGACAGATCACCGCCGTAAAAGGGATGTATGACAAAGGTCTCGTTGCCAATGTGTATGACGCCGCTGACGCCGTTGCAAGTATGAAAGGCAGCACTGGCACCAGGATAATCCTTGACTGTACCATGATAGTAACAGTGTTCGATGTCCTGGAAAAAAAAAGACAAATCATTTGCTACTCTTGTAATCACAGAAAAGTTGACCGCTTAAAACTTCTACAATATTTGTATGTATAATAAAAAGAATTTTGTCAGAAAATTATCAATCCCCATTGAAAGAAACTTTTCTATAAATGGATGTTAAATAAAATATATCTATCTCTGTAGAGAGATGCCTCTCAATGAATTTTTCTCCAGCTACAGCAAATAAAGTTGCTTATTGATCACTTAAAAATGATATGTAACTAATACTTACATGTCGGTTGCCATCCACCAGGTATCCACCGACGTGATAGTGTTTCTGTTGTATGTTAGGTGAGAGTAGTTGTCTATAAAGAGACACAGCAATACAGCAAGTCAAGTGTGAAACAATAAATACATCATCAACAGAAACTTTGAACTTATTCGGCTAATTAAAAACTGCCCAAATAATCAAGGTTTTTTTATACTTACGAATTTAATTCCAAATCCAATCGGAATTTGTGATTAAATGCCTTGATAAGCAGTGAGGTACGATGAAAATGTTTCTGAAATTAAGGGAGAATAATTAGACAATTCTTAACAGTGTCACAATATGTGCAAATTCCACAAGCCTGAATTGAGCCTAATTTGTATCTTTTGGTTTCGCGAAATTGAATCTTAACATTTTGACTTAAATAAAAAATAATACAAAGATTAAGTATACACAAATGTTTGTTGGTAAATCAAAAAAAGGCATAATTATTCAATAGACACATAAAAAAAGTCTAGTTATTTTATGTACACAATATGTATGTTATACTTCAGCAAAAAATATTCGTTGCGTATTAATTAATCTTAATATCTTATGCATTAACACAATTTGCTTTGGATTACTTGAAAATTAGCAATCTGAAAGCTTATGCAACTTAAGAATACTTTGAGATCCCATCAAACTCTTAAGAAATATTCAAAGTCGATTTTGAACTGGAGCAGATTAAGTTGAAATTCTAATTTTGTACTTTTATAGATACTTATTTTCATTCTCACCTTTGTTCTGCCTCTGCTAAAAACGCTGTCATCGTGTGGACGTGGGCGTTGTCCCGGCTAAAAAATAAACAAATTGAAATGTTTTGAACGGTTATTAATGAACGAGCAAATAATTAAGTAGCTAAACACATAAGGCAGTTGAGACAGAGGCAGAAGTCATCTTTTAGTCAAAATCGGCGAGTTCACTGGCATAATACAATCGATTACACAGAGCACGAGAACTTGTAAGAATAGTCAAATATTAAACATCGATAGAAAGTCAGTGGTTGCAATTAAGTTTTAAAATGAAGAAAATTATGGATTTTAGGCAATGAGTATGAATGGAATTTGTTTTTCAATATTTAAACGTGAAAATCTATATGTGTAGCAGTATGGAGTATGTGGGGGGCGTGGGGTGGTGGATACGAAGGCGAAAACAATGAGACAAACAATAGCACGTCTAAATGAAAATAAGTGTGAACATACCATTGTATTTGTTTCGATTTTTCTAGTATTTCTCTTATGCAAATCTTTGCGTACCTTTGGGGGACTAACTTCACGCGTCGAAATTCCCATCTTTTCGTGATGACGCAGCTGTACAGGATAAATAATTTGATAATAATGTCCACCGATACGACGCACAAGTTCCTGATTTTGTCGATACTCTTTGAGCAGGCGTTCCACTTCACCTGAAACGACGAATTATATAAGCACCGATGCATATCGCTCTTTCACTTATACATAAATATGAAAAACATTTTGCGAGCTCAACAACATTGTTTTTAGCATCGAATCTAAAAAGAATCGCCCATTATTCAAGTCAAGATATTTTTCGATCTCCATATATAGGATAAACATTATCATTTGCATATCAATAAATTATGTGGGTAATCAAGCATATTTTATAAATTTACTGAATATACATACCAACAGGACTTTCTTCATTCCAAAATGAATCATCGAGGGTATAATCAGCTTCTGTAAAAGAAATGCAAAACATATAATACATAAATACATATAACACTATTACTAAAAAAAAAAATCATTCAAAATATTGATAGACGCGCGAATCAATTCAAAATGAATATAAAAAGAGTAATGAAAATTCCATGTATTTTAAGCAAATTAGATAAATATCAGTCCGGCGACTGCATTATCGTGTATTACAATTTTTAAGCTTTAAATAAAGTGCCAAACTTCAATAATTAAACTTATAGGATCACTGCTCTAGTCAGTCTATATTAATAATAACTCCATTCTACAAAATACAAAATAGATTAAGTTTTACTTAATCCTTAGAAGGTTTAAATTCTGAATGATTGATCGTTTACAACTATTGAAGAAGTCTCACAGATGTGTGGTATATCTCATTATTGAAATGGCATTCTTAGCTTTAGTAGCTATTACTTTAGTTATTGACTAAAATGAGTCACTGAGCAATCTACTTAATATATTTTTGTGTCCACAACTAAACTTCCGATTGTTGTTTCTGACCACATACCGTTTCAGAATCCAAACGCTTTGCCAAATTTCGTATACGACGGTAAAGCGTAGGAATTCTAAAACAATACAATAGTCACGGTAAACTACTATCCTTTAAATCATTCTATTATTTATGTGACTATTAATTTCGGTTATGATCTTCAAACAAAAGCACCCAAATTTGTAATACATACAATTATACTATAGTAAAAGATTTCATCATAAAAAAAAAAAACAAGAGCAGAATATTGTTACTACAATGTTGTAACAAAATAGAAATATAATAACATTAGCAAAGAAATATAAAAACAATAATTATAATGATTGTCATCTAGAGTATTGATATCGAAGCTTTTGAGTAATTGAATTACTCTGATTGCAACAGCCATGCACCACTCCTGGGAATACCAACTAAAATAGTAACTAGCGTTTGACGTTATATTGAAAATTGGGAAAATAGTGAATATATATATATATGTTAGTCAATCGGTAATCAGTTATTGAGCAGCCGCGAAAGCACGCTATTAACATTATCTGTTTAAAGGAAGGTAGTCAAGCTTAGAAGCCGGAATATTTTGTTTTCTGGCTTGGGTCCGAAAATATCCAACTGCTTAAGTCATCACTTAAGCATGATATGCGGGGAATCAAAATGAAGGATCTCTATGATTTTAAAAATATAAGATTAAATTGAATCTAACACACAATCCCGTTAAGTCAAATAATGCTCACAATCAACAATTGTAAGCAACATTTGAACAACAATTTCAAACTCATTAAATTATATTCATAAATGTAACATGTTTATATACAAACATATATATCTGCATATGTATATATATATATACATATATGTGTGTATATATATTGATTGATTAACCTCAGAAGCCATGCGGATATAGTCAAGTTCATCTGTCTCATCTGCCCCATCTCAGCGACTAAAGCTAATTGAGAATATTAATCAATCCAATAAACTAAAATCAATCAAATCAAATACATCATTCAGATTTGGTAGAGGCACCATAACAAACTATTGAGCATTTAGATCGATTAAGAAACAGTGAAGTTGTTAACGAAATATATTTATACAATATATAAATCTATTAACAAATCCAACCATTGGCAAACAAGTATTTTCTATTATATAATTCACATTTAATAAGTTTCAAAAATTGAAAATTCATTTGCATGTTTTGTATTCATGAGATTATTAAGTTCAAATTTGTTTAAAACTTTAAAATGATGTGAAGTGGCTATGGTCTCCGCTCGATCCCCTATGGGGAAAATTATGCGAAAATTATTTTTCGCAATTTGAACTTGTTTATTCAACTGTACCTTTGCCAACGGCTAGGTAACTTAACGTTTCAACTCCCTGGCATCACATAAACATTGTTAAGTGACTTAAGGCTCAATTCACGGTTGGCATCAGTCTAGCGAAAGCTCGAATAAAAAATGAAGCAAGTTGAGTTATTTGCCTGCCAGGTTGAACAGATAAGAAATATATATTCACAATGGAATACTCTTCAAACCGGACGCGTCGCTGCACTGAATCAACGTCAGTATTGACTGTCTATGTGTCTATACTGTAATTTTGCTGGGTACGCATAAAAAAAAGAACTTGCGTTGTATTTGCACAATGTGTTTATACTGAATATCTGCATTGTTGCACGACGAGTCGCAGTCATTCCACGTCATACCACACCCAATCATATATTTGGGTCAAATCTCACAATATGAGCATCACTCAAAAGCAAATCATGACTGCAACTTCGTGATAGCTTGGTTGGCATGTGTAGTAAAAAATAAATAAAAATATTATACCAACAGTTGAGTGTTGTGCTGCACAGAAACGATATCTGAATATGTGTTTTATGGCTTTAAATGAGTCATGCTGTTGCCTCAGTCAAATTTATTTCAAATTTATATGTCTCAAATTGTCATCAATCCTAATGAAGCATCCAATTTCTTGTGAAAGCCAACTATTTATGACTTGATTGCAATCTGTGCAGTCTAAATCCAAACTAATCCTTAGGGATACGCACAAAAGAATTTATTGCATATATTAACAATTTAACTAGCCAAGGATTTCTTAGCTTAGCACCCATATAATAAATGTTCAATGCAGACTCTTGCACATTTATGGTTTACATGCCGAGTGGTCGACTATGTCGAACCTGATGAACAGCGTACGGAAACCCATGATGATTTAGTGAAGCTACTTACACGAAAGCTTTGTGTTGCACTCGTTCCGATTAAATAATAATATTTATACGTATTACGGCAACGGAGCAAATAGTAAATAGCAAATCCTCAATACAAATACTGACAAAACAAGAAGTCTGTTTCTGCCACTGAACTTAAGTCGCAATCGATGTGAATAATTTCGATGAATTTATGAAATTTACAATCATTTTTATTAATTGTATAATTTGAACTAAGTCCACAAAAATACACAATACCCAACAACCGAAAAGCATATTGATTAAAATGGAAATACATGAAATCTACTCCTCATGAAACTGTGACGAACATCAAACCGCCCTAGCCATGAATAATGTAGAATATTGAATATTGTAATATTGAATTTACTAAGAACGCACATTAGGATTTAACGTGCGAAGAATACATAAAGGTAGCATTTTGTGTACTTACCACCAGCGGCGTGGACCAATTCACAAAGCTGGACTATGATGATGACCACATAAGCGATTGTATACCACATGACGGCGGTTGCACTGACGTGGACGTAAGTTTGGGCGTTGGCTTTGGCACTCTACCGACCAAAGGGAACTTCTCTGAACGCCTTCTGGTACGTTTTTTTTTTTTTGTTGGTTGACACGTCTAATAAAATTTTTCACTCACATACGATTGTCACAATTGCTAAGAAGCTTCACAGAATTTATCGTTCTAATTGCTGGCGCTAATTCTGCTAATTGTGTGCCTTGTCTTTAACTTGATCTAAAAGCTAAAGCTGTTGCAGTTGCTGTTGCTGTTGCTGTTGCTGTCGCTGTGACTGAGGCAGAGATTGTGTTGTATGGCAGTGGGGGGCAAGCGGGACTAGATGTGGCCAGGCTGACGTCAGTGTGCAGGTCGAGTCGATATTGGGGCATCATTTCGCGCTGCACAATGCACTTGCTGCCCCGCTTCGCTGCGACTAATTTGTCGCCCACTTTCTTGCGCACTTCCTTATAAATGACTTTTTTATTTCTTGTTTGAGTTTCACAAAAATAAATTCACTTTTTTTACTCTTGTCACAAAAAAAAAATCGTGTTTTGTTGTCCGTTCCACCAAAAACTTGTCAAAATCGCCCGCCGCCGTGGGCAAATCGTGAAAACTCGATGCAATTATTTATAATATGAAATTGACCTGTAACGAAAAAGAGAATATATACATATATAAATATAGAAGATTCGATTGCTTGGTTAAATAATTTAGTATAATGATAAAATACCAATATCGATTCAATACAATACAAATATATCAAATATAATATTTATTTTCTACAAATGGCATGTTCGCTTACAATGCAAATTGGCTTGAGTAGATTTGAGAACACCAGCAACTCGCACATTGAGCAGTGAACATCATTTTAAATGAACCGATAATTATACAAATACTGCATACAAAATGATGTGTAAGTTACGTATGCGTACATTATGCTCATATATGTAAATGTGTCTGCTATCTGGATTGGATTGTCCCGGCTAAACGCGCTATCCAATCACTGCACCACAACTAAGCAATCGGCGCCTCCCGAACCAACTACTGATGCTCGTCGATGAAGCTCGCCTTGCCGCCAGAGCAGCTTCTGCACAGTGGGCCATTGCCCGAGCATGGCATATGCCTCAGTGTAACTTTCCCAGCGAACGGCCAAGCAACAACAACATGTATTGAGTAAATATCTCACTATGCACACTACACACTAGAGTTTAATTATGGTTCGAAACTGTGCCGATTCAGTAGTTTTTAATAGACTAACAAATTTGAATTTACCTCACTCATAGGCATTGACTTGCATTCAATGGATTATTAAAATTTAATTAGGGGATTCGAAATTTATTGATCAATGTGTAAATTGTCATTTGATTGCACCCACTGTCAGCCCCCTAATTAGCCAAGGGCAGTAATAAAGGGGTCTTAGTTAAATCACAGCCACAAATGCAATGCCATGCCTGAATTGCTTAAATAATTAATTGAGGCGACCCCCATGACGACGAATGGATAAGCGGCTAGCCGGCCAATGATGTTGAGGGGGTTGGGAATATAAACAAATCGTGTCGCGAATGTCCCTGAATAATGCTCTATGTCAATTAGTGAGTACAATTTCTATTTTCTCAATTCATTCCATTGTTGTGGGGCTACCTTACATTAGCTCGTTACCGATCATATCTGTTTGGTGCCATAGGAACAATCGGTCGATTTAAAACCATATTGTGCACAATATTTTTTATGAATTTTTTTGCTTGTGTTCCAGTTACTGTGAAACGTTAAATCTGTGAACTCTTCAAAGATTATTATAATTACATTTGCATAAATTATTGTTGTTAAACAAAAGCCTCTATCTTAGCCAAGATTCACTTATTTCAGTACTTTGCATAGCAAATTATAAGTCAAGTTCAAGTTTCCAATCCTAATTAATCTTCTCATTCGCTTTGGTAAGTGAATATTCCAGCGAAATAACAATTTGGTCATGTTCATTTCTTATAAGACTGTTTAATTGGAAATCTAGTTATATCTAAATCTAAATCTACATTTTTAAATGTTAGATATTCTTTATAATCAAATATTTCCAAGTCAGCCAGCTTTGATCAAAATTGGTTTGTCTCAAGTAACACTTGAATAAATGAGCCTCGAGCTGAAAGCATAGATATCGTTTTACGGAGGTCTGACTTTGATGAAAGTAGTATATAGTAAATGAGAATGAGAATATTTGATGTAAACTCATGCAAATGGGATAACTAAGTTTTTATCCTATTTGGCTCAGAAGCTGTAGCACAAGTATATAATAGGTCATCAAACAATCGGGAAATTGCTGTCTAATGCAGAAGTTAGTTTGAAAATTTGATTACGGCGTCACTCTGACCACCACCGGCGGACACACAGATAATCCACATTGGCGTCTAACAGCCACCCTGTTAATGACAACCGCCGCAGCAATTTAAAATGGGAGCACCAACTTGCCACAGCTTCAATCGTGTGGCTGCATAATCACATGGCATTTTCTGCCAGCGCCATTGTGCTGAAACGGTCATTGTTTTGGACAAGCCAGGGACTATCTATCTTTGCATTGCATAGGCCCATCGCTCAATAAACCGCAACTTGACGATGATGTGGGGCATACAACCAGCGAGTGTACGTTGGCGAGCACGCCTCTTGCCTGTGTGTATGTATTTGTATACATGCCAACCACTGACTGTAAAACTGTTCTGGTTTTCACTTAGCTGCTAGCTGATTTTTGGCGAACATTTATGTCTGACCTTTCATGGGATTTGCAACCACAGCAATGTGGTTTTGAATCGCTTTAGACATTTGGCCAACTATCCACACAACATTTCAAACAACTTTTATGTTTTGCTGGCTTTGCTTTGTCGAACATTTTTTTAATAACATTCCCAGTGTTCGTAGTTCAACAGGACCAATATACTTATTTTCCCAGGCATTGGAAAGACTTAAGCATGCTTTTAAAGCATTCAACGTCTAGGGTAGAGTACAATAAACCCAAACTTACTAAATATATGGAAAAATTCCAAACAAAACACGGAGCCTGGACTCAAGAATCGTCTGGCAATAATTCATTATTCGGAGCACATAGCAAATTTCTCTGTCTCTCTCCCTCACTTCCTCCCTCTCTCTCTCTCTCCCTGTATGCCGCCATGCAGACGTAGAAGTAGCTGCTGTCGGGGGGCGGCCCGGACGTTCATCAGGCGCCGCTTGCTGTTTACCGATTACCATGAGAATGCACACACACACACACACACACACACAAACACATACACACACCGTGGATACAAGATGCGAAAATTATGCTCAAGGCTTACATCCCATACTTGGACCAGAGTAACAAAGCTAACAGTGAGCAGGCAGCTGACAAACCCAGACGCAACTGAGAGTTTGCTCTCAGTGATTTTTTGCTCTCGCAGCGTTAATTTCTCTCACCAAAAACAGCATCGAAAAACTGTAGCCAAAATGTGCGCTATATGAAATAACCGAGCAGCCGACATCGACGCATGCCCAATCTTCGCTGGCCGAAAACGCGCCCAAACTTTAGGGCCTTGGGGAATCTGGAAGCTGGCCAGGCAACAAAACAAAGTTGACGCTGTTACGTCGTTTCTGCCCAGATGATAGTGATGAGGACTGCTGCATTCAATATCCAATTAACTAAAATGCCACCCCATTACCGCACCATGCAGACCAGGGCAAATCCCCTAATCTAATCTACGACGGACAAATGGCCCGACGGGCGAAAAACAATTTTCGTATCACGATTGTCAGTCATGCGCAGCTGACGCTGCCTTCGACCCCGCCCCCTTTTGCCGACGAGACTCTATAAAAAAAAACTTTCAGGCATTTTTGTAGCATATAAAATGCTTAAAAGTTTTTCCCATCAAGTATTTTAAATATAAATATATACATATATATATATATATATATATATATATATATATTATTTTATAAATTTATAAATTTGGCTCTATTTTTTATATATTTTTTTTTTTATATTATATCTATACAGATTTTTTCATTTAACTATTATTAATATAATGCACAAAGATAAGCTAATATGAATATATCACTGTATCCATAAACATACCCAAGTCCACTAACGGATAAAATATATATATATATATATAGATATACATATTTGTTTACAGTAAAGAATTAAAAGATTGTTTAAAAAAGCCCAAAATTATATTTGAAAGAACTAAGGCCATCTACTATAAAATATTATAGACTACGAACTTTTTCTACGCGTAAGAAAGAAACTTTTTAACGCATTAAAATAAACAATTTGAAAATTTTCGAATCGTGTGCAAACATTTGATGCGTTGGCACGCAAATTAACTAAAATATGTGTGACAAGTTACTGTGTGTATGGCTAGTTACAGATTGCCACCGATTTCGGCAGTTTACAATTGCAAAAAACTAATGCTATTCTTGGAATTTAAGGTAAATTGTGACAATGAATACAAAGACAAAGATATATGCTCAAAAACCAATTTGATAAATTGAACATCTTTGAGTAAGCTGTGTGCATAGAACAATTATAAATAAGCTCTATGCATAGAATTTAATTTGAACTGTTTCAATCAAAAATTGTATATACCTATACACATTACCATACATAAAGCATTGTCTAACAAATTAACCAAAAAAAAAAAGGTGCACATATATAAGAAAAAATGTGAAAGAATGCAGCGCCTGTAAGCATGCAACGCTTTTTGTCCATTTGTTTGTTGACCCGGACAACCCAAAGCGTAGCATGTGTGTATACACACACACATACACATATGTATGCATGTATGCATGCATGTATGTATGTATGTATGTATGTAAGTATGTATGTACATTCGTACGTCTAAAAGCATGCGAGTACTTGTGTCCGTGGTCTTTTACATATGTGTGTTCCTCTGTGTGTGTCTGCCTCTGTGTGTGTGCGCCTCTGTGTGTGTGTGGCTGTATGTGTGTAGGTGTTTGCGTGTGGGATTGTATATGTGTGTGTGTGTGTGTGTGTGGGTCTGTGTGCCAAAGCAATTGCTAATGCCCATTGCTCTTGGTACTAGGCACCAGTACAATTAGAGATTCATTTTATGATAGTTATAATATATTAGTTAGTTACCTATCCCTTTTGTCCGCAATTGATGTCCCTGGGTTTATTTAATATATACTTTTTAATTATTGTTTAGAATTTATTTATAATTTATTGCACGTAGCTAGTAAATTACTTAGTAGCGCTGTCGTTTGTTTTTAGCATTTGACTATTCGCTTTCAGATTTGAAGATTTGTTTGGAGCACACTTAACTACATGAACACTTTTTGTTTGTCATTTAAGAGCAAACGGTAAAAAAAAATGGCAAAAAATCTTTTATAAAATATTTTTCTATCGTATTAAAGGTGCAGTTTTTTTTCCCCCGATTGCTTAATGAGTGGGTTGGTTGCTTGATTGAATGCGCCTGCTCACCGAATCGCAATTATGTGTAATCGCAAAATTTTATCTTTGTTTGCTTGTCATTTTTTTTCTTTTTTTTTTCTTTCTTATTATCCAAGGACCATCTGTAGTTGTGTGTGTGTGTGTGTGTTTGCCTTTAATTGAATTGGTGTCTCCTGTGCTGTTGCCGTTGCTTGTATTTATTTGTCTGAGTGTGTGTGTGTGTGTGTTTTTTTTTTTATATATATTTATTTTTCTTTTTTTGATTTGCTTTTTTGCTGATTCTGACTCCGGTTGTGGCTGTGGATGCGGCCGTTGACAGTGGCTATACTCTGGCACTATTATGTTATGGTTGCTGTTGGCGGTGCTATAGCTGTCGTCACTGATTTCCCGTTGCCACTTTCCGCGATTGCAAACAACGTTCTAAAGCGCTCGCATACGTCTGCAGTCTGCAGGACATGAGCACGCGACATAGGCACGGCACACGTCCAAAATCACCCGAGTTCGAGCAACATCGTCAACAACGACGCAGTCGCATATGCATACGAGCGTTACGCTCAGCACTTGCCAATTTGGCAATGAACAATTGAGCATTCTGGAGCCGGCTTCAGTTTGGAGTCTGAGCCACCAGCATCGCAGTTTTGCTCAATGTTGTCTCTCAACATATAAGCTCTCTCTCTCTCTGTCTCTCTCTCTCTCTCTCTCTCTCTGTATCTGCTCGCTCTCTGCACCTCTTTTGTTATTGTTGGTGCTTTTCTTTGGTCGTATTCAGCCAAAGCCCCGTGTAGTTGTAAGTGCCTCGTGGTGGTCTCTTATTAAGCGCGTTGCTGACTGTAAATTTGCGGCATCTCTATCTCATTTGGACTCTGTATCTCATACTCTCGGTGGGTTCTGAGGGCGATGTAGGCCAAAATCTTATAGGGATGGGGCGGAGGCATCAACGCCCCTGTTTTTTACACGATGGTATGGACTTATCTAGCAAAAATGGGATATTTTGTAGATACGAAAGAAAACACACACAGACACACACACAGACACACACACACACACACACACTCACACACTGATGCAGCCGCACACATGTCGATTCAAGCCGACACCAAAGTTTCTCAGTCATCTAAAATACATACAACTACAACTACAGACATAGCGACTGGCTCAAACATTGAGAGCACAATTTTGGAGCACTCAGCGGGTCTCGAATATATTGACGCACACAACAAAATAACAGAACGAAAACCAAAATAAGAAAAAATTAAGTTGTTTTAGAGTTATTTCAAAAAGTTGTTAAAAACTTTTAATTGGTTAGGTGTTGTTTGCCGTAGTTGGTGTTGCTAGCTTATCCTATTGTCTAGAGTGCCGAGCTTCAGTTCAGTAAGCAGAATTAAGATACCAATATCAGTTAAGCAAAAATTACTTTTAAACAACTGAATGGGTTTCTATCTACAAGGAAATCAAACTAAAAATGTGAACAATTGAATATAATTGGAAATTGGCACCTCTACTCAAAGAGTTACTCTGCTTAACTAATAGCTCAGTGAAGTGCAACATTACAAAATGAAAAGGGATTCCGTTGCCTATCTTAGCTCACAATCAGCTAAAAAGCAAAAACAGCACCAAGTGTTAATATTGGCACCTGTACTCAAAGAGTTACAATGTTACACCAGATTAGTTAAGTGCAGCATTGGAAAATTGAAAAGAATTTCTCGTCTTCTTTTAACCTAAAATCCGATGAACAGATAAACCCATGAACAGAAAGGATGCATATTTCCAGTTTTGCCACCCATCGACAAAGTGCTTTCTGTTTAGCCAACTTACACAGAATTTACCTTTAATTAGACAATAATTGACATGGGCATAATGCAACTATAAAATATGAGTGAACATTTTCACATGACGACTCGGGCATTGCAAAATCATATCAGCGGATGGAAAGCACTGATTTCAGCAGAATCCGTGCACAAATCGTCCTCACGTATATTATAAATGTGCGGAAACTGGTATAAAAGAGAGATAATCAGCAAACACGCTGATTAAAATCCAATTACTGATTAAAATCCGATTACACTTTAATAATTTATTGTTGACATTAATACGATTGATTGAGTTAATCATTGATTTTTATTTTACTTGCTTAAATATTATATCTGATTTAAATATGTATATTTTTATACTTTTAGTTTATAAAAACCTTCTCAAAAAGTGTGATCTGTTTTGAGTCCACATTAAAAAAATAAATAAGTAAAATTAAATATAACAATAAAGGATTTGTCTTCGATTTTAATATAAATCATACTTTGAATTGAATACCACAGCACCGATTTTGAAGCAAAAAACTGCTCCATAATGCAATTTCGAATAAAGGATACAATTAGCTTCTATTGTTTTCTTGTTTGAGTGAGTTTTGATTGTATCTGTGTATCTTGTATCCCCAGGCTCAGGCAACATTAACATCGCTCAAGTATAATTTGCAGATGGTATTGTCATCAAAAGGTCTGAAATGTGCTCTTATATATATAAATAAATAAAGATAATTAACTATTAATAATGTTTCTCATTCTAACCAACAGTCTTAAGCCGAGACTTAGTTACATAGGAAGAGCAAAACAGGATTTTAAACGAGCCATTGCAACAACATTAACTCTTTGACTATTTGCCTAAATACACTTAATTAATTGTTAAATTATTATAATGTATTTTTTCTATTTGTTTTTTTTTTTTTATTAACGAATACTTGGTTTTTATTAGCAACTCATATAATTGTAAAATTAAAGTAAGCTCTACGTTGACCATTAAAGATTGAAATAAATATAATCTGTGCGATGAAATAAATATAATCTTGTATGCATACATACATCGCATATTCCAGTTGGGCATGTACACATACGCTAACATGTGCAAACACATGCATACATACATACATATGTAAGTTCGTTAGAGCAAATTCCGGAATTCCGGCAAATACGAGTAAACAAAAATGGAAAATTTACATGAATTGAAGGCTGTCAAATTCAATAATATGCGATTTGCAAACCTAATCAAGACCCAAACTTTCAAACTACCCTGCCAAAAACAGTCTCTGCCCACCCTAAACAAATCTTTGCCTCCCAGAGGAAGCAGTCAGCGCTGAAAACTATGCTACACTTTTTGACAACATATTTGTTATTTAGGAGGTTCCCAATTTACTAGTTGAACCTTTGAGGCATACATAATTAATAGTCGTTGTAAATGGAGATGAACTGAAAGGGATGGACAATCAAAATAGATACCAAAAGACAGACTCAAACGCGCAAACACTCACACACTCACACACACACACACACACTCACACACAAAACAGTGAACTTCGCCCTTTACCAACAATTTAGCTTCACTAGCTTTCCTCGTTCATTGCCTTTTGTTATTTACACACACACATAGACACACACACATACCCACTGTTGCAAGCAGAGTCATTCGCCACACCTGTATGTGAACAATGTGTACTAGCTGCAAACAGCCAAGGAACATGCTTCTTTCTCATTATTGCAGACTAATTAAAAGCTTAAGCAATAAGGAAGTGCCCTTGAGACGACAAAGCCGAAATTGTCTTATAGCAATCGCATATCTTCTCAACATTATTAAATTAGCGTATGCCGTGATTGCTATCCAATTGAAAACACACACTTAAAAGATGTATCCAATAATCGAATGATGATGATAAATTAATATATATTACTGATAAAAAAGAAGATAAGAGTAGAATACGGAAAACCAAACTGTGAGCGCAAATCAGACCCACCCACAATTGTGAAAACCTACTCAAGTACAACATAATAGTATTATCATCACTCCAAATCCACTTATCACTGAATGTATAGAAGCATATATGGTACACATACTTAAATTATTTCAAGACAATATTGATAAAATATGATTGTGTCAACTTTAGCCACACTTTAAGTTTTTTCTGCTGCCCAAATATGCATTTAAGAAAGGTCAAAAAAGCGACGTATGTATATATATTGTACAAGGGTGTATATCCTCATTTACATATTATATATATATATATATATATATGTATGTATGTGTATGTATGTGTACACATGTATGTGTTGTCTTTGGCTTCATTTACAACTTTGCACAACATTGTAAACATAATAACGAGATGCCTTGCGTCGCTGCTGTTGCTGTTGCCGCAGTTGCCGCTGTTGCTGCTTCTACGATTGTTACATGCTGTCTGTGTCTGTGTTTGTGTGCGTGTGTGGGTCAGAGGTTAGGCGGGGTGGCAACGAAGTCTGGCATCAGCACCGCACATCAGCTGCAAAGAGCGGCGCTCACTACTCTCAGCAAGTGGCTGTGGAGTACCTGCCAAGAAGACCAACGCCAACTATTGACATAGTGACACAATCAGACCACACAAACAGCGCTCGCACACAGACACACACAGACACACACACACACACACACAGACACACACACACAGCCACACACAGAGCACACACACACATACAAGCATGCGTGGTTCGGTAATATTAGCACATCGCTCGCAGCGCAGAGCATATGCCGACAACTTGGCATTTTGGGAAAGGAGCGCGAGCACTAAGTAAACACACACTCCTTATTCCTCGCTGAATAACTAGGCCAGCCAGCTGGAGCTGCAGCCAGCATCCATCAGTAGCTCGCTTGGTTTCGATGGATGCACAGCACGGCGTTTGCCGACACACGACCTCGTCCGCGGCCGTTGTGCGCGTGAGCATTTGCGCAGAATCAGCCGAGCTCTGCTCTCAGAGAGTGCTCGGAACCTCCTGTTTTCGCCTATCCATCTCATTTCCACTCTTTCTCTCTCGCTCTCGCTCTCCTTCTCTGTTTTTCTCTTTGTCTTCTGCCTTCTTAGGTGATGTTGGGGTGTAGGTTATTTTTTATAAAATGTTATTGTTCTGGTTTGCTACAAGTTGGGACATTTTTATTCGGCTTTCTACGCGCTCTCTCTCTCTCTCTCTCTCTCTATCCAGCGCTCTCTCTCTGTCTCTCTATTTCTCACACACACACACACACACGCACACACAGTCTCTGCGTGAGAGTGCAAGCATTGACATTTGCTGTTTGTGTGGCCAAAATGAGCATGGGTATGAGCATTGACGATTTGGGAGTGAAGATTGTGAATAGGGGGTTTCTGTTGTTGTTTCATGCGAACGGTGGCGGGGGGTGGGTGGGGGTTAGGCGGCATGACTCTGAGTGCCTGACTGCGCGCACTGGTGCCCAGCCTGGTTGTTTCTGGCAACTGCTGGCATACCATGCCACATGCTTGAGATATTTTTAGTGTTTTGTCACACAAGCAGACATCTGTTTCTGAAATACTTACACACATACAAAAACGCGCAGAAATATAATTAAGATGTGGAGCCAACAGCAAAAGAGCTCCGTATGCATACACACACACACACACACACACGCACACACACACACGCACGCACACTCACACACTCACGCATATGTAAATGCATACACACACAAGTTGTTGTGTATATACATACATATATATTCATGTATTTGTACACATGTAGGTACATATGTATGTAAATTAGTAAGAAGTACATATTTATGTCCATGCACGGACTTCAAGAATTAGGCACAAGCAATTTTCGGGTGTTGCTCTTTGTGGTGCCAAATAGTCCCCACCGACATGTACCAAATCTATTAATCTCAGCAATTTGCAACACACCAAAAAAAAGCACACACACACATAAAGAAAACACATAGAAAAAAACATTAAACAAAAAAAAAACAACAACAATAACAAAAATGTATCCTAATATTCAAGGACACCTAGTCCTAGGCCCTTGTATTCGTAGCACAAATGCCTACACACACTTTGGCACAGCTCAACCGAGTACTCATAGAACTCATAGAGGGCCCAAAGATGCGCTTGCGTTGTCATCTTCAAGATGATGCTGTTACCGCTTTTTTGTGTTTGTTTCTTTTATTTTTTGTTTTTTTGTTGTTGTTGTTTTCCTTGTCTTTTTTAAGGCCATGACATGACACATGTCTTGACAAAGCGCATAAGGGTATTCCCAAGAACATTTATGATGATGCACACATGTATATATAAAAACATATCTTTAAAAAAAAACATATATGTTATACATATATTCAAAGTTTTTGTTAATTTCGTTATGTTAACTATTATTCAACTGTCATACATTTAAATAAATAGTTGTAAATCAAATTATGCTGTGTTGCAATATCTGGCAACAAAATGAAACAATGAAAAAAATGCCTAAAAGGAAACCAATATTAAGTTAAAACTTGAATGATATGTCATTTTGCAATATATATATATTTTATTTGTACGCATTATTTAAAAAATATAAAACTTGTAATAATTAAAAATATAACATATATTCCAAAAAAAAATATATTAACGCTTTTATTTTCAATTTTAATATTTAAAAGTAATCTGTGAGTTTTCTTTCCTTTCGATAAAATATAAATTGTGTTCTAAAGATAAATGAATTAGAATATAAACGTTAAGTGAAAGGTTACTCGAAACCATGCTGTGCAAAATTATGAATTGTCGGATTTTCTATCTGATGGTATCAAAAAACATAAAATGCCGAAAGAAGCGGAAGCTAACCCTCCTTGCAGCGATGATAATGCCTGCGCTATTTTCATTTTTCATATTTGTGCTGCGATTTGTGCCAGACAGTTCGGGTCTCTCGAAGACCACATTAAAAACTATACAATATGAAATGTGGTGGCAAGCACTTATCACTAAGATAAACAAGCGTCGCGATGAGATGGTCAAAGAGCAGAAAACGTAAGTTGCACAGAGTTTAATTCAATAGTCGTTGAAGGAATATGTTGATTTGGCAATTTGCGTATTTTAGTTTTCAAAGCAATGTCTTCATACCAAAAATAACTGTAGGGTATGCCCCAAACGTGACAGCTGGACTACATCAACTTGTTGAAGGCGCCGCACGGGCCATGTCCATGGAGGCGACACAGATCTACAGCTGCAGTGACTGCGAGACGCTGCGCATTCGGGCAACCGCAGAGCATTTTATTGCCAGCGTCTGTTTTCACGATGTGGACGAGTTGCAGCGCGGTCTGCCCCAAAAGTTACATTTCTCAATATTAATGCCATCCGAGTTGAGGTTCTATGAGGACACCTGGATAGGCGATAGCTGGAGAGTGAACACCATGCTTGGCAACCCATCGAGCGTATCTAGCTATGTGCTGGAGGGCTTCACATCTTTGCAGTATTACATTAGCAGTGAGTACCTGCGCATAGCATCCGGCAATGCTGAAATACCGGAAGTGCTCCTTCGCCCCTACGAGTCAAATAAGGCCGTTCAATCGCTAATTGGCGAGAGCATCGATGCGTCTGTCTTAGTGCTTTTACTCGGATTCATGTTTCCAGTCACAATTTTAACAAAGGTTGGTACTTCAGATGTATATGCAAATAAGGCCATCAAGTAAGCATTTTAGCAAAAGTCTCAAAATGGTTCTTTAATAATATTTTAAAAGGAGTTTGATTTTGATGGTGCTTGGGAAAATTAGGAATTATTTTAAAACCCATTAAAAATTCATAAAATGTGTATAACAGGCAGAACGAAGGAAGTAAGGAAGCCCGACCGATAAAGTATATAAATTCTTGATCAGGATCAAAAACTGCCACCGTTTCATATATATCGATACATATCGATTTCCGATTACATTAAAAGCTACAAGTTGAAAGGCAGAGCATTCTTAGTAATATATATTATAGCTTGACATATTATTGATTAGCTGCTCAAATTCCATCAACAGCGGATAAGAAAAATCCATGTTGTAGTCGATTCTTACTTGTTTTATATTATTAGTATCTTGGCAAAAGTCATCAAATTCGAACTTCTTTTTGGCCACAAAATACACCGTCACCTACACTCACTTTACACAATATCCATCCACATCCTGTCTATAAGTGTTTTTCATATTGCTTTGCGACAGGAAATAGTAGAGGACCGCGAACAGTCAATTCATTTTGCACTGGATAAAAACCATGCCGGCACACGATGGCAATTTGTCGCATGGTATTTTAATGGCTTGTGGCTGCTGGTCATAGCCTGTGTGAATCTTACCCTGGTGCTTAAGGTATGCCGCCTATTGATTTGTTGGCCTTAACAGTTATGCTTAAGATAATCGTTTGTAGATTGAGTGGAGCGGTTACTCGTCGGTCTTCAAAAAGTGTCCATGGTATATAATGTTATTCTTCTTGACGTCCTATGTGCTCTCCGTCGTAGCTTTCTCTTTACTTATAGCCACCACAATGCGCACCACCAAAATGGTGGTAGCACTGGTGCCAATCTACTGGATACTGGTGCCGCTGCCACTAATCCTAGGACAGTCGTTGGACTCAACGTCAAATGTTGTGTTATTTGTAGCCTCTTTTCTATTGTGCAATGTGACAATGTCTCAGGGATTGAGGCGCATATTGTACTTTGAGCATGACACTAAAAATATGAATGTCGAACAATATCTGAAGACCACTCTGATGATCAGCGATCCAACGCTTTTAATGTTTATCGGCGCTTTTTATGCCCAGACCTTTGTGTATGTCCTGCTGGCGGCGATCCTCAACGGCAATGTGTGTCCCTGTGTACAAAACTATATCAAGTGTACGCCATGCCGACTCCTGATGTTAAAGCTACACAGATGGGTAACTCAACGACAACGGCGGAAAAACCAAGTCAGGCTAAGCAAGATCGAACTCAAGGAGAAGCTGCCCAAGGGCATCACTGAGCTCATGAAACAGACTGAAATAACGAAAGTGGTGGATCCGCTCAAAGACCGGACACAAGAGCAAATACCAAATAAGATAGAAACTCAGCAATATAGCACAGAAGATGATAAGGAAACTAGCATCAGTTCCAGCAGCGAATCCGATGATATTACAGAGCTTGGCACACGGCAATATTTACTGGACAAACAGCTATTGGTTTGGTTGAGTCACCATGACTTTGATCTTGAAAAATCGTCAGAAAGCGAAACGGATCCAAAAGGAAGTGTACCCCAGTTTTATTTGCAACAAGCGACACATGATCCGTCCACTGAGCCCAATGACGATATCGAATCTAGCAATGTGGAAGAGGATGAAGTAGAGGAAGCCGAAGACGATGAAAGGCGTCAGATAGTCATTGAGTTCAAAAACGTTTGCAAAATGTATGCCAAAACATTTGTGGTGCACAACTTTTCGCTGAAGGTGTATCAAAATGAATTGTTGGTTATACTTGGCCACAATGCGGCCGGAAAAACAACCCTATTGAAGATGGCCGCCGGCCATACGCAGCCAGACTCTGGCAGCATATTCATCCAGGGCTATGACGTGATGCAGCAACCCGCGAATGCCTTCGATCAAGTTGGCATTTCACTGCATAGCCCGAATCTCTACACCGAATTCACATTCGTCGAGCATCTGATCTACTTGTGCCGCTTGCGGGGTCTTTCTCGCCACCAGTCGCAACAGGATGTCCACTCGTATCTGCGCTGCATTGGGGCAGAGGAGCTCGGCCAGTCACCCGTCACGATACTAACGCCTGGTCAGAGGCGACTCTTGCAGGGACTGTGTGCATTTGCTGGACGTACGAGAATTGTGTTGCTCGATATGCCGTTGGAAGGCGTGGATGCGGAGAAACAACGCCTCTTCCATAAATTTGCATTGAGCGAGCGGCAGCATCGCACGATCTTAATGACAACCAACTTGCCCCATGTGGCCAGTAAACTGGGCGATCGGATTGCCCTCCTGGTGAATGGATCAATGTTTGCATGCGGCAACGCGAGGCGTCTACTGCAACTGAATAAGAATGTTTATCGACTGGTAAGCAGAATTAAATACACTCAGAAGAAAAATTGCCTTAAATATTAGAAAATCACCATACTTTTAGAGGCATGGATAGATCACCTTATTGTTCAGAAAATATGTATATATATCTGAACTGTGTTTTTAGGGTTTTTCTTTGCTTAATTCCGGCGCGTATATTTTAAAAGTAAATCAAAATATGTTTAAGTTTCAGAGCGTTTTTTTATTATTATATATTATATTATATTATTATTAAATATAATAATTTAAAGATTTTACATTTACAAACATTTTGTATAGTTTAAAAATTCATAAGTTTTAGTTTGAAAAACTTACGATTTGTGAGTAATTTCTGAAGTATAAAAAATATATTTCTATGCAAATATATTTTATTTTTTTATTTTTTGTATGGTTAAAAAGTATTTAAAAAAAAGAACATATTTTGAGTGCGTATATGGGATTGTAACAAAAAATGAAATTGGTTTTCAACAACATATCTGTCTCTATATTTATAATGATTATTGGCTTTATTGGGAAACACTATTTGGTGCATGTTTTCTCTTCATTAATATTGTGTGTGTCTGTCTTACAGGTTTGTTCTCTGGGCATCATGTGCAGCTTTCAGAAGCTATTGGCATTTTTCACCCAGCACATACCCCGTATGCAGCTCGAGTCCAAGTTGGGCGATACAGCCGTCTTTGTAATTGAGGATTGGGACTTAAACCATTTGTATACATTATTGAATTTGCTGCCAGCAAACAAGAAGGAGTTGCGACTAGATAGTTACCAGCTAATGTCGAACTCTCTCGAGCACATTCTACTCAAGGCCACGATGTATAAGCCAACAAAGGGCACGGCACGCGGGAGCAGCAGATTGCCAATGCTGGCCAGTCGGTTGCATCACGTCGAACAGGTACAGCATTTGACAAAAAAGGAACAGTTCGTGATGAAAAGCGTACTGGTGCTGAACCACATTGAGGTGGTGCTGCGCAAATGCTTTCTCCAAGACGTACGCAACTATGCACTGGCATTGCTGCAACTTTGTCTGCCCAGTCTGTTGTGCGCCTGGAGTCTGTCCATGCTCAATGTACGGCAAGAGCGCCAGGCGATTCCAACACTCCCAATGACAATGAACCGTTTCAAAAATCCGATTACGTTGCTGAGACAAAAGTATTCGGACGTGAATGCAGTGCGGGCAGCGGGTAAACACTATTTCGATTGCGCCACACTCGGTCAACGGATTATCCAAATTGAGCCGAACATTGAATTAATGAAGTTCATGCGACTGCATATGGCAGAGAACATGATAATTACCGATCTGAATTTCGTTGTGGCGGCCAAATTTAGTGATGAATCAGTTGAGGCGCTTTACAACAATAAACTGATGAATGCGGCGCCAGTCAGCCTAACACTGGTGATGGATGCATTGGCAGTGTGGGTTCATACTGCTCTCCCAGCCACTGCCTACCATCATTTGCTAATATCATATTATCTACACATTTATATGTATCTTTGCAGTGGATTTGTGAACTCCAGTTCTGGCATCAGCGTTAAGCTTGAGTTGCTGCCCTTCGCCACTCTGCACACGACATATCTGAACAGCGATGCCAGCCGCTTGTACGAGTTGCTGTGCACCGCAACCAGTTTATATTTGTGTTATGTTTGGACGCTGTCGCTGCTGGATGTCGGCGAGGGGCGTGAGACGGGCCACAGACGTGTGGAACTGATTGGGGGCATGCGTTATGGCACCCTAAGCGTTGCCAACTTCATTTATGGTATGCTCAAGATAGTCGCCAGTCTGATCCCGCTGAATGCAGTCTATCTCGTCTTTCACAGCTCGTTGCCATTGGATACCTATGATTATTGTGAGTTGTCCATTGTCTGATACCTAAATATCGCGACAGCAATCAAGCCAACCAACCCTACCACCCAGTCACACTTCTATATATTTTCCTGCTTGCTGGTCTCTGCGTAATGTCCCTCAACACACTGGGCTCCCTTTGGCTGACAGAGTTGCGCATTGGCTATATACTAATTCTACAATTTTACTCGATGGCCATCGTCATGTATCTGTCGCGGCACGGTTGGACGGAAACACGATTTGATGGTTACGTGTGGACCTTAATGTTTTTGCCATATTATGCACTATTGAGCAACCTGATGCACATCAATAACATCTCGCAGATAATCCATATATGCACTGATGTGCAGACCTACAAGACCAGTGTCTATTTGGAACACTGCCAGCGAGTTCCAAACTGTTGTGGTATGTATTAATGCCCATGAAATTATGTAAGATTGCAATGCAAAGTAGATGCTATCACTATTTTAATCAATAGATTTGTTTTTACTTACACATATTATACACATGTATATTGAATCATTTATATACATTTTATTCTGATTTGAATAAGCATACGAGTATATTAAATTATTATTATGCTAAATGCATGCGTAAGTTTGCCTCAGCGAAAAGACTTTAATACATCTCCCAATGCAATATTTATTATTGTTATACTTTATATTTATTATTTATTTATATATATAAAATGGTATATCTAACTACTAATTCTTCTAATGGCCTAATAATAAACATGCCGAATATTATTTCAATAGACTTTTCTACGATTCATTTAAGCATTTATAGATATTCAGCTCCAGTCTAGCCTTAAATGGGCAGACAAGAAGTGTTTAATTACTCATTGTATACAAATAAGTAATTGCGATGTTTTCATTCCTTAGCTGAAATAAAGCAAGACTTCTTTTATTTCGATCAAACGTGGACGGCATACCTTACTGTTCTATTGATCTGGACATTGCTGTATCTGTGCCTTGGTGTGAATGTGCCCAAATTGAAGCCACTTACTAATACGGATGATTTGAAAAGTGACAGTCAGTAAGTAAAAAATCAAAATTGTATTTTTTGCTGTCTGTCAACTTTTATAAATTTGTATGCTCGACACACATATTTCTGGAACACTTTATGTGGCATACAATTCAATTTGAGACAGTGCCAAATGTTCCATCGAAGTAACATTTTTGATTTATTAAGAATTCTGGCTCCCTCATCACAGCCCAGACAGTTGCTTTGACCAGCGAATGCTGCATTCTGCAAACCGAAATGAGCTGGACAACACGTGGATCAATGAGAAGATTCGAGTGCGTACATTGGAGCGTCAATTGGCAAGGACCAAGGCGTTGCATGTGGAGAACTTGGGTGTTTGCTTTTCAACGCAAGTGGTTTTAAGTCGAATTAACTTTATGGTGGAACGGTACGTGGTTAACATATGCATATGCATCTGTTCTATTCCATTTAATTTATGATTTGGGTATTCATTTTGATGCCAAGATTCGTTTTGACAAACACATCTCTTCTGCTGCTTTTCCTACTCTTGAATAATATGGATCTCATCTGTGATCAAATTGAATCTTTACGAAAACAATGTCTGCTATTTGCCATCATCTTATAAAGGGTAAAGATGGCGTCCATCATAAAGCCAAACTGTGCCAGTTTTTGTCTATATTAAGTCAGAGAGCCGCCTCAAATAATTTAATAATTGATGTAGTTAATTTTGTATTTGTTCGCAGTTACCAAGCCGTATCGGTGGTTGGAGTTAATGGATCGGGTAAATCGGTGCTGATTAAAGCGATTCTGGGCGCCTATCGGCACAGCACAGGGGATGTTAGCAGCTGCGACAGGCGTTCCAATCAGTTCACTGAGCACGACAACTATCAACTTATTGGCTATTGTGCCCAAAATGACACGATCTCGGATGCAATAACGGTTATCGAGTACATTCAAACCCTACTGATTATACGTGGTCTGCGCACGGCAAGAGCTCTACAGGAAGCGAAAGCATTACTAAACATATTCGATTTGTATAGCAATCGATTTCATTTGCTATCCCATTGCAGCTGCGGTATGCTGAAGCGGTTGAGCATTGCCATATCCTTGATTGGTTATGCGGGCATCATTCTTATGGATGAACCCTTTGCATATCTGGATGTGCGCAGCCGTCTAAATATCTCCAGTCTAATTAATTCGCAGTGCAGTCATGGTCATGCTGTGCTCTATACCTGTTCGGATCCCAAGCACTGTGACTTGGCTGCTCGGACGGCCTTGCTACATCGTGCGAGCCTCTGCATCATTGGTGATCGAAAGGATCTGCAGCAGGACGATCTAGCTGACTACATCGTCGTCGAGTCACGAATTGAACTGAATAATGATAGCGGCGAAGCGGAGTACCTTTGCTTGTCGAATCCGTCCACGTGTTGGAACACCAACGAAAATTTGGTCTTCCTTCAAATCTGTTCAACAATTGAACATTTTTTTCCGCATGCGCTCATTAAGTGAGTATAAAAATTGCCATTTTGTGTAGTTCAAGTTGTACAAATTGATGATTTCAGAGATACGATCAATCAATGGGCCTGTTTTTGGCTGTCAAGCAAGACGTACTCCATGTCATTTATCCTGGAGACGCTCAACCAAAATAAGGAAATCTTTCAACAATTTTCAATTGGTTCGCCGTTTCTGAAATCAATATTTCACTCCATTGTGGAGCATCCCAATGAAACGCATCAATTAGTCGAAGATGAGGATGTGTTGAATTGATTGCGATATTCTTTTAATGTTGAATGTGTTTCTTTCATCTTGTGGACTTCATGCCAAGAACAAGATATATATAGATATACCAATATATATATATATAGATATTTCATTGGGTTCGCTGTCTTACTTTTGTTAACTTTCGCTTAGATCAAGTAAAATACTCTTGATTTTATATTCGCTTATTGCTTATTGCTAGTAGCCGAATAAATTTCGATTTTATTTCGCTCAACTCATAAGTACACAAAATCTAATAGTGCAAAGAGAAAAAGTCGCATACAGAAAAGATGTCAACATTAGTTCAGTGTCCGAGAAGTGCTTGCAACAATGCCCCAATCTGAAAGCAATACAGAAAGTGCCACAACAAAAGAAAAAGTAGAAATAGAGTTAAAAATAATTTGACAACTTTTTTGTAGTGAAAAATAAATGATTTGTATATTTATATAATTTAACAAGCATCAGTTTATTGAACCAAGCAATACCCTGTACTGCAAAAACAAACTTAACTTGGCTAGTCTCTCTTATCAATCGATGATCTCTTCTATATTTTTGATCTGCAGTTGATATACAAAAATATAAAACTAAACACTCATTTCTATAATATTAATATTAATATAATATTTTATGATGATTTAGTGTGTGGCAATCCGTTGATAGTTTTGATTTAATAGTTCAAATGTTAGACGAGGGCATCTTCCTTGCGGTGCTCAGAAAGCAACCGCAAATATTGTATTTATTTATATTTATTTATTTTTTGCAAGCTAGGGACCACATATGTATTTAGAAGTGAATAAAAAAATATTCGAGTATTTGCAACGAATGCGTTTCAATTTTTGTTCCTTTTTGTTGTGTATAAGCAATTTATTAATAGCATTGAGGCCCAGAGAAAGTGCAGCATTCGTGTTCCGCACAGAGAGCATAGTGTCTACACTATGATAGGCATACAAAATATCATTTATTTGGGAATATTTTGCAATGGGCACAATTAGTCTGTGTGAAAAGGTTGAATAAACTATTTGGAAAGAGACATACACAAAACAATACCACTTCGACTTCGAGTACAGCGAGCCCCAGCCACAGCCACAGCCACAGATTTAAACAACTGACCTCAGCTGGATTTCAATTAAATAATCATATTAAAATGGTTCGCGGCCCAACAGCGAATTGTATCATTTGCTTAGCACTGCTATTTGTCAGTTTATTATTGCCACCGGGCACCCAAGAGCTGAGCCGTGACCTGTGCCAGGGGTCGGACGATGCGGCTGCTTGTGCGCAGACATCCGAAGCTGTGGGCGGGGGCCGGAAGTTGACCTCACGACGAGCCGCTGGGCGTAAGTTTAAATTTCATCCAATTCAGCGAACGGATGACGACGACGGCGACGACGACGACAACGATGACGACAACGACGACGACAACGATGATCATAATAATAATGATTCAGGCGTTTATAACATGGATGATGATAATGAGTTGGATGATGATGATACTGATGCGATCCAGGCAGGCAGCCAACCGTCAAGACGTCAAAACTATAATGACGATAATGATGATGAAGATGATGATGATGATAACGACAATGGCAGGGCTGATGATGACGCTGATACAAACGCTGTGGCGGAAGCATCGCTATTTAGCCGTATTTGGAACAGTTTTATGGATGGCAACGATGCCACTGAGTCGGAGACGGAGACGGAATCTCCATTTACCAATATGCTCAACTGGCTGAACTGGCTGACCGAGCAAACAGCAGATGTCGCTCAAGTAGGCAAAAAAGACAAAAAGCAAAAAGTACAAAACAGCAATATTGATTGGCTCACATATTTAAAACGTTGGCCGTTCAACAGCATCTTCCCCGAGGAGCCACCAGTTGTGAAACGAGAGCGGGAACGGGAGCGGGAACGGGAACGGGATCGGAGTCAGATAAACCGGGATGTTAGCGGCAAAAAAGCGCAACAGCGGTCCAAGAGTGAGGAGAATGTGGAGCTGCTGATTCACTCGCTGCCCGCCTTCATTGGCAACGTGTCGCAGGCGAGGAGCGGAGAGTGCCATCAGCAGTTGGAGCTGCTGCATCGCCAGCTGCGCGCTCACAAATTGTGGACGTTGCAGAGTAGGCTTTATTTTGAATGAGCACCACCAGTGATGGATCGATCATCTCTGGTGGATCAGCACCGATGTCCTTACATTCTGTTGCTTATTTCAATTGCAGTGCTCGATGCCACTGGCAAAATCGGTGCCGGTCTGCTGCGCGGCAACATTAACCAGTTCGGTGACTTTGACCAATGCACCAAGGTGTCCACATCGGTTAAGGTGACCACAAAGCAACCAATTCGAGTCCTTGGCAAATACTGTTTAGCCCAGATCGAGATGCGTTCGACGGTCGGCAGCCTTAAGGAGCCGCTACACTTGTTGCACGGACGCGGACTGTGGCACGGCCACTTGAAAAATGTGAGTAGCATACCCAATCGAAATCAAACCCCAGGGGATCTGCTACAAAAAAAAACACATTTTGCAGCCCAAGCACTTTGTGCCACGTTACAACATCGCCAACTGGGGTATCTGTGTGCCGCACGCCTGCTCCGCCCACGTGGTGCACAACATCATCGAGACAAGCCTCCGGCCATACAATGACACTGGCATCGAGTTCCATATCGATGTGCGGGACGAGCACTGCACCACCAAGCAGCGGAAGAGTTTCATGAAACTCTTGTCCAAGGACAGTAGTCTGGCAACGGGCATGTGAGTGTAGCTTGGCTTTAATAACACAATTTCACAATTTCCTATGAGAATATGTTGGCCTTGTGCAATGTCCGTAATCCGTAATCCGTGATCCTATCCGTCTGTCCGTCCGCAACTTAACTCGAGAAATCGATATAATCGAAAGCAACAAATAAAACCACATGTTTTCCGCAATTTTAAATTTAAAGACGCCAAAATTTGGTTGGTCGATTATTGGGCACATCCTTCAAAGATCTGCATCGGTTATTCCCTTTAAAGATATATAGAAATAAAAATTAAAAAAAAAAAACTTTAAACTATTCCTTCCTTGAAATTGAATTTTTAATTTTCTTATTCAATTATTATTTTCTTATTTGCGATGCTCTTTTTCAAATAGTTGCTTTAATTGCCATATTGTAGTCATCTAAAAGTAACCTAGCAAAACTGCATTATATCTTTCTGATTCCATATTATGAATATGGATAATAAAAAGCTAAATTTACAGTCAAATATTACTAAAAAAATATATATTCGAAATTCAGTTTTAGACTGAATTTTGTTGCTCCTCATTTATATTTATATACCACGATTAATAACAAAAGTAATATTATTTAATGGAGGCTAAACATGCCACATATATATTCTCAATGGTTCAGCTCGTGAATGAATACATGAATATGATTTTTGTGCAAACCATTTCATAGATTAGGCATTGCCGCACTTGGACTGGCCTGTCTCTTGGCGCTCGTTTGGGAGCATTGGGATTGGATTAGCTGCCAGTTGCAGCGACTACAGCACAATGCCAATGACGAATCCGCAGTGGCGCCGCCAGATAAGACTGATGAAGCTTCAGGCACCGAGGATATCGAAGAACCCCAACAAGTTGCTGATGAAAGTACAGCAGAGCAAGTGGACGCATCCGGCAATCCGGCACTGCATCTGAGGCTATTGAGTGCCTTTTCACCGCAACGCACTCTACAATCTCTGATTTGCCTAGAATCGCCGGATATTGAGTTTCCCCTAATTCATCTGCTCAAGATACTGGCCACATTGATGATATATGTTAACCTCAAGTTCATTATGGCCGGCCACTTGCCGTTAACGAATCGAGACGCATTTGTCGGCACCGTCAACCGCTTCTGGGGCGTAACATACCGCACTCCCCTGCTGTACAGCGATATGTTGCTGTTGCTGAGCGGCTTCCTGGTCGCTTACCAACTGTCGCACGACATGGAGAAAACCTGCCGATTGAGTTTCCTGCGCAATGTGAGCCACAAGGCGTGCCGCTATGTGCCCAGCATACTGGCGGTGCTCGGCTTTCAAACCTGGATACTGCCCCACCTGGGCACTGGTCCGCTCTGGAATTTGCTGGTGGGTGAGAATGCGCGTCTATGCGAGCAGAATATGTGGCGGAGTGCCCTAAGTGTGCAGAACACTGGCGATCTAGAGGAAATGGTAACTATAAAAATAAATCCAAATACAAAATACAAATTATTCCCACCTGGTTTGATTTCAGTGTTCGCCGACCACAGCGCAATTGTCATTGGATATGCAATTGTATTTCTTGGGCGCACTCGTCGTCTGGCTGTATTTCACCGATCCGGAGGCCGGATTTTTCCTTTGTGGCGCCTTTCATGCCATCTCCGTTGCAGCGCGCTACTCGCGCACCCAGCGGGATCATCTCGCTCCGACCCTGTTTCACGGCATTCAGTGGGTAACCCAATGAAACACCACCAAACGTTTATTCACATGTTTATTCATCAACAGTATCAGCAAATTCTATCGCACTGCCAATTTAATTTACACCTCGCCAATTGCGCGGGCAACCACTTATCTGCTTGGCATCGGAGCCGGCTTGCTGTTACGCAGCGAGTCCGGCTCCTTCAGCATTGCACCACGTTTCCGGCGAGCGGGCTGGGTTCTGGCAATGTTGGGGATTGCCTGGTGCTTTTGGTCGCCGGCGGACGGCATACGCAGCAAATTCGTTTACAAGTCTTCGGAGGCAGCTGCATATTTGGCCTGGAGTCCGCTAATACTCGGCCTGGGCATATGTTGGGTCATTCTGATGGCCCCCCTGGACAAGAGTCTAGTGCAGCGATTTCCCAACATTGCGAGACCTGTGCTCCTTCTCTCGCGCATGGAGATTCCCCTGCAGCTTGCGAGCTATGTTGTTGTGCTCTGGAATACGGCGAGTGTCAAGGAGCCCCATCAATTTCAGATCACAGATTTGGTACGCATTATCCATTGGGTTACTCGAATCCATCAAATCATTAGCCGATTCCTATAGGTAAACCTCAAGGAGCTGGTGTTCATTGTGGGCTTTGCGATTATTGTGTGCTTCCTAATTGACTTTCCTGCCCAGCACATTGGATATTTGTTGATGGATGTCGTCTTCAGTGAACCACTGCTGGCAGCCGTCAATGTCAAAGAGAACACAAGCGATGCTCCCGACGAGGCGACAACAGCTGAGAAGTCACCGGATTCGCCAGAGCCTATCGAATCGATTTGGTCCTCCGAATCCGAACCGGACGAGGAAAAGTCCAGCTAAATGTAATGTTTCAATTGCACTTATTTAAACTACTTATGTATTTGTATTGCCATATTAAAATTTTGTCATTCATTGATCCGCTTCTTATACATGTAGCCAGTATCACAGATATAGCTAGATATAGCTATATATATCTAGGTTCTAGATTTATGTGGAATACATTTGGCACACACCGAAAAGTTTGACATTCCTTTAAATAATTCTTTTTCGATTCATTTTGGATATTTGTGCACAAGTTTTTTTGTAGAATTTGATTTATTTTACATATCTCGACAAGCATTTCTAAAGATTCTGTTGCTTGCAACTCAACAACTCCAACTGATAACTCAAATATATTCATAAATATGTTAACATCCTCAAGAAACAACATAGCAGCTTGCCTCAGCTAGAAAAAGTTGCAATAAGCTAGGGAAACATGTTTAATATTCTGAGGACATAGAAATCCTAAACCTCAACAATTATTTGCTAACATTTCGCATAAGCTGATATCAATATGTATATATATATATATATTTATATATATATTAACAAGATGTTGTAAGGTGATAAGTAATGCAATTTTGAGCAGGAAGGAAATTTGAAGAAAATCGATTTTTGTTTTTCTCCACTCCACCCACATAATGCCAACGAGAAATGCCACAAATATCACGTTTCGGTAATCAATTTATAATTTGATATGCAATGCAGTACATTTCATCATATAACATACGATAATGGGAATGGTTGCGTACAATGAATGTATTGGGTATGTCTACATATAACTAGGCGATAAACTGTTCCATTCATTCTGATCATAATATGTATGTACACTTCAGGTACTTCACTACAAGTCTCGCAAGAATAGAGCAATATTTCAATATATAGAAGAAAAAAAAACAAAAACTGCACACGCTGCAGACACAGCAGACGCAGCTGGCAACTACCAATAATCCTTAACCTATTAGTCTGTGGCACATGGCCAGTCGGTGGAATTTTTGTGTTGGCATTCAACTTGGAATCTATCCATTATGGTTTCTCTTTTTTACCTTTGCGCTGACGCAGCGTCAGGGCAAAGGTGCTTTCCGAAATATTATCGCTAGGCGTATCCATCTTTAGCTCATCGGTGGCCGGATCGGTGCCGACATCGGCAATTTCGTATTTCTCATCGAGCAAACTCATCTCCTCCTCGTCACGTAAACTGCTCGTGCTGGACAGGATCACACTGCTGGCCTTCTTTTGCAGCTGGTTCGTGAGGCGTGCGTATTTGATTTGCAAGTTGTGGAGCCAGGTGGCATCGGACCAGTGGTACCAGCTGAGCAGAAAAACGACCAATATAAAGAATAAATTGGTGCTAATGGCTGAAAAGGGAGTACATTTAAGTTAAGATAACTGATCAAATGCAATTCGAGATTCGAGATTCGAACTTACCCACTATTGCCGAGAGTATCGGCCAGTTGAACATAATGTACCGCAGACCAGTAAAATCCGCTTCAATATGCAATGTGACCGTATAGAATTGGATCTTCTGCGATTGTATCTCCACATAGACATCGGTAATGGGATGCTGTCGCTCCTCCAAATATCGTGAAAATATTTCAACCGGCACCTTCTGGAACTCCTCCTTCCAGCCGAGCACATAGAGCGGACTAAGCGCCCACGTCGATATCATCCGTATCAATGGGGAACGGTAACGCATCATTGCCGAGCGACACGAATGACCACGCAACATTGAATCATAGTCGCGCATCTCGGCGCATACCATAAACATGCCCAGCTCCAGATTCTGCGGCGACTCCGGCATATCAATGTTGACAATCACCTTGTACGCCTGGCCAACCATCAGCAGCTGTTGCTTCTTCGTCAGCGACACATGAGCGTGCGGAAAGGTGCACGGTGTGCTTGTCTCCAGGCACGTTCTGCAATCGATTGCAATGCACAATTCACATTCATTGCACATTTCACACAAATAACGCAATTAGCCAGCGATCACTGTACTCACTTAAACTGCATGTGAACGGGTCGCGTATGCGATATGGGCGGCATATACAAATAGTAGAAGGCGGCATATATGAATACGGCAAGCCAAATGATTAGGACAACGGCAAATGCGATCAGGCCCAGACGGAGGATGAGCTCCCGTATCGTGTCCACCTTCTCATCGGCCTTGCTGCGGAAGCGATCGTAGACGTTGAGCGTTAGATTCACCGCCGGACGCACAAAGAAGCGGCGTCCCAGGCCAAGCGGATCGAAGCAGAAGATGATGAAGCGCAGCAGGAAATTCATGTTTGGCGTGCGTCGATCGTAGCTAAACGATTGCTTCTGCTATCGATCTGAGACTATTAAATACCGTCGTTGTTCTTGTCGCACATACTTCAAAATAACGGAATGCTTATCTCAGATAATGACTATTGCCGGATTTGCATGGTGTGTAGTTCAAACTTTGGACGCCGTTCGCTACTATCATTATCAGTTGTTAACAACTTGCAATCAACTGGACGCCGCGATGAATCATTCACGTGCATATCTCGAAGAATACTGGGTTTTTGATCGAACCAGTTGCTTCATGAACCCCAAGTCTGATTCTTTTTCCCTGCTCTCAACTATCGGCTACCAAAAACAGATCAAATCGACCTCATATACTTATCAAAATGATAATTAATATTATGATTATCATTAACGATGTTTGTTATACAGAATGCACCATATTCTATCAAAAATAAATGTTAAATAACAATACTACTTGCACAGTTCTGATTGGTCAATTTTTCGATATTTATTGGCTAGGCTGGAGGATGCTGAACCGCCAAAATTTGAAGAAAAGAACAAAAATCGGTTAGCGTTACTAAAATGTATCAACAATGAATTTTGAATGGACATTCATAAAAAAAAATGGGACACCATCACGACCAATTCTTGTTGATCCAAATTATAATTAGTTGTAACGCACAAATGTCATAGAAATTCAGACGCAGCAATTCATTAGCATCATGTAAAATATTTTACTCATTAAGAAACTTTAAAATCCGCGCTTATTAAAACAGCTAGTGCTATCGATAGAATTAAACTGTATTATTTATATCGATATTAGCAGTAAGAAATATGGCCATGTAACATCGATATTTTGATCGATGTATCGATAATATTCAAGCCACAGATTTGTGTGTAAACTAAACATGCGAACGCTTCATTATAATAAAACAATGAAATAAAACAGGAGCTAACGAAAAACAAAAGAGCTGCAATTTACGCAAAAAGTGAAAATGAATTCGGACAAAAAATAGTGTGCGCAAACCGGCTGACCCACACAATACATACAGAAGTGAACTCAACTCAACAACAAGCAGCTGCAGAGGCCAGACGACAACAATGAGCAACTACAGATACCATGGGGGAGGTGGTGGTGGAGGCGGCGTTGGCTACTATGGCATTGAGGTGCGCGACATGCACCAGCGTATCTCGTATCCACATCACTTTACGTTCGTTAGCGCCTGCGTCAAATACATGATATTCATATTGAATTTCCTGTTCTGGCTATTTGGGGGCCTGCTGCTGGGCATTGGAATATATGCGTTTATGGACAAATGGGAGGATGCGAACGGATGGGTGAAGCTGGAAACCATTTACGATGTTGTACTCAACATATCGCTAGTGATGATCATAACGGGCATTGTTATATTCATAGTCAGCTTCGCTGGCTGCCTGGGCGCGCTGCGCGAGAACACCTGTCTGCTCAAGTTCTATTCCATGTGCCTGTTGATCTTCTTCCTCATGGAAATGGCCATAGGTAGGCAGTCAATCCACGCAGCTGCTTTCAGCTCATTCTAATCCATATTGTGTATGCCTTACAGCGATCATTTGTTTTGTGTTCCCACAAAACATGAACTCCTTCCTCGAGGATCAGTTCACCGATAAGATCATCCACTCGTATCGCGACGATCCGGACTTGCAGAATTTCATTGACTTTGCACAGCAGGAGTTCAAGTGCTGTGGCCTGAGCCATGATGGATACCAGGACTGGAGCAAGAACGAGTACTTCAACTGCTCGTCGCCGTCCGTGGAAAAGTGCGGTGTGCCATATAGCTGCTGCATCAATGCGACCGATATCAGTTCGGGACTGGTTAACATTATGTGCGGGTATGGCGTACAGGAGCATTCAGTTGCCGCTGCCAGCAAACTAATTTGGCCCAGTGGCTGCATCGAAATCGTTCGGGTCTGGGCTGAGCGGAATCTGTATACGATTGCGGGCATTGCGCTGGGCATTGCTCTGCTGCAATTGTTGGTCATATACTTGGCCAAAACGTTGGAGGGCCAAATCGAGTTGCAAAAATCACGCTGGGCAGCGTAAGCGCACAAATATATATACACAAGCATAGTCAGTTTACTGATGCCGCTCCCTGACCAATCGCCATAAGATAAGCAGAGCAAATCTTTATTTGCCTTGCATTCGATTTATTTTGAGGTTGAGGTTGAGTTGAGGTTGCAGTTGATTAACCGCAATACTCACATATTTGTAGCATTTCACTCAGATTTGTATTTGTTATCTCACATATGTTATTAAGGACTTCAAAAAGCCACTTTCAATGTACTCCATTTTTCGTTTATGTTATTGTCATTATTTTTTTTTATAATTTCAATTTCGCAAATGATTTTTGATTGCTCGAATAATACTCTACAGTGTTGCAAGATTGTAAATAAACGCTTAGCTTGTTAGTTTTGTAACTTATATTTTTTAATTTATAAAAGTCTGATATGAGTTAGTTTAAGTAATTTAAATATAATACATTTTTGTGTTCTAAATTGGTAACTGTTTACAAGGACCAATTCATCTGTAATCTTACCAACCATGACCAATATGTACATACATAAATCAAGTACATCATATATGTATAAGTAGACACTCGAGTCAAGTTCACATGCCACATACATATACATATATATCGCACTCATTCTAATAATCTGTTGCACCAACAACGCTTTTCTTATCTATGTTTTTTGCGGAAGTAAAGAACTACTTGAATAATATATATGTGTAAATTATTTTTCATATTTTTATTTATGTGTAAGTTAAAAATAAAAACAAACCAATTTGACGATCAGCAAGATTGGGAAGACCCAATCAGTCTTATTGTTTTCGAAATATATGATAAGTGGACAAAATTAAAAGTGAACTCCAAATAAAAAAGGAAAAAATAAACAATATATAGTATAAACTATAAAATACATTCTTTTATATATATATATATATACATAAATGATCTTTTCTCCCATCTGCTCAGCTTATCGATTTTCTGGAATTTATTTTTATCATTTATCTAAAATAAGATCCTATGGGAACAATTATTACATTGATATGTGGATTCAGATAATGTCAATAGCAATGTGAAATTGACAGGCGACCAGTACTTGGACTATATACTATTCCAGTCCAGCGGATTAATGGCCATGTTGTTGGGATGGTCAGAGAGTCTCGTTTCATCTTGTTTATTTGCAGCTATTCGTGCAAACTCCTTTGTGGTATGTGTGGCACCAAGCTCTTCAGGTATTCCTCGATTAGTGTTGAGGCAGATGTGCCTTGGATATTGTGCTGGAATTTCTGAAGAATTATCAATTTGATCAATTTCCCACTTAAGAAAAAAACGTTGGTTTTGGAACATTTCTTTGCAAATTTATTTGAAATAATCGAAAAAAAAAAAAAATAGTGAAGTATTTTGTAAAAACAAATAAATTAGAACAGTTTCATGTGACTAATTGAGTGTCGATGCGGCATCGTCCTATTTACAGCTTCCACGCAACGAATTCCGCTTTCGTCTCGTTAGCCTGGCCAACATGCCATCGACTTAATAGGAGCGCGGCTGTGAGCCAAAGCCGAGTCCCACGCCTCGCATGGTGTGCGTGGCGGCCCGGGCCACCTCGTACTGCTGCTCCATGTTGGAGAACATGCGCTGGCGCAGCTGGACATCGGCTGGCACAGGTGCAACGCAGCTGGCGCTGTTGCTGCCACTGGCGTTGCCATTGCTGGTGCTGGGCTCATTCATGGCATCGGTCCTGGCAGCCGCATTGCTGTGGCTGCTGCCGCTGTTGCTTGTGTTGACGGCGCAGGTGGTGGTGGTGGTGCTGCTGCTGCTGTTGGTGCTATTGTCGTTGGCATTTGTATTATTGGCATTCTTGATGCCCATGAGTCGCATAAACTTGGATGCTACCTTGCCGTCCGAGTCCTGAGAGAAGTGCGCATTGCCCCACTTGTTGGCCGAGTCCTCGTTCTTCTTGGAACCCCAAATTAGTTTACGCTTCTGCTGCTGCTCCGCATAGCGGTTGGCATTCACAATACCAGGATTATAGTATTTCGGGAGCTGTACAGCTGCTGGCGGTCCATCAATCAGCACACTTGGCGGCGCATTCAGTTCCAGTGACATTAGCGATGGTATTTTCGGTGCATAGTTTGGCGTTGGCAACAAACCACCGCCGCCACCGACGCCTCCACCGCCAACGCCGCTACCAGCTGCAGAGATGGCGGCAGCATTCAATGCGGCTGCTGCTGATACGGCTGCTGTCGATGGCAATGTCAGCTTGCCCTGCAGCAAACCAGCTGTTGAATAGACTCTGGTATGCGGATCGACATCGCTTGGCTTTCGCACATGGACCGGTGGACGTTCGACCGGCGATCTGGAGCGGCTGCTCGAATCGCACGATTCACGCCGGCGATATTTGCGTGTCGACTGCTGACCCTGACGCCTGCGCAGCGGCGGCGTATCAATCGGCGTGCGTGTCCGGGAACGGGAGCCCGAACGTGAACGAGTCCGTGAGTCGCGGCGACGACGAACACGCTCATCATGGGAACGACGCTGCGACGAGTGATGGTGCTGCTGCTGCTGTTGGTGCTGCTGTTGCTGCTGCATCTGCTGCTGTGAGTGAGATTTGTAGGTCGATGATGTGACTGATGACGATGAGTTGTGTGAGCGCAAGTTGTCGCTGTGGCGTATCTCTTTAGTGCGATGACGATCCCGATCACGATCACGATCCCTATCCCTGTCTCTGCCACTGCCACTGCCGCTGCCATGGCGTCGCTCCTCACGCTCGCGCTTGTAGTCACTCTCCTTGTTACTCTCTTTGGTGCGATGATGCCGCTCGCTCTGCAAATGACAAATGGTTACTGCCTGACAATGATCTCCCATGAAACTCAAACACTCGCAACTCATTCATTCCAATGACACAGGAGAGAGCAGCACAGTAATAGTGCACAACAGAAGACAACAACAAAGCACAGATTTGCTTCTGAAAATGTCAAATACGAACTACGCTTCTAAAATAAGTTGATCAGAAATAGGATATACGTTTTGTGATCATCAGAAAAAGGCCAACTTTGTTATTTATTACAATTATTATGGGGATTCATGCAATGATCTACTCTGCTCCCTCCCCAGCTGCTGCACAAAGGGTCGCCATGTCTTTATGCATCCCAGGATACTAAATCTTTTCCTAGCGATGGCGATGAGGACTCTTCCTCGTTTTCAGAAAACCGCTACTAAAACAATCCCGTTTAGATAGGTGAATTCTTAGCCAATAGACCGGCTAACTCTGTTATTCTTAAACTTATATAACAGGAAGTTGATCCAGCCGAATCCAATCGAACTGTTTGTCAGTTAAATAAATGCTAGCTAAAAGAGATAATTGATAAATAAAGCTGCTGGATACCTTCCTTATTTCCCCTGAAACCAATGTAGAGACACATCCACGCTAATCAAGCTGGGCAAAGACAAGCCAATAATCAGATACGATTTAAGCAAGCAATATCCATCGGGAAGAACCGACGAGGATGGGTGGGACACAACTAGGTTTCCTCCTCGAACATGTATCATTGGAACAATGGATGTTTTGTGGATTGGATTGGATTGATTACCTTGCTGTAGTCTTTGTCGCGTTCCTTCTCCCGATTGCGATCAGTGTCGCGATTGCGGCCACGTGCCGGTGCATCCTGTAACGATAGAGACGAGTAGCAGAAATTTGTATTAATAAATTGGTTAAAATTCGTCAGCAAATCGAGCGTAAAATGAAAGGAAAAATATGTATAACAAAAACATAATAAAAAAGAGTAGACAATTTCGCAAAAGTCGATGGCACAAAGTTCTTGCAAAAGAAGAACCCATAACAAGTTTCTTGTGATTACGGCTGCTTCCTGTTGGTCCATGCGAATATGGAAGCGGATGTTGTGGATTCGATGTTGTTGTTGTTGTTGTTTTTGCTGTTGTTGTTCTGACTGCTGATGCTGCTGTTGCTGCAAGAAATATTTGGATATTCGCTTCGGCGGTGATCGATGGATCGATCGATCTCACAGTGGATAGGTTTACAAGTATGTGGATTAAATGCTAAGTTTTTGTATTTGTTTGATTATTTTATGTATTTGGAATACTCACATTGATGCCTCTCGATCATCTTTCTCTCTTTGTCGCAACCATGCGGTCAGAGTGTGTTTTCAAGGAGTTAAAGGAGTGGGACACATACCCTGTTGGGCGCGTTGGAACAACTCTAATAACTCTAAAACTGTCTGCGTTCAACTGTTTATCGTTTTATCGTTGTCGTTATCGTCGCTATCGGTTATCGTGTCTTAAGCGTCCCAGTTAGTTTACAGTTTACAGTTTTCAGTTCTCTATATCATGTTTCTTGTATCGAGGAGGTCGCCGTCCCGGTCGATGTCAAAACATTTTCTTTTCTTTTTTTTTGTTTTTGTTTCTTTGGTTTTTTCTTTTTTGGTTTTGGTTTGGTTTGGTTTTGGTTTTGGTTTGTTTACATAATAATAACAATAATAAAATTGTATATTTTAGTCATATATAAATATAAAGGTTGCATAAATGCTTAAGCTTAAATATGTTTTAATAACAAAATACGAATATAAATTAGAATTAGAATCATAATTAGGATTGGGTAGATAATAGATACTAATAGAGTTGTTACAACAACCTCGAACCCAACACCAACATTCGCAAAAACTATAGATTCACATATGTACATATAAAGCCAAACACAAACCACACACACACACACACACACACGCACAGTTTCAGACACACTGGACGCCATTGTTGGCATTGTTGATATCGGAGGACCAAACAAAAAGAAAGCAGCCAGACAAACAGAAAACATATATTTGGAAATTCATGTTTAGAATAAAGGGCACAAAACCATCAATAGAAATTTGAAGAGTGTTTGAGTAACATATAAGGTGTAAGGACATATGCATGTATGTATGCAAATACCATATACATATATACATATATATCCCCAGCACATGTGTCAATATGTAAAAAGAGTAAAACAAACTTAGCTATGACTATATATATATGCCTCATATAAATATTTGTATATCTATGCACAGCCTTCTACTTTCTGCATTTGATGTACAATATGTATGTATTTATGTACACAATGCACATATAGAAATTGGTTATTTACTATCTTCTCTGATATGATTTGCCAGTTAGAAGAATGAATAATTTCTGCCTGCAGAGCGTATTCCAATTGTGCATTCAAAGAAACATCTCCCATTAGTCAATTACTAGTTACGAGTGTAAGTTTTTATCATATAGCTGGGAGACATTTCCTTCACAAAATTGGAATACTCTGTGCAAGGGTATAAAAGAAGCAAAGTGCTCCACTTGAATATTCTTCGCTTTTTTTTTTTTTTGGTTCTTTTGTTTCATTAGCTGTTGCTAATTTTGGCACAGTATTAATATTTCTATGAGGCAGTTTAGTATCTATGACAAAGACAACAAAAGTTTACCTCATCGCTGTTGTTGTTGTTACTGTTGCTGTTATTATGGCGACTGCCTCGACTCCTGTGATGATGATGATGATGGTGGTGGCGATGCTGATGATGACGGCCATGACGACTGCCGCCAGTTGGCAGCGGCGGTGTGCTGGACACCTTGGACAGCGGCGACAAAGCCGACCGACTCTTCTTCGATTTGTCTTTGCTGTCGGTGTCGCTGCTGTCTGTGGCGCTGCTGGCGCTGTCGCTGCTCGAACGACGATGGCGATGGCGTCGCGTCTTGTGACGCTCGTTGTTGCCTTTGTTTTTGGTCTTCTGTTGCTGCTTTACAGCGCTCAGAAATGTTATCGAAGACATTGTTGCCTCCTCAAATGCTGCTCCTGCTGTTGTTGTTGTTTTGGCAGCTACTGCTGCTGGCGGAGTACGCGAGCGTGATCGGCGACGAGCTGCAGATGTTGTTGCATGAACGGGCGAGCTGCGCTTTCGTGTGGCAGCTGGCTGTGCTGCTGCTGCCGCTGCGGCTGCTGGTGCCGCTGTTGGTGCCTAGGGGAATTTTTCAACTATTCAGAAACAGCAAATTCGAATTATTTTACTAAAGCACTAGGTACAACTACATACAAAAAAAATGATTTGAGATTGATGAATATACACAATATGCACACACATTCAAACACACGCACACACACACACACACAGACACATATATATATATATATATATATATATAAATATACATATATATATATAAGAAGAGGCATACAGAGACATGCTTGCCTCGATTAAATGTATACACCGAAAAAATACATTCGGTATTCATTTTCAATTCAATCCAATTCGATGGGATTCGTGTTGAGTATTTACCCTTAGCTCGCCGCCAGCATCGTCGTCGTACTCGTCCTCGCTGCTATAATTGACCAGCGCCTCCATAATGGTTATTTATTTATTAATTGATTTTAGCGCGTGGGCCGTTCTTCCACAAATGTTATATTAAAATCAATAAATCTATTCCGCTTCTGCTGCTGCAATTCTTCTTTTTTCTGCATTGACAGCCTGTCGATGTACGGTGACAGGCGCTGCCACCAAATATCGCCGTGTGCCAATTTGTTGATATTATATCGATATATCGACTGGCTTTTATTTTCACTGCGATTGTATCACATAAATTCTTGGCAATATGAAACCTTGAATCAGTTATATTGAATATCGCAAGAAATTTATGTAGCAATACAACGACATACAAATTTGTTATGTCGAAGTAGAAAATAAGTACTCATGTAATATATCGGCACTTTATATCGATACTTTTTTGGGATATGGAACATTGAATTGCATGTCACACAAAATTTCTTAGGCAACACTGGCGCTTACAGGGTTGCCTTGGCGCAAATATGCACCTACCGCGACAATTTCAAAATATATTTCATTTATACTATTGCTAGATAAAAAGCTTATTGGCTGAAAACACGCCGGATAACATATACCATTTTCTTTTGTTTTGTCTTGCTCTGTTTCTTGCAAGTACATTGGCCTTATGGGAAAACGTTTTGGTTTTGCTAGCTCTCCCAGAATTTAATAAGAATAAGTTGGTTTAATAAAAGAACTGAATAAAATGTTATGGATGATCCAAAATGTTCTCAGACCTATTATGTAATAATAATGCTCTTATGTCATCTGTCGGAAGCAAATGCTTAAAGTCCATCTGTTCCACTTTTGGATGCAAACAACAATCCATCAATCCAAGTGACTCCAAACAGTAATAAGATAAGAACTTTAAGGTTGCCGCGGCCTGTTGTTGTTTACGTTTTTCGTTATTGTTTTTTACAATTTTGTTTATGCTCAATTTTTTTTTTGGCGTACGTGCCGGCTACAAAGTCGCCGAAGTTACAAATTAACCTTATTTTGACTGCGAGATAAAGCAAAGCATATTTGCCACCTGAAAATAGCCATAAATATAGAATTGAGCTGCGCATCGACCATCGATGGCAGCACTTAGCACTTGCCCATAGCAGCGCAGTACAGTGCGCTCTCCGCAAAAGGAACACACACAAAAATATTTACACACACGCCGTGCGCTTTGCATGCAAATGTAAAATCAAGCGTAAAATATTTCATTTAATTTGAAGTAATCATGTACATAAATTATCATCAATCAACAAAATTGGAATCAGGAGCTTGCTTCAGCTGTCTTCTTTACTGTCGACCAATGCATATCATTACATAATCAATTGATGTTCTTCTCCACTCTTCAATTAGTTGACTTTATCAAGTGTGCACTGTACGCACTCCGAAGGTCTGTTAGAGCTAACAGTGTGGAATTACAGAGAGTGTAATACCACCGCAGTCACATATACACGCAAACATAACTGCGAGCATACATATGCATATGTATATGTGCACACACATACATTACATAGTGCTCATGCTGCTGTTTACATAGAGTTTTCACATGTTTTGTTTTGATTTCTACTTTGTGTGTTATACCCTTTGCCGAAGGTATTATAATTTTGGGGTGAAACAAGGACGATGAATGCATATATAAAATGTATGTCGAGGTCGATCAGATCAGATCTGCACATTCATATAGAACAGCTCATCTTGCAATAGGAACAATTGGTGGGGTGTTTAGGTGTTCTTTGCCGTTTCGAATATTGTTGTTTGCCACACAAGGCCAATTGCTCTTCGCACATGCTTCTTTTTGTTTCTAGGCTTTATTTATTAATACTTCATTAGCAAATGATTTAAATATACATTTCGCTTGAAGCTTCGACGATTGTTGCGAATAAACAAACTTGAACTCTGCCAGCTCAAAGCAAACGGCAGAAAAAACTCTCACACACAAACACACTCGCAAACACACACACTTTTGCATATATAAATAAATTAAAAATTTTGTTTACCAGTTGTGCTTCTTATTCGCTCGTTTCATTAAAGTTTATTTTTCGTTCAAATCTGTTTGTAACAATTGGTTAAGCGAGGGCTGACATCTTAGTAATATGAAAAGAAGTCTTCATTAATAAACTCTAACGATCGGATATATATATATATATATATATATATATATGCATGTACATGAGCTACATATTAAATATGCAGTGGATAGCGTGATTTTCGTGAATAATTTAAATGGTCTTATTTACGCATTTTGCACTGTTTTAATATTCACGTCAGGCATGCTAAGTCCACGCTTACATCACGCCCAGCTCTAGTACTGCCACGCATACATACACACGTGTGTGTTTGTACAGAATTATGTATGTATTTAGTGGAGCCACGTGTGAAACTAAACTAAAGCAAATGACTCGTCAAGCTACCCTCGCTTATTGCTGCTGTTTATTTTGAGTCTAATCTTTACACACAAAGCGACCACGCAGCGCTTACAAAATTATAATGAAAAAAAAAACCAGTCCGCCGATAAATCATAAATGAAATAATTGCTTAAGCAGGTCGTTGATAAGACAACATTTTCAGCTGTCCATCAAATTAGATGCATGTATGTGTGTGTGTGTGTGTATGCATGCATGTACATGTATGTGAATGTATGCAAGTCAGCATGTAGTCAGCATACATACATACATAGATACGCATTTACATTTTAGAACCTACGACAACAAAAAGGACACGTTGCAAGCAGCACGTACGCATTTTCAAAGGGCTGACGATGCCACCAACCACAAAAACACAAATACAGACAGACACACACACACACATATATACATAAGCATTTCTATTTACATACATATATATTATACATGACATTTGCACGCAAGCGCAAACACAGATGAAAAGCAACAGTAAAAAATAGCACAGTTTCCGCTTGTGGGGCGCTGTGCCGTGTTAAAATCAGCACACATACCAAAGCAACGGCAACGGCAAGCAGCAGCAGAAGCAACCGATTCAACGATCCGGCGCGCACGCCCTTATATTGCATCGCTTGTTATCTCTGCGGAACGGAGCAGCAATAAAAATTAAAATACCAGTATTGAAAACTTTCAATTGTATGTTTGTTGCTGCAGTTGTTGTTGTCGTGCTGCAGGCAGGCAGACAGCCATGAGGCGCACCACGTACGCCAAAAATTAAATGGCGTTGCGGAAATCTCGAACATACAATAAAGAAAACCTTGACAAGAGCGAAATACGCAAAAGCTACGCGCAAAAAACACGAAAATTCCAACCATGAAAAAGAGGCACACAGAAGAAGAAGAAACGTCTGCGGCACACCGAATATTTTCTACTCCTACATTGCCTGCTTACAACTAAATTTAATTGTTTTCACGTCGACTGACTGTTCCCATAGGATTTGTATATCTTATAATAGCACATGCTTAAACTTAACTTAAAATTGTTCATATAAGTCATAATCATTGAATTGCAGACTGCATCTCGAAGTATAACAGCTTAAGCAAGGGTATCAAAACAACAGATGTCAAACCGAATTACAACGAAAACAAGAAAAAACAAAAACTGAGCTTCCAAAAACAACGCATATTATTTATTATTATTATGTACATACAGCTGTGTGTATGCCCCTTTTTTTTGAGAACCGAGTAGTTCTTAAATAAATTCTATTGGATTATAAGTACATATTTATATGTATGTATGTACTTACTTAGTGGCGAAAACATACGGCTTATAATGTGGTCTTGTAATGGGACAACTAAACCAGTTGATGTTTAATTTACATTGTATGTAAATTGATTACATTCACTTCGGCTAAACTGGGCTGGCGATTGTTACGTGACGTTTTGGTAGTCAACCAACGGCGATGCGCGCGTTGTTCTTGTACACGTCCACATGCAGACACACGACACACGCACACATCGAGACACCCAGATACACTAACACGAACTGAATTCAGTCCGAGTGCATTGCACTCCGAATGCAACAACAGCAAGTGAATGGCGCCAGCAGACGCCGTTTACAGTATAAGCCAACTAGTAATTGGTTGGTCAAAGGACAAAAGTACTTACATGTGTGAGTGTGTGTGTGTACATTGTGCATCTGTATGCATAACAGCTGATGCATTACAGCTGTTAAGTGTTGTTCAGTCTTCTTTCTCCTTCCACTCATTTTCTACATGTTCAAATGTATGTGTATGTTTGTGTCTGTGTGTGTTCATACTGATACTGTTAGCTACAGCTGCTGCAGGATCACTGATATTAACTACATAGAATTGTATAAGTCAAACACACACATGCAAACACTTGTAGATATGTATTTGTATATATGTAGGTACACACATGTAGAATGTGCGTGTGGTAAATATTTGCTCGTGTGCGCTTGTGCGTGAGGCAATGAAGTAGAAGTAGAACAAAAAGACAAGACAGACAACAGAAAACAGAAAACTTGCTCGGCTGTTCGACCGTTTGTTACATTTTGCTGAAACTGTGTGTATACAGAAAAATATGTATGCATGTGTGTATGTATGTACGTGTGTGTATTTTTGTATGTATGTACATAAGGCTGGTGCATTGAAGCGCCTGTTCATCAGACATTTGGTCACACCGACCGACCTAAATAACTTTTTCGTTTACTTTATCAATAAACATATTAACCTAAATGCGGATGTATTTATTAGTTAAATTTCTCTTCCCACAATACACAATACGTGCAACGGCTTCAAAGTCACTGACCGGCCTGCAACATCTATTGTTGTGTTGTTGGTAATAATGTAGATTACATACATACATATGTTTTTGTGAACGTTTGTATTTTATTTTTCTGGTAGCATTGATGTAGCCCTATGCTTCGCACTCCTCTCTTTGCATATCCAACACAAACACACACGCACACAGACACACACCACCGCTTCTGTTACAGAGTCGCCGTCGTCGATGTTTTCATTGCTTTTCGACGCAACGGCCGCTGTTAAAACGAATTCGAACGCGCAAGCGAACGGTTGTGTTTAACGGAAAGAAAACGAAGAAGTTGAAGAAGAGAAAAATAAAAGAACTTGAAACAAAGTGTAATACGCAAAAGCAAATAAAACTGCAATTTTTTTTTGTATATTGTTCGATTGTTAAGTGTGTGTGTGTGCCTTGAAACCGGTTGCTAAATGCACGCTGCAACTGCAAATATAAACATAAAAGTAACAATAACATTAGCAGCAGCCAAGCAGCGCAGTCAGCTTGCATATTATATGTCCCCTGATATATACACATAAGGGACAACAGCAGAGACAACAAACAATATTCAAATTTTACTGTTACCATTGATAGCAGAACAACAACAACAGCAGCATCAGCAATAAGCATGGCTTTCTCCATTGTAAGCCGCGGTCTTTTGCGCACTTCGAGAGAAATCCTGGAACGCAATATGGCCGCAACGGTGGGCGCTTTGCAGCAGCAGCAGCAACAGTCCATCTGCACCTTGCCGTTTCCAATGGGTGATTGCAGCAATAATGTAAGCGCTTTTCTTACATACATACTTACAATATGTGTGTGTGTGCGTGTGTTAATTTAATTATAAAGATCCCAAGAGAAGCGCTTAACAAGCTAGGGGGAGAGAGAGAGAGACAGAGAGAGAATAGAACGGGACATCTGTTATAACTAAAAGAAAAATGGAGCCATTGTGCATGTGTGAGCGAGACAGAAAGCGAGGTTTGAGAAACATTGTAAGCGTGGCACACACTGCGCGAAAATGTTGAAAATAGATCACTTAAAACAGTTAATATGTAAATAAAAATGAGGTAGATACAGGGTGTGAAAACTATTCTCCTACCGTCCACACCCTTCACTAGAACAGCACCGCAATCAATACTGCGACAACAACAACAACAACAACAACGTTTCCTCAACTTTCCAACCATCCCCCGAAAAAAATAGGACAGCAAACTGTGTAAAAACTCACTCAGTGTCTGCTGTAACGGAAAGAATGCAATAATAAGAATAACAGCTCCGAAGAGAAAGTTGCGTATTGTTTTTGTTTGTGTGATTAGTCGCGACGCAAACCCATTTTAGCAATCGTAGCAAATACTAGAACCATCTAGCAGCTCGAATTATTTTTATTGTTGTTGTTGTTGTTGACCTGTTGCTCGACTTTTTTGTATGCCTTCCGCTTCTTTCAACACAGTTAAATTGTATGCAAATCAAATATTGTTTAATTTGAGGATTACCTGTTTTTGGTTTGTTTCTGGCTCTCGACACACTATTTGCAATTTGGTATTTAAATTTGAGAAACTTGTTTTGCAGACTCTTGCACTCGATGATATCATCATATTGAGAAAATATCATTTCCACCACTATCTTGAGCCTACAACAAAAATTTCAGCTCCCTGAACTTGTTGACAACTTTAACGCTTGTAATTAAAAACAAAGCAAAGAAAGGAGAACAATAAAAAAAAAAACTTATCTCTGTCAAAAACTGTTGACAAACAAAAACTCATTAAAATGTACAACAAAAGATTTGATTTTGCATTTATGTATGTAATTAGCTGTGATTCCTAGCAAATTTTCTTTTGAATAATCAAACTGAATTGTTTTTCTCGAGTTTCTCTTGAGTTTATCTCGCAATGAGACACATGGTCAACCAGTGGAGTCAAGAAAACATGGTGAACTTTTCCACATGGCGATTGTCAAATCGTAACGGCTGTTAAAGCCGATACGTGCTCTGTTATGGATGGAGTCTGCTTTGTTTGAGGGTCGCTGTTAAGTTGTCAAAAACCGGTCGGTCCACAACAAGAATCTAGAACTGACCTTAGAAGTAACAATAACAACATCGCATCTAAATTACGAACAGCAGTTTATGGTGTTATTATGTTTTTATTTGTTTAAGCATATGAAGGGCAGGGCGCAGCACGAGCGCCAATATTGTGTAACATTAACAGACTTGATTTATGTAATTGTTTGTTTGAAATAACATTGAGCGAGCGAGAGCAAGCAGTACGCACACCAGAGCAAGCAGTTAAAACAATTCATAAGCTGCAAATTGTATCTGAAGAATTAACTAAAGTTTTTGTGTATTGCTTGCAGCGGCTGGCTAATGGTCCCACACATATATCATTATGTCTGCAGTTCGTGCTTCGCCCACCACCGGCCGTGCTGCCGTCCGTTCGAGAATATTCAAAGAAAAATGCTGGAACGGCCACTCAGCGGCGCGATGAAAGCGACAGCGATTCTGATTCAGATGATGAGTTTGAGAGACGCCGCCAAAATGCTAATGTGAAGCGCAGCGAACGGGTGAGTGAACCAAAACAGGCCTTTCAACCGCCAGCCACGTGGCCAGAACTTGAGTTGCGATTTTGAATTTGCATTTTTTTTTTTTTTTATTTTGAAACGTGTTTTTTTGTTGTCCGGCTTTGGTTTAATGTGGTTTTTTGAACTCACTGCTAACGGTTTGAGTCCGGGCTACTTGTTAATGATATTGTCTTGAATTGCTGAAGCAAGCAGTTGCTGGAGTTCCTTCATGAATGGAAGGACTGCTTTTTGCAAAGCAGTGTCTAAACTAGACTTGTCGTTGCTATCCAACAAGCAGTTAACCGCAGCATGCAGTTTCTCAATTCTCCGTTAGCATTTGAATTTCTAATTGGTTTTCGATTGAAATTGATTTTTTTGGCTTTCCGCTTTTTTTTTTTAGGGAGACTCGGCATTCTGGCGTCGCAAGATGCGAACGTTGCATGGCATAATGGATGTAAATCACGACGGTGTCATCTCGTACGATGACTTCAACTTGCTGGCCAAACGCTTCAGCGACTTGGGCCACTTGTCGCCAGAGGTGGCCGCCGAATTCACCGATGTCATTAAGCAAACGTGGGAGGAACAGTTTGGGGAGATAACTCCATACAATCTGGTGACTGCTGAGCAGTTTCTGACCGATTTGCATCATCGACTGAATGATAAAAAAATGGCAAAGCGCATTGGACGCTTTTTGCCCTATTTGTTTAAGGTAAATGCTTAAATATTACTTAATACAATTGACAATTAATTAATTGAATTGGTTTTACAGGCCGTTGACTTTGATCACAGTGGCCACTTGGATCTCGAACAATATAAGCTCTTCTTCCGCTGTCTGGGACTGACCGAGGAGGATGCTGCCATTTCATTCGCTGTGATAGACAAGAATGGCGATGGCCAATTGTCGCTCAAGGAGTTTGTACATTTGGGTCGCCAATTCTTTTTAACCGAAGACGATACGAAAATATCGAAAATGTTCTGGGGCCCATTGATCGCTGATCATTGACGCGTTGCAGCCACTGCTGTAGATAAACATGTTCGCGATGCCAACAACAAAACGAAGCCAATGCTGCCAACAACAACAACAACAACAACTACTAACATCATTAAAACGATTCCAACACGCACGCAGGTGGCGTGCGGCAGTTGGCCGTATCTACAGCATGTGGCGCTGCACAAATCGAGACCATTCAACAGGCAAACGACAGTGGACAGCAGCTGTTGCTACAACAACAGTTGCAACAGCAACACAATCAATTTGATCACAATTCGGAACATGAACATTTACGATTATTTACGTCAACATTTCAAACCGGCCAGCAAACGCAATCGCAACAGCTACTCGGACTGCGATGATGAGCTGCATCTGCCCCAGCCCAAGGTGCGCAAGCACAACTACAACAATTATCGGAAGCAACAACAGCAGCAGCAACAGCAGCAGGAAAGGGAGCAGCAGCATGAGAAGCGTGGCAAGCATGGCCCAAATTCTTCGAGTACGCCTAACTATGATATAAGAATTTTTTTTTATGTTAATTCACTAATATTATTCACAATGTCCTGTCGCCAATACGAGGGCGATGAGTTCAAGCATTTTATCGTTCATCACATAAGAGAATTTGATCGATTGCGGCGCAAGGCGCGCAAGCGACGCAAACGCAAAATGAAAGCAACAACTGAATTGTCATTGTAAATCGAAACAACAACAACTATGAATAATGTCTTAAATGATACTATGTACTCTACACATAATATATATATATATGTATACGTAACGATCCGGTATGATAACAGAAATAAACAAAAAAAACATACAAAATCAAATTCAAACCGGTTTTTTGTGGCAAGTCAATGGGGAGTCGAATTTTGACAATCGATCAATTGATCTTGAGACCAAAAGAATTTATAATTTATTGACTGAAAGTCGACTATTTATGTATAGAGGCATGCCTCGCTTTACGGCCCAGATACGTGCCACGATATTAATTGTTTCACAGAATTTCAGTGGGATCCGTTCTAAATTTGTTAAATATGCAACATGGTTTATCTTTTAAATTGCATTTCATATTTTTATCTCATTTAAATACATCAAAGAAATACATCAAATAATAGCAGACTCCGAAAAGGACTTCAACAATAATCTAAAAGCAAAAATGTGGCAACTTTATGTTGCATGCAATATGTGTACGCATACAAACAAAATGGCTTTAGTCAGCAGACAATGAAGAAATGGCAACCTGATGCAGATCACTGTCCTCATCATCATTTATCGCTGGCAGGGATGGGCCTGGCTTCAACAAATTGTCCAACGTTGTTTGACTTGGCTGAGTTAATTTCTGATGATAAATTGGGGCGTGCCAGACACTGTCCACCATTCAGTTTTTAGAAAGAAAAAGCTAAGAAACTATTTTATTTTGAGCGGCTCATTTGTGATCCATTTAAAGACTGTAATTTTTATATCTATCCCATCTTTTGGTGTTTACTAATCTTTAGTTTTCATTGCTTATATTCAGATAAAGTTTGCAACATTTTTGAAGCTATATTTTAAGTTAACTAAAACTGTGTTGGAGAAAATATAGAAAACAACATAATATTTTGAACTGCACACCTAACTTTAAGTGTCATCAGATTAGCGCCGATCTATCTATATAAGGATAAGGTAATCGTTCTCACATCTGCAATTCCCTAAAGGGATCAAAGGGATCTAATCATGTCTACAACTATAAGAGCTAAAAACTGCCAATTTTGAATATTTGTTCTCACATATCAAGTTTAGTTCAGCTTATCGATAACTATCGATAGCAATAAAAGACAACTTGTTAGATCAAATTGGTAAATTTCGAATATAGACTGACATATTGTTGACCAACTGCATAAATAGCATCACAATCGAAAAGATATATTCTTTTATCATATTTGAAACGAGGAATGAAACCTAACCAAACCAAACCAAACGAAACCAAATTTTCTCTTAGTGCCATCTCAGATCGAGAAGAAGATTTATTAATGATAAAATGGTTACATTTATATGCCAGTTGGGGATCAGCTTAGAAGCAGTCATCGATGGGGGGCAGCTCGGCTGAGCACAGAGGCAAAGTGGCCCAGGCAGACCAGCCTCGCGTGCCAAGAATCTTCTGGGCACATTGAACGGAACTGGTGATGTCATCGGTCAACAGATCGCTGCAGCTCAAGGAGCAGGCATTTTGGGAGTAGCGATTGTTGCTGGGCTTGCACCAGTGATTGCCAATCTGGAAGATGCCGTAGTTGTTGGAGCCAAGCACTTCGGTGCGATAGGCGCTCTCGTGCTTGGCAAGGCAAGTCCACCTGGCCAGCTGATCGAGGGGAACGCCCAAGTTGGCCATCTCCAGTGCCAAGGAGCAGCGATCCATGGTCCGACCAAAAGCTGGCCAGGCACAGGCCACAGCAACGAATGCGATGAGTTGAGGTGATGACGACTTCGACATGTTGTCATGCTTTTTATGTGGACGACTAATTGAGGAATGTCTATGTAGACTCACTTGAAAGAAATGCCATTCGAGAGGCGTTCTTAAACTTGGCTCAGACTACTACTGACTGCTTGTTGCATTTGCACTTCTAATCGATATTTCATGGCTAAAACAGTAAAACGCTTAACGACCATTTCAAGCCGGTTTTGTTGCAACTAATTTATTTTTGTTGATAGTTTTTTTAGTTGAACAACTTTGGTGGTTGGCTTGCTACAGAAGGAATACCGCTGGCAACAAGTTGCAAAACCTGAGTGGATACAGACACTCCCTCCTCCTTCTCCTTCCCCTCATCCTCCTTATTCAACTATCGATTGAACAAATCACTTCAAATGTGTTTAAACTTGGCATCAAATGGAGTCAAAACCCGACTCGATTTTAAAGAAAATCAGCTCTCAAATTGATTTTCTTTATTAATATTTAGATTGTTGCTAAAAGGTTTATCGATTAATATCGATTCGATTTAGACAGAGACTTCAAGTTTTGTAAGTTAGCTCAGATGGATCAAGTTTATTTCAAGTAAATCAATAAAAAAAAACAATTTGGATTTTGATACAATATCTTTTTGATCATTATCTGAATAACCAAAAAAACTAAGCAAATTTAGCTTATATTATGAAAAGTATATCAGGCAAGGGTTGGCATCTAATTAAGGTGCAGCAAAGAGTTGAGTTCGGAAAGAAAAAAGTGGCGACATCTTATCGAGTCCTTTTAGCTGCTGTGCCGAGCTTTGTTATTTATTTATACATATATATTTATATATATATAATTTTTTTGCCCTGTAGTCTGTTCAAGTGAATGCCAGGCTGCCAAAAATCAACAACGCAAATTGCATGCAAATGCAGCCGCTGCCCAACCACCCAAAACGCCCATCCTAACACTATATGGCCAATGCAGACCGCAGCAGCTGGACACAAAAAGCCGCTGCCCACATATCACTATGTAAGCGCTGCGAGAAAGAATTTGCGATATCAACTGAAAAGTGTTTAGCCCCACGACGGCCCAGAAAGGACACACACACAAAAAAAGCCGAACGAACTAAAAAAAACGTGTCGCGCGTAAATCTCGGCAAAGAGCCCCCACTCCCACCGCCACGCCCTCCCCCCCGGTGCCCCCTGCCTGGCTGCCTGGCTGCCTGCCTGGCTGCCAGTGCCCACATTTTGTCGTCAAGCGATGTCTGTGACTCTGACCAGAGCTCATTATGCACATTTGCTGCAGGGCTACGCCCAGTTTTGTGCTTATTTTTTCTGTTTTCGTCTTTTTTTTTTGCCATTTGTAGCTAATAATTTTAATGTTATTCAAAATTATGTATGAAAAAAATCAGAGAAAGAAGCAGCAGGGTAAAAGATGTTGAGCGACCATGTGAAAGCATTTTTTGGGGCGTCTCGCACACACACTTGCACACACACTTGCACACACACTTGCACACACACACGCACACACACTCGCACACACACTCGCACACACACTTGCACACACACTTGCACACACACTTACGTGCTTTTAAATTGCATTTGTATCTAAAAAGACATTAATTCTGTGTGTGGTTCAGAGCGCCATCTACCGCCCAGCCCGTCAAGCAGTGCGGGCTGCACCCAAACCAATTACACTGCTTCTGTGTGCACTGCATGCTTGTATGTGTGTGTGTGTGAGTATATAGTATATATATGAGTTTAATATGTGTGTGTGCTTTGCGCATTTCTTACTCGCCTCAATATTTTGTAATTTAATTTTTTTTCTTTTTTTTTTGCTACCCCACGCGAATATAGACAAAAAAATGCCACGCACATGATGTCCCGTTGCTGCTTATCCCTTTGCCACAAGCTGCAACCGGACTCGGACCAACACACACACACATAGAAAGAGAGGGATGGAAAGAGAGGGAGCGAGGTAGGGATGAGATAGAGTCACATATTGCTACATCTTTCATTATGTAAATGCACGCTTTACACATTTTTTTGTTTGTTGCCTTTGGTGGTGTCCACCACTCACAAAATGCTATCCGCATTTTATTTTATTTTTACTTTTTTTATTTTTATTTAGTTTTTTATATTTTTATTTTCCTATGCCTGCCTTCCACACAGTTCTGGCTCCCATCAGTGGCTGGGGATTTGCGCGCGTTGTATAAAAAATAGATGGCATTAAATATAAATATGCAAGTGTGTGTATATACATATATATATACATACATACATACATACATACATACATACATACATACATACATATGTAATAGGAGCTTCTTTTTCCTTTTTGTGTCTTTTGCAACTATTTGCAGTTTCGACGTGTTTTATCACGTTTTAAAAGCAGTTTTTAAATATTAAAAGCACGTCCTAAGTCCACATTTGGTCAACACAGCTGCTGCCCCAAGAAGAGGCACTACAACTTACCCAGTCCCGCCCCCAAACGGTCCAGTTTGACACACAACCCACGGCAGAAACTTGGAGCTAAGTCTTAACACTCGCAAAAGTTTTAGTTTGCTATTACAGATCGATGATATATATATATACATTTTTTCAACTACATATTTAAGTGGCTTACTTTTTTTTTTTTGATCTTCATGTTCAGATGAATTAAATCTAGACATAGTTGGAATACTTCTTTTCAAGATCAACATTTGCACTTGACAAAGGTCAATCGACTTCATCGATATCATTAACTGAGCTATCTGAAATGATTTACTCACCTTTATGATAATTATCGTTTCATAAATTTGAGTTCTTTGTTTTAATCTTATTCAGAAAATGTGTATAATTTATCATCAACAGATTCAGGGGGACTCAAACTGATCAACATCATTGATCCCATCAGCATGTATTTCAAATGTATTTTTGTATTTTTCTTTTCCATAATTTGCTATGGTTTGCCTCTCAAGCTGTAAGCTGAGACAGACTGAGAAACCCTCGACTCGAGATATGTTCTCATTGAGTTGATCGTTTTATACGAAAATAAACAAATTTCTCGATGATGGAATTCAGATAAAGTTTATTATTATTCTTGGGGAAGTTGCACCGCGACTTGTTGGATATATTGTGCCCCCTTCTGAGCCGACAGCCCCTCCATCAGTCTCAGATCCCGTGCGAATGCTAGGGTTGAGGTCTTCTATGTCTCTAGAATTCAAGACATTCAACCCTACGATGCTACATCCTCTTCTAGCTAGTGCGACACATTCTGCTAGGATGTGTATCGAGGATTCCTCCTCTCTTTCACAGAACCTGCAGAGATCGCTACTATATATACCTAGTCTAGCTAGGTGACTTCTTAGTCGACAGTGTCCCGTCATTAGACCGGTAAGTATCCTAAGATTGTTCTTTTCTTGCTTAAGATAAAGTAGACTTCTTCTTATCGAGCGAATAGAAGGCAGATTATAGTCTTACTGGACGAGGTGAGAGATTACTCAATTAGTAATCTCATTTATGGCAAATTGTAAAAGATTATTGATTGCCAAAACTGTACAAAAAATAAGTATTAAGCACGTCATTTGTTCTGCACATTTTTAAAGCAAATCAGAGTCGTTTCAATGCATTAATGATAATAATTAATTAATGAGAGCGTGTAAGTTAAAAAATTAAGCATTTGAGATAGCGCCTCCCACAGTGGATGTTGCAGTTGCTGTTGCCGTTGTTGATGCCGCAAATGCCTTTTGCGGTAGGCATAAATTTTAATGCTAATCATAGAGATGCGACAACAGCAGCAGCAACAGCAGCAACAGCAGCAGCAGCAGCAGCAGAACAACACCAACAACAACAACAAGAGGACTACAAACAACGAGCACTTATCCAACGCAGGCCATAAAAAGTGCGCTAATGTTAACCCGTTGCTATCGTTTGAATTACAACATTCAGTAGCCAAGACCGCAGCCTACGAGTGTGTGTGTGTGTGTTGTAAACCAACCAACTCCGCACTCCACTTGCCACTTGCCACGATGCGGGGAGGCGAGCAGGCGACATCTTTACATATGCAGAGGCAACAATGTCTCAGCCTAAAAGTAGGCAACTTTACGTTGCTCGCATGATAATTTAATTACAGCACTGGGATTGGAGAGGAAGAGGGAATGGCAATGCGAGTGGTAGTGGGAGTGGGAATCGGAGAGAGAGAAACAGAGAGAGAGAGAGAGAGTGGGATGAGCGGATGAGTTAGTGGTGCGACGCAGCAACGCAGCATCAATCTCTGGCTTAGGCAAGACAATCTGCGCACATAGTACACCTAAGCATATCCACATTATTCTTTGCACCTCAGCGAACCAAAGTGCCCAAATAGAAACCAGTTTGCCTGGGCAGGGTATATACGACCGAATATTCAGAGAGAAAGATCCACAAAGTGCACTTATATAGAAGACCATCAAAAATCGAAATTAAAGTTGGATTATGAATCGAGTATTCGAATCAGACTCCCAATGATCAATGGCTATTTTTTTGCAAGAATTCTTAAAATAATCTACGAAATATTTCGAGATTATTTCCAAGAAGCAGCACATTTTTCTAGTTTTTCTAGTTTCACTAAAATACAAAGTGAGTTATTTGCTGAGTGTGGATTGTCTTTTATATAGATATATGGATATAGATATTGCGTAGGTTGGCACATATGCCCAATTGCCTGACATTTGCAATTTACAGGGTATAATTATATATTAAATTAAGCCATTTGCATGCGCGTATTTTTCGGGCAGAGGCGCACAGCTAAGGGCCACAGCGCTGCCGCTTTTCAACCCGGTCGTGTTGTAGATTATTAAAAATTATGTCTCAAAGTAGGACATGCAACGCGCCTGGCAACTGCTCCGGCGCCCCACTCCCTGCTCCCGGTTCCCAGCTGCCGGATCCAGTCACATAGGCCACATTAATGTGCTACTCAGGCAGCGCTGCGATAAGCTAAACCCACAACAGGAGCAGCAGCAGCAGCAGCAGCAGCTACCAGTTGTAAAAGTGGTAAAAATGTTCTATTTTCTATTTT